TATATATATATATATATATATATATATATATATATACATATATATATATATATATATTATATATATATGTGCTACATACATATATATATATATATATATATATATACATATATACATATATATATATATATATATATATATATATATATACATATATATATATATATATATATAGAATAGTATATATATATATATATATACAGAAATATATATATATATATATATATATATATATATATATATATATATGATATATATATATATATAGTATATATATATATATATATATATATATACATAGATACATACATACATACATACATATACACATATATATATATATATATATATATATATATACATACATATATATATATATATATATATATATATATATATATATATACATATATATATATATATATACATACAGACATATATATATATATATATATAGAAATATAAAGGTATGGATATGGAGGAGGAAAAGAGAGAAAGGAAGGAGGGATGACGAAAGAAATATTTGACAGGAAAGAATAGGGATACAGAAACAGAAAAGGGGAAAAAGAAGAATATAGATGGGAATAATGACATAGATGAAGAATGGACATGGAAAGGAATGAGAGAGAGTGGAAATGAAGGACAGAGAGTAGATAGAGACATGGATGATAGGGTTCCACAAGCGACCGTTTCTCGAAGAGGGCTTGATGTCTCAGTAACTGATCACTCTGATGAGAGTCATTACGAAGCATGCAGTGGCATTAATGAGCGGGTTCCACAAGCGACCGTTTCTCGAAGAGGGCTTGAGGTTTCTCCAGGAGCCGATGATGCTACGCCTCAAGCATCAGGCGGAAGAAGTTCCAGTTTGGTCCCTCGTGAATCAAATGAAGTAACATTTGAATCTTTTTTTGGAGGAACAAGAGAGTCGCAAGAATCACGTGTTGGAAATTTCTATCAGTCCCTGGAAAATCGTGAGACCATTGGCGGTAGTAGGACAGGGATATCTCCACATGGGTCCGGTAGTGCTGCAGAGATAGAAATACATGGATCCGCTGATGCTGGAGATACAGGTGAAAGCACCTGTTGTCCGGAACTTGATGCGTCAATACAGAAGGCTGTACGTGATTACTTCAACAGGCCTATAAGGGACATACTGCGGGGAGATAAGTCACCCTTGGGTGCCGACAACAGCACTGATCCTGCATCAGGTATTGACCACGCTGTCCACGATTACCTGACAAACATCATCAACAAGATTAAACTTCAGTGGCTGAATGAGCCTTCAACAGAATCTGGTTCAGATAAGGAATATGTAACTATGCAGAACAGTGTGACTACACCCAAGGATACCTCTCGTCAGTGTTATCTGAACAGTGAGAGGAAAGTTCTGGTGCGTGAGTTACCGGACACCTCACAGCTTGCCTCCCGTCTGAGTGCCATTAGAAAACTGCCCTTTACCTTTGAATCAAGAAAACGGTGTTTTGACGAAAGAAACAGGAGTCTGTATGTCAATGTAAAAGGTGTAAAGAAACACCATTAAAAGTAGGAATATTGTATTTCAATCTTGAAGGACCACAGTGTACTTGCTCTGCTAAAGCATGTGGGGAGCAATATTGTCTATAAGAGGTATCTAGAATACGGCCTAGATCTAACGTCGGTACTACATGACTGGGGCTAACGTTGTAGAGTGAGTGAGTGAGTGAGTTGGGCTTTACGCCGCTTTTAGAAATATTCCACGGCGGGTGACGCCAGAGGTGAGATGAGGTGAAATTGGGTTTTACGTCGTGCTTGAGAATATTTCGCTCATATGACGACGTGCATGCGTGTGTAGGTGAATGTGCAGCTGCTTGAACTAACCCAGACTTAAGCTGGTTTTATAGTGCTAGCTCACTGAGATACCATGCCGCAGTGAAGCATGAATACCCCACTCAGACACATTATACTGACTCCGAGCCGACCAGTCCTTGTTGTACCCATTAATGCCGAGCACCGGGCATGGACCAACAGGTACCATATTTTAACGTCTTTTGGTATGACGCGGTCGGGGATCGAACCCGCGACCTTCCGCTCTCCGGGCGGACGCTCTAATACCTGATAGGAAGCCAGTAGGGTGACATACAAGGGCTGAGTTAGAGCTTATATAACTGATAGGAAGCCAGGTGGATGTTTATACACTTGATGGGGTTGATGTACATGGATTTTGTAGTCTGACTGGTTCTTTACTATGGTTCTGGTAAAGGTAAAGAACCATAGTAAAGAACCAGTCAGACTACAAAATCCGTAAACTTTTGGAAGCAGTACACATCAAGAAAATAGGACCTGCTCTCAACAGAGATGAAGGATACTACATTCCCAGTGCCTACCATCACTTGATAAAGTAATCAATAATATTCTTTGTGTACATTACCTGTTTCATTCCAACCATGTACATCAACCCCATCAAGTGTATAAACATCCACCTGGCTTCCTATCAGTTATATAAGCTCTAACTCAGCCCTTGTATGTCACCCTACTGGCTTCCTATCAGTTTACTTTGTCTCTCATACAAACGTTGTACATCAACCTCATCTATTGTATAAACAACTCATTCCCTATCTACTGTAACAACAACTCCTGTATATATTCTCTCAGTTTGTTACCCATGTATCACTTGCTTGACAACGACATTAGAACCTATGTCGAAACGTCCCCTCCACAGAATAAAAGAAGTTGTATATCCATAATAATTGTCATTATTCTTCATCAACTCAACTTCTAAAATGCCCATCAAACAAATATTTAAGTTCGCAATAAAAACATCCATTTCAGCCTTAGTAAATTGTATGTCTCATATGTTGTGTGATCAATGATGCATACATTAATATACGAGTTTCAAACAATGAAGCTTTAACATATTACCAGATTGGTTTATAAAGTATCAAGCTTGAACCGTGTACGAGGACTGGTTTATATGTAGTGATAGCTGAAGCAATTACTGTAACTGATCCATACAGTCTCACACCTGTATCCTGTTATAACCATACAGTCTCACACCTGCATCCTGTTACTTTAACTGGTTCATACAGTCTCACACCTGCATCCTGTTACTTTAACTGGTTCATAGAGTCTCACACCTGCATCCTGTACCTTTAACTGGTTCATAGAGTCTCACACCTGCATCCTGTTACTTTAACTGGTTCATAGAGTCTCACACCTGCATCCTGTAACTTTAACTGGTTCATAGAGTCTCACACCTGCATCCTGTAACTTTAACTGGTTCATAGAGTCTCACACCTGCATCCTGTTATTTTAACTGGTTCATAGAGTCTCACACCTGCATCCTGTTACTTTAACTGGTTCATAGTCACACACCTGAGTCTACTTTAACTGGTGCACACCTGCATCCTGTTACTTTAACTGGTGCATAGAGTCACACACCTGAATCCTGTTACTTTAACTGGTGCATAGAGTCACACACCTGAATCCTGTTACTTTAACTGGTGCATAGAGTCTCACACCTGCATCCTGTTACTTTAACTGGTGCATAGAGTCTCACACCTGCATCCTGTTACCTTAACTGGTGCATAGAGTCACACACCTGAATCCTGTTACTTTAACTGGTGCATAGAGTCACACACCTGAATCCTGTTACTTTAACTGGTGCATAGAGTCTCACACCTGCATCCTGTTACTTTAACTGGTGCATAGAGTCTCACACCTGCATCCTGTTACTTTAACTGGTTCATAGAGTCTCACAGAAAGAAGTAGACTCTCCCTGGTTCCGGGCATTCAGGGGGTCAAGAAAGAAGTGATTGTCCCTGGTGTCCGGCATGCAGGGGGTCAAGAAAGAAGTGACTGTCCCTGGTATCCGGCATGCAGGGGGTCAAGAAAGAAGTAGACTCTCCCTGGTTCCGGGCATGCAGGGGGTCAAGAAAGAAGTGACTGTCCCTGGTGTCCGGCATGCAGGGGGTCAAGAAAGAAGTGATTGTCCCTGGTATCCGGCATGCAGGGGGTCAAGAAAGAAGTGACTGTCCCTGGTATCCGGCATGCAGGGGGTCAAGAAAGAAGTAGACTCTCCCTGGTTCCGGGCATCCAGGGGGTCAAGAAAGAAGTGACTGTCCCTGGTGTCCAGCATGCAGGGGGTCAAGAAAGAAGCGACTGTCCCTGGTGTCCGGCATGCAGGGGGTCAAGAAAGAAGTGACTGTCCCTGGTATCCGGCATTCAGGGGGTCAAAAACGGAGATGCTCTGTCTGGCGCTCAGCAGTAAATGGAGTTAGAGAAGGAGTTACCCTGTCCGGTGCTCGGCATTAAAGATACTGCTGTACATTTAGAGCAACGTGTGGTTTGACGCCATCGATTTGAAACCTCACTCAATGACCGCTGTGTTGCAAAGCCGATAAAGCGTCCATTTACACAATCTCGTCTTTGTACCTCAAAGCACTCTTCAAGTTCTCCTCAATCATCATCATTGGCGTCCTTGCTGCACCTTTTATCCCACCCCAGAGCATAACACCACTTCCCCAAACAATCCCCTTCCAATTAGATTTAACTAAATCGTTTTGAGGAAAATGTCGCCACATGGTGCTTCTATGACGTCACATCGACGTCGATACCAGACTGAAGCAAACCTATAGCTCTCTATCTCTTTGGCATTTCGAACTTGTTCCAGAACGATTTGGTGTTTTTTTCTGAATTCTGTACTACTTAAGACTCAGCCTGAGTACATTGAGTGGAAATGATAAGGTCAGGTTGTTTGGCCTTATAAGGTAAACATTGTGGCCATTTTATCAAATATGCCATGCTTCTGGCACATGTTGTGCACTTCGAACAACGACTGCCTGGTAGAGTCTCTTCGATCACTTTAACACATTCTTTGTCTGGTTCAAATTCACTCACAAGATTACCAATGAAAAAATTCATGTGACAAGAACCTTTGCCTCTGAGTATTCATTGAACACGGAAATAAGATTAATACCCTTAATAAGAGTTTGCACACAGAGCAGAAAACAGGGAAAGAGAAACTAGAGCGGCTTTGTCACAGAAGTCTCAAACTGAGTGCGGGTCTTCATCATCTCAAAAGTAAGTACTTCGTTGGGAAATTGTGTACACAGTGTCCGATCAATGCAGTATAAAATAGCTCTTGTATTGTTGATTTGTAACTTAGTCGCAAATACTTTCTGGTTTCACAGTGAAATATTGCTGTGGTTGAATATAACTGTCACTCACCTAGTATACGGCCACATGTTCATGACCTTAGATACAGAGACTGTACTCTGTGCTGTAGACATAGTGAGGGTATATACAGCAGTCAGTGAAACAGTTTAGGCCTCGGGTTGATGTACACGTATCATTATTGTGGATACTGGGTGATCCAGGAATAACACGATACACAGTAGACCGTGAGGCGGTCTGGACCTGATGTACACAGACTGTTTATACCAAGCACTGGTATACTCAGTCAGGCTGTCTAATCCCGGTATTGATATCCTCAATAGAGAATCGGACTGTCTATACCAAGCACTGGTATACTCAGTCAGGCTGTCTAAACCCGGTATTGATATCCTCAATAGAGGTAGACAGACTGTCTATACCAAGCACTGGTATACTCAGTCAGACTGTCTAATCCCGGTATGGATATCCTCAATAGAGAATCGGACTGTCTCTAAAAAGAACTGGTATACTCAGTCAGGCTGTCTAATCCCGGTATTGATATCCTCAATAGAGGTAGACAGACGGTCTATACCAAGCACTGGTATACTCAGTCAGGCTGTCTAAACCCGGTATTGATATCCTCAATAGAGGTAGACAGACTGTCTATACCAAGCACTGGTATACTCAGTCAGGCTGTCTATACCCGGTATTGATATCCTCAATAGAGATAGACAGACGGTCTCTACCAAGCACTGGTATACTCAGTCAGGCTGTCTAAACCCGGTATTTATATCCTCAATAGAGGTAGACAGACGGTCTCTACCAAGCACTGGTATACTCAGTCAGGCTGTCTAAACCCGGTACTGATATCCTCAATAGAGGTAGACAGACTGTCTATACAAAGCACTGGTATACTCAGTCAGGTTGTCTAAACCGGTATTGATATCCTCAACAGAGGTATACAGCAGTCTATACTAAGCACTAGTATACTCAGTCAGGCTGTCTATATCCGGTATTGATATCCTCAATAGAGGTAGACACACGGCCTATACCAAGCACTGGTATACTCATTCAGGCTGTCTATACCCGGTATTGATATCCTCAATAGAGATAGACAGACGGTCTCTACCAAGCACTGGTATACTCAGTCAGGCTGTCTAAACCCGGTATTTATATCCTCAATAGAGGTAGACAGACGGTCTCTACCAAGCACTGGTATACTCAGTCAGGCTGTCTAAACCCGGTACTGATATCCTCAATAGAGGTAGACAGACTGTCTATACAAAGCACTGGTATACTCAGTCAGGTTGTCTAAACCGGTATTGATATCCTCAACAGAGGTATACAGCAGTCTATACCAAGCACTAGTATACTCAGTCAGGCTGTCTATATCCGGTATTGATATCCTCAATAGAGGTAGACACACGGCCTATACCAAGCACTGATATACTCAGTCAGGCTGTCTAAACCCGGTATTGATATCCTCAATAGAGGTACACAGACTGTCTATACCAAGCACTGGTATACTCAGTCAGGCTGTCTAAACCCGGTATTGATATCCTCAATAGAGGTAGACAGACTGTCTATACCAAGCACTGGTATACTCAGTCAGGCTGTCTAAACCCGGTATTGATATCCTCAATAGAGGTAGACAGACTGTCTATACCAAGCACTGGTATGCTCAGTCAGGCTGTCTAATCCCGGTATTGATATCCTCAATAGAGGTAGACAGACGGTCAATACCAAGCACTGGTATACTCAGTCAGGCTGTCTAATCCCGGTATTGATATCCTCAATAGAGGGAAGAAGTCTATACTGGTACGGTCTATACCAAGCACTGGTATACGGTCTCAGTCAGGCTGTCTAAACCCGGTATTTATATCCTCAATAGAGGTAGACAGACGGTCAATACCAAGCACTGGTATACTCAGTCAGGCTGTCTATACCCGGTATTGATATCCTCAATAGAGGTAGACAGACGGTCTATACCAAGCACTGGTATACTCAATCAGGCTGTCTAAACCCGGTATTTATATCCTCAATAGAGGTAGACAGACGGTCAATACCAAGCACTGGTATACTCAGTCAGGCTGTCTATACCCGGTATTGATATCCTCAATAGAGGTAGACAGACGGTCTATACCAAGCACTGGTATACTCAATCAGGCTGTCTAAACCCGGTATTTATATCTTCAATAGAGGTAGACAGACGGTCAATACCAAGCACTGGTATACTCAGTCAGGCTGTCTATACCCGGTATTGATATCCTCAATAGAGGTAGACAGACGGTCTATACCAAGCACTGGTATACTCAATCAGGCTGTCTAATCCCGGTATTGATATCCTCAATAGAGGAAGACACACGGTCTATACCAAGCACTGGTATACTCAGTCAGGCTGTCTAAACCCGGTATTGATATCTTCAATAGAGGTAGACAGACTGTCTATACCAAGCACTGGTATACTCAGTCAGGCTGTCTAAACCCGGTATTGATATCCTCAATAGAGGTAGACAGACGGTCAATACCAAGCACTGGTATACTCAGTCAGGCTGTCTATACCCGGTATTGATATCCTCAATAGAGGTATACAGACGGTCTATACCAAGCACTGGTATACTCAGTCAGGCTGTCTAATCCCGGTATTGATATCCTCAATAGAGGTAGACAGACTGTCTATACCCGGTATTGATATCCTCAATAGAGGTAGACAGACTGTCTATACCAAGCACTGGTACACTCAGTCAGACTGTCTATACCCGGTATTGATATCCTCAATAGAGGTCGACAGACTGTCTATACCAAACACTGGTATACTCAGTCAGACTGTCTATACCCGGTATTGATATCCTCAATACGGAGTCTACTCCTAGCATTGATGTACGCAGAAAGAGCAGACTGTCTATACCCTTTTGATGTTTTCGGTAGACAGTCAGACTGTCTCTACCTAGTATTGATGTACTCAGTTGAAAATGCGACTGTCTATACCCTTTTGATGTTTTCGGTAGACAGTCAGACTGTCTCTACCTAGTATTGATGTACTCAGTTGAAAGTGCGACTGTCTATATTTAGTATTGATGTACTCATGAGACAGTGGGACTGTCAATACATAGTATTGATGAACTCAGTAGACTGTCAGACAGTGTATACCTAGTATTGATGTACTCAGAAGACAGTCAGACTGTCTGTACTTAGCACTGACGAAGTCAGTAGACAGGCAGTCTGTACTTAGTATTGACGAAGTCAGTAGACAGACAGTCTGTACTAAGTATTGATGAAGTCAGTAGACAGACAGTCTGTACTAAGTATTGATGAAGTCAGTAGACAGACAGTCTGTACTTAGTATTGATGAAGTCAGTAGACAGACAGTCTGTACCTAGTATTGATGAAGTCAGTAGACAGACAGTCTGTACTTAGTATTGACGAAGTCAGTAGACAGACAGTCTGTACCTAGTATTGATGAAGTCAGTAGACAGACAGTCTGTACCTAGTATTGATGAAGTCAGTAGACAGGCAGTCTGTACTTAGTGACGAAGTCAGTAGACAGACAGTCTGTACCTAGTATTGATGAAGTCAGTAGACAGGCAGTCTGTACTTAGTATTGATGAAGTCAGTAGACAGTCAGTCTAGACAGTAGACAGACAGTCTGTACTTAGTATTGATGAAGTCAGTAGACAGACAGTCTGTACCTAGTATTGATGAAGTCAGTAGACAGACAGTCTGTACTTAGTATTGATGAAGTCAGTAGACAGACAGTCTGTGCCTAGTATTGATAAAGTCAGTAGACAGACAGTCTGTACTTAGTATTGATGAAGTCAGTAGACAGACAGTATGTACTTAGTATTAATGAAGTCAGTAGACAGACAGTCTGTACTTAGTATTGATGAAGTCAGTAGACAGACAGTCTGTACTTAGTATTGATGAAGTCAGTAGACAGACAGTCTGTACCTAGTATTGATGAAGTCAGTAGACAGTCTGTACTTAGTATTGATGAAGTCAGTAGACAGACAGTCTGTACCTAGTATTGATGAAGTCAGTAGACAGACAGTCTGTACTTAGTATTGACGAAGTCAGTAGACAGACAGTCTGTACTTAGTATTGATGTACTCAATGGAGAGACAAACCTTCTATTGAACCTTTACCTTCTATTGAACAGACATCTATTGAGAGACTGTCCACACCTAGTACGCAGTAGACAGTAAACTAGACGGACACACTACCATATATCACAACCTGTGTCAACACCAGCTGCCCTCTAGCATGTACATAATATTCAACATACCAGGACATATTCTAACATTATATTGATCAGTTTTGTCCGTTCGTTATAAGGAAGTTCAGCTATGCAGTAGGGACTGTGTACCACTACTACAGGGGCGCTACGTCAATCAGGGTCAATGTTCACATTTCAGACATGCAAGGAGGGATATTTATGTTGGTGATTCTGCTCCCTCTACTCTGTCTTCTCGCTGTCTACATACTCCGGGACAGGTTAGTATGACTATATTTTTAAAGGCCTCTGTTTCCTAGAAGAGAGTTCACAACATCCACTGGATAATAATGTCTCATGGATGTGGAGAGAGTTCACAACATCCACTGGATAATAATGTCTTATGGTTTAGTTTTAGTTTTACGCCGCAATAATGTGTCATGGATGTGGAAAGAGTTCACAACATCCACTGGATAATAATGTCTCATGGTTTAGTTTTAGTTTTACGCCGCAATAATATGTCATGGATGTGGAGAGAGTTCATAACATCCACTGGATAATAATGTCTCATGGTTTAGTTTTAGTTTTACGCCGCAATACTTCATCATGGATGTGGAGACACACAGTAGCGTCCTGTAACTAACTACGTCCCTCCCCTTGATCGCCTGTTTCTTTCCGTATATACGAATAGGATTATATTGGTTCTCCGGCTACATAGAAAAGAACAAATTGATAAATGAGTCACTGTACCGTCACTTCACATTTTCACCACAGTTGGAAATCAAAGAATCAACTTAGAAACAACCTATAGCATCTCAACAGCTTGGTGATTTCTTACCTATTGCTGGTCTGATTAGGTCATGAGCAACCTTTGCTGGACGCAAGCGGCAACTCGAGTGTTCATTCTCGGTGATTTGGTCGTTTCGTAGACATGATACGTCATCGAGTGAGTGAGTGTGTGAGTTTAGTTTTACGACGCACTCAGCAATATTCCAGCTACATGGTGACGGTCTGTAAATAATCGAATCTGGACCAGACAATCCACTAAGCCACCTAAAATATGGAATTGTGACAAATGGTGTTCAAGTTCACTTCATTCAGCCAGTATTTTTTCTTCATTAGGGAACAAGAAGAAAGAATTCAGAAAGCCATTTAAAATTTGCAAAATCATGATATAACATCCATTTTTTATAGAGCTTATCTTGTTCACTTTTACTGAAGGATATATTCTTTTCAATAAAGTACCTATCTTGTAAATAATGTCTAAAATGTTGAAAACTAAGAGTTGCTTTTAATACCTTCCATTTATATATGAAGAATTTAGCTAAAAACAATATTAAATCCAATATATCATCAGTATATACATTTGGCCTCATTCCAAACACAGTACGTTGCAGGCCCAATGTCATGTTGTGAACATGTTGACATTTATCATTTAATCATTCTAGAAAACATTTCCAAAAAGCTTGCACATTGTTCGCAATACCAAAACAAGTGGGAGATTGTTTCAACCTCACATTGACAAAAGGTACATAAGTTGCTTTCAGCTAATTTGATCTTAAATAAAAATGAATTAGTTAATAGAATACAATGTATAATCCTGAACTGAAACCATTGAAGTTTAGTATCTCTTGTAGTCTTTAAAGGTTTTTAAAATATTTTTTCCCATTCAAGTTCAGCAAACCTACAATCCTCCCACTCATTCTTGAATTTTAAGTTAACATCAGATGCAATTAAAACACAATAATAACACTTGGCTCCCCTCTCAACAGACATCAGTTTTCGATTAACTGTATTATCATCTAACTGCTCAATAAAAGTAGGTTTCATTATCTTTAACTTAGTTTCATAACTTTTAATGGCCATAATAAGACCAATATAATGGAGAAAATTTATGTCAAGTTCAAAAGTGTTCTGAAATTCCTCGAGAATACGATATGTTCCGTCTAAATTGATAAAATCACGAATCTGACTAACACCTCTTTCAAGCAAAGCAGAACAGAAAATTACCTCTTTACCAATTTTTAAGTATACTTGTTATAATAGATTGGTTCTGTGATGAATTCATCAAATAAACATGGTTGAATCTTATGAGCAAACTTACAATTTGCATTTCAAGCAGAAATACAATCAAGCCAAAATTCATTCTTAATATCTTTGGAGAGTGTACCTGGATAAAAATTACAGCTAGATTTTGTATTTTTGGGGAGGAAGCACAGCACAAACACTTCCATTTGGATTCATAATCAATATCCAACAACTTTCTCATCCAATACCAAGTCCACCCTCTTTAACAGGCTTACAAGCAACCACTCTTTTGATCTTATCAGGTTTACCACTCCAGAGAAATATAAATAGTACTTTGTTTAATTCATGCAGGAAGTTCCCTCTGTGTGTGTGTGTGCGTGCGTGCGTGCGTGCGTGCGTGCGTGCGTGTGTGTGTGTGTGTGTGTGTGTGTGTGTGTTTGGGAGAGCAAGTAAGAGATAATTTAATTTTGAAATTAGTAATGATATTATAATAGCAATTCTACCAAGTGGTGTAATTATTCTTTTCATCCACCTGTTGATAATTAACTGAATCTCAAATAATTTATTTTCAAAATTCTTTCCAGCCATAACATTTACATCTGTTGAAAATATTACACCTAGGAGCTTGAAATATTCTGGATTCCAATGTACGTTCAAACACTTCATAATGTCCCCTCCAAATAAAAACAATGGTAATATTTTATTAATAAATTACCAGGAGACAGAATCAAATGCCTTTTCAAAATCTATTAAAATTAACATTCCAGGAATATCATTAGATTCTGTGTAATTCATCAAATCACACATTAATCTTATATTATCACCAATATATCTCTTAGACATGAATCCTGTTTGATCAGGGCTGATCAATTTTGGGAGAACGCGCTTTAACCTCAACAACAGATGAAAGAAGTTTATTGGCAGTATTGAGAAGTGAAATAGGTCTCCAGTTTTTCAACAAAAAAAAACGACTTTCATTATTATAAGTGGTTCTGGGGCGGTGGGGTAGCCTAGTGGTTCAGCCGTTCGCTCGTCACGCCGAAGACCCGGATTTGAGTCCCCACATGGGCACAATGTGTGAAGCGCATATCTGGTGTCCCCCACCGTGATATTGCTGGAATATTGTTAAAAGCGGCGTAAAACTAAACACTCGCTCACTCACTCTCTAACTCACTCACTCATAGAAGTGGTTCATCCAAGCATCTTACAATTACTAACGATTATTAGTACTTCAAAGTCTAACTGCCTCCCAAAGAAATGTAATGAAATTGTCATTGTTTCAGGTTGTGTAGCTGTATGCGGGATATCTTGCGCGTGGTACAAACCAGAGCTTCATTGATGTACATAAATATGAAAAAGAAGTCCAAATCTGAGTACTGTGAACAGAACTTTATCAATAAGCGTTCTGTATATACACAGTCGGGAACTGGCCAGTTCTCTTTAATGGGCGAGCACGTGTACGTTGAGATCATAGATCATCCTATCTACACAGAAGCTTATGATAGACCGGCTTGCACTCCGCCTAGCACTCTGCCTCCGAGTCTGTCTGCCTCGAATATGTATCTTACGTCACTTGCATCAGATATAACCATTGACCAGATGCAGTGGAGTGCAGATGAAGGCAGCGGTGAAGACTCAGGTCAATGCGGCCGAGAAGCTCAAGGTGAAATAACTAAAGAAGATCAAGGTCGTGTCAGCAAAGGTCAGGGTCATGCCTGTAAAGAAGGTCAAGATCATATCAGTAAAGAAGGTCAAGGTCAGGGCAATTTCAGGGAAGAGAGAAGGGGATGCATCCTTGGTGATGAAGTACTCCGGGTAAAAGACCAGGGGCAGCTCACTGAAAGCCTGAACTCTACATTATCCACAGGCCAATATGTGTCGCATGATGCCATTCTTAGATATAATAAGGGTATAGTGACGTCGTTGGGTGTAGGAAAAGGTGGACAAAATGTTGTTCAGCTACACGACACGCCCCCAGGACGGTTCCGGGACGGAGGATCTCCGGACTCGACTCTTGGAGACAAGGGTCAACATAAGGAAGGAGATTTACTGAATGATAGGATTACGTCTGAATGTTCAACCAAGCAAAGTACAAGTGATGTTGGTAATTGTGAGACGGTGAAATCGTGTTCCCAAATGTCTTCTCCTTGTACAGAATCCGATACCCTGCAGTATTTATGTCCAAACTGTGGACATCGGCCGATATTTCATCAACACGGTCGTGTGACACATAGATGAGTTTCGGTTGCTGACGTTACTTAACGTCGAAACGTCGCTTTGCTATTCACTAAGGACATGCCTGGCGCCCGGACGTTTACATCGGTACATGTATCCCTAAAGTCACAAACATGTACTACTTGACTGTGTCATCCTATGGAACACTTTACCATGTTTTACGGCCTATTCTTCAAATGCAAACATTTATTTGTTTGTGTTTTTTAAGAAATAAAATAGTGTGAAAAGTCTGTAAAAAAATAATATCATTAGAAGGATTAATAAGTGAAAGTTCAAGTGGCAATATTCTCGAACGGTGCGGTAGGAGAGATTACAGTATTATAACCTTATTTTCCAGCGGGAATGATAAGAAGGGTAAGTTCCACTTGTTTCAAAGTAAATGTAAGCCCAACACATTTTAATCGTAGTATATACGTTTTAAATGGAGGCTTAAATTGATGTAACACGTCATAATTTAATTTGGAAACCAGAAACTGTCCCTACTTTTCCTTGCTCAATATCCACCCCAGGACAACTTCCGGTGGTTAAGGGATGTTATAAAGGCATGTTCTCATTTCGCCTATATCCCAATTCGCCTACAGTCTTAAAACAACATTTCATGGTCTGTTGACTGTTGATTAAGCAATGGTAAACTAGTGGCACCCCTATGATCTAAAAGTGGACTCTTCTAGTTGAAGTAGTTGAAGGACAAAAAGACATGTTTTAAAGAATTTATTTCTGTTATTTGTCTGTTATTTATTTACTCTGTTATTTGTCTGTTATTTATTTACTCTGTTATTTGTCCATTTTTCGACCACAATAATATTGACATCATATACTCATGCCAATAATGGTTGTCACCCCCTTCATTTTTTTTAATTGGAGAGGGGGTGTGGGGTGGGTGTGTGAGGTGTGTGGGGGTTGGGGTGGGAGGGGGATGACAACCATTATTGGCATGAGTATATAACATCATATAACATCATATCACATATGCTTAATGAACTTTACTTGTGCGGATGTCCATTCTCACTTCTCCACGAACACGTTTTCTCAGTCTGAACTTCTTAGTGGATGCACCAATCCTCTTTACTCAACTACATATCCTTGTAACAACTGAGTATTTTACAGTGATAAATTAACTACATACCATCACTGCTTTTACAATTTAGCTTGAGCATTAATCCCTTTCTTTTTATTTTAACTGAACTGAACTGAACTTTATTTCAGACAGCGGCATATGAGGTTACATATATACTCATGCCAATATTTGTTGAATTCCAGATATAACTAAGTCCAATTTCGTCAAAAAAATATTTAATATTATTATCCATTTATGCTTACTTTTTCCAAAAAGTGTGTCGTTAAAAAGTAATTTAGACATGAGTAAGGATAATTTGGAAGATTTACCTAATTGACCAGTGAGTCAGGTTCATTATAAGAGTAGGGGTGTATTTTCTAATCCCAATTAGCCTACATTGTTTTGGTATGCGAAATGGGATGTAGGCGAATTGAGATACCGTGCAATTTCTCGCGGTTTCATGTCTAGCTGTCTACCTTTATTAGTGTTTTTTTATATATATTATTTTGTAAAGGTTTGTTTTTCAAATGTTCTCCAATTTTTTTAAATAATAAAATTGGGATATATTTCTATTTGTTGCATTTTCTGTCATTGCCAAGTTTTAATGATAATTATACTTGTGACGTAAATATATATTCACACTCTACTCCGACTTGTGCAATGCCCAAAAAGATCAGCTGTAACAAACAGGAATAAAAATCAAAATGAATGAAAAAGTTCATTTTCTTAAAATTGAAATATACCTTTTGTAATTTTGGGGCAACATAAGTGGACAAAGCGGACGAACATCCTAGCAAATTGATGTTAAAAGTTGTTTTGTTTTTAAAATCTGCATTTTAAGTAAGATAAGTTTTGAAGATGAATCTCAACAATATAAGTTCATTTTTGGTTTGTTAGGGTTTTAGGACCAGATGATGAAAAAAATGATGGACGATATCTAGTCGACGATAGAAAAAGATACTGTAGTTCGTGTTTTCTCAATATGAAGATAACATATTATCAATTAGCATACGCTCAAAGGTTGTATTCAATCTTAAAAGACATATAATATGTTGGATATCTAGCTTCAAAACAGTATTTCCTTGAAAGTTTCAACAAGCTCATGCCACGATCACATCGCGGGTCCACGCATGTATATAAATACACATGAGGCATGGAATATACTATTGATGAAGATTAATTATGTACAACGTTTTTAAATACTATATTCATATTTGAATGAAATCCACACTACCAGGTATTAATACGGACATGAAACTGCAACATTTGACATACCACCCAGGCTGTCTAACGATCAATTAGTCAGCCTTTCAATCAATCTTAATTCCATAACGCCAGTCACAGTAGTACATGGCAAGTTACTGACGATAGCAGAACGAAGACCTGAGGACATGGGGAAGCTGAAGGTCCTGAAACATAGCTGACATGGCACACAAGTGGAACTGGAAACGTTATGGACGCAAGGATGTCATTTCTTATTTGACAACGGGACTGAAATATTACCGGAAAATATTTTATTTTAAACTTAATCTTGATACAATGTTGTTTTGTTTTAGAGCTGATTAAATCTTGGTGCATTTTGATATGATGAACAGGAAGTTTGGGTGTTGATTTAATCAATGCAAAACGCAACATTTGCCGGGGTTATTCTCGTAATATTCCGGGTATGCCATTGAATTGTTTGTCTGTTTTGTCCATAATTCGTTGGTACAATAATTAGAAATATGTCCTGTTTGTCATTTTTCTTGAACTGATGACCAACTCGCACCCGGAAGTTTGATAGTCGAATTTGAAGTACGTCTCTTAAAGTCTTAGTTTCAGTCAATGTGTAAGAGAAGGAAGCAAACATATTAAAGTCGTATTCATTTTCTTTAGAGAAAATTACAGTTGTAGATCGGTTCAGTAATAACCCTAGCTAGATGTGGTGCACTATATGCCTAAATTATTAATTGTATGCATGCACCTATTTACCATACTTTGTGGAATCTGCCATACTTTAATCAAATATATCTTATATTATATGTATGTATGTATGTATGTATGTATGTATGTATGTATGTATGTATGTATGTATGTATGTATGTATGTATGTATGTATGTATGTATGTATGTATGTATGTATGTATGTACGTACGTATGTATACTGGACAAAATAAGTTAGGGATATAATGTCTTCCAATATCCTATTCTTGTTATAATTAACGGCCAAAGTAGCATAATCCATCGTAGTCCATACCAACATATTCAAACGATGGCGCATTCTTCGCAAATGGATCTTAACTTGATCAGGCCATGTGGGAACAAGGGGTAGGTATAATCAGGTTACTCCTTCACATCCCAGAACAGTCTTGAATTGTGCTGTTTACAATTCAAAAGTAAAAATTTAGAGTAAAAGAGATTAAAAGTCTTATTCAACATTTTATTTAAAGTTACATATTGGGCATAGACTGGTAGACATGATCTTGAAACTGACATGAACATAACCATGGATGATTGGTCTATCGATCACCACTCATGACACCTACCAGTTCTTTATTGTTATTTCTGCAAATCGATTGAAAGCCGATTTTGACCCTCAACTAAACGATCTAGACACAAAATGATGACGATAGGCCCGCGCAAAACGGCGGTGTGGCCGAAGCAAGTCCTCTGACTGGTCGACGCCTGTAAATCTGCACATTCTTTAGTAATTCGCTGGAAATTTGAACTTTATCGCTTGCTTGACTTGGAAAAGAATTTTTTTTCCTATCAATTGCTTCTCAGCATCAGCTGTAAATGTCTCCTTAACAAGCGTCGACCAATCAGAGGGCTTGCTTTGACCACTCCATCGTTTTGTGCGGACCTATCGTCATCCATTTGTGTCTAGATCGTTTAGTTAAGGGTCAAACTCGGATTAACTATTGTAACATCCAGTCAACCAAGTCAAGAACCTGACCACCAGGTCAGGTCAGGTATCAGGTCTTGTCCCTAATCGTAACGGGTTTTTTTCCATGAAACGAGAGAATTCGCCATATTTGAATGTTGGATCAATACAATCCATGCTTTCTAAATGTTCAATTTTCATTTACCATCTCGTGATTTGACATTAGATTCCACGTCAAGGTCAAATCAATGTATTAATCACCCGTCAAGAACCCGCATGTTACCAACTCGGCCACTTTCTCCAGCTTAGGTGACTGACTATGACAATTCTTCAATAAAGCCGCTATCTGGCGGCGCGAGTGATAAACTGACGCCGCCCTTCTTTTTCGAACCACCTTGATTACGACTACTTTGGCCAAAAAGGTGTCGTCTCGGAGTGACGGCATTGTCTTCGACCTGCTCTGTCCCGAATATGTTAATACTATCTATGTAACTGTCCTGTCGTGGCAAACCCTGGGAGCTGCTGAAGAGATCGGGTTGGTAGCTGGTGTGGGCGAAAAGACGAGAAACAAATTTGGTTTCTCGCCTTCCACTCGGATTCATCGACAGCTCGCTTCTCAGAAGACTTGTTGTAGCAGACTTCTGTTTTGATTTTTTTCCACGCGATGACCTGCAACATTGATTGAGTGAGTTTAGATTAACGCTGATTTAACAGACAGTATGGTTTTACGCCGCTTTTAACAATATTTCAGCAATATCACGGCGGGGGACACCAATGGGATGCACACATTGTACCCATATGGGGAATCGAACCCAGGTCTTCAACTTGAAGGGTAACGCTTGAACAATTAGGCCACTTGACCGCCCCCTGTTTTAACAATATATCATGACGTGACAGGATGGCGTGGGCGAAAAGCCCTAAGCGATGCCTTTAACAGTTTAGCACTTAGATATATCCCGCGAACAAAGGTATAGCGTTGAATAGCTTGATCAATGGTTTATGGCACCCCGCACGCCGCACGCCACATCGAATGGTTGTGCCTTACACGACAGCGCCACCTGTGCCGCAAGAGTAAGTTAGTATGGTTTTACGTCGCTTTTAGCAACATTCCAGCAATATCACTGCGGGGAACACCAGAAATGGGCTTCACACAGAGTACTTATGTGGGGAATCGAATCCGGGTCTTCGGCGTGACGAGCGAACGCTTTAACCACTATGCTACCCCACCGCCCCTGTGCCTCAAGAACATACTGATTGTTACACTCAGTCCACTCTGGACTAAAGCTGATCCCACTCAACTAATGCCCGACAAAGGTGTTTTTCTGACAAAAGGTGACTTATGGAATCAGCCAGTGTCTGTATTGGTTAAATCACCAAACACGCTCGCGGGGAGGATACAAAAACCGTGATCTAACTTCTTCGTATATGTTTAACATGTCCACACTGGGTCGTGGGTTCGAATCCCAAATTCTCTGTTTACGTTTCTGGTAAGTCAGTGGCATCCCGATGTAATTCAGCAAAGTTGTACAAAGTTATACACGCCTGAAACCGGACATTCATCAGGTTCCTTCCCATCTCCACACGCAGCTACCACTTCGTAACGCGCATCACTATGCTGTAAACAGATATAACAGAGACGGCCTTGTATACGTACAAATAGGAATCTGAAGCAGCATTGTGATGTCCTTGGGGTACCATCTCAATACATTCGTGCTGGGATTTACTGGCAGTGTGTCGTTTCCAGGCTTTGTAACTGTGAAACAAAGACGAATCATTCACACATAATGGGAATTGTCAGTGACACTGGTGATGTCATCATACGCATGCGCAGACATACACACATATGGGATTCCAAATCTAGTAATGCTAGGACAGACAGGAATAGATTTTTTCTCGAAAACCTAGTGCCATCACTGATTTTTAGTGATTGCTCCACATGATTTTCCTCTGCCCACTGGAATCTCTGTCGGCAGATCATCAAGAGTATTATGTCAATCAACACAAATGGTAATGTATTTTTTCGTAAAGCTCATACCCGGCTATAACGAATCAATTCCATACCGTGAAAAGGATAGCAGTAGCAAGTTCGGGTAAAGGCGTTTTTAATCCAACGGTTACTCTCTTTTTGTACAACATAGTACCAAACTCATACCAAGTATCATATTTAGCTATACTGTGCGATGAGTGTGCAAAATGACATTGTTCATATGACATCTTTAGTATTGGATATCCTCGTAGTACCCTTACCTAAGTCCAGCAACAATCCCAACCGCGACAGCAGCGGTTGACAGTCCAGCAGATAATCCTATTGACAACTTCTGGTTTACGCCTGTAAATGACATAATGACCCTTGGTAATAGTAGTATTTGTGGTCGTAGTTGTTGCACAGTAGAAGTTGTAGTAGCAGTAGTGCCATTGGTGTGGTGAGCCAAGTTCACAAATGTCATATACCAGTGACATGTCATAGTTCGGTCACCCATGTCATACACCAGTCACATCTGTCACATGTATCGACCACACCGATCACACAGGTCATACATTGGTCGGGCGGTGGGGTAGCCTAGTGGTTAAAGCGTTCGCTCGTCACGCCGAAGACCCGGGTTCGATTTCCTACATGGACACAATGTGTGAAGCCTATTTCTGGTGTCCCCTGCCCTGATATTTCTGGAATATTGCTAAAACCGGCGTAAAACCCAATTCAATCATACATCGGTCATGTGTGTCATATCTTGGTCGCATGTGTCATACACCTCTCACACGTGTCATACATCGGTCACACGTGTCATACATCGGTCACATGTCATGCACCAGTCACACTTGTCATACATCAGTCACACGTGTCATACACCAGTCACACATGTCATACATCAGTCACACATGTCATACACCAGTCACACATGTCATACATCAGTCACACATGTCATGCAACAGTCACACTTGTCATACATCAGTCACACGTGTCATACATCAGTCACACGTGTCATACACCAGTCACACATGTCATACACCAGGCACACATGTCATACATCAGTCACACATGTCATACACCAGTCACACGTGTCATACATCAGTCACATATGTCATACATAAGTAACACGCCATACATCACTAACATGTCATACACCTGTCACACGTCATACATCAGTCACACGTGTCTAACTTCAGTCACACATGTCATAAATCAGCCACACCAGTCACACATGTCATACATCAATCACACGTCATGCATCAGTCACACGTGTCATACATCAGTCACACGTCATACATCAATCACACGTCATACATCAGTCACACGTGTCTTGCTTAAGTCACACATGTCATACATCAGTCACGCGTGTCATACATCAGTTACACGTGTCATACAGCAGTCACACGTGTCTAGCTTAAGTCACACATGTCATACATCAGTCACGCGTATCATAAATCATTCACATATGTCATACGTCAGTCACACGTGTCATACACCAGTCACACGTGTCATACATCAGTCATGCATATCATACATCAGTCACACGTGTCATACATCAGTCACACATGTCATACATCAGTCACGTGTCATACATCAGTCATGCGTATCATACATTAATCACACGTGTCATACATCAGTCACACGTGTCATACATCAGTCACACGTGTCATACATCAGTCACACATGTCATACATCAGTCACACGTGTCATACATCAGTCACACGTGTCATACATCAGTCACACATGTCATACATCAGTCACACGTGTCATACATCAGTCATGCGTATCATACATTAATCACACGTGTCATACATCAGTCACACGTGTCATACATCAGTCACACGTGTCATACATCAGTCACACGTGTCATACATCAGTCATGCGTATCATACATCAGTTACACGTGTCATACATCATTCACACGTGTCATACATCAGTCACACGTGTCATACATCATTCACACGTGTCATACATCAGTCACATGTGTCATACATCAGTCATGCGTATCATACATCAGTTACACGTGCCATACATCATTCACACGTCATACATCATTTACACGTCATACATCAGTCACACATGTCATACATCAGTTACACGTGTCATACATCAGTCACACGTGTCATACATCATTCACACGTCATATATCAGTTATGCGTATCATACATTAATCACACGTGTCATACATCAGTCACACGTGTCATACATCAGTCACACGTGTCATACATCAGTCACACGTGTCAGACATCAGTCATGCGTATCATACATCAGTTACACGTGTCATACATCAGTCACACGTGTCATACATCAGTCACACGTGTCATACATCAGTCACACGTGTCATACATCAGTCATGCGTATCATACATTAATCACACGTGTCATACATCAGTCACACGTGTCATACATCAGTCACACGTGTCATACATCAGTCACACGTGTCATACATCAGTCACACGTGTCATACATCAGTTACACGTGTCATACATCATTCACACGTCATACATCATTTACACGTCATACATGAGTCACACGTGTCATACATCAGTTACACGTGTCATACATCAGTCACACGTGTCATACATCAGTCACACGTGTCATACATCAGTTACACGTGTCATACATCAGTCACACGTGTCATACACCAGTCACACGTGTCATACTTAGGCCACTCGGGTGATTCTTGTTGTCAGGGTTACAGACATGAGAGCAGTTGCCGCATGTTCCACTGTGACAATTACTACAGTCTGAAATATACAAAATGTTACACTTCTATGAATAATGTAAGTATATGCATGACGAACAACGAGGAGAGTTCTATGGATATACAACTTCTTTAATATATTATGAGCGACGTTTCGGTGTAGCTACTAACACGAGGAGAGTTCCATGGATATACAACTTCTTTAACATAATATGAGCGACGTTTCGGTGTAGCTACAAACACGGTAGCTACACCGAAACTTCCCTCATATTAAGTTAAAGAAGTTGTATATCCATAGAACTCTCCTCGTTGTTCATCACACCAACTTCTAAATGCCACGTAAACAAGTTATATGTATGACGCTGTCTTAATCGTAAAACTGAAGTGAAATTTGGAAGAATATTATATTAGTGAAAGTTAAATATAAGAAAGAATGTAACATAGACGTTGCCGCCTGACACTCACTATGAAAACAACAACCGCTGCCCGTATACATGTGGGAACATCCCTCCACGCAGGTGCCGGTCTTAGAGAGACAGTAATCGTGTCCGTCTGGGCAGCGTTCACAGAGCTCCTTGCAGTCACGTCCGGTAGCACCAGGGGCACATTCTGGAGACATGGAATTGATCATGTTTTAGGATCATGTATTAAGTTGGTAAAACGAATGATGAACATTATTTAGATCCTCTGTAAAAGAGACGTTTTGAATCTTAGAATCATCTGCGAATCGATTTTTACCGGCGTGGTTCATATAGATGGGGCAGTGGCCTTGTGACTTCGTTCACGCGTCACGCCGAAGTCCCGGGTTCGATTTCTCACAATTGTGTGAAGCTCCCTTCTGCTGCTCCCAACAGTAATAATGTTGGAATATTACTAGAAGCGGCATTAAACTGTATCCTATTGATTAGTTTTGATATATTTCGAAAGATATGTGCCGATAGGATGTGTGTCGGATAATGCTATATATACTCTCCCAAAAAAGAAACGCATCATGAAATTAGCAATTTCATGTAGCAATGAATTAAAACGTGATTCATTTTACAAAAGGTTTGGCTCTGTTTATGAGTCCTATGGTGTTTATGTTTTCAAACATCACAACAAAACGCGCCATCCGTAAAATACCCGTATTTAACAGCATGATTTTCAATTTCGGCGTGTAGTGTCACAGAATACACAATTCACATGCAATGCACGTGAAAGTTGGGGATCAAATAGTCTCAATGATGGGTATAAAAGGTTGATCGCTGTCTGTCGATTATTCACTGTATTTGGAATATTGTTGACGAACGCAAAATGCCAATCTTGTTGACGAACCGTCAAATTGCCATTGGTTTGCTTGAACCTGGCCAGTCCAACCGTCATGAATCCAAAGCCATTTGGCTCTGGGAGAGATATTTGACAGAATGCTGGCAGATGTCCCTCGTAGTGGGCGACCTCGAGCGACCACTGCGGCGCTACATCCGGGAATCACCTGCGTCATCGAACAGCTACCATTTCAGTACCGCTCGACAAATATCCGGATTGAGGAAGCTTTCTGCACAGACCGTCAGAACAGGTTGGTAGGCTGGTGTACGTGCCAGAAGAGTGGGCGGCCCGAGCGACAACAACATCGTCGACATCGAGTTCAATGGTGCACCAACGTTCAGGCCTGGAACCTACCGAATTGGCGTAGAATCTGGTTCAGTGATGAATCACGATTTCTATTGGAACGACGCGATGGAAGAATGCGGGTGTACAGACGTCGACGTGAACGTTTCACCGACGCTTGCGTTCCCCAGGTGGACAGATTCGGGCAGTGTTATGATGTGGGGAGCGATCACCTGCCTTAGGAGAAGTGATTTGGTGATGATCCAGGGCAACCTGACAGCTCAACGGCACTGTGACGAAATCCTACGCCCACACCTCCTTCCAATCATTGATCGCCAAAGGGAGTTGTTTCAACAGGACAATGCCAGGCCCCACACAGCACGTCACACTAGAGACTTCCTCCAGAACCACAACATCAATGTGACCCCCTTGGCCCTCAAGATCACCGGACTTAAACCCGATCGAACATCTGTTGGATGCCCTGGACAGACGGGGTCGACGCCGTAACCCTCAGCCCAAGACACTTCAGCAACTCGCACAGGCACTACAGGCAGAGTGGGCTGCGATTGGCCAACACGAGATTCTGAGACTTATTCGTTCGATGCCGAGGCGATGCCGTGCAGTTCTGGATGCCCACGGTGGTCACACGAGGTAATGACTTCAGCACCATCACACGTCTCCATGTGACACTCAAACTGACTTTCCTCGAGTTGGTGCCAAAGACGGATAAGTCTGCATTCCCAGTGTGCAGTTTCGCTATATTTCATTGACTCATAAAGCCTACAAGATAGTTTCAAAATAAACATAAAAAAACAGTTGAAATTCCTATATGCGTTTCTTTGGGAGAGTATATTAGCTTGACATAAATATGGGAACGATATGAGAATGTGTTTGGTTTACGGAGGCCCATGCTGGTTCACAAAGGTTAACGAATTTGAGATGGGCACTACTCATAATAGCAAATGTTCTTTCATCTTTTTGTTGATACAGATAAAATCCTTAACACTGCAGTAAACATTTATCGCATTATCCCTATGGGTTCCCATACTTTTTCCTTTCAGTATATATCAGCCACATGCTTATATGCCTCATATATACACAAAGAACTTATTTAAGTACCCCCTGACATATCTCACGATTGACTGAGCCCCGATCTTAACCCTTTGGAGCATATGTTGGACATGATTGGTGGTCGTTTGCAACAAAGGGATCCTTCTGTACAGAACCTGGCCCAATTGGAAGCTACTTTACATGAGGAATGGCGTAGACTGCCCCTTTAGATGATCAGGAGGATGACAGTAGGTATGAGGAGGAGAGTGCTGGCTGTCATACAGTCACATGGAGGTTACACTCGGTATTGACCTTGAATCATGTAAGACACGCAAAATGACATTTTGAATTTTCACATTCACCAATAAATTCAATATTAAACATTCCAGGGCCATACTTGTACAGACATGGTTTTGTATGAAAACCAGTTGGGTCTTTTTGTAATGAGCAATTATCATCATGAAATCAACATGGATTCCAATCATTTTGTCGTTTTTTATGAGCCAAAGAATAATACGGGTCATAAAAGCTCATGTTTTTTAATCGTGGTCACCACGAGAAGTTTTATGTACACGTTGAAAGCCTATCATTGCACAAATGCAGGGGGTGCTTAATTACGTTTTCTGTGTATAGGTGCGACACTACGTCGTCTATTTGTAAGGACCGACCATCATTCCTTTCGAAATGAATGAGAAAATATATTACTAAAAATACAATCGACTTTTTGGTTACTATTCAGCACGGGGTTGCATATTCTGCTTCCCCTCTCCTAAAACCGAACATATACCATGCCATACGTGCAAGTCAAACTGTACTTATCTACACACAAACACACCATGTGTACAGTCCGAGCCCCAGTAGCCCTCCTTGCAGGCACCCTGACACGCCCCACTCTCAGGGTCACACGTCTCCTGGTGACAGTGGCCACACACTTGGACACACCCACGGCCGTAGGTACCCGCCTCACATTCTACAAAACATGACGCAAAGCCCTGACATACGTTCTCTGTGTTCATGCTATGCGTAATTTGAAACATGCAGTTACACATATATAAGCGAGGTTCATACAAACACATGCACAATTCATTGATGTATCCTAGTCTTGGTTCGCCAGTACAAGGATGTGAGCGTATCGATCCTTTTTCTTATAATTTATTTATTATTTTTAGTTGCATGTTATATTTCCTCATGTCATTCAAAGTGCCTTTTTAAATGACATTCATTTTCCTCATTCGTTTACGATTTTAGAACTTTGTTCGGAAATAGGACACCATGAACGTTCATGCTAAAACGCACTCTTCTGACAGTTCAAGCCAGTCCAGCCAGAAGAGCACCCAGTCTTGCAGTGGCCCAAGCTGTCTGCACACGCTTCATACACGTCACCACAATGACAGTATTTCCCGCAACCTTCTCCGAACAATCCATCGGGACAGTCTGCAAACAGTTTTTTCTATTGTCACTGTTCATTTATTTAGTATTTTAACAAACTGTTGAGAAAGTGTTATTCCAAAATATACATACACGATCGCATTGTGACTGTTATGTAATGAGTAATTATTCACGAAGCATAACCACGTCAATTACATTTGGGAAATGGGTAACATTTAATCACGAAGCATAACCACGTCAATTACATTTGGGAAATGGGTAACATTTAAGTAAGTGACTGACGTCCACAAGAAGGTACTCCACGGTTTTGAGTAAACATTGAAGCAAATCGAAAGCATGCCGGAAGTTAAAGCAGACATACATTGAGGGTTGTGTTTATGCATCATGCGAACGACATTTCACTCCAAAATGCTCAAGTATACGGATATATCACCCATTGTCAGTGAAACAGACATGTACGTCTGTGTGATACTATGCTCCCTTGGGGTAAGGTGTAAGGTACCTCTGTAAGATAACAAGACAAAATCATGATGGTCTTTCTTTGGACGTCGTTAGTATATATCATAAGTTGGGATGGTATGAACTTCATCAACTCAGCGTTATATATTGGCAGCTTTGGGTCCACTTACTGCATAGTTTAAGATCGACGCACATAGCGTAATTCTTCCCATTATGTGCAGAGATGAAACACCAGGGCTTCGAAGCGTATTTGTACTTTCCATACCGAGGATTTCTACAGTAGTTTTTCGGGTTGTCTTCGTGAGGGAAACTTTGGTTTGTATACCCTAGTTGACGGACAAAGGGTTCCGACCATTTAAGACACATACGACCACCCTGTTTCTGACCGATGGTGCCGGTGTAGTTGATGCCACGGCTGTCATACATGCAATGGTTGTCTGAAAGGTAAGTAGCTTTAGACAGCCCTGACACACGGGCACGCAAAGAATAGAGGGCATAGCATAATAATATGTAGCATTGAAGTCAAGGAGCGCATATAAAGCCTTCTTACTGGCGTACACACACATACACGTACACACCTACACACACACGTACGTGTACACACACACACACACACACACACACACACACACACACACACACGCATACATACAAAATTTTCATTTAACCCCTAATCCGGCCTTGAGTACAAATAATGATTTATGATAATTCTAGCTTGAATCTCTATGAATTCTAGTTTTACATTGGTCAAATATAGCGCATAGTTAACTGTCTTACCGAGCTGACAACCAAATCCATATTTCCCTCCTTGGCATCCCGACTCGCACCATCCATTCTTTTCGTCACATGACCCGCGACGGCAGTGGCAGCGAAACTTACACTTCCATCCAAAGCTACCACGGGGACAGCCTAACAGAACATTACATTCTTTAGAGAGTGAGACAGAGATTGTTGTTTAACCCTACAGTCAGCACTTTCATAGCTATATCGTGGCAGTCTTTAGAAAAATGGTCATCTGGACCAGACAAGCCAGTGATTGGTCCCGTGACGTCGGAGTAAGATGGTACACAATCCACCAGTCACTGAGCCTGACACCGCGATCTAGTGTTCACGCCTCTTATGACAGACCGAGGCTACATAGGACCATATTTTACCTTTGGAGTGAGTGAGTGAGTATGGTTTTACGTCGCTTTTAGCAACATTCCAGCAATATCACTGCGGGGAACACCAGAAATGGGCTTCACACAGTGTACTTATGTGGGGAATCGAATCCGGGTCCTCGGCGTGACGAGCGAACGCTTTAACCACTAGGCTACCTCACCGCCCCTCTACCTTGGAATCCCATTGGGGTAATGGAATCCCTGTGGGGTAACCCCTTTCCCAGTATTCACAATACATTGAAACTAAAAGAAAATGTGTCAAAACCGGTGATCATCTAAAAATAGTGGTCGGATGTCAAGCGATATCTAAGCGTCAACATATTTTTTCTTCAGTAAGTGAGTATGGTTTTACGCCGCTTTTAGCAATATTCCAGCAATATCACGGCGGGGGACACGAGAAAATGGGCTTCACATATTGTATCCATGTGGGGAATCGAACCCGGGCCTTCGGCGTGACGAGCCAACGCTTTAACCACTAGGCTACCCCACCGCACCTATTTTTTTCAACATACATTGTTTTTTAATAAATGTTTTCGGATGTTATGACGTTCAAACCGCCGGGGCTATAAACGATTTATAGGCTTCTTATATATTGCCAGTATGGGATGACTATATATACATGCATCGTTTATCGTATGCCCATATGTACTGACTGATATTTTCCCTTTACAATCGGTATCCCAGACAAACGCCATGTCACTTTCCGGGACAAACATAATAAATAACCTGAAAATATCTTTCAAAACCTGTGCTTGTACACCACGAACAATATTGAGTCTCTTTTCGTTCCGCTATCAGTTTCTACGTATATATTATCATGTATAGTATGGTTATCCAAATAGCTTTCACTAACATTTAGGTGACAAAGTCATAATGACGCAGTATTTCCGACACACCATTCCGTCCTAAAACTATTCTGTATTACAGACATAAATACAAAAATATCCAATACAGCCCATGCAAGTCTAGAATATGTAGCAAGTTAATATTACCGCAGTTTCACATCTCTGCAGTTTTGTTTATTCTCTGAAAATTAAGCAGGTCACAGGACTCCATTTGACTATATTTCATGAAGATGATTTAGCAACGGTTTTTATGTAACGTTGCCTCATTTTATAGACGAACTGTTAGTGGAGGCAGCGGATGTTAGTACGTGTCGAAGGGATAGTCCTCAGAAAAACATGATATATGAAAATAACATGCTGAAATGAAAGGAATGTCTTTCCAAATGCAAAGTTGGTGTGACGGGGTAGTGACATGCAGGTTGCCATGATATTGTGGCCAGGAAATTGGTTGTAAACAATTCATCACGTATAATAATAAACTTTGTAAACAGCGAGACCATGGATGATTTACAACCTTGCGTCAAATACCGTTATGGTTCTTGTGATCCGTTCGTTGTTCAAATATCATAATGTATTAGCTATGTGTCCCGATAAACAAGGTTATGTTATTACCAATAGCACAGCACTTCATCTAACTAACTACTTAGCAAGGATAATGCGCCAGCTGAGCTTACCTCGTTTTGCATCAGTGAGATGCATGAAGTACAGACTCAACGCCAGTAATGGTAAGGATTTCATTCCGTCTCCTCCTGGTGTAACTCAACGTGTTGAAGAGAAGGAATCATTTCCCTGATATAAACAAGTTTTATCACATTATGTTTAACCTTTCGGTTGCTGTTACGAACCGGTATATGAGGAAGATGCCTATTGTATTTATAGATGTGCGTCTTGCTGGCGAAACTAAACGACTGAAGTGCGGATGTTGAATCTAATGTCCTTGTTGGAATGACCATGTGTTGTTTGAACGTTTTTTAAAAAAGAAACTGACACAATTGCTACAGAAAACAACTCAGCCTTCGTATTATTTGAGGGTACAATGTGTGAAGCCCATTTCTGGTGTCCCCCGCCGTGATGTTGCTGGAATATAGCTAAAAGCGGCGTAAAACCAAACTCAGTCAGTCAGTCAGTCAGTCGTATTATTTGAAAATAAAGTGATACCAAGTGATACCTCACCATACCAGAACAACGACTTTCATACAAGGAAATTGATTGTATCATTAGGGTAGGGTTAGATGTATGAAATAGGGATAGTGTTTAGGCTGGATGTTGGGGTTAAGGCAAGGAGAAGTCTATGGCATTACAATTGTATGGGGCGGTGGGTTAGCCTAGTGGTTAAGGCGCTCGCTCGTCACGCTGAAGGCCCGGGCTCGATTCTCTACATGGGTACAATGTGTGAATCCCATTTCCGATGTTCCCCGCTGTGTTATTGTTTGCTGGAATATTGCTAACAGTGGCGTTAAACTAAACCCACTCACTACAAAATGTAAGAGGGGTGGACAAAAGTCTGGACGTACACGGTAAAGTTCAGTCCCCGAGCTCTTTGTAATCAAAACATATCCGCAACCTGCATGCTTTAAGTGTGACAGAGTGCGCTGTGACATGTTTGTTGTGCCGGAGTATATAGTGTATTAGATATAACAAAATGCTGCATATATTCACTGGTATGAAACAAGGAAGTTAACAACTATAGATCATCAAACTCATTAAAAAGTAATATAACACAGTCTAAAAAAATCAAATAGACTCACCACAAATAATAACTTCGTAGATTTTAAAGCATATCACAAATGAGTGACCAAATTAAATTTGAAGAAGTGGAATGACATAAAAAAACGTAAAAGTTATTGGTCCTTCAAACGAAAAAACGCAACTGAGGAGAATCTCCTTATCAGGGTTGAAACGGTCCAAGGGGTTTAACTGACTGACTGACTGAGTTTAGTTTTACGCCGCTTTTAGCAATAGTCCAGCAATATCACGGCGGGGGACACCAGAAATGGGCTTCATACATTGTGCCTATGTGGGGAATCGAACCCGGGTCTTCGGCGTGACGAGCCAACGCTTGAACCACTAGGCTACCCCACCGCCCCTCCAAGGGGTTTAATACACCGCGCAGTTTGAACCACTAGTGGTTTGTGGGTCCAGCACCTGATGTGACAGATACAAATCCACGTGGTGATTAGCAAGACAATATAGGAGATTCAGAGAGACGTCTCACATATGACAACAAATTAGTGAACTGTATGCACATACGCTGGACTGAGTGAACCCTGTGCTTGAGGGCTCGAATCCCAGTCTTCCCCCGAAATATGCTAATAAGTCGTATTGTATTTGAGAAACATGCGATCTCTCCATTGTGAATATTTGTCGTTTAGTTCACTAACCTGAATTGCCATCACAGGTAGACACGATTAATGATGATATCAATTACTGAGTCTTTTAACAAGGAAATGCTTAACATACAAATAAGGAATGTAAAATGTGAATATGTATTGCTGGTCTGATAAGGTCATGAGCAACCTTTGCTGGACGCAAGCGGCAACTCGAGTGTTCATTCTCGGTAATTTGGTCGTTTCGTAGACATGATACGACAGGGGTGTGAATAGTTGACAGTATCAATCACTGGCTTGTCTGGCCCAGGCAAGCGACCCGTCATCGAGTGAGTGAGTGAGTTTAGTTTTACTCCGCGCGTAGCAATATTCCAGCTATATGGCAGCGGTCTGTAAATATTCGAGTCTGGACCAGACAATCCAGGGATCAACAGCATGAGCATCGATCTATGCATTTAGGATACGATGACATGTGTCAACCAAGTCAGCGAGCCTGACCACCCGCTCCCGTTAGTCGCCTCTTACGACAAGCAGGGGTTACTGAAGATCAATTCTAACCCGGACCTTCACGGGTCTAGTAGTAGTAGTAGTAGTAGTAGTAGTAGTAGTAGTAGTAGTAGTAGTAGTAGTAGTAGTAGTAGTTGTTGTTGTTGTTGTAGTAGTAGTAAATGTGGTGTTTGTGAAGTCAACATATGTACGTTATAAGCAGGAAACATGTATATAATCATAATCAATCTTTTAGGTTTATGAGGAAGCGAATAGTCACAGCTGGATCTACCACGCCTCCTAGTTGTACAATAACATCAAGGATCGGTCTCTAATACTTATTGGCTATATTCTCTTAAAGCTTCTGGATGGTAGGAATTAACAATGACAAATCAGCGTATACATTCTTTAAAAAATATTTATTCAGCTCTGAGGGGTCATGTTGTATGGGCACATTCAGGAATGTGTTGTTCAGGCAGTGCGGCACGTGTATACTGCTGTGGGCACTCCGGTATACACAACGTAACATATTTGTAAATGCAGCTTGGCAGGGAGAGCAATAGCATGTCTAGTGATATAACCAACAACATCCAACAATGAGGAAGATGCCATTCCTTACAATGATGTGCGAGTACAAACGTGTGAGAATGGCCAGACAGATATGTATCTGCTTGTAATGCATAACTGACAACGGATATTCAAAATAGTCAATACAAATTGATAAAATAAAGTATTCAAAATATGTATGCCGTACACATTGTATTATTCACGACCTGGACCCATTTCAAATGAGTGAGTGAGTCTGTATGGTTTTACACCGCTTTTAGCAATATTGAAGCAATATCAGACCAGAAATGGAATTGAACCCATGTGGGAAATCGAATCCGGATCTTCGGCTTTAACCACTAGGCTACTCCACCGCTCTCATTTCAAATGAAGGTGTAGACGTTGATATTGAAATCGGGATGTTATGTTTGTGTGATGCGGTAATCGTTAACAGCAAATTTAATTTACTCCCTACTGGAGTCACAGAATGTTTGTTTCAAACTTCTTCCATAAAACTAACTAAGACCGCAAAGTAAGGCCTGGGCTGGCCCCCATTTCATTACCATGTCTCTGTGTACAACGACATGAATGACACAAAACCCTAGGGGAATTGTAAGCATGCTAAACATAACGTGCACAATAATACTGTTGCAATTGTGAACTCGTACATCAGATTCACTTGAGATAAGTACAAAACATATTGGTATCACAAACAGTTCACTATATTGAAGACACCGGGTGTCCGTCAAATGGATCTGCGTCTTCTACTGCACTTGCTGCAGCCTCATATACATATTAATAGTATATAGCCCTCGGGCGATCGAAAAGTTGGTCGGAAGATTCATAAAGAGAAAAGGATACAAGTCATATAACAAGTCAGGCAGACATGTTTGTAAATGAGAATGTAAAAACGGTAACAGCAAGACTAATGTAACAAACCTTTCACAGTAACCGCGAACATTGCAGGATATTCCGATAATGGTGGAAGAACACATCTGTCATGTACTTGTATATTTCCCCATCTTACGATCAGGATTTGTAAATGAAAAATCCGTAAAGGAATAAGTCTTACCTAATTCTGTAACAGGTTGGGAAATAGGAAAGGAGACGGATAAAAAGTCAACGTAAGTGTGTAATGAAAATATATAACAAAGAGCCTATAACATGTATCAGTGGTTAAGAGTCACTGTGGGGCTGGAGTATAGCCATTGTCACGTAAACATGAACGCTATCAAACAATGTTTACAAGTGAACGCATTAAACATGTCAGTGTGTCTGGGCGCCACATGGAAGACAGCGGGTATCAACACTCGAAGGACTAATGAACTAATACCTCCTGATACGTCGAAACAATAAACTGAATTTCAGAAACCCAGAATTTCAGTTAGGACCCCAATCGACCTTCCCCATTTACACATCGCTATGTCATCACTTTCACTTCCTCGAATTATTTCTTTATAGCCGGATATGACTATGTGAAATACGATCACAGAACATGACCCTTCGTGGTGAGAGACTTTAAGTTATACATGATAAAATAATCTGTCATTAGCCGAACAGATATTATTATGCGTACAAAGACTAAAACAACTTGTGAAAACTATTTCAGTATCACTTAAAATCAGTAACAACACCCGGTGTTTGCTAAAAGGGTAAGCGTGTCCAGCTACACCGAAAGGAACAGTCATTCACACAATTTGTATAAAGAAGTAAGTGTCTGTTTGATGGACCCAGGTCTATGTGATTCCATCAGGAGGATCTCTCGTTGTGATTCACATCATCTGTCAAGTGCTGTACATCAGCCTGACCCTCGGGGTCCTCTCTCTTGTCAACAGATCTGTTATAAAGACAACATTTTATATATACATACAAAACAGACCGGAATGAAACCTGTTCTCCCGTGTTATACTGACTACTTCGATACCGGCAGAGAACACTGATGTATGGCAATATAAGCATATTTAATTTAAATGTATCCAAAAAGAAATACTATGAAGCATGTAGATGCATTTCATTTACAAATAATAGCCAGCCTAAATTCTATGCTTTTTGGTAATCTTTTCACACTTTGCTTACTGATGTACAAATAATTAAAGTATAAGCTAAATAGTTGAATTGTAGACATCAGAATACCTGTAATGAGAATATATAGAATACTAGTACCTTGCAAGCTATTGTATTGTTCAATATGAACATGTATGACATAATGTATATGAACATCTGGGAAATAAAAAGATAAAAAAAATAAAAACATTACTGGTGGCTCGTGCCTTTTGATAAACACAAGAGGTTAACGAAAAGAGATTTATATATTTCTGCCTAGTGCCATTGTACAAATGGAGATCATTCAACAGCCATTTCAAAATGTAACAACTTTGGCACAACTTTCGCAATGGAGGGCAAACCAGCGACACACATGTTGGAGATGCATTAAAACGAAGGACACAATTTGAACTCTTTGGGATGAATCAATTAATTTTCCAGCTGCACAGGTGATGGCATTATTTATCTTAACGTCCTGTTTACACATGGGGTAATGAATTACCCATTCTACGATCTAAGGTGACAAACCCCCAAATGTATATTCTTTATTACAACCCCACCAATTTATCAAACATGGAATTAAACACTGGGAGATTTTTTCCTGTTTGAAGGTTCTTTCGATTAAAAACTCCAAATATACGTATAAAACTGATAAAACTGGAAGGATTGGAAAGAAATAATAATATTCACCTCAGAATCCAAAAAAGAGAACAATAACTGTTTATTTCCTTCACAAGATAGTATGGTTTTGAAAATATATTCAACCAAGTAATTGTATATGAACATGTGGACGACGAAGTCACTCACACAGACAGCAACGTGACGTCTTCCTCGGGTGTGGTCATCCCGGACTGTCTTCCGTACATATAGCGTCTGTCTGGTCGTGCACACTCGACGGTGGATCCATATAACGCTGGAGGGACAGATGTTGTGGATTAACTAGTGAGTGAGTTGGATTTTACGCCGCTTTTAGCAATATTCCTGCAATATCATGGCGAGGGACACCAAAAATGGGATTCACATATTGTACCCATGTGGGGAATCGAACCCTAGCCTTCGGCGTGACGAGCGAACACTTTAACCACTAGGCTACCTCACCGATAGGCATGACAGAATTGATATTGGCCAGTACCTCCAGTACACCATTGGTGTCTGTTTACTTGGAAACAAGTCAAATTTGTTTGTTAGTTTGTTGTTTAATGCTGTAATCAGCATATTCCAGACACATGGATGCAGTCTGTAAATAATTGAGTTTGGACCAGACATTCCAGTGATTGATATCATGAGCAACTGGGATACAATCAAATCATTGAACCTGATCAGCCAATTCCGTCAGTCGGCTCTTACAGTTAGCATGGGTTGGGACGCGGGATTTAGAAGCCTACCACTAAAATACCTATTCTAATTTTGATTATCACGCTCTGTGACCTGTAATGCATATATAACCTATGTTACAACCTGCTGTATCTTCGACTTCGGAGGAAATAAAGATTATCTATCTATCTATCTATCTATCTATCTATCTATCTATCTATCTATCTATCTATCTATCTATCGATTACATAACCGTAGGCTAACGCCCACAAGCCAGGTGGGACGACCGACTAGATCTCAGTGTTCCCAGTATGAACACAGGTGGGATACGAGGTCATGCGATGCACACCAGGCACATGTCCATGCAGGACAATGAGTTAGGTAAGGGAGGACAACATTTATCGATGAGGTGAATCTCTGGTTCCTTAACACGGACTTACTCTCACTTGACATCGCTTTGGACGCTGACCACCAGTGCCACAAAAGAACCAAACATAATCCCTTTGGATCTATATGTGCCAAGAGGCTTCTGTTTTATACAACATTTCATCTATATCATGGTTTAGATAAAGGATATTTGGCCTTCATATGGAGTAATTACGTGGGCGATCGAACCCATGTCTTCGACGTGATACTATTCCACTGTCAATTCTCACTTACCAGAAGACTGCGATCAGGAGACCCACCAATATCAAGACAGACCCGACTATGAGCGGTATCAGCAATTTTGTTGATGCGTCAACAGCCTGGACTTTAAGAGTCCTGATGCATTCGCCAGTCACGTGATGACACCAGGTGTATGAAGGGCAGGGGTCACAGACATGCGTACACTGACGTCCGTATCTCCCTGGAGGACATGCTGCAATGGAACGATATGTCATGTTATGCACCTGTTGAGTGTGATGACGTCAACAGTTAGGCCAGATCGCAGACGTGTAGGGTTCATTATGAATGAGAGCGTACCATTTCGCCGATTTTAGCAACATTAGACCAATAACAGGATGGGGGACATTAGATATGGGCTTCACACACAGAAACCATGTGGGGAATCGAACCCGGGTCTCCAGGGTAGCCAGGATATTCTACAAGCCACATCAGCTGAACAAAATATGGCACAAAATATACATACTGAAGATCCTGAGAATACCTGTATACTCCAACAGCATAAGGTATTTTTCCAAGCAAGGGTCACATCATACCAGATTTTGAAATTGTTGCAGGCACTTATGCTTTCACGTAATATTAAACTGGTTTTCTGTCAAAGGTGAGGAAACGAAATCCCCAACTTACTCTGTATACACTTATCTCCCATGTAGCCCTCTGCGCATCCCCGGAAGCAGCTGCCAGTCTTCTGATGACAAGGCTCCTCGTGAGAACAATTCCCACACCTCTGGCTGCAGTTCCGTCCATACCAGTTACGTGTACACTCTAGAAGAAACAGAATACCGTTTTGTTTGTTTCTTGTTGAGCCCTGCACTCAGCAATAGTCCAGCTATCTAGCGGCCTGTAAACAAATGCTTAGTGCTCAACAACATAAGCATCGATCTACGCAACTTGGATACGATGATATCCAGTTACGTCAATATAAACCCGGACCTTCACGGATTAACAAGCACCATTTACACGACATAAGCTGAATGGGGTTATTCTGAGTAAATTATTTGGAAATTGGTTGATCGGCAACATTTATATATGCTGTGTCAACTACAATAAACAATGGCTTCATCGAGATGTTAAACTGCTTCTCTCTGTGTTGCAAAACGAATATATTTATTTTACGTTTTCCTTGACGTATACACAGCAGACGTAATTCAGCTTTAAACATAACGATTATACTCATCAATAAAATCCGTAAATGCTCTATCGTTTCACTGGTTTTATGATTAATCGATCACTTGATTATCAGGTTTGGTTACATGTCACAGTTGTATGGCAGAAGTTCTGTGCGGCGTCAGGCAATGAAAACCTACCTGTCTGTGTGGCAGTTTAGTTTACCTTTGTCGTGAACACCTGGTGTCTTCAATGACTTTCAGTGGTCCATTCCTATAACTTTCACTACTGCTTTGCCCTTTGGGTTATATGGTATCTTCCTGTAGTATTTTATTGGTTATTGTATTGTTATTATATATATCTTGGAATTTTGTGTGTGACATGTGACAATTGTGACGTCACATCTCCTTGTGGTTACCATTGCGACGAGCCAGGTGCAAATGAAAGTACAGGTGTTACAAGGTTATAACTAGTAGATAACCTTTAATTTGCTTGACTTTGTCATAAATATCACTCATCATAAAATGGAATTGTTTTGACTGGTATAAATGAATAAATAAATGAATAAATACTTAGACTATTCATTTTTAGTGTAAATTGTAATGGGTGAAACTAGCGAGTATTTGTACATACAATGTTAACACTTATTACTCCCTGCTCGCTGTTTATTCACTATTTTCACAAAAACGAAAACAAAGCCTCAATTACAATATTCCCACAGCATTAAAAGACATATAACAATATCATTCCGATTTTTGTATGCTCGGAATATTTTGTCTTAATTTCTATTCTAAAATTTTACACATGAAAGAGTTACAACAGAAAGGATGAATGTATTACTCTCAGGTATAACTTACCTTGAAGACATTTCTGTCCCTGGTAGCCCTCCGTACAACCCCCAGGGCATTCCCCAGTCACGTGGTCGCACGAGCGTCCATAGCAGTGTCCACAGGTTTCTGTGCACCCAACGCCGTACTTTCCACTGACGCATTCTTCAAACACAAACATATCAATGGTAAATTATTTATACATCGGGACATGGGTCATTTGGGCTCCATCGAATCATTGTGGATGTCATGAAGGTGCAATTTTGCATGAAAAACGAAAACAGCATAACCATAATCATATAACACCAAGGTTAGGGAATAACCAGTTTTATCTGACGAACAGATCCCCATGGGCGCAAAATTCAAAGAGTTTATTTGGAAAATAAAAGTATATCGACTGATCGGTAAAATCAGTGATGACACTAGGTGTTAGGGGAGCCTGTATATGTATGCATGTAGTGCTGTAGCAGTAGCACCGTGTCTCACACAATTAGTACGAGTCCATTGTAGCCTACATTTAAACAACATCATAAACGTGTATACTAAATCACGTATGAAGCGTATGAACTGAAAATGTTAACAATTCTGATATAGTTTGTTATGAAAAGCTTAAAATTATTGGCTCCCTTATTTGAAAACAATGGCCAGTGAAAACGTAACTTTGGACCATGAGTCAGTTAGAGTGAGCCGAACGGGAGGACTAAACCTCAGCTGCATTGAACCTGTAACACACGGAAATAGTTCATTCGAGTACGTGTTACGGTTAAACGTTAATGGTTGTGTACTGTGTTCTATGTAGTGCATGAGCTTGGCCGTAGAATGACTGACCTGCTTGACAGTCCATCCCTGTCCAGCCAGCGGCACACCCTGACGCGCATAAACCCGTGACCTTGTCACAACCGCTCTGGGTATCCTTACAGTGACAGAACGATTCACACGCCTGGCCGAACAGGCCCACTGGACACTCTAGAAAGATAAACAAAGTTTGTCAATTATTACTTTATGGATGGTTGGTTTGTTGTTTAACGCCACACTCAGCAATATTCCAGCTATATGGCGGCGGTCTGTAAATAATCGAGTCTGGACCAGACAATCCAGTGATCAACATCATCAGCATCGATCTGCGCAATTGGGATACGATGACATGTGTCAACCAAGTCAGCACACCTGACCATCCGATACCGTTAGTCGACAAGCATGGGTTGCTGAAGACCAATACTAACACGGATATTCTCGGGTTAACTTAAATGAATGTACCCGCAACATTTAAATTCATTTTAACAATCACTCCAGCAATCATGTCTTACCACATGCGACGATGAGATCACAGACAGCAAAGGATCTGGCAGCACCGTTTGCTATGTAGCACCAGGGCTGGGCTGCATAGTTTCCGTGTGGAGTCCTTGGGTTCCTGCAGTAGTTGTGGGGCTCATCGCCAACAGGGAACTCCTCTCTAGTGTAGCCTTGCTGTAGGACATCGGACCACGGCAAACATGTTCTTCCTCTGCTCGCAGAGTTGACGTCTCCGGTGTAGTTAACTCCATACCGGTCATACATACACGTAGAATCTATGGATAAATGATCAGTGAGTTTAGTTGTACGCATGTTTTAGCAATCTTCCAGCAATATCACGGCAGGGGAACACAAGAAATGGGCTTCACATATTGTACCCATGTATGGAATCGAACCCGGGCCTTCGGCGTGACGAGCGAACGCTTTAACCACAAGGCTACCCCATTGCCCCTGGTTCATGCAGATGTGGTGGTTGTCAATATATTCAGGTGGTATTTAGAAGATGTAGGGTTAAAGTGAAAAATGGGTTGACCATTTACTATTGGGTGGTTTGGACTAGTGGTTTGGTCAGTGAGTGAATGTGGTTTAACGCCGCTTGTAGCAATATCACGACACAGGGGCACCGTTGGATGTACATAACGTGAGAATAGATGTATTGGTAGCGTTATAGAGAGAAAAGGGGTTGTTATTCCGCTAAAACATTTTGCATTTTATTTAGGACTCGTCTTGCAGGACATGCAGGTCCTACTAAGTAAACTCGTTTTGTTGATTTTTCAGACCAAACTGAAACATTCAGCGTTATCTGGAACAAATCATTATTGTTTCCCACTATTGGCCACTATGTCATGTTAATCAAATTTGGATGTCTTTTATAGGCATTTAACAGTTTGTTCTTCAAAGAAACGCAATATTTATAATCAGGATGATGCTATAGAAGATATTTACAATATATGACCCCGTTGGACGGCCCAGGGAATGGGCGAGTGAGTGAGTTTTACGCCGCTTTTTGCAATCGTCCAGCAATATCAGAAATAGCTTCACTCGTTATACCCATTACATATATGAGGAATCGAACCAGGACATACGGCGTGACAAGCGAACACTATAACCACTTGGCAACACCACCGTCCCAAACACTTAAATCTAATGCTCAATACAGTGTTAAATGTCATAGCAATTATTTCGAATTTTGGATGTTTTCTCCAATCTTTCTGCGAATTAACAATGAAAAATGCGAGCTGCAAGTGAGTAGCACATACAAATTATATATTACCACTGATAATAATTTCGAGACAAAAATGTTTGATGTTTTATGAAACAACTGGTGTATTTCAGCTGACTATATCACCATGTTGTCATCAGTTACTTGTCGACCTGTGACAGTTTCTATGTAATACACAGTTACCTAGCTGACAACCGACTCCATATCGGCCTGCACGGCAGCCGGCCTCACAGTAGCCTGTGGTTGCATCACAGGATCCACGGCGACAGGCACAGGAAAACTGGCATTGCCAGCCAAACGTTCCAGGTTTTACAATCTGAAACGGATTGCACGAAAAGCCACTTCAACCATTTGAATATTCATATTGAGTTGATGTACATCATATGTTTTATAAATGTGAATGCATTTGGCATATGGCGAGTGGAGGTGTAATGAACGCCAATGCGTTCACCAAATGCCGCAGTTAAGGGTCATGCAAGTCTCGTGCATGACAATACATTTACCACATACCCCAGGTGTAAGTCTCGTGCATGACAATACATTTACCACATTACATCAGGTGTAGATCGAAGCGACAAAACCCTTTCTTCATTCTTGCAAACTCTCTACTAACAGCATTGTCGATTGCACAATTGTGACTTTATCATGAGCATATATTTGTTTCAGTGGTTTTACAGCTGTACGATGTTGTTTGTAAACAAATTGAGTCTCAATACGTTTACCATATTCCACCAGGAGTAATCCTCGTGCATGTCAACACATTTACCACATTCCACCAGGTGTAAGTCTCGTGCATGTCAATACATTTACCATATTCACCCAGGTGTAAGCCTTGTGCATGTCAATACATTTACCATATTCACCCAGGTGTAAGCCTTGTGCATGTCAATACATTTACCATATTCCCCAGGTGTAAACCTCGTGCATGTCAACACATTTACCACATTCCATCAGGTGTAAGTCTCGTGCATGTCAATACATTTACCACATTCCACCAGGTGTAAGTCTCGTGCATGTGTCAGGTGTAAGTCTCGTGCATGTCAACACATTTACCATATTCCACCAGGTGTAAGTCTCGTGCATGTCAAACGTTTACCATATTCCCCAGGTGTAAATATGTCAACCATTTACCACATTCCATCAGGTGTAAGTCTCGTGCATGTGTAAGTCTCGTGCATGTCAATACATTTACCATATTCCCCAGTAAACCTCGTGTATTTAACATTCCATCAGGTGTAAGTCTCGTGCATGTCAACACATTTACCATATTCAGGTGTAAATGTCAATACGTTTACATTTACACACATTCCATCAGGTGTAAATCTCGTGCATGTCAATACATTTACCATATTCCATCAGGTGTAAGTCTCGTGCATGTCAACACATTTACCACATTCCACCAGGTGTAAGTCTCGTGCATGTCAACACATTTACCACATTCCATCAGGTGTAAGTCTCGTGCATGTCAATACGTTTACCATATTCACCCAGGTGTAAGCCTTGTGCATGTCAACACATTGACCATATTCCCCCAGGTGTAAACCTCGTGCATGTCAACACATTTACCACATTCCATCAGGTGTAAGTCCCGTGCATGTCAATACATTTACCACATTCCATCAGGTGTAAGTCTCGTGCATGTCAGCACCTGTACCATATTTTCCTATATGTAAGTCTCGTGCATGTTAAAACCTGTACCATATTTTCCCAGGTGTAAGTCTCGTGCATGTCAGCACCTGTACCATATTTTCCCAGGTGTAAGTTTCGTGCATGTCAACACCTGTACCATAGTTTCCCAGATGTAAGTCTGGTACATGTCAACACCTGTACCATAGTTTCCTATATGTAAGTCTCGTGCATGTCAACATATTTACCATATTCCACCAAATGTAAGTCTAATTGTTGTCAACACATTTACCAAATTCACCCAGATGTAAGTCTCGTGCATGTCAACACCTGTACCATATTTTCCCAGATGTAAGTCTCGTGCATGTCAACACCTGTACCATAGTTTCCTATATGTAAGTCTCGTGCATGTCAACATATTTACCATATTTTCCCAGATGTAAGTTTAACTGATGTCAACACATTCACCACGTTCTCCCCACCCACAGGAGTAGGTCTCGTGCATTACTGCACACTAAACGTCTTACATATCATGGATGTTTCATACACTTCCCCACCCACGCCATTCCCCACCCCGTTCCCTCCAAACCACCCCAGCCAGAAACTATAATCCATGTCAAGATTCACCATATCCCTCAGGTAAGTCTCACTCCTTGCAGTACATTTAGCTCCGCCTAGCCTCGTGGGTGTCAATGCATTTCCTGCCTACATGCACCTATCATGCACTAACCACTTTCCAACATATCATTCATGACGTATAGTTACGACCACCTCACGTGGTAGTCTCGAGCAGCATCTGCATTCCGATGTAATGTATATCTATAGTACCTCGAGAAACTACATCGATTCCTTAACAGATCATATATGGCTAGAATCAATGGAAGCAGCTGCATTTTGCCTGGTGTCGGTAAACAGTCCACGGAGCATGTGGCCCCAGTCGGAATGTATGTCAGACATGTACTGTGTGTCACGGATGGTTACCGCCCCAGCCACGGCACGGCTATATCCGCCTTTATATCAGGAAGTAATGTAACGTGAACAAAGACGCTGACAGTCGGGGTCAGGTGTGTATATAAACAAGTATAAGATCATATTATACACACCAGCCAAATATTCACAAGTATGTTTGACTGTTTTAAGGGACCTGACAATGCAAAAGAACGCAACGTGTTAGGACATCTTATCATAGAAATGATGTATCACTAAACGGTGCGGATATTGGGACAGGTGTGTGCTTAGTACGTATCAATATCACAATATCATTATTGAGTTCAGTGATTCTCTCACCACCCCGACCCCACCTCTGACTCTCCCTCCCTCTTTCTCTATATCCCTCTCTCTCACACACACGCACTCATATACTTACACTCACAAACACACATGTGCGCTCACTCTCACTCTCTCTCACACGTGCACACACACGCATACGTACACATACACACGCACCCTCCCCTATCCGCTCACCCCACTCTCCCGCGCACATTCAAATGTATTTCCATGTATGTTTAATCACCCCAGTAATTGTCCTACCTGCTTCACTCTCCGTCCCGATGTACTCCACGCAGGTCAACACAAGGATCACATACACCCAGCGTATGGACCAATCCATGGTCACATGGCTGGACATTCAACACCCGAAACAGCAGTTACACCACATTTCCAAATCTTGAGATCTGTCTGATGAGTAACCAGCCATGAGCTTCATGTCCGCTGCCTGTCTACTCGATGACACATGTCGTGATGTAAGCTAGCGAAGCATAACGCGCCTCTGCGCCTTTAGTCAACAGGTGTGCACAATCACCTGGAGAAGGCAGCGGCCAGAGCAGGCGTGAATACCGCCAGGATAAACGTATTCACAAAATCGCTGGAAGCCTAGATCGTTTATTTCAAAGTGTATTAGTCATGATATCACGCTAATGGCAGAGTGTAGACAGGGGGAGATAGTATCAGTATATGTTTTATGTCTGTCCCACAAGGGTTGTGATATTGTCCGTTATGGAATTGATTGATGTCAGTCTCAACTGAGTTGAGTTGAGGAATGTTCCCAGTGCCCCGGAAGGAAACTACTATACACATGTACAAAGAATAGTGTATTGTTCGTAGTGTTCGTGACTGTAGTTATTTACGAGTTTTCCTGTAATTGTTCTTTTGAATTCTCTCTGGCAGGCTAATAATTAACGAAGCCTAAGATTGGTTGAGTGTATATAGCTTTTAGATTACAGAAAATACTTGTGTGGATTGTGTTACCAGCCTATAACCTGCACATGGTGTGATCACATCCAATAATATATGAGCTATAGGTCTTCCTCATGTGTGTGTATTAACAAATAGTGCTCGAGATCTTTAACTTGTATCTGAACGCAAAACGTCCATTTTTTCACTTAATGTATTCAATACACATAAACCACTTACATATACATGCAAGTACATATGCTAGTCTCGCAATTCCTGCCAAGATATTTAAACGAGTTACGTCCCTTAGCTTACAAGAAGCCGGTTCGAATCCAAGATTCTTCATTTTAACGTGTTTTATCTGTTCCGCACCATATCTATACATTAAAGTGGTACACACCGAACACCTGTATCACTTCAGGCTCCCATATCGGGCTGACGCACCACGATATGACAGAAGTACTGCTTTAACTGAAACCGACTGCAATGCACAATGCTGTCTAAGGGGCGCAACTCTACACAGTGAGAAGCCGCGAGTCCCTCCAACGGTCTGCCATGCTGTCTAAGGGGCGCAACTCTACACAGTGAGAAGATCCCTGTCTCATGCTCTGAGCTTGAACAATAAAATCGAGTAAAGTAACTGTTTAAAGCTTATAATTTTGTTTAATATTGATTGTCATCTCTTTACAATAAAATTTATTTGGTTTGTAGGTATGTTGGTTGGCTCTCTTGTTGGTTGGTTGGCTGGTAGGTCTGTTGGTTGGCCCTCTTGCTGGTTGGTTGGCTGGTAGGTCTGTTGGTTGGCTCTCTTGCTGGTTGGTTGGCTGGTAGGTCTGTTGGTTGGCTCTCTTGCTGGTTGGTTGGCTGGTAGGTCTGTTGGTTGGTCCTCTTGCTGGTTGGTTGGCTGGTAGGTCTGTTGGTTGGCCCTCTTGCTGGTTGGTTGGCTGGTAGGTCTGTTGGTTGGTCCTCTTGCTGGTTGGTTGGCTGGTAGGTCTGTTGGTTGGCTCTCTTGCTGGTTGGTTGGCTGGTAGGTCTGTTGGTTGGTCCTCTTGCTGGTTGGTTGGCTGGTAGGTCTGTTGGTTGGCTCTCTTGCTGGTTGGTTGGCTGGTAGGTCTGTTGGTTGGCCCTCTTGCTGGTTGGTTGGCTGGTTGGTCGGTTGCACGATGTGTCCACGTGGACTGATACACGTCCTGATTCTGGGAACATATCGCCTTCCATCGGGACATCAACTGGTCATGTGCGTGTTTTCATACAACGGTCTCAGTAAAGCTTTGTTCGTACACAACCGTGTTACACCACACACAGATTTCTCGAGGAAAGGCTTTATGAGAGATATTGTACAACTCGTTCTACTTTAACTAGTCTAATGTTACGCACGAATGTCATTGTCAACATAAGCCCAAGCTTTCTGTTTCCCTGTGTGCGTCATGTCGATGGCGACATACACTGGGCTATGGCTGTGCTTCCGCTATTACCGGTTGATTCAATACGTTGTTACGTCATACCGTTATTTAAATCCCCGGAAAACCTCTACACACAACTGTAGTGTGTTTTAAAGGTTAGTCAACAATGACCACATCAGGAAGTAGGGTAAAGTTCTGCTGGATGACTCACGGTCCTCTCAGTCCTTTCATCGGCAAGACTTGAATGACATAACATCCTACGTTAAAGTTCGGTAGTCACACTTCCGCCGTCGAGGTCGGTGATAGCAAGGTGCAGATAGTGTACACTGTGTAGATAGATAGTAAGGTCTAACAGCGATCTAACCATGGTAGATCTAATGTTGCTCTACAGCAAGATCGAATGGAGATATGGTGATAACACAATTTAATGTTCCCATGCAGATAGCACAGTCTAACAGGGAGGTCTAATGGAAATCTACTGAAACATTTACAAGTATCACTTTTGTGATCTTAATTAGATTCCACAACGAAAAATACCTTTCGATGTGTTTGTTTAAATCCGCAGTGTAGCTATATGAAGGCTGTCTCTAAATAATCTATTATGGACCAGACAAACCCGTGATTGATATAATAGGCATCGATTTTCGCTGTCGGTCGTTTATTAACGCCTCGTTTGTGTACAACGAAATCTGTAATACATTTATTACGACTTGTATCCATGTGGGGAATCTAACCTGGATCTCCTGCGTGACAAGCTAACGCTTTAACCACTAGGCTAAACCACCGCCCCATATCGGATATGAAACATCATAAATCAGAAATGCACCGAACCTGCACAATACAATTGTCCCAAAAAACAAAACATGTTTTTGTTTCCAAAAATAATCAGTATGATGCTACTAAAATAGTATCATGTATTGTTGTTGCAGTTGATTGTTAGAACGGAAGTTTGCCATTCTGCATTTTAACACGTCCAACTGACTCAACTGTATGTCATTATACAAAGTATATGTTTGACTATAACTTGGTCTAAGTCTCCCGAAATCACCAAAATCTGTTAACAGGTTCTTATGATTTTCTTATGCAAAATCAACATGGAATTTAAAGTATAGCATGGTATGGTCCTGTACAAATAGTGACAGTCACTATAGCTGCATTCCCATGTACAATTCATAACAAACAGCTTTAATAGGTTCATATTTGAAACTTGCCCCATAAGACTAAGGCTTAGTCTCTGAATATATATAATTTTAATAGTAACAAACAAGCCCATTTAAATTGAAAAGGAGCCCTAGGGAGACCAGAGATCCTGAACCTGGGGAAATCTAGACTTGCTTTATTTAGGGCTTTAGCACTACAGGGAAGGCTAGGCTGTAGGGAAAATAATGTGGTTCAGGGACTGTGAGACAGACTAGCTGTAAGGACGTGAACTCACTACTGATGACACAATTAATACTTTATTCACAAGAAAATACAAACATTTCTCAGCCATGTCAGGACATGGCTAACACTGAGACCTCGTTAATACAATACCATTCAAAGAGCCATCGTTCGGATTTATAAATGTCCGGATTAAAGAGTGTCTGGTGTGATGGTTCTTGGTTGTACACGTTCCTGTCAAAGGTGTCTGGAAATTACGTGTCCACATTAGCGGGTCCGGATTGATGAGGTTATATATACTAAACGAATAAGGGAACACATGAAAGTACATTTGTTCCTTTATTCTTTTCCAGAATTTCACCCACAGTGCAATACAAAGCTTGTGAAGAAAAGAAGATAGGAACACTTGTACTTTCAGGTGTTCCCTTATATATTTAAGGGAGACTACGATCAAGCCATTTGTCAGTCGTACAACACCTATGAACTCGTTCCTGTTATTACACATCAAACACATACGAAATATAAATCCTAGATTTGTCCCATAGGACAGAGTTTGTGTATATTTTCATAAAAGAAGAGAATAAACAAAATAATGTCATGTCAAACAAAAACATCACAAAATTAGTTTCACTTTCATTACGACCTACACAAGCCTTTTGGTTACCAAGGAAACCGAAAGCCATGAAACACAGAATGTGTAATGCGTGTGAGTATCTTTGCATAAAAGCATATTACAAGTCAGAAAAAAGGGGGAATACACTTTTGTACCTGTACATAATTTACAGGTATGAAATCTGAGACAAATGGACTATTTGTTAGTAAACATCGCCAAACGTCTGAATAATTGACCTTCCTCGTTATCACATCCACGTACTTTATCATAATGAGACTTGTCTCAAACGTGACTCGTTAAATAATGAATGAGGCAAAATAGCTCGTCTTCGGAACCAAAAATACAAATAGAAATGAACCACTGTTTTATATGTAATATTACCATCTGAATCCAAAATGGTCAAAAAATGTATCGATAATATGTGTTTCTCCTCTGTACTTTAGCTCAGCAAACAATGAATCAGGCCTGGCCTAAAAATGCGATACTGTCTTTGCATTGATGTATTCATGTGTCATTAAACATGGAGGTGGTGGTGGTGGTAGCGATATAAGTGGTTCCTTTCTGGTGGCAGAGAGATGACCAATGGTCTTGTCGTGTATTCCCGACCGTCTCAGTGACTGACTCCTCATCTTCTGGCCGCTGGTTATATAGCTGTCACATGGGCGCCGATGGAGCAGGGGTGGCAGCGTCACGTACTCCCCCTCCATCGTGTGTGACCTTGGTAGTTTTTCAGAGCTCATGGAAACGTAGGTGGCTCCTGTAATATGCATATGGCGCGGGAATGACTGGCAACGCTTCCTTGGCAAATATGGTGCATCCTTTACATCTTCAGAATCTTCAGACTGTGCATGCCACCATGCCCCGGCGAAGGACGCCAGATCTTCAAAGGATTCGCTCGCTATCGTCAGCGCAATTGCCTCATCCATGGATGGTTCTCTGTGCGTCTGTCTTGAAACGAAAGGTCCGACTGGTATTTCCGCACAGCGTAGTCTGTCTGGCAGGGAAAGGGTTGAGTTTGAATAAATGTTCGTGAGAGGAACAGTGTTGGTTCTATGGTCTCTCACGTCTGACTCACATGGCGGTTTACACGACAACTGATTAAACTGATAGCGGTACCGTTCTCTGCACTCGGATTCCGTGTTCGTCCTCAGGATTGGAGCGCAGACGTTCACCGGAACTCTGGCGGTGTCATGTCGTGCGGTGATGTAACTGCTCTTTGGTACTTTATTGCAACAGGATACAGCATTACCAGACGACATTGTCATGTAGCCATGGTTACCGAATCGGCTTCTGCGTTGATTCTGTATGTTACCAGTAACACCGTCCCCGTAATCAGCGTTCGTGACGTAGTTTCCGGTGACGTCACGAGAAAGACTATGAGCGTTTCTATGCCCGTGGGGACAAGGTAGCGGCGCTGGGGTACTCGGCAGAGGTCTGTCTTTGGTTACCGTGAAGTGTCCACGATTCTGAAACATGTCGTGACTGCTGAGGTGGGGGTGATGTATCATGTCGTTGTTAGGGCTTGAAACTGACAGAGGCGGAGGTAGCATTGCTCTCACCTCTATGTCTTCCATCTCCTCCTCCCTGGTCTTCTTTCTCTTACAAATCCTTCAAAACAATACAAATTATAATATAAATCAGGGGCGGATTCAGTTTTTTAGAAAGGGGGATGCACGTTCTTGAGAAAAGGAGGGGTGCACACTTCATTTTCACCAGCGTTTCAATGGTCATTTTAAACTTTCAGGACAAAAGGAGGGGTGGGGGTGGGTGCACCCCACGCTGGATCCGCCTATGTAAATGAGCTGATGCTAACATCACTGAATTACGAGCAGAGTATAACGTCGGAACATAGTATTGGATTCGAACCCATGAGCATCGGATCCTGGTGCGGTATTCCAGCCATATGACGGCAGAGTGTGCGCAATCGAGTGTGGGACATACAGACCGTGATAGAATGTGCATGTCACCATACCTGACCACTTCAGTCATATGCAGGGACGAGTCAAAGCAGAGACCTAAAACATGAGCCATTAGCCAATTCTGGCCACTGGATCAAATTACGTCGCTTCTCCAAGAGGGCTGCTATGACTAAATCAGATCTCCATGAGGGCTGCTAGTCAATTAACATCTCCAACAGCGCTGCTGATATCAATTCAGACCTGTGACAGTAATGGCATCATGAGTTTAGTTTTACGCCGCTTTTAGCAATATTCCAGCAATATCACGGCGGGGGACACCAGAAATGGGCTTCACACAATGTACCCATGTGGGGACTCGAACCCGGGTCTTCGGTGTGACGAGCGAACACTTTAACCAATACACTACCCCACCGCCCCGTAATGGCATCATATACTTCCTCAATCAGCTATACATTTCTGGTGTTCCCCGCCGTGATGTTGCTGGAACATTGCTAAAAGCGGCGTAAACCAAACTCAGTCAGTCAGTCAGTCCATCAGCTATAGATAATAAAGCCGCAATTAGTTGCGTCAGATTACTAGTAAAGCCACACCTGTCCCAGTAGCCGCATCGTTTCAGGACGAGGAGGATGACAAAGATGGCCAGGCATCCTGCTACAAGAGGCAGAGCCAGCTTCACCCAACCTGCAACATGGAATTTACGTTATATAACTCCAGTTCAATTAACAAGGATGGATAAATTATGGTTGTATATTCTAAAACCCGTGAAGATACGGGTTGGAATGAATGTTCAGTAACCAATGCTTGTCGTAAGAGGCGACTAACGGGATCGGGTGGTCAGGCTCACTGACTTGGTTGACACATGTCATCTGTTCCCAATTGCGCAGGTCGATGCTCACTGGATTGTCTGGTCCAGACTCGATTATTTACAGACCCCCGCCATATGGCTGGAATATTGCTGAGTGCGGCGTAAAACTCACTCACTCACTCTATATTCTAAAGTACAAATTCCAATATATCAGTACGTTTATTACCGCATATCAACATGTTTCACATACATCACCATGTTTATTCATATATATCTACACGTTTATCACCATGTATATAGCATGCTCTGTTTATCACTCTATCTGATCTATTTATATATCACTTACGTTCTGGATAGGGGACAGGGGATGGGTGGGTAGGGTATTAGTCATGCAGAGTTGCGTCCCTTGGGCACGCTGGAAACTTATTATTGTTGGTTCTAATGCAGGTTCGTCTGTTCCCCTGCGAAATGGTAAACATTTGAGACGTGCATTGCGTCGGGCTCTCCTCCCATGTTAAACTCAACAGCCGCGATATTACTGGAACATTCAGCTGAAAAGCCGTTATATTACTGGAGCGTTAAGCTGAAAAGCCGTGATATTACTGGAAGGTTAAGCTGAAAAGCCGTTATATTACTGGAACGTTAAGTTGAAAAGCAGTGATATTACTGGAACATTCACCTGAAAAGTCGTGATATTACTGGAAGGTTAAGCTGAAATGCCGTGATATTACTGGAACGTTAAGCTGAAAAGCCGTGATATTACTGAAACGTTAAGCTGAAAAGCCGTGATATTACTGGAACATTAAGCTGAAAAGCAGTGATATTACTGGAACATTAAGCTGAAAAGCAGTGATATTACTGGAACATAAAAACCGTTAAACGTGCCGCGTGTCGTTAAAAATCACCAATATGACAAAACACACACAGGCATGAATTCGGTAATGAAAACCATACGTGATTGTAAATTGGAAGTATCTTGAATCCTTGCATCACAAGGGAGGCAACTCTGCTCCGCACCTAAGGCCTTTGAGTCATCCGTGCTCAACACTACACATTGTAAATGTCTTCACATTAAAATTACCTGATAAACAATGCCTACTATGGCAAATTAACAAAGGAAATGATTGTTCTTTAATTTTAGCAAATATCCATGACGCCCAAATATACACGAGCAACAGAACATTATCACCAACCTAAATATATCTAGTTATATTTAGTTGAAATTAGCAGCACGAATGTCAATATCAGTTCAAACATATGCAATATGTCAGCGTAAGCATGCTATTCTGGACGCAGATTTAACTAGCGCTGTTCAATAGGGCTGTTTGATTAGCGCTAATCACTGAGTGTTTAAAGTCAGTAGCAATATCCAAGGTTGATCACTGGGAACGGACTTTATATGCTGTGTGAATGTAGGGAATTAAAACCGCGTCATAATGATTGTTTGAAGATGAAATCAAACTAGGTTAGAAGGAAAGCACGTACAATTTACAGGGGTTAATTGAGCCGAGGTATGTACATACTTTCAACTGCACACATGTTTATGACCAAACTGAAATATACACTTAGGTACAGATCATATATTTTTAGGATGCGGTGGTTGATATCATATCGTGTTGTATATTGTATCATAATTATCTTGCTGTCTGTAATTTTGCCATGGTGACCCCGCCCAATCTGGATGTGATATTTTCGAACCCCCTTTTTTCGCAATATGGTTTTCGTGACTAATACCAGCCATCTCCTCTTCCATCCTCTTCCCCGCCCCATCTCTAATATATTAGCACCCGTTAAGATCCGGGTTAGAATGTGCCTTCAGTAACCCATGCTTGTCGTAAGAGGAGACTAACGGGATCGGGTGGTCAGGCTTGCTGACTTGGTTGACATATGTCATCGGGTCCCAATTGCGCAGATCGATTCTCATGCTGTTGATCACAGGATTGTCTGGTCCAGACTCGATTATTTACAGACCGCCGCCATATAGCTGGAATATTGCTGAGTGCGGCGTAAAACTAAACTCACTCACTTTATTATATTAACAGTCTCATATCAATGAATAAGTCAACATACCTGGAATCTCAACATCCCCAGCAGACACAGTTGGGGTTGTAGTTGTCATCGTGCCCAGAGTATGTTGCATGTGATGTCGCGTTAAAGACAGATCGAAATATTTCCGGGACAGCATAACAGTTAGACAGAAACTAGTATGGGGATTTAGACTATACTTCCTTGTAGTGTGTTCCAGTGCGTTTGTGTGATGTCGGGACAGACTGAAGTAAACACCCACCAAACAATATATGTTTCACCCGATGAGTCATACGATGCAGGTACATTCAGCCGATTCTTCTCTCTTCGTCTTTTACTTTCGGTTTATGAATGAGTGAGTCGGTGTTTGAGTGGGTTTGATTGAGTGAGCACTCAACAAAAACGAAAGGGGGTCGTGAATCATAACTGCTAATACCAAGTATTGGAACAAAGATAACTGTTGATTTCAAACTTCCTGTGTAAGAACGTTTATGTCTGTAAAACCAGCCGCTCATATTATGTGCACCATTTTTTAAGTATTAACACTTTGAAGAATGAATGGACCGCCTCCGTGGTGTAGTGGTTAGAGCATCCGCCCGGAGAGCGGAAGGTCGCGGGTTCGATCCCCGACCGCGTCATACCAAAAGACGTTAAAATATGGTACTTGTTGGTCCCTGCCTGGCGCTCGGCATTAATGGGTACAACAAGGACTGGTCGGCTCGGAGTCAGTATACTGTGTCTGAGTGGGGTATTCATGCTTCACTGCGGCATGGTATCTCAGTGAGCTAGTACTATAAAACCAGCTTAAGTCTGGGCTAGTACAAGCAGCCGCACATACACATACACACGCATGCACGTTGTCATATGAGCGAAATATTCTCAAGCACGACGTTAAACCAAATTTCACCTCACCTCACCTTGAAGGATGAATGACTATTTACTGTGAGTCTTATTTATTATGTTATTCATTCAACTGTGGTATACATGTACTTAATTTCATTCATTGTGTGTTTGAACTGGCGATGTGTGTGAGAGTATGGCGTTACGCCGCTTTTAGCAATATTCAAATAATATCACGACCGGGGACACCAAAACCCGGGTCTTTGGCGTGACGAGTGAACGTTTTAAAGACCAGTCTACCCCACTGTCCCCACGTGAGAACTCAAGGGGTCGACGCATGCGTATCTTATGTACGTAAAACACCACAAGAGGCCATGTGGGTGGTGGTTCCGAGTTGCCAGTTTGTTGTCTGCAAGCTGCTGTGTAGCAGTGAAGTTGTTCAACGTCATCTGACGGCTGGAAGCAGGGGGTCGTAGACGGCTATAACAAGGGTAGTTGCTGTGTCGCTGGGCACCGTCTCACCAGCCTGGAACAGACTTAGTGAGGAGTCGCAGAGCCAGATGTGTTCAAGCAACAACACCGTCACCTGTGACCTGTGAATCATTTGTATCAAGCACACAGGACTAAATCTAACCACCAATGGAAAGTTTTGCGCAGTAACAAATGGCATTGTGTATTTCATAACAAATTACGATTTGCTGTATAGGATTGGTGCCATGTATATCTTAAGCCAACTGCATACAAAGGTGTTCGCCATGCTTGTAGATTAAACTTCCACGTCATATCATGCGAACGAAACTAGATCGCATACATCACACGCGTGTGTAACCAAAATGTACAGTTCGCCATTGGCCTCGAAAAGCGCCAAGATGTGCATTGTTTACAGACACAGCTTCCATGCTGAGATGTTCACTCTTTCGGTACCCTCATAAGAAGTATCCATGAGCATTCCAGTTTAATAGAAACTTGAATCCAGGGGCGGTAGGATAGACTCGTGGTTATTAATTCGTTCGCTCGTCACGCCAAAGTCATGGGTTCGATTCCCCACATGGGCACAATATGTGAAGCCCATTTCTGGTGTGCCCTGTCGTGATATTGCTGGAATATTGCTAAAAACGGGGTAAAACTAAACTCGCTCACTCACTAAAACATAGGCGGATCCAGAGGGGGTTGGGGTGGGTTATTGTTGATGTTCATGTTGGTGGTGGGGTTTGCAGTAGGGCTGGGACGGGTAGGAAAAATTGGAATCGAGTACCCGCATGTACTTACCCGAATCGGAATCGAGTACCCGGAAATGTAAGGAATACATAGCTTCAGTCAACTTTCTGAATATTCAATCACGATTTGACAGATATTATAACAGAAAAACTCAAAGGATGGCAATGAGACATTGAAACTGATCTTAGGCTATTTGATTTACGTCTGTTCATAATTAATATATAGAGTAACACCATTACTTACATTGTTACTTAAAACAGCGAACATTTGTTAAAACACAGAACTTTTCATTCCCGCTGTTACTGTGATTTGACTACTCACTGCTCATGCGCAGATAAATTGCCGTCGTTGATAATAACCTCCATTAACTGGACAATGCCAAAAAATGTGTGTTACGTTAATAATAAAAAAAGGACCAGTTATTCATTCAGCCAGTAGACAACTACGTTCATGTGTGATATTCTAACTGAACCTATAATGTTTTACATGCAGACTTTGTGTAAACTTGCATAGAATACAATTTGATTGATGTATTTACTGACTGGAGAATTCTGTACGAGATATAAAGACAGGCAAACTGTAATGCAACCGAGTTAAGCAATATAGCAAAATGCTTGGCTCGCATCTGGGAAGACTGGTCATTTTGCTCTGTTGCGCAACTCAGTTGCATTCCAGTTTCCCTATTAATTGAAAAACAAAACTATTGTTAAATCGATATTCTAAAATTGCATCTATCTTCATTGAATAACTGTATGCTGATTATTATTTGTTAAACTATAAAATGTGAGTTCTGCTTCTATTTCTGATCATCTTTCTTCTTATTGTAATGATAACCAGTCGAACATTGTATTTGCAAATCAGAATATTAATTCCTTAGTTTTAATTGATATTCCCAACACATACAATCATTTAATTGCAATCTCTTTAATTGTCAATGTATTCATGTTAAACGCAAATGTAAAAGCTGTGTTTCGTGAAATTGAAAAAAAATAGAAACTAAAGACAAAATTCAATATACATGTAATCTTAAAAGCTTGATAAGCAATGAACACAAATACACAATGTAATGAACACGTTTATTGTTTAGGTTGTGTTTTAGTGCAATATGTTTTTGCACTGACCTTGTACAGCTTCCGCAGTAGATTGACATATTAGATTGAAAAACCGTATGGGTCTTCAAATTTGTAACTGTGTTGAATTATGAGATTAAGTATATCCTGATCTTGGAGTGTCAGCTTCATAAGGGATGAAGCCCAGGAGTAGCGCAAGTCCCACACCTTCACCACTTCAGTAGAATTCACCAGCAGGGTCTAACACTGATAAATCTCAAAACCATAAGCAGACTGTACTATCAATTTCAGACATGATAACACAGAGTCGGCATTTGGTTTTCTTGCCATTTGCATCAAGCTCAAAATGAGCCCAAACACTCAACTTGAACATGCTTAGATATTGTCGCCATGCCAAATTCTTTTTTCACATGCAATCAAGAACAAGACAATACATGCACACTTTGAATATTTCCCGGAGAACCCATTAAATATGCAGCAACAAGATCAAATATCCGAAACGGCTGAGATAGTCCGATACAATAGTCTAGAAGCATTTATTCAGTAGGTTCAAAGACCTGGAGCTTGAGGGCATGTGACGCCCAGAAGTAAAATGCGGTCTGACACGACGGCAGGTCAAAATAGCTGCGAAAATACGTTTCAGCAAAAACGTGATTTAAGTCTCCCAATTTCCCAGTTACGTAAATTCCATGTATAATTTCTGTGAGAAGAAATATTCAAGGAAACGCTTGAATAAAGACAATTCCGTATAGTGACAATATTCACATTTTTAAAGAAGTTCAAAACTAGATATAAAATTCCAAAAGGTTCAGTGATTGGATATAATGCGTATGATCTAAATAATTCATGTATTCATTGTATTGTATATATCATTTTGTATATATCTTTCTATCCCTGTACATATAGTTTGTTTCACTTTTGCATGTAAGCACTGTGAATAGGAGAGGGTTTCACTAAGTTGGCATAACTTGTACCCAATCCATTCTCTTGAATAAATATGTTTAAATCAATAAAGACAATTTTAAGGAAGCTGTTACCCACTCTTTCTCAGAAAAGTGAAAATAGGTCTTCCACTGGTACAGTCAGACGATAGACATGAAAAGACGGGATTTTTCATGCACGGCCAGTAACCAGCGGGAAAATAGAGCAATGGCTGACAGGACTCTGCAGGCTATTGTAAATCATGAAGTCAAACAATCATTTTCCTTCCCGCATAATACGATTTCACTGAGTCTGTAACTGCCTTTTGAAGATCACAACGGAGATGGCGTCTCAGGGTAGACCAATTGTGATCCATTATGACACGACATTTTATTATTAATTAATTCTGATTTTTGTAGAACTTTAATATGATTAGCTTAAGACGCATAGCATAAGACACAGTGGGTTTTTTCTTTTCCCATATATGTTTTCATTTTATGATTACTGTCACCATGTGGGTTGGGGGTTGTTTGGTCGAGTCATATTGTTTTGAAACTCGCATATTTTCTGCGAAAGAATGAGATGGAGAATTGTAAAAAATAATTTATCACTATTCAACTATTATAAGGACATCTAGTAGGGCCCTCGAGTAGGCCCAGTGCTGAGCACTAATTACTTCTACAAGAAGGTACATGTACTTCTATAGTACTGAACTTTATTTATATTCCGGCCGCGTTCTGTTGCATTGGATGTACAGGTTTAACATTATGTACAACTAAAATATACATAACACAAAAAGTTAGGCACCCCCATATTGAAGTAAGTGACTTCACGTCAATCCTGTGATGAAATGGTTTGTTAAGAATATATCTGCTTTAATAGATGATGATGAACCTGTTTTAGTAGTGTTGAACGGAATCAATCACGAAAACGCAACCGTTTCAGCACGCGAACGAAACAGCGCATGCTTTCCACAAAATGCAGTTTGCCCTCGCCCCACAATATCTGTATTTAAGGGACCACCGGTATCAATAATCTTACATTTGGTCATCATGGCTCGAAGGAAGATAACAGAAGCGCAAAGATGGCGAATTATCGGAATGCATTCAACTGGAATGTCTTTTAAAGCGATTGGACGTCAGCTGAACATCAGTCATCAGTCGGCTGGTCAGAAAGTACAGGCAGACAAACTAAGTCCAAGATCGGCCAAGATCTGGAAGACCACCAGTGACCTCACAGCGTGAAGACAGAGCCCTATTACGACATGTGCGCCGACATCCGTTTGCGTCAAGCAACGAACTGCGACGTCTGTGGTTACCAGGTCGACGAATGTCCCTGGGAACTGTGAGGAATCGTTTGAGACATGCTGGTTTGATGGCAAGGAGGATCATCAGACGTCCTCTGTTAACAGATCGTCATCGGAGGTTACGTTTAGCATGGTGTGTACAACGAAGAGGATGGAATTTACGGACATGGCGACGTGTTCATTTGACAGATGAGAGCAGGTTTTTGCTCCACATGACTGATCGACGTAAAAGAATCTGGAGGCACAGGACTGCCACTATTGCAGAGAGGAACATCATGCCAACAGTAGCTTTTGGCGGGGGATCCATAATGGTGTGGGGAAGTCTGTCACATGATTGCAAGATGGATTCGGTGACTATTCGGGGAAACCTTAACGGCGATCGCTACATCGCTACATCCGGGAGGTACTGAACCCAGTCGTGACAACCATGCACTTGCCAGCAGACCTGTGTTTATGGACGACAATGCTAGGCCGCACCGTTCCCATGCCGTGACAGCGTTTATCCAGAACAACGCCATTACCACACTTCCATGGCCAGCAATGAGCCCCGACCTTAATCCAATAGAGCAGATCTGGGATTATCTTGGGCGACGTATACAACAGCGTGACCCTCCTGTAGCCGATTTGAGGCAATTGGAAGATGTCTTGCCAGTTGCCAATGCAGCTCATACGTCGATACACTGGGGGTATGAGAAGGAGGGTTGAGGCAGTTATTCGTGCACACGGTGGTTTTACTAAATACTGAACTTTTACCATCACTAATCGTATCTTGAAGCATTCAGTGACATTTCTCAATGGAAAATAAACGTTTTTGTGACATTTCGAGGTCTTGGGAACCATACTTCATCGTGTATCATTTTTGCATGGAAAGTGCCTTTTGTGTATTAAGTCTGTTATTGCATTCAAATCTTACTGAATTCTAGTTATTGTGTCGCTATGTTATTGCTAGAGGTCATTTATACATCACTGTGTTCTTACATCCAGCCTTACCTTTGAGGTAATTCACTCACATCATAAAAAATATTGACTATCGTGAAAAGTACCGGGGGTGCTTAACTTTTTGTTTTATGTATACATGTATGAAACATAAAGTGGTCATATATAAATATCGCTTGGTTGCAAGAATACATTGTCTGTACATAAATATAAACAGTTACATTAACAATGTTACACTCATGCGTTATTTGTTATCTTGTGTGGGGGTGTTGTTCAAATTGAGACATTATTTTGCAAAATATTGCTAATTTCCTATTAAAAAAACCCTATTCCAAACCCCTTCGGTATGTCAAAAGTTGGTGGGTCCCAAACTTCCAGCGAGTCGTTAACAGTATCACAGACATTCCGCACTGAACACGTTTCCTTCGCTCAAACCTCTCTGGCAAGTATACGATTTTCCAGACCTTTTAGAGTTTCAACGGGGTGGTTTTGGGTGTATGTGAACAACGGTGGCACTAGTGGACCAGTCATCCAGAAGACTGCATTTCGTTCTGCACAGTTACGGAACTAGTGCCATTGCAACATTGTCCTATTGTATTATAAGGAAGCTACAAAGAGGACAACTTTAAGAATTAGAAGTAAATCGTTTAGTGTCCTTCCGTCTGCATTACAAAAGGTGTTGTATATTAAACTGCAAGCTGAATTCCAAAACGAAACTGGATCAATAACATTACAAAAGCAAAAACAAAAACGTTGAGTTACATTCAGTATAGGACAGAGCTTGTGTCTCCACTGTGACAGTACTTTCCCTGTCTTCGTCACAGAACCTATCTAATTTACACTTTGTGGTTATATTCATATACCTCTAAAATAGTGTAAAACAATCATCTGTCATTCCCGAATATAGCATTAAATAATTACAACCAAAATCCTTTCACCAAATAATGTTAACCATTTTCGTGAAACCAACAAACATAAGTAAGGTGTTGACAAACCAAGGGCAAACTATTTTCATAAGACATGATCACAATCGCACACAAGCCTGCACATGTAATTGCATGGCCTGAGACAACTGCATCACTCCTGTAGACAATTAGGGGTAGTCTACTGAACGGGACTGCCAACATGGTACGGAGGATAGAATGTTTGCCCCACTATGCCTGATGGTCCGATCCCCTTAAAGACAACACCAAAACAACTTGCAAGTTGGTGCTTGTGGTTATCTTGCCTGGTGTTTGTCATTAAGGGAATGGATCAAGGTCAAGTTCAGATGAGAGTCAATATGAGTGGGTTATCCTTGTTAATCTGTGGGATGGTTTCTCAGTGGGATAATAACAATAAAATAAGCAGCCACATCTATTCATATCATGAAACAATCTAAAAAATGACGTTAAACCCTATTTCACCTCACTTTTACCAAATTTCAACTAACCAAATTCACCTCATCTCTCAGAATTTCAGCTCACCTGAGCTCCCCCCATATCACCTCAAGTCATTTCATCACACCTTACAATTACATTACAATTACACCAAAATCACCTATATCATCCGCCCTACAGTTAATCAAATTTGGGCTTGACCAATAAACTGCTGACATGCACATTCAAGGTGGGATAACACACAACCAGGTCACACATTTTGACCAACCCACACTCAGAACTCCTCTGAGCTGGAATGGCCACTGGGAGGCAAGCCAAAACACATCTCAAAAACAAAAAGTCCACAGTAGTAGTTTCCTTGAACAAAGTCGACTTAGTATGCATCAAAGACAACAAGAACATGATATGTATATTCACATTTCTCTTTAATGAGATTCAATAACAATTTGAATGACACCATTTTTCATTATGCTCTAAAGAGGGAGCAAGTTCATTTTCAAGTTTAATCACATTCATCATAAATACTGTAATTTTGAAATAATATTATGACAGATGTAAATATAAGGTAGATTGTTTACGTCTTGTGAAAAACTCCCCAAAGTTGTGACCATAATTTTACTTCCATGTTACTTTGTTTTACAAACCTATAATTTTCATAGCAGAAACTGGCTACAATGGTATTTAAAGCACTTTACAATGAGGCAAAACTATCTATAACAGGATACATCCATTCAAGTATAACAATCAATAAATAGTAATCTGTGAACTGCTGTCAAAGAAAAGTTCAAAACTACACAAGGTTGAAAATATGATAATGAATGAGACAGTGTGTTAAACTGTCACTGTAGAAGGACGGAATGTAGTGATAACAAGTAATACAACACAGTACACAACGATATATAACTGTCAGTGTCATCTATCACAGTTGAGAATCCCACAGGGAGAAGAGTTGTCTTCCCCTACTGGAAGGAGTAACTTGGGTTGGGGGTGGCTCCACACCACATCCCGATGAACTTGAGGACATCTTGCAGCTCAGGACTGTGTGACACCTGCAACAGAATGAGTGTGTCAGTGAGTGAGGTTTTGTGACACTTTTAGCAATATTACAGCAATATCTCAGTTGGGTACCCCAGGTATGGGATTCACACATCGTACCCATGTAGGGAATTGAACAAATTGGCTGGCTATTGCTGGTATGAACTGTATGTCAGATAGATCAGTCCATCAGATGAAAGGCACCATGTGGTCTGAGACTCTGATGAAACATGAGCATGGATCAGAATCACGAAGTCCAGGGGCTCCTTTCACGAAGCAACCTTTACTAAGGTTAACTCCCATTCTTTAACATTGCACTAAGGTTACCTTAGTGACTTACGATCACCATAGTGCTTTTTGAAAGGGGGCCCAGATTGGTACAAGCAGACACACACAAGTGCATGCTATATACATGCAGGAATCTTGGGCATGACATTAAAACCAATTTCACCACAATATAGAATTTCCTGTCGTGAATTTCCACAATAGGTCCGAGTACATATCTAGGTACATACCTTTGTGGCCATGAGGAACTTGTTCCAGTCATCTTTGTTGGCCGTCTTGCCTGGATGCTTGAACTCCACCTTATTTCGAAGGACGGGGTACCCTGGGAAGTAGACAGAGTTGTCAGAGAAGCTTTGCAGATGACTAAGGGCTTTGGGTGTTAAAACATTGGGAATGTAATTGGTTTTCTTTAAAGACATAATCAAAAGCTAAAGTAAATATAGTTGACATTACTTGATAAATAAAAACTGACAGTTCCTGTCTTTGCTTGCAACTATGAAATATTTTATGCAGCTGCATCTTTGCATCCAGAGAGTTATCAATGGCCACACCAAGTCCTACCTGTAATCACACAAGGCATGGAGCGTATGCCCGTGTCCGTGGCAACCAGTGAGGCCTCGTATGTGTTTCTCTCATCCTTGGGGAGGATCTGTTCCACCTTCCTGTTCATGGACACTGTGAGGACCCACTCCTTCAGCTCCTCATGCTGGGCGCTCTGGACAACAAACCAACAGCAGCTTCTTTAGTCATTTGTTGTTTTGTGTTTTCACCGTGAGCTTCAAGCTTCTCTTATTAATTGTTACATATAAACATTACATGATTGTTAATCTAAAAGGGTGAGGCTCCCTGAATGTTTGACCTGTGCATGGTTCTCCCTGTTGTATATTTCCATTACATGGTTGAAACAAGCCATTTTCCTTTTTATTCAATATTTACCAGTAAACCTTTTTTGTATTACCATCCCATAGTGTGTATTTCTGATGATGTTCATGTTTGGCAGCGATTTAAAGATATGCTTGTGTTAGTTCTTTAACCTTTTAAAATCAATATTACCATCCCTGTAAGTAACAAATTTGGACCAGACAAAGATTCAGCAGGCTGAGAAGAAGGCATCTTTCCAATCCACCTAAGAACTGTTCATAAACAAGCCATATAGCAGCCATTTCAATCTCTTAATCCTACTTTTATTCTTCTTAAAGAATAATGTATCCAGGACACATTGCATTCAAAACCATGTGAGTTGGCACCATCTCAAGGACTTACAGGCAGATATGGTTTCTCTGGGAGAGGGATCTCGAAGGGGATGTCTGTGTCCTGGAAGTCACTGTGGTCCAACATGTCTAGAGTCCCTTCCTCGATAGCCTGGCGGAGACACACATTGTAGTAGACAGAAATACATACAGGAACGTTAAAGAAATATTTAGGACTAATCAGCTACTTTGTTTAGACAGTACTTTGATGGTGATGATGATGATGATGATGATGATGATGATGATGAGTGAATAAAAACAGTGAATGTCAATGTACCTCTGCAATATCCAAGTATCTGTTCAGGAAAACGAAGGCCATGTTCTCCCATCCATTGTTCTGTGAATACAATAAAATGATCATCAGCGCTGGTAGTTCACATGTTCACAATATAACACCTATAAACTCATATACTTGTAAATATTCCAGTCATTTTCTGAAATTCATACTATAACAATGTGCCACCATTAATGAGTACTGTCCTACAAAACATCAAATTTAACCTAAGTGTCCATTAGATTATTTTTTCTCCCAAATTCCAAATTATTTCCACTAAAGTGATAGGGAAACAAAACACAAAAACATCAGTAGTTAACGTTGTAAATTATTGTTTATCCTATCCAAATAAGAACATCTCACCCTGCACATCATCCCTGCCTCGTAGAAAGCCTTGTCCGCTGGGATGACATCGGTGTGGCGAAGCAAGGAAACGCAGATACGGGCAGCAATGGTGTCCAGAGACTTCTGGCCCAGAGAGGCTGACCGAGTAGCGTAGTAGTGGGCGATGAGTAGCAGGGTCTCAAACTCTTCGTGGTTGGGAGAGTTGGCATCAGGAGACTTGGACATGTTCTCACACTGTCGGGGCAGGAGACACAAGGGTGTGAGTTACACTTGGATCACTGGGTTTGAGTTCTGTTCATTAGTTTATGCTACAGTCAGTAAAATACCAGCTAAATTATGGCCATCTAAAAATAACCAAGTCGATAATGGTTGATACTATAATGGTTGATACTATGATGGTTGATACTATAATGGTTGATACAATGATGGTTGATACTATAATGGTTGATACTATAATGGTCGATACTATAATGGTTGATACTATGATGGTTGATACTATAATGGTTGATACTATGAGCAACATTTCACAATGTCAGGGCAGGAGACACAAAATCATCAAAGTCATCACTGACCACCAGACCAAAAAGAGCCACCTCTACAGGTTGGGTGATAGCTGCCCTCCTAGTCTGTGTATCCCAACATCAAACTGGCAGATTGGTTACATTTTACCTCAGTAAATAAGGCAGCAGGTGTTTTATATGTGTAAAGCCCAAGTTCAAGCAGATTATAGCTTTTTATAACATTACTTTCTGTGTATAACACTGCACTCATCAATATTACAGTTAACCAACCCCCATCACTTGTGTTCTTTAAGACTGATTCCACTTTTCAAAAAAAATAATTTCTTTGAGCTTAATTAGAAACATCCTGTTCTTTTAGAATCTTTCTTTTTCAGTGCCAGTATTTGAACCAACACAAGACTAATGAGGCAAGATTACCAGGTCAAACAGCATGTCTCGAAGGTCGGCCCACGTCCTGAAGGCTTCTGGTTTGTTGAGATCCCGCTGACTGACCACATCGCTGAACAGCCGCTTGTAGATGTTGTAGTTCTGGGGAAAATAACACAGCCCAAACTGTACAAGCAAACAAACAGGTACCATAAACAGTAGTGTCTTTGAGTGGATAGGTAATTATGTCAGCTATATTGTGGTTGCCAGCGACTGGAGACGTGGGGCTGATTGGTGGGACGATGAATCGCTGTCTGGACAATGTGTCGAGGTCATACCTGACCAAAGTGCTACATATATCTAACAGTGAGTGCATGTCCTACCTGAGCATTAGCTGGTGCTCCGTATTTGGCATAGAGACCCAGAGCTTCGGACGAGGTTCCTCCCTTGATGAGGTGTGTAGCATACAGAGCAATGTACTTGTGGAGAACTTTGGGATTCTACAACAGATCAAATTTCATCTCAACAATAATCTTAACTTCATGAATCATTGCAGCACATCCTGGGAACAATATCTCTCTGATGTCATCATTACATTACACTGGAATTTGCTCATCCAAAGTAAAGGAACTGCAGTCTGACAGAATGTGTCTCAGAAAACATGTCCGTATTATGAAACAATAGAAAGTAACATTTCATCCTATAAGTCAACATTGTTCTGTATTATTTCTATGTAGAACAGATTTATAATTCTAATATCTTCATATACTTCTTCTATATTGTCAATCTTTACTACTATCCACAGACATATTATGACAGACACTTCACAATACAAGACTCGACATATTACTACTGACATCCCCAGAACATGTATTAAACCCATCTGTACCTGCTGTTCTGCTGTCTGAATGCACTTGTTCCATTCTCCCTTCTCGGCATACATGTCCAGGGCCCCAATGACATCCACATTAGCCAGCTGCAGCATACAACACATAATGGTACACTGTACAGGAAACATAGGGGTCAGGGACTGATCCAAGCTGTCTGTGTTGTCTCACATTCCATTCAAAACTATTCTAGCTATATGACAGTAACCAGTAACTAATCAAGTCTTGTCCTGACAATACAATCAACATGTGCTGCTGGGAACCTGTTCAACCCAGAATCACCTAGGGGTAAAAGACTGTGTGGACCAGCTGCTCCAACCTTCTGGATCAGCCAGTACCATTCACAACAACTATGATAGTTGTCATAATAATGGTATTATGGTATTAGATGTCATGCTGCTCTCAACATCAGAGGATGCTATTTTGGTAGATTAAACAAACTTATCAAAAGTGAGTGAGTGAGTTTAGCTTTACACCGCTTTTAGCAATATTTCAGCAACATCACGGCAGGGGACACCAGAACTGGGCTTCACACATTGTACCCATGTGGGGAATGGAACCTGGGTCTTCGGCGTGACGAGCGAACGCTTAAACCACCAGGCTACCCCACCTCCCCAACTTATCAAAGAGCAAGCAAGGCCTGTCAGGTTTTTAGGAAACTAAAGAGTCATGTCTGGAAGAGATGTGTTTGTGACATCGATCTAAGCAATTGAGATACACTGACGTCATAAACCAATTCAAGGAGCTTGACCACCCAATCCCATGAGCCACTTCTTACAACATGCAGGGATTGCTGAAGATCTATTCTAGCCTGGATCTTCATTGGCACAACAAGAGAGTCCTGTCTGGAGGAGATATGATTTTGACACAGTGTAAGTATGATATATTCAACAGAAAAAGGTGACTCACATCTTCAGCCCTGCCCTGGTTCTTGCAGTACTCCTTGTATCGCTCGTCGACGTACGGCTCATATCTACAACATACAGGAAGTCGCTGTAAACATGATGATAATGCTCAGTAAAACATCACAAACATGTGTTTCATGAAATAGCGAAACTAATTTTTGTTGTGTGATTTCAGAAATGTATAATATCTAGTTTGCATAAAGGTACGCATGTAAATATGTTGGTGCCAAGTGTTTCCCAGACCTAAATACCCAATACTTGATATTGTGAGACAGGATCATTGCCGCCAGGGTACGAAGACAGGCAATCAACAAAGTAACCAAATGTAACCACTAGATACATTACGTTTCCTCTTACAACCAGATTCGTTTGCTCGCAACAAATCTCAACCTGCATTCCCATGGGGAAAGGAACTGAAAAAGTGTAATCCCAAATGTAACAAATGTAACATATTATTCCTCTTGGTAAAAGTAGGAAGATTCACATTATGACAACAGAACAGATTTGTCATACCTTGGTTCCAGCTCCTTGGCCACCTTCTTAGCCTTGCCCCAGTCTGCACACGCAATGAACATGTCGATTGCCTCCTTCACCATGTCACTGGCCAGGTACAGCTCAGCGGCCTGAAGTGTAAGTGAAGATTTCAGTGAGCCATTCCAAAAACTGGTCCAGTGTCATCACTGAGTTACCTTATGAGGGAATGAGTGAATGTTGTATACTATCCCAGTCAGAAATAACCAACATACATCATGTCCAGACACACCAGTGAGAGGTTGATAACAGACCAATCAGTCATTTTGTTATTCTTTTTAACATGTTCCAATTTAGCCTTCCTGGTTGAGTCCCTTCCTAGAATTCAATGTCCTCATTCGAGGTGAGGTGAAATTGGGTTTAACGTCGTGCTTGAGAATATTTCGCTCATATGATGACGTGCATGCGTGTGTATGTGTATGTGCGGCTGCTTGTACTAGCCCAGACTGAAGCTGGTTTTATAGTGCTAGCCCACTGAGATACCATGCCGCAGTGAAGCATGAAATACCCCACTCAGACACATTATACTGACTCCGAGCCGACCAGTCCTTGTTGTACCCATTAATGCCGAGGGTCAGGCAGGGACCAACAAGTACCATATTTTAACATCTTTTGGTATGACGCGGTCGGGGATCAAACCCGCGGCCTTCCGCTCTCTGTCCTCATTCGACACAATGGTCAACCAACCACTGGCATCGCTGATATATCACACCTTGGCACCCATCAGGAGTGAGTGAGTTTAAATTTTATGCCGCTTTTAGCATATTCCAGCAAATATCACACCAGAAATGGGCTTCACACATTGTACCCATGTGGGGAATCGAACCTGGGTCTTCGGCACGACCATTACCATTAGGCTATCCCACTGCCCTGGGACCCATCAGAAAACCCTTCTTCTCACACACGAATCACCACTATTGGAACCCAGTGAATACTAGCATGACTGTCTGCTGTTTAAGATTACATTCAGCAATATTCCATCTGAATATTAAAGTAGACTATTGATATTCAGATCTGGGCCATTAGTGCCATTGTGAGCCACTATCTATGCCACTAAGGCACAATGACACAGTGTCAAGTCACCAAACCTGACTGCCAAAGTCATTAAGTCTTCTCTTACAACCAACACTGTTTGCAGGGAACAAATGCAGATTGGTTTCATAAAATTGTACAATGTTTTCAATTACAGAGAGGATGCTTCTTTTTTTTTTAAATGCCCAAATACAGTCAGCATTCACAATAAAACAGACTGACATAAAGACGACTACTACACTGTGTCCTCCATGCTGGTCTACTTACTGAAGAGTGTTTGTTGATCTCTGCCAGGCGTGGACACACCATCTCAATCACCATCTGGGACTTCTCCGCACCCAGGAACTTGAGTGCAAGGTCACCAGCCTGTGTTCAACAATTAATTAGTAATATGACAATAAGACCATAACTTCTCCTCTCTTTATGTTTCTTAACCAAATGCAGTTCAGGTAATACTGGCTGCATCAGAGTGTTCCAACATTAAGTCCCTATCTTTAACATTCGTGTGTTCAAAAGCCCACACTCAGTAATATTCCAGCAATATGACAGAGGCCTGAAGATACTTTAGTATCCACACAAACAAGGGATTAATATATCAGTGATCCACAACAAGGACTTGCAATCAACAAAGTCACCACGCCTAACCACCTGAACTGACAGTTTAGGATCAGTAATAACCTGGCGTTGAGTGAATATGGTTTTACACTGCTTTTAGTAATATTCCAGCAATATGACGGTGGAGTTCTAACCTGGAATCTCCATGGGCAGCAATCATGATAATGTTAATATCAGTACATGTTAGTTCTTGGGATAGATTTTTCTTATACAATGAAACCTCACAAGTTCTGACCCATGAATGGTTAAACCCAGCTAATGAATGATTGCTTTGGCATTATTCCAGCAGTTTCCTGGCAGCCTGTAAATAATCTAATCTGGGCTTGACAAATCAGTGGCATGATGACCAGTAATCTTCCAGGTTACACGATGCAACCATCAGATCGTCATTCTCATTGATTTTAAAAGAATCACTGGAACATATATCCATACCTTCATCCAGCACTTCTCCAATATGCGGACATCGTCTGTCATTTTGTTGGTGACCTTGACATAGCATTCAACAGCACGGGCATACTCCCCGGATGATTCCCACTCCCGAGCCTGGTGAATCATCGACTCCGCACCTCTGTAGTCAAAAGAAGGAATTAATATTGTTTCCTTCAGCAAGGAAAGTATGTCAGAATTGAACCTTAGTAGGGAACTGACCGTGAACCTTTTGCATGACAAGCATCCATTTGCAATCTGTCCCTATATTTAGCTTCTTGAGATACAGACATTCATATTTCTTTCCTTGGCTTTCAAGTTATTCATTCCATACTTTTGCGATTGATGGTAATGATTATGTCAATGGGAATACAGAACATATATATATATACACTGAACAATTGGTAGTTCGACAGAAACATGGACATGCTTCAGATGAAAGAAGACATACACAACAACTGCACAAATGTGGACCTACACAAACTCATAAATAATAGGAACACAGTCTTCACCAATGTATTCACTTCTGGAATATTAGTCTAGAAACCTTTATCTGACCATGTTTCCCTGTTACTGAAAATAGTTTAGTCCCCATGAACCAAAAGGAAAGAAGGGGAATGCGAACATAACCCCCCAAAAATGAATGAAACTTTTCACATTAACGTGAAACCAGACCATAACAATTAACATGGCAAACTTAACCATATCTCAGAACAGTAAAATACTTAAACCTTGTCTAATCATCTTTAAGCATACCTATCACACAGGCTGGCAAGTATTACACAATGTATTGGCAAAGACTGCAAGTGAACAAAACTAATCATAAGGAAACAAAAGACTAATGCCATACATGTAAAACACATCTACAGATAACACACTTCTAGAAAGCACATTAGGAGTGTTATGGGTACCTACACCCTGAGGAAGCTATATGACAAGCATCATGATGTAGTGCTGCACACACATGGTTATAGATACAGTTGAGACACGCCCCCCAGCTGGCTCAGGAGGGCTTAGTAGGAGGTACATTGGATATACACACACCCCAGCTGGATCAGGCTGGCTAAGTAGGAGGTACATTGGACACACGCCCCCCATCTGGCTCAGGAAGGCTAAGTAGGAGGTACATTGGACACACACCCCCTACTGGCATATGGCTCAGGGGGGCTCAGTAGGAGGTACATTGGACACACGCCCCCTACTGGCATACAGTTCAGGAGAGGCTCAGTAGGCTCAGTAGGAGGTACATTGGACACACGCCCCCAGCTGGCATCTGGCTCAGGGGGCTCAGTAGGAGGTAGGGACACACACACCCCCTACTGGCATTCACGGCTCAGGAGGGCTCAGTAGGAGGTACATTGGACACACACACACCCCCTACTGGCTACAGCTCAGGAGGGCTCAGTAGGAGGTACATTGGACACACACCCCTACCCTACTGGCTCAGGGGGGCTCAGGAGGTACATTGGACAGGAGTGGCTCAGGAGGGCTCAGTAGGAGGACACACACCCCCCCACAGCTGGCTCAGGAGGGCTACTGGAGGTACATTGGACACTGCCCCCAGCTGGCTCAGGGGCTCAGTAGGAGGTACATTGGACACATGCCCCCACTGGCAGCTGGCTCAGGAGGGGCTCAGTAGGAGGTACATTGGACACACACCCCTACTGGCATACTGGCTCAGGAGGGGCTCAGTAGGAGGTACATTGGACACACATGCTCAGGAGGGGCTCAGGAGGGCTCAGTAGGAGGTACATTGACACACACACACCATACACGGCTACTGACATGGACACACACACCCCTACTGGCTCAGGAGGGGGCTCAGTAGGAGGTACATTGGACACACACCCTCTACTGGCATACGGCTCAGGAGGGCTCAGTAGGAGGTACATTGGACACACATGCCCCTACTGGCATACGGCTCAGGAGGGCTCAGTAGGAGGTACATTGGACACATGCCCCTACTGGGCATCACTGGCTCAGGAGGGCTCAGTAGGAGGTACATTGGACACACACACCCTACTGGCATACGGCTCAGGAGGGCTTAGTAGGAGGTACATTGGACACACACACCCCTACTGGCATACGGCTCAGGAGGGCTCAGTAGGAGGTACATTGGACACACGCCCCCTACTGGCATGGCTCAGCTCAGGGAGGGCTCAGTAGGAGGTACATTGGACACACGCCCCTACTGGCATACGACTCACGGCTCAGGAGGGCTCAGTAGGAGGTACATTGGACACACGCCCCCTACTGGCATACGGCTCAGGAGGGCTCAGTAGGAGGTACATTGGACACATGCCCCCTACTGGCATACGGCTCAGGAGGGCTCAGTAGGAGGTACATTGGACACACGCCCCACTGGCATCAGGAGGGCTTGGCTCAGGATTGGCTAGTAGGAGGGTACATTGGACACACACACCCTACTGGCATACGGCTCAGGAGGGCTCAGTAGGAGGTACATTGGACACACACACCCTACTGACATACGGCTCAGGAGGGCTTAGTAGGAGGTACATTGGACTCTTGACCCCTACTGACATACGGCTCAGGAGGGCTTAGTAGGAGGTACATTGGACTCTTGACCCCTACTGACATACGGCTCAGGAGGGCTAAGTAGGAGGTTACATTGGACACAGGACTGGGGCTCAGGAGGGCCCAGTAGGAGGTACATTGGACACATGCCCCCTACTGGCATCTGGCTCAGGAGGGCTCAGTAGGAGGTACATTGGACACATTGGCATACGGCTCAGGAGGAGCCCAGTAGGAGGTACATTGGACTACTGGCACACACCCTCAGGAGGGGCTTAGTAGGAGGTACATTGGACACATGCCCCCTGGCACTGGGGCTCAGGGGGGCTCAGTAGGAGACACATTGGCTCAGGGGGAGGTACATTGGACACATGCCCCCCTACATGGCTCAGGAGGGCTCAGGGGGCTCAGTAGGAGGTACATTGGACACATGCCCCCTACTGGCACGGCTAGGGCTCAGGGGGCTCAGTAGGAGGTACATTGGACACACGCCCCCCCTACTGGCATACGGCTCAGGAGGGCTCAGGGGGGCTCAGTAGGAGGTACATTGGACACATGCCCCCTACTGGCATCTGGCTCAGGAGGGGCTCAGGGGCTCAGTAGGAGGTACATTGGACACACGCCCCCTCTAGGGGCTCAGTAGGAGGCTCACTGGCATACGGCTCAGGGGGGCTCAGTAGGAGGTACATTGACACACCCCCTACTGGCGCCCCTACTGGCATATGGCTCCAGGAGGGCTCCAGGGGGCTCAGTAGGAGGTACATTGGGCCCCTACTGGCATACGGCTCAGGAGGGCTCAGGGAGCTCAGTAGGAGGTACATTGGACACACGCCCCCTACTGGCATACGGCTCAGGAGGGCTCAGGGGGGCTCAGTAGGAGGTACATTGGACACACGCCCCCTACTGGCATACGGCTCAGGAGGGCTCAGGGGGGCTCAGTAGGAGGTACATTGGACACACATCTCTATTGGCTGGTTTGTTTGTTGTTTAACCTACAGAAGACACGCTACTACTTTTTTAATTAAAATAGGGCATGCTAAAAGAGCTAATGTTTCTAAACTGTGAACAACATTAACATTCAAATTCATGCTTATGTTGTTGTTTCTTAATGAGAGAGAAAATATATAAAAAATATAACAATATATAAAAACAAACATAAATAGTTCAGTTAAGAGAAACAAAGTTAAGACAGGTAGAGCTCACATCAGAACAAGTCAATGTTAACAGATACATTAAATATGAATATTGAATAAATGGCTAAGTGATTAGATAACCAAAGACTGTTTTCCTCACAATTTCAATGAAATATATTTGTGTACACATTCAAACCAAATATAGCAGGAGGGAGATAACTCATTCCTACATACCCCTCCTCAAAGCTGGAAACAGGAAAGTTTACATTTTAATATAAGTATCCAGGATCAAGAACATACCCCAACTATTGTATTACTACACCTGTTATTGTTAGGGATTATTTTTTTAAAGTTGTATGTTACAGTATTCTATGGGTGAGCTTTTACAACTTTCGTGTTAGAAAATACACTCTATAAACTATATTTATGTAACTAAATCTGTTCATATTAATATTTTTAGATTACATATATATGTATGATATATTTAATCATAAGTCAATTTTCATCCAGAACTGACCACACAGTAACAAGAAGATACAATTTTGAAATATTTATAAAGAAATTAAGCTAAACTGTTTAAATATGATAAGGTATATACAAAACAAATATTAATATCAACAGTGTTGGTAACATTAGATTAATCCTACTTGTAACTATGTCCTGTTACCTTGGTAACATATTCTACAGTATTATTCTATAACACTTTTAAGGGCTAACTACAAGGCTATTTTCATATGAGATTCTACAAGGACCACTATGGGTGTCAGACAATATCTACAAGTGTTCTTGTACTGTGCTACAGCTGTCCTCAACAGTATAACATACATGCACGTTACAACAAGAAAAAGGCAGGACTATGCCAGACAAGAACGTCAAGGTGAACATGACAAAATTCTTGTCCTTCTACAGTGAACATTCAAAACACATACACCAGACATCAACCTGGCACATCTAAGCTTGACAATCAATAGTCTAATAGTGAACACTGTATGGTAAAAAACAGGCAGTGCCAACTTCTCTCTTTATTCAAGTCCATAACAACATCTCCATTGTCAACAAAACCTCAGCCATCAGATCTCACCACAAACAACTTCAGTCAGTTGGCATGCACGTGGTGAATTTACAACTGGTTTGAACAGTATTGCAGTCATATCACAGTGCATCAGTTCGGGGAAGCCTGAAATTATTGTGGTTTTTCGATGTTTCCCACTTCCTGCTGACAGACCTACAAACTCAGAGCTAAGTGGGAGTCGAACCCTCGATCATAGATTTGCATGCCAAAGGGATTCAACCCTAAACAGCCAACTGCAACACCTTAGACAACTATGCCACCAGTGCCGTCACTGTTCACACAAATATATGATTGCAAAAATAATATTCTCAAAATGATGTAACATGAAACATGAAAGTAAAATGGCCAGAATGATTTAAATGGTGAGAGTATGGATGAGTTTTTCTACTGTCCAGAACTGATGAACAGTCTGTCAATGAGAGTATTAGAAACCCAGTAATAATGGCAAAACTGGATCACTTGAACTGGCTGCCCTGATCTTACAGCCCGCTCAAATATGTTTTACCAACCATGTCATGACCACAAAAACTAGTTCTGTCTAACTACAACTGACTGCCCAAAGCAATTTCAGCAACCATGTAGGTGAGATGAAGTAATTGGGGTTTAAGCCCCTAACGCCTGCACAAGGAAGAGTTAGCAACCCTTTGATAATGACATATGCTCTCACTACAGTTGACTGCCTAGAGGCCCTGCAGGTAGTGACAGACAGAGGCAGCTAGGACAACACATACTCACCCTTCACCTCCTTTGCCACTGGACAGGGAACAAGCATAATACCAAGTTATCTCCCTTGACAAATAAATACATATATCCCTATGCTTTTGTTTTCAGGTACATTACAGCGATTGTCAAAAGTAGTTTATATATTATGAAAATTATTTCCAATCTTGATAATGCTTCAAACAAAAGTGTGGAAATATGTGACAACAATCTCTTGTATATATTTCATAACTACCCTTAAATGAACAATCCACAGCAACCTTACTAAACTCAGAGCAATGTAGGCAAGCTAGTGGTCAATAGTGTGAACACAAAGGCATGACACACTCAATCAATCAAGTTTGGTCCTCCACAGCAGCTAGCTAGCCAAACACTATCAACCCTAGGAAGCCTGTGTAATGAACTGATGCCCTTTTTTAAGATCACAGGCAGGAAGGATTTATTAGCCCTGAAAGCTCCAGGAGCTTAGCAATACAGTACTGGTGTATATATTCCTAATTATATGATGGTTCTTAATGCTGTAGATCCATACCTGGGTCCCTTGTTGGTCATCTCTCTATCATACTCATCCTGGAGCTGCTGCAGTTTGTGGGGGACATACTCCTTACACACTCGCAGTGCATCCTGCCACATGTCTGAGTCCTGTAGGAACAGATATAGTACAGTGAGAAGTTTGATATATTTCTCGTCACATGCTGGCTATATAATTGATAATCCAGCAATATCACTTCAGAAGACACCAGAATGGTAACAGACTGACTGACTGAGTTTGGTTTTACGCCGCTTTTAGCAATATTCCAGCAACATCACGGCGGGGGACACCAGAAATGGGCTTAACACATTGTACCCATGTGGGGATTCGAACCCAGGTCTTCGGCGTGACGAGCCAACGCTTTAACCACTAGGCTACCCCGGCGCCCCGAATGGTAACAGACATGAGTGTTTACGGTTTTATGCTGCTCTTAGCAAATTCAAGTAGTATCTGGTGGGAAATGGGCCTCAAACCATTGTACCCATGTGTGGAATCAAACCTGGGTCCCGGTGTCACAAGTGACTGCTTTAACCACTGGGCCACTCCACCACCCCCTAAATGTAATAGTAGCAAGCATCTTACCCGGTAGTATTTAACAGCCAACTCCGGCCTCTGGGCTCTCAGCAGGAAGGACTCAGCCTTGGCATATTCCTTCTCCTCGAACGCAAATCTGGCCTGGCCGACCAACACATCAGCCACGGAGTCAGCATCATGCGCTTCGGCTACACGCTGCGCCGAGTCCCAGTCCTGATTGTGGACGTACCTGTAACACACAGCAGTTAGTGAGTCAGTTGGGTTGAACTGGGTAAACATGTTGATGCTTGACCTTGACTTTTACCAGTGAGGAAATTTTTCAATACAAAGCATGATCAAATCAATGTCTGACTGAATATTTGTTGCTTATTTTCATTAATCATAAGGTATATTTCATGTCCCTTTGAACAACATTTAAAAAACAACCATGGCATATGAGTCGGAGGTGTAAAAGGAAGCTGTACTGAATAATATTATTTTCAGCATTGCAGTAGTTCATTGTCGGGGTTGTGTGTTTGCAACACAAATATTCACCCATTTCTATTTTCTTTAATGGGAATAGATCAAAACTTGAGGCTGACTTGGTGCCAATCTGGCAGAGACGAAGGTACAAGACAGTATATTCTCTGAGTCTTGCTGCAGTTTGCAATGCCAGCTTACATGAGAACAGCTTCCTTAGGTCTGGCTGCCTTGATGAATTCCGCCTCTGCCTCTTGGAACTTGCCCTCATCTTCCAGAAACATGGCATACTTCAGGTGGATATCAGGCACTTTGTTCTTCATAGCAACACGACCCAAGTCAAAAGCAAACTCAAATGCACTGAAACACATCAATAGTGATTTCTTCATAGTATCAAAAATATAATCGCTGAAATTTTCTAAGCTGCTAGTATTCAAAGATGCACCAAACTTGTTGCAAACATGTATGCAACTGAAAGTAAATAGTATTTATGTCAGAGATAGAGGAAATATAATTACACCCTTTAACAAATGGAAAATAAAACAATACTGACAACATAATTGTTTTCTAAAACTTGTCAAAGATGAAGCAAATTTCATCATATCACATACCAGTTTTCTGTAGCATAGTCAATGGCTGCCTCCAGGAGACCGAACTTGTTGAGCAGTTTGACTGCTGAATCCCCTCCCAGACTTTTGGCCCAAAGATATGCCACCTGTTTAGCTGCTGTTGCACCACCCTGGGCCTTGGCAACCTGAGTCACAGATCACACAGTATATGTCAAACCAAGTCACAGATCACACATTGTACATCATTCAGAGTCACAGATCACACATCGTACATGAACCCAAGTCACAGATCAAACATTGAACATCATTCTGAGTCACAGATCACACATTGTACATAATTCTGTGTGACAGATCACACATTGTACATCATTCTGAGTCACAGATCACACATTGTACGTCATCCCAAGTCACAGATCACACATTATACATCAACCCAAGTCATAGATAACACATTGTACATCAACCCAAGTCACATATCACACATTGTACATCATTTTAAGTCACAGATTACACATTGTACATCATTCTGAGTCAGAGATCACCCACTATATATCATTCTTATTCACAGGTGACATGACATGATATACCATACTGACTCACGGATCACATAATATATATCATCATGAGTCACGGGGTCCACACTATATGTCATTGCCTACTAACATCGACCAATCATGCTCTACATACAGGGTACGCCTCGTCCCACATCACATGACCCACTGCATCACTTCTGTACATACCCTGTATGCCTCATCCCATATCACATGACCCACTGCATCACTTCTGTACATACCCTGTATGCCTCATCCCACATCACATGACCCACTGCATCACTTCTGTACATACCCTGTATGCCTCATCCCACATCACATGACCCACTGCATCACTTCTGTACATACCCTGTATGCCTCATCCCACATCACATGACCCACTGCATCACTTCTGTACATACCCTGTATGCCTCGTCCCACATCACATGACCCACTGCATCACTTCTGTACATACCCTGTATGCCTCGTCCCACATCACATGACCCACTGCATCACTTCTGTACATACCCTGTATGCCTCGTCCCACATCACATGACCCACTGCAATTTAACCAAACCTGCAGAGGTTTTCAATTCTTTTGAGAGAGTAGTCCTTGGGGTACATATTATGCATTTTCCGGCTGAAAAATGTCCTGTGACAGTTGTATCAATGTTTTTGAATAAAAGATTGTACAATAAATAAACTCTTTTATTTATTATCACGGACCCTACCTCGCGGAGTTACCTCCCTTAAGCATGCGCACCAACTGGGTAGGCTCCTAGACCCGTATCATCATTCCTTCTGCTGAATTCTTATCAGTGAACAGAATTGCGGGGAGGTGGGAGGCCCTACCCCAGGGCGACTCTCTTCAAAGAATTGAAAACCTCTGCAGGTTTGGTTAATTCTTTCAGAGAGATCGTCCTTGGGGTACATATTATGCATAAACACAGACTCCCAAAGACCCGGAGGCCAGGGAGGAGGAATTCTGTCAAAGCACACTCAAAATATAGCGATCATTATCATGGAAAAAAATTGAACAGGCGCCATAACACTCACCTGTCACTTTCGACCCAGTTTAAGCTTCGCGAGAGGCATTATGGGAGGAACTGACAGGGAGGATTTGTGCTCAAAGGCGACCTCTAGCATAATGAGACATTGCGCGTAGTGCGAATATCAACGAAATCCGACCCACTAAGTGGCTTCTTTCATGAGAGCACCGTGGGGAAAACAAAAATACCACTCACTAGCGATACAGTAACTCCGTAGAGAATCGAAGGGGTACAGGTTCTCTGAGTGAGCTCACATTAGCAGACATGTCAATAATGGAATCTTATTGTACAGTAAGCGTCAAAACAAACCAATAAACCAAGACTCACTTTCGGTCAGGGTGGCAGGACACTGTCCACTGGAGAGAACAATGCGACCAAAGTTTGCCGCGATTACGGGAATGCGTGTCGAGCTGATAATGGCGTATAAGCGTGCTTGGCGGCTCCAAATAGCGGCGGAGCAGATCTCTTCAATGGGGAGTGCGATGCAAAAGCTTTTGATGCGGCTACTGCCCTGACCGAGTGAGCCTTCAACCCCTCAGGGGAGGCTTGCCCTTAGCCTGATAAAGCGGCACAAATACGATACTAGCCAGCGAGACAAAGTCTGCTTGCTGCGGCTGGCAGACCAGCCTTCCGCCACCGTAACAACAGAACAGCTGGGTACCCGTCACGGATCCCCTGCGTTAGTTTGAGATAGACTTTGGCGTCTTCACGGACATCCAGCGGGTGAGTGCTTCGTAGGAGTGGTCCCGATGTGGAAGGCTGGGTAAGAGTAGGAAGTTCGATAGGAGCTGTCACATGGAAGCGTGATCGACCGAGCCCGATTCGGTAAAGTATCTGGGGGCCGAATACTGACCACGATCCGTGTGAAACACAGTCAGCGCCCGGGTCGGACGACATAGCATGTAAATCGCCGACCGCCGACCAGATGTTACGCCACCAGAAAAACAGCTTTCCAGGTCAACAACTGAATGGAAATAGCCGATAGGTGTGAGAAAGTGGGACGGACAGCCAATCGAGCCACGATCGACAAATCCCAAAGGTGGACTGGTTAAGCCTGAGAGCAGGTCGAATCCGTTCAGCGCCAGCAAAGCGCTATCACGAGAGGTGCTGCCCCAGAAGAGCACCATCGACAGGGGTGTGAAAAGTGGAAATAGCGGTGGAGTAGCGCGAATGGTGAAGCCGCCAGGCCTTCTTCAAAGCGAGCTTGCAAAAACTCCAATACTCGGACTAAATCCGCAGAAAGGGATCTGCAATCCCCTTATCTGAACACCACCAGCGCATAAGCGGGACCACCTATCCTCGTACTGAGCGTTTGCCGAATCCGCCTCGAAGCCAGAATTGTGTCTGCAACTGCTGCAGGAATTCCAGCGTGCCTCGAGGTTAGACCTGACAGAGGCCAAGCCACCCACTGAATCCGTGGATTTGGGTGGAAGCTCCGTTCTGAGTGAGAATGTCGATTCGCCAAAGGTAATAGAACAGGAGGCTGAGCCAGAAACCTGAAATTACGGAAACCAGCTCTGTGGCTGACCAAAGCGGTGCCAGTAGCACAAGTAGCCGAGCTGGCTGGGTGGACAGCTGTGAAAGGACCGCGGGGAATGAGTGGTAATGGCGGGAGCCCAGAGCACTTTGCCCGTCAATCCAGCAGGAAGGCGTCGGCAGTAGCGCCCTGGGTCCGGTATCCGAGAGCAGAACGCGGGTGTCTGATCGTCCGCCCGGGCGCAAACAGATCCACCTCGAGCGACCCGTACAACTGGGAGATTACTGTGAATATCTGCCTGTCGAGCATCCACTTCGTCGCGGGGCCAGGATCCGGCGAGAGGCGCATCTGCTCGCCGTTCTCCAGCCCGGGGAGATAAACAGGGAGTACCTGACAATGCGTACTGAGTGGCTCCAGAGGAGAAAGTCCACGCTTCCCGGAGGGCGCTGGGGACACCGTGCCTCCCTGCTTCAGGATATGCGACATGGCCGTCTGGTTGTCTAACTGAAGGCGGACTACCTGGCCCGCGGACATGCTCTCTCTGGGCTTCGAATACCAACCGCACAGCTCTCAGTTCCAACACGTTGATGTGAAGGTGAGCCCGGCCCCGGACCAGAGTCGGAAGCCGACAGACTGCCAGAAGCGCCCCCAGCCCGTGAGGGGCGCATCTGTCTGAACTGTGAGAGCTGGCGTCGGGATTTCCAAGGGAACCCCTGGTGAGATTCCGACATTTGTCCACCACTGAAGGTGAGGTGTCAACCACTTTCGGGGACTGTGAGACTGCGCTCCAGATCCTCCGTGTGAGTCCACAGCCGAGCCAAAGCTTGCTGTATGGGGCGCATCCTCAGCAGCGCCCGCCACACTACAGAGATCGTCGCCGCCATATGGCCCAGTAGGCGGAGCCAAGTCCGTGCTGGTGCCTGGGGCTGGGAGAGGAATGAAGAGACCATCTCGAACTCTGGTGACCCGGTCGGGCGACAAAGGAAGCGAGATCCTTGTTACGTTTGGAATCGCTCCAAGAAAAACCAAGTCCTGGGTGGGTACCAGGTCGGATTTCTTGAGGTTGATGATCCACCCCAGTCGAGTTAGAATGTCTATCACTGTGTGAGTAGCATCTTGACTTCGCTGGCTGTGTTAGTGCTCGAGCAACCAGTCGTCTAGGTAAAGGGTAACAGCGCCTTCCTTGCGGCGAGCTAGGGTAGCTGGGACTAACATGAGCTTGGTGAACACCCTTGGGGCAGTCGATATGCGAAGGGAGCACCCTGAATTGGTAATACATCCCGTCGTAAGAGAACCCGAAGGTACTGCTTGAGCGATGGATGTATGGGTACATCTGAATCACGCATCCTTTAGGTCGATTGGCGTGAGCCAATCGCCCGGGCTGAACAGATGAGATCACCGGCGCCAGTGTCTCCATCTTGAAGGATGGTGCTTCGAGCATCGCGATTCAACCCCTTGAGGTTGAGAATCGGGGCCGGAACCCGCCGTCTTTCGCCGGGGCCGAGGAAGTGCGTGGAATAAAATCCCGCCTGTTCCTCTCCCGGTGGAATCTTTCGATTGCGGACTTGTCCAGCAGAGCCTGAACCGTCGCGCAATATGTCCGCCCTGGCTTGACATGGCGGCACGGAGTCGCGGCGTATGCGGTGAAGTCGAGGCGGACCTGCGCTTCCACAGTGGGAGATGGCCTATGCTGACCGTGGCCAGCACCCAAAGCGTTGTTGGTAGCCTTCTCCCATTCCGGCAGGAATAGAGAAGCGACCTCCCACTGGGATATGGGGTAGGAGGCGCGTGTGTAGACCCGAGTAAGCGGAGCTGACTGGGCGTGACACCGCGGCTTGGCGGCAACCCTGATGGGTTAGCGGGAGGTCGGGGCAGACCTCCAGCGCCCATGAAAGGCTGGGAGCTAGTCGAGGACTGCTCCTTGCCCCTACCCTTGGCGGACCTGTTCCTCCGCCTACCCCTACCAGCGGCGAAGCCAGCCCGGCAGACTTCGGGTGTAGGCTGCACCCGCGGCGGAGGAAGGTGGCGCGGGGGCCGGGGGAGGCGAGACACCCAGCGGGTGCTCCAACAAGGCCTTAGAGTCCTTGAAGGAGGTAGCTGCAGCGGCAGCCTCCCGTATGACCTGCTGGGCCCCTGGAAGAGGGTGGCTCCCAGGCGGAAAGGGAGGGCCAGCAAGGTCTGCTGTGTTGCTGCCGAGTACCTAGGCGTCGACAGCCACAGCGGCGCATCCCCATGACTGCGCACATCACCGTCGGCGCAGCAGACCGCCAAAGAGAGTGGCGAGGTGAGCCTGCACTTCCAGCTGGCCGGAGCAGCCGCGACATGCGGCGACGCGTCGCCAGCATGCCCCTCCGCCTCCAGGGCCGACCTCTGAACCCGAGGAGAGGTAGGCCTCATGGACCACCACCCGCACCTGCTGCGCCGGCGTTCGGTAGACCTCCTGCGTAGGTCGGTGCAGCGTGCGCAGAAGCGCCAGCGAGGGCAAAAGGTGGAGTTAGAAGCCCTTGCCGAGCAGCGGGCTGCTCGGAGGAAGCCGAGCCTCCCCAGAGGCGGCGGAAGTGAAAACACATTCGTCAACAATTGGTACAGCGAAGGGGAATCCTCCCCAAGCTGGTAGCGCCCGCCGCGAGTTCAGGTAAGTCAAACCTTACCGGGCACCAGACAGGGGATCGACCCGTCCGAGACCAGCGATGGCAGAATCGCGGAGCTGCGTCTGTGAGGGTTGCTAGGGGGGGCAAGCGCCTCGCCAGGCAAAGCGGAACTCAGTCGAGTCCGCGCTACCAGCAGGCACAGCGGCCTGGGGTAGGCCCTCGGCAATTCTCTGCGGACCTCCCGCCAAGGCGAAGCAAAGCGGAAGCCGCCCGTCATGCTCCTCGACCTCCCCAAGCTCCATTGCCTCGGCGTCCGAGGCCGAGTCAGAGGCTGGGTCTCCTCCGTAAGAGGACCCTAACCCGACCCGGTGGACTGCCTAGCGCTAGGAACCACAGGAAGGGAAGAACAGACAGACTGCTCCCCGTCAGCGCCAGCCCGGCGTGCGTGGACCCGGTCCCGAGGCGCTGGAGGCAGGCCAGGCAGAACTGGTGCCTCGGCTCTCATGGGGGCGGGTGTGCGCAGGACGGAATACCAGGAATACTCAGCGGCCCTGCGCGAGCTCGAGAGGGACTGGGAGCACCTCCCTCTCCCGGGCAGCGAGGCGTCCGGATCGAAGCCAGAGGCAGCGGATCTACAGGCGCCTCAAGGCGAGGGATCGAGCGAGCCAGCGATCCCACCCCGGACTCTCCGCCCCGTCCGGAGTGGGTGAGGAACTCCTGCGGAGACCTCCAACCCGACTCTCGCGAGCGAAGGACTTCGCCGAGTCCATCTGCTGCTGAAACATAGACTCCATCAGTGACATGTCAAAACCACTTTCGAAGTGGCAGGAGAGGGGAAGGGCCCGCGGGATTTTTTCCCTTACGGACTGCGTTTGGACTTAGGCGGGGAACCTGCGTCAGGTCCCCTCCGCCTCCGCATTTAGCGATAGAACAAGGTGTCGGCAGCCCGCCTCTTCTGGGCCGGGGAAAAGGCCAGACAAATAGGGCAGGAGTCAGCCTCATGGCCTGTCTTCTCCAGACAGGCCCGCGCAGCTTCAGGTATGACTGTCGGCCCGGGGGATACTCCCCTCACAGACCGAACAGCATGAAAGGCCTGAAACAAACGCGCCAAACATGTTAGTTAGCGGTGCCAGCAGCATATAAACGCGTAGAAAACATTGAAAAACTTCGTGAAGGTTACCCGCGGAAGTAATAGTTGGTTTTAATCGCAATATTACGACCACATGGCGCAGCTAAACTTCCCGCCATGGCAGAGCAACGCGTCGCGTAACCGCGGGAAAGTTGGCGTATTTTGTATTAATACAAAGTCACAATTATGAAACAACCAACTGTAAAGCTTTACTGTTCTTGTTTTAGACAAATAAAGACCATACATACAGGTGGTGTCTCAGACATAGTCTCTTTTAACAGCGCCCGTGCGGCTCATGAATGGGTTACTCAAAACCGTCTGTTCCGCGGCCGTGACAGCAGAAGGAATGATGATCACGGGTCTAGGAGCCTACCCAGTTAGTGCGCATGCGCTAAGGGGAGGTAACTCCGTGAGGTAGGAGTCCATTATAATAAATAAAAGAGTTTATTTATTGTACAATCTTTTATTCAAAAACATTGATACAACTGTCACAGGACATTTTTCAGCGGAAAATGCATAATATGTACCCCAAGGGCGATCTCTCTGAAAAGAATTACAAAGGGTTGTCTCACCCTGGCACTGGACATTAATTCTACAGGAAGTGTACAAAGGGTTGTCTCACCCTGGCACTGGACATTTATTCTACAGGAAGTGTACAAAGGGTTGTCTCACCCTGGCACTGTACATTTATTCTACAGGAAGTGTACAAAGGGTTGTCTCACCCTGGCACTGGACATTTATTCTACAGGAAGTGTACAAAGGGTTGTCTCACCCTGGCACTGGACATTTATTCTACAGGAAGTGTACAAAGGGTTGTCTCCCACCCTGGCACTGTACATTTATTCTACAGGAAGTGTACAAAGGGTTGTCTCACCCTGGCACTGGACATTTATTCTACAGGAAGTGTACAAAGGGTTGTCTCACCCTGGCACTGGACATTAATTCTACAGGAAGTGTACAAAGGGTTGTCTCACCCTGGCACTGGACATTAATTCTACAGGAAGTGTACAAAGGTTGTCTCACCCTGGCACTGTATGTTAACACAAGAGGAAGTGTACAAAGGGTTGTCTCACCCTGGCACTGGACATTAAATCTACAGGAAGTGTACAAAGGGTTGTCTCACCCTGGCACTGGACATTAATTCTACAGGAAGTGTACAATGGGTTGTCTCACCCAGGCACTTGACATTAACACAAGAGGAAGTGTACAAAGGGTTGTCTCACCCTGGCACTGTACATTTATTCTAGAGGAAGTGTACAAAGGGTTGTCTCACCCTTGCACTGTATGTTATGTCTACAGGAAGTGTACAAAGGGTTGTCTCACCCTGGCACTGGACATTAATTCTACAGGAAGTGTACAAAGGGTTGTCTCACCCTGGCACTGTACATTTATTCTACAGGAAGTGTAGAAAGAGTTATCTCACCCTGGCCAGATGGAGGTGTGTGTCTGGAAGGAGGTCCTTGTGGTACTGCTTCACCAGACGGATCATGTCCCCATACAGACGCTGCTTCTTGTACATGGTGATAGCCAGGTCCGGTTCCTCCACCGCCACGTACAGCCTACACAAACAATCTCAATCAGCAAAACAAGCAACACTTCACAAGCAGCTCCTCAGTCATCTATATGTCACTGTCAGTCTTGTTGAAATAGTCTCAGAATAGTGTTAAGGCCAAAATATTTTTGGGCACAGTTGTAACATTAAAACAAAAGAAAACACGTTTACTTGTCAAGCTTTCCCCATACAACCTCTACATTCTTAATGAAGCCAAGCACAAACTCCCTGAATAACTACAGCCCTGTTTGAAGGCATTACCTCTCTGCATCTTTGAATTTGCCCTGTTCTTCCAACTGACGGGCCTGAGACACGTAAAGGTTGGCAACATCGTCGGTCTTCATGTATGTGGAGGCCAACTGAAACCAGCCAATCATAGTGTGTACAATACCTTTGTATCTGTCATTGGAACATACTATTGTACCTTGAAGCTGCGGAATCAAGGCAGCACAAGGATGTTACACAAGGATGCAGCATAACATACGATGACCAAATTTAACAGGCTTTTATCAGTACCACAAATAATATTTTAGACAAATAAAATCTGGAGCTGCAATTTTGGAAAAATACAAAAGGAATTTCAACTGTCGAAAGAGTTTATATTTTGGTAGCACCAAGAATGTGTTGGCACCAGCATGCTTTTCAGATTCATCTTGTGTGTTGGTAACGGTATCCTCAGTCTAAGTAAACTTAGGCTCAGTATTATTCGTTACACTGCTATACCTTGCGGAAGGTCGCGTCAGGTAACCTTTTCAATTGACCAATCAGAACACAGCTTACCAAATCGCGAAAGTTGACATTCCCACATATCTTTTGAACTATTACCTCGAAAAAGTTTTGTACCCGAACGATTCCGAACACTATTTTCCATACGATCGCTTCCGAGGATGCACATGGAGCATGCCACAAAGTGAGTAAACAGTCGCTGAGAACAGCGTTTTGTCAGTATTCAAGGATGTCAGCTTGCGGAAATATTAACTTATGATAACCAGTCAACAGAAACCCCAAAGCGTATATTCTGCAGGTCATATATCTATGTTTTATGCGGGTTTTCATTTGTTGTGAGATAAGTGTTGGCGACCGGGGAAGAGTAAATCCATAAGTCCATTGGTTAAATCCGTTCTGTCGTCTCGCGTTTGATTGGATGGTCATAGGTCGCTCAAAGGTTACCTGACGTGCCCTTTCATAAGGTTTTGTTACACTCAGTATAGCAGTGTAACGAATAATACTGAGCCTAAGTTTACATAGACTGTGGTATCCTAAGAAGAATTTCAGGCTTATACGGGGGTGTCTGATTATGTCATAACTATATTTCAGTTTTGGTGCTCCCTTGAGAGCTGTAAAGTCATCTAAACCTCTGTGACAGTACCTTATGAGCCTGTTCCCACATGCCAGCCTGGTTGTACATGTCCACTGCCTCCCGCGTACAGCTCGCCTCCACATAGAACCGCTCGGCCGACTGAATAACACCATTATCAAGTCAGTGCAAAATCAAACATCAAAAATTAAAATCAAAATATCCATTTTCTTCAATCAGCTAATTATGTATCAATGACATGGCTTACATACTCTTAACATTACAACATACTCATCTATTGTTCAGACTGCAATCTATCATTGCAAATACATTTCCAAAACGTCCTGACATCTGAGTCTCATAGCTCAGCCTGTCATTGTAAACCTGTGGTTGCTGGCATCAATTAACACACACTCAAGTACCTCATATTCTCCAACAGAGGCATAGTGGTCTGCTATCTTCTTGTAATATCGAGAGGCCATCGATGAATCCTGCATCTCCAGAATCTGTACTGCCTTGGCCCACTGCCTGGATGCAATGGCAGCATCGACAGCCTTCAGAGTTGCTCTACATGAAAACATGTCACATGTGAATTGAAAAACTGGATAGTTGGACAAGATAATACAGTCATTCACGCTCTGAATGCTTAAGTGAAAACTTACTGCCACTTAGGTAGCACATCAGATGTGTGAGTTCACTGTTTCAACTGACATACAAAGTATGGAAGAGGGGAGATAACTTAGAAAAAAATGTGACTTTTTGTTTATAACTGTCTCTGTAACCTCTGTTTTCAACTGAGCATCAAAAGCTGAAAACATGATGATGACGATTTCAGAACACTAAAAATAAACCAGGGTCTAAGGCCTAAAGAGCAATGCTTTAACCACTAGGATACACAGCTATCCCTTACGTATAGTGAAAACATTGTACAGAGAAAATATGCTGAATAGAAAAGTAGCTGTCTAATTCTGACTCAATGGAAAAATGTGGGACAAATAACGACATCCCATTTACATCAAAATTGGTGTTATGTAATTATCAATCAAACCCAATCAACAAGCCATTTGCCAATAAGAACTATATGTGGAACTTGATTCGCATCATTTTGTGTAAGATAGTGTGTTGTGAAGGTAAAGAGGCAAGGGAGGTAACACCAGTCAGATACCAGGATATTGGGGCATTTGGATATACAGACCCTTCTTTAAAAAAACAGGGTGTTTGGGTAGAATGTAGTTTGCTGGGCACCATTCGCATAAAGCAATCTCAGTGGTAAGAGGAATATAACTCCAATACTTTAAGACAGGTTCACAATAGTCATTGCACTAAAATCACTCGGCAAACCCAGTCTACAATGAAGGGGATTACACATTCCTTTGTAATATTGATCAGTTACTTGTCGATACTTGTGTGATTCGATAAGTGTTGAATCAGAGTTCAAAGAGGTTTGATCCACTTCTCATCATGATGTTTGCTGTCAAGGGTTGTAGTCTAGGGGGGAGAGACTACCACTGTACACTGTACACTAAACATTACTCTATTACTCTGCCGTACAAGATCGACACTCATCTGACATCTTCCTCACCCTGCCTCAATGAAGTGGTTGATGGCTGGGTCCAGCTGTTTCTGGGTCACTAAGTAATCTCCCCATTCCTCCTCGAGCTTCACAACATCGGCAGGGAAGGCATATCGCGCCAGCTCCACAGCTGTGCATAAACATTCACCACCATTAAACAACATCACAGGAAACACATTCCGCATTAGCTCAACAGCTGTACAAACACATTAACCACCATCTTGAGAAGCCTTTAATACATATCACGGAAATAAGTATAATCTAACACCCATTGTCGAGCGGACAGGCTTCTTGACTATAAAACTGATATGAGACAGTTGCCTACCTCTCCTATAGGCTTTCCCCTTCTTGAAGCAGTCCATGGCTCTGGTGGCATCCTTGATCTTCTCGTACAGGTCACCAGCCTGTCACATACATACATCCATTAATAAGAAGAAGGGGGTATCATGTAGCAGTTTACAACAGGGAATACCATATCCACTGTAACAAGCACCAGCACGAAGAAAACTGACAAAGGGGACACTCATCAAAACTCACGCATGCCATGCAGTAGTGAACAAATTGAATTCAAATGTTGATGAAACTAAATTCTTTTTGACCACGAGGCTTTCATATGTCCTTCTGTGTTTCAGTTAACAAAACTGCAAGAGAATACAGACTGTCATGTACTTTTTCAGTCTAAGTGGGGTCTCCTATAAAGAATACTTACCGACTGGTCAGGAGCACTTATGGGAGCTGAAGATGCAAACTATTCAGAAACCTGGCTACTCACCCTTTCATAGAGGTCTGCCTTGATGAGTGCTGAGGCAATCCTGCTGATAAGGTCAGAGTTTGACATCAGTTCCTGGAAGGAACAAAATTGAACAACTTTGTGATACTTTGTAAAATACAAAGGTCTCTTTCTACTAAGGGATTGTCATGTTATAGAGTCCACAAAAGCTATAGTGACAAATGGAAAAAACATTCTCATTTGTTGCAAAACATCTGCTTGCAAATCTCCCCAAATAGCTGCGAAAAAATTACTGATGCTGTGGTTAGCAGCTCACTCACTCACTTGCTCTCTCTGCTAAGCCCCTCTGTCGCCATAGCTGTGTGACATTAATCCTAATGTTTGTACTCACATCCCTGCTGGTGGCAAGTCGAGCTGCCTTGGCTGGGAGGCCGGCCTTCATATACAGGTTAATGGCTGCCATGTAGTCTCCTTCTCGCTCCTTCACCTGCAAACATGGACAGCTTGTTGAAAGAGTGACATTCATACTTCTCTGTCTGTTTGCTATGGTATCAAGAAGAAAATAGTGTCACATGCCTGAAGTACAACACAGTTACATTTGTATAATCTTTGCTTGAGAACTATGAGGTTAGTGTCAAAATCTATGACAGAACATGAGTATCTGGAGGAATGTTGCATAAAAGTCACAAGAATCTATATTACCGCTGACAGTACATCCTGATATTACAAGTCAGTGATAAGCTACTGGACCCTATTCAGCAATGGAAATAATGGCTAATAACTTGCTTCCATACATTTTTTTAAATTTTAGGACAATTGAACACGAATAAGACAAAGTGAGTTACCTCCCCTGCTGTTTCCTCCTGGTTTGTCTCCATGAGCCACTGGTAATAGTTCCGCCTTAACGTCTCTAACTCTGGGTGACTCTGTCACACATAACACACACAAACACATTATGCATACAATTCATACATAATTCACACATAAGAGAGCTGAGAATATCAAAGGGAGAGACTAATGGGTGGAACACTTCTATATTCTGTTTAATTTTGATTGTTATCACTCTTCTACTCAGTGTTAAAAAATAATAATTAACTCATCCAAAAAAGTCTCCAGAAAAGTTCTAATTCTACAAAACATATGTATGAGACCCTACAGATATGCTGATACACAGTACAGGACAGACCAGATTGTACATTTCTAGGTGTTCGATGGATACACCCTAGTTTCTGAGAGTGATGTCAGAATAGCCTACCTTTGCCTCAGCCACCTCAATGGCCTCATCCCACATGTGCATCTCCTGGTACATCTCCATTGCCTCGTCTACATGGTTCTGTAAAAAATGGTTACGCATTGTCATATATGACATTGTCACATTGGTGAGATTAATCCTGTCAATAGTTAACTTGTACCATATCCTTCATAAATACATTCAGGCCTCCATTTTATTACTCCATTTTGTAATATCTAGTGACATTGTCATATTTGGCAAAACCATAACGTCCCATTGAGTGAGGTGAGTTTGAAATAGGACAACCAAATGTACCAGTATTTTATTCCATACGTTGAGACCCAATTTCCAGTACCTCCTCTACCCTTCCACTTTCCCAGAGAAAGTAGCAAAAGCTGTTCTTCTCTTTATCTCATCTACTTATATTTACTGAGGTTCACCTCTGGAGTGTGCTCAGGTGTTATCACTGTCAACAAACAAAGACCGGAGTCTGACCTGCTCCAGGTAGATAGACTCGGCCTCCTTGAACCTCTTCTCCATGATGGCCATCCGGGCTCGCACCTTGTAGTGGGTCAGTCCATCTCCACCCTGACACAGAGACACATGGAGAGTGTACAGAGGCATTGGGCTTCCAACAAACTGTTGCTTTATATGGTACTGCATTTACAGTCACAATGGCAATTCAGAAGTCCTTATGCCATAGAAAGGCTGGCTGGGATTCAGATTGGAACACTAAAATCCCTCATCACAAGATTCTTCAAAGAATGTGCATGTAGTGACAAACTGGTCTTAACTTTGCTCAGAGTGAGTGAGTGAGCTGGGTTTAATTTTGCTTTAAACAATGTTCAACTTTCAGCTTTTCAGCTCAATTTGAAAGGAAAGAATTGTGTCAATAAAGGGTTGATGGTTACCCATAGTAACATACTAACGTAAACACTGGCCAGTTGCCCATTAAAGCTCACTGTGTATCAGCACATTAATCAATAAACAACCATCACAACTTTGTACTGACCATGTGTTTGGCAGCCTCCTCTGCAATCCTCAGCGTCTCCTTCAGGAAGCGGGCCTTGGCAATGTCTCCTAATGCACAGTAGCATCTGCAACGTCAACACCAATATGTCAGCAGAGGCGTCATTAATAAATATCAAAGTGTCTGAATCAAACGGTTTCACAAAACGAATCAAACGTAATCTAATTTCATCTAAAACGCAGAATGAAACACACAATACAGTTATCAAATATCCCATCTAATATCATACATGTCAGTACAGACCAAGCAAAACATTTATGAATATCATGGGACGGTTAACCCATACAAAGAACATTACAGGTGTTGGTATTATAAACTTCCATCAAATACCCATCTAACATACTCTGACAAAAGATGACAGGCCCATGCCAATCTGAGCCATCAAAAGTACTGCAGCAACAAAATGTGTACCGTTATTCCCAAGGCTGACAAACATCCACACAAAAAACAATATAGGATGTCATTATGAATCATCAAAATAAACCATAAAACATCTTGAAAGTTCTGATGTCCATTCCGTTTCCTGTATCCAAGAGAGGGAACAATACAAACCTTTGTAATGGATACTGATAATACAGTGCAACAGATGTGTAAACTATGAGGGTAAGAATCAATTAAACTACAGAATCACTGCTATCGTTCCAGTTAGTTTGTCTGTCTTTAAATGCTGCACTCAACAATATTGATATGGGGGCCTGTAAATGATTGAGTCAGACAATTTTTCCTGACAGAACTGTAAGAACACTGTGCCACCTTTCTGCAATGTAGAGCTGCCTGTCCTCCACAGCCATCTTGGAGAGGGATTGCCACATGGCCTCCGTTTCTGATGACATCTCCAGGGTCTCCAAGAACGCTGCAGCTCTGAAGACAAAGGAACCCGTGTACAGGGACAGTTGATATTACATGTAGCAGGTATGTTATTGTCAGTTTCACACACAAAAGGTCATAGGAGAATAGGAGAAAAACTAGACAAATGTCTTTGACAATATTTTACCCCTAAAGAATGTGTGACAACCTATTCAAAAATTGTTATTATTATTGTATTTCTATCAGTCAATAATCTTCACATGTTCTACTGACTGATATTGAATAATGAAAGGAAATCGACATTATGTGACAAAAAACATCCCACTATGACAATAATATTCCACTTGTTATACCACTACTGCTAGAATATCACAATAGTGTATTTTCTTAACTATTGCAGTAGTCAAAATTACCCCCAAAAGTCACCCTAAGAAATAACCTATGGCGATTCCTGTTTTCAAATGTCCTCACCTTGCGAGGTCTCCATCGTCAATGGCGGTGCCGAACTCAATGAGTCCTTCGTCTAATGTGTACGAGACAGTGGTTAACACCTTCGCTGACAATCACATCCTGTCTTGCCATCAACCCGCTCAAGGTCAACAATATCACCCTGAGAGATATAAGAATTAAAACAAACAATATAGTCTTGAGTTAACCAAGGTTCAATTCAACCCAAAATGATGAATAAGAATACAGTTTGCAGAGACCAACCTTTTACTTCAAGACATAAGTGTGACGCATCAAAGTTTGATACAACAGTGTTTGACTGTTTTAGGTACTAGTTTAAATTACTGTTTGTAACCGTCCCAACACAAGTAGGTTGACTGATAGAGCTATACCTTCCATAAGGTCTAGGGAGAGAGGTGTGGCAACTTAACTACAAGAGTGATAAAAAAGAAAAGGTAACCAGACAACTGACCTTCAGTGGGAACATGGTGACTCTCTCCGGGGCGTCGATGTTGTACCACACACACAGGTTGCCACGGTTCTGAGCTACCATCACATCACTACCAGGTACCCACTGAAACATGAGTGATTGTACAAATGTAAATGTGCAAAGAAGTAACTATTACTACATTAGGGACCGTTCATAATTTATGGCTAGGTGGGGGTGATGATGATTTTAAGGGGGGTCACCCATTTTGTTCTGTGGAGGTAGGGGGGGTAGCATCAATTTTGTACCCATGTTTCTAAGAGGGGTCAGCAATTTTGTATATAAAAATATTTTAAAATTATGCTTTAAAAATATGGAAAGGGGAGGGGGCTCATTGACTTTGTACATGGCATGCAGGGGGGGTCTTTTACTTTGTACATAAATTTTAGGGGGGTCATTCACATTGTACATGCTTCTCTATAAAAATCATCATCACCCCTACTAGCCATAAATTATGAACGGTCCCTTACTACAATTACTCAAACAGCTGAATGATAAAACTATGTCTAATCATTCTGGGAGATATGTGAAACAAATGAAACAAGTAAAAACAAGAAGACAAAGTCATTCATATCCCTTGTCATGTTTGAATGCAAACCTTTCTAAACAAACTGATTTGTTAATTGATAATTAGAATCAAGGGCCATAACTCTGTAACATATTTATTCTCAATTAAAGTTTTCAAACTTCTTCATTTAACAATGCCTCAAAATGTATTCACGCTGACACCTATACTGGATTCCAAACATACTTGTCTCCATATAAGGTGACAATACACTGTCTGAAAACAAGGGAAAAGGCCATAGTGCTGTAGAATATTAGTTCTCATTGCATGGTTTTGACCTCAGTCTAAACATGTATCCCTTGGTGGTAAAAGTCAAGTAGCATCTGATGGCAAGTGATTGATATTATAAACATCCTCCTAATTTGTTGTAGTACAGTAACTTCCATTTGATACAGTGAGTGAGTGAGTGAGTTGTGTTTTATGCCAATTTTACCAATATTCCAGCAATATCACAGCAGGGGACACCAGAAATAGGCTTCACACATTGTGCCCATTTGGGGATTCCCACCCGGTCTTCAGCATGACGAGCAAACACCTTAACCACTAGCCTAACCCACCACCCCTAACTTTGATACAAAAAGTATGAGTGGATAGATTTCATCCCAGAATATGATGAGGCCAGAAATTTCAGCCTTGAGGGACGTACCTGGACGTAGGAGCAGTAGTTGAGGATGCTAGACTTCATCTGCGTCTCCATGTCGTACAGGTGAAGCTGGAGAATCAAGATTACCTTTCAGATTCATGGTCTCACAGATACATTAACTTTCTGTACCAGCATAACACATACTTACTATCTGTCATTACATAAATATGTCATGCAAAATATATATTGATGAAGTAAATAGAAAGCAGCTTTTTAAAAAGATCAATATTATACAGAAACCATTATCATACACTGATATTCCTTTATTAATGTTTCCTTAGGTGTGTAAGTCAGTCATTGTTGTTTCTATGGGTAATGCAGTGTTTGGCTTACCTTTAGTTTCTTGTCTCGGAACAGGAGTTTCCTGCAGGTCTCATTCATCTGAAAAAAGTTATATTTCACTTGCAAATACAATACAATACAATACAATACAATACAATACAATACAATACAATACAATACAGGGTTCGAAATACCCCATATACTAGTGTGCCATGGCACAGAAAATACAGAAATGGCACGGCTAAAAAATGTTCTCGGCGCCCTTTTCACACACCTAATTTTTAGACATAACTCACATTTAGTCATTTAATCACCAAAACAATTATTTTTTTCCAAATTGAATAATACCATACATATTTGAATGCTCATAAACCCATTTCTTTATTTAACAATAAATTTCAAATGATCATCATCATTGTCATTTATTCTAAAAACATGTGGTCATACTCAATTTCAGAAAGGCACACCTAAAATATTTGTCTGGTGCCCTAAGGCACACTTAGAAAAAATAGTATCTCTATCCCTGCAATACAGTACCCCTATCATGCTCTTACACAATAGTCACTCACTCACTCTTACACAATAGCTGCGATGAGATGTTTAAACAGAACAACTTGTGCCTATCTGCAACTATCTGCATCCCATGCAACCAATACTGTAAATACTGTGAATCTCCTTGTACATACCTCCAGCCAATCAATCTTGGAGTCATGGCTGATCTGTCCCAGTCCAACTCCAGTCAGCAGGTCCACTGTGTTACAAATTGAAATGTAAGTTTATCAAGAGTTATCTCCCTTTGATGTATTTCTCTTCTGGATGGTTCCAAATTTAGATTATATATCATCTTATGAATGTTGTGCCAACATTAACGCAAGCACAACAAGAGTGAGTTTTATATATAATAACAATGTGGGGACTAGAACCTGGACCTGTATGGAGATGAATAAATGAGTCAAACAAAGGGCTACCTTAATACTTCTTAAGTAACATGTATTAATTCAAAAACTACTGAAAAATCCTTTTCTGCTAAATATTTATCTAGCTTTTCTTCAATCCATTAAATCTAACATGTAATATTAATCACTGAAGATAAGATAATCCTTTTGAGTTTATGGATATATTCTCTCATGTGTAGCATTGAATGAACATACTGATAGCAATGGTCTTGAGATCCACCAGGTAAGCCATCTTCTTGTTGTCGGAGACGCCACGCTGTTTTCTCTCATTCAATCTCACACTGGAAATAATTTCAACAGAAACAAAAGTCAATATGAAAGTTTAAATAAGAACAGTTTATAGGATGATGCATGTATTCAAGCCACATCAAATTTTCTTCTGATGAAGTTTTGAAAATTTTAATATAAATTGTATATTTATATACTTATCCTATCTCACGGTATGCACTTCTCTCTCTTGATTCGACACTGAGAGGAACGATGTAAACTTTTTCCCAAGGCCTCTCTTGTCCATCCGCCCAAGCACTCCATGCTACCCACTCTATAAGACAGCTTCCTAGCTCTCATCCAAAGCATGCGGCATGCACCACTAGCTGCCCACGTGACTATCTCCGAATCATCATTCTCATTCTTGGAGCCACTGGATAATATCCATCTTGGAGAATCTGCATAGCGGGGAGGATGGGCGAGAATCCGTCGCGTGAGATAGGATAAGTATATAAATATACAATTTATATTAAAATTTAAATTTTTAAACTTATCCTATCTCACGGTATGCACTTATCCCACGGTTGGACGGCAGGGATGCAGATACCCTGTGTCTTGACAGTTGCAAACAGCAGGAACTGTGTAGACTGGAAACGATCCGTAAATAGCGATGCACAAGGGGGGCCTGTTACGCATGCATGCAACTTCTATGCTTGTGCTGAGTTCTCTTGAACTCCTTGGCTTACTAAGCACAACGTCTCCCAGGGAGATGGGTGTGGCGTTCGGCCGCAACCTCCGAAGAAGGACGCAGCTCAGCGAGAAAGTATGTCACTTCGCCACGATTTCCAAGGTACCCCCGTAAATTAAAGTCGGTTGACAATAATCAGGCCAGCCCCTGCATCGAGAAGACCCCCACAGACACCTACCAGGGGCGGGTGAAAGAGAAGCACAACTCGGGAACTTCAAGTTTTTAACGTTCAGTTCCAGAACAGCATCAAATTGACCCTCACTCCTTTGCATAAGCTTATTCAAAGGATGTGCCCGGCAACTTCAGAGTCGGAGCGCAACAACATCCACTGGAATTCAGGAGTGACACACTTCACTGACGTAATTGCTTAGAAAAGTAGAGGTCAAGAAACATGAAATGTCGAACTCTTCCACATCGTGATACAGAATCGAGCTCCAGATTCGTCCAACCACCGAGGTGGTAGTATCTCCGTGTCTTAGTATAAAACTAAGTGAAGTAGTTCTAACCCATAAGCAATCAAAACATAAGGTAGACAGCAAGTTCAGACTTATATTCAAGTAAATACAGGGAAGCAGCAACCGCGAGGGACCATTCCCTATCTGCGTTGGTGGGTCGTAGACAGCTGTTGTGGGGTCCAAACTGGTGCAGGCCTTGGACATCCTTGACTGAGAGGTCTCGAAGGTAGTGCGAGGAGAAGACCGAGTCAGATCGCCAGAAACATCCTTCCATAATGGAGTAGAGAGAGCAGTTACTATGCAGAGCCATTGTAGACGCTAACACCCGTCTCATGTGGATTGGAAGCTGTCGGGGGCGGTAACCCAGCAAAGGTGTAAGCCCGTAGGATGGTGGCTCTCATCCAGAAGGATAAAGTGGTGCGAGACACTTCCACCCTGGATGTTGAGGAATGAATGAAGAGGCGCTTGCGGAGACAGCGGCAATCTTTAGAAGCAGCAAGAAAAATCTTCAAAGCCCTTACAGGGCAAAGCTGCAGGTCTTCATTGTCATGCGGCCCAAAGATCGTGGACAACGGTGGGTTGGTAAAAGTATGATCAGGTTGTCCCGCCAACTGATTCTTCGCTACAAAATCCCAACGGAGACTGAGGAAGACTTTGCCATGCTTCTTCTGTTCTGGACTCTGTTAACGTCCAAAGCGTGGAGTTCAGAAATCCGAGCAGCTGTAGCCAAGGCCACAAGGAAGAAGGTCTTGAAGGAGATCTTCTCAAAGTCCTTCTGAGCTAGGGGTTCATAGTCCGCTGAGGCCAAATGATGCAGCACCACAGATAAATCCCAAGCAGGAGGTCAAAACTTCTTAGACTGATCAGCCAACTTGAAGGACTGGAGCAGATACTGAAGCTCAGGAACCGTAGAGACCTTAGAGCCTGTGGTGGTAGCCAGGACCGAGTTGATTGCAGCAAGTTGAGTGGCCAAAGTGGAACCCTTGAGCTTCTTAGACGACCGCAAATGCTGAAGAAACAGGAGATGTAATGCCTCTGGACATGCAATATCTCTCAAAACATTTCCACTTCTCATCATAAAAAGTGAGCGGGTGGAAGTCCGATGAGCAGAAGTGATGGTCATAGCCACTCTCCGCGAATACCCCTTGGCGATTAAGGTCTTATGCAAATGCGCCAAACATGCAGAGACAGGGTGTGAAGGGATACATGACACCAATCCGAGTGAGGGTGTAACAGTAGGTCGTCCCCGATCGGAGAGAGGAACTGGGTTTAGGTCTGGCGAGCTGACGCAAGATCTACAAACCAACTCCTGACTGGCTTTTAGCAAAAGCGCCACCAAAATCAGTAGAATCTGCCTGGTCGCCGGAGTTTCTGGATGACTCTAACCATAGAACCCGGAGGTGGAAAGGCGTGGAAAGCGTAGCGTTGATTCCCTCCCACGAAATCGCCAGAGCTGCCGAGATCCCACGCTAGTTGGTCAGGTATCGGCGAGACAAACTGCTGGAGCTGATGGTTGAACCACGTGGCGAATAATAGGTCGACTTCTGGGGCCTTTTAACGGGAAGACCAGTTCCCGAAAGATCTCTGGGTTCAATTGCCACTCCGTGGGAGACGGCCGATCGGAGCGGGACAGCGCATCTGCGATGACATTCTTGACTCCGGGAATGTGTCTGGCTCGAGCATCGATGGCGAGGGAGTCGATTAGATGGAAGAACCGAAACGCCAACTGAAGAAGGTTCGCCGAACCCGTCGACCCGAGATGGTTGATGTACCAGACGACAGAGGAGTTGTCTGTCTGAAGTTCTGCCCCGAAGTTCCGTTGCCCAATGTCGAATGGCGAGAAGAACCGCCAAGAACTCGAGTTCGATGATGTGCAAGTCCAGTTCTGCAGACGACCACAGCCCGGCTGTCTGATGATGAAGAAAGTGAGCCCCCCAACATTTGAGCGACGCGTCGATGAACAAGTGGTGCGTTGGAATGAACAGTATCAAACAAACTCCGGCCCAAACGTTCTGAAGAAAAGGACGAATCAACTCGAAGACGAATCAACTCCTGGACATTCTCTGAAACGAGATATGGACGCAGGAAACGCTGCAACGGACGCAGTTGCAATTGTCCCCGCCGTGTCAATGCTTGTGCCGATGTCAAAAGGCCCAACAGTTCCTGCCACTGTCGTAAGGTCCTGGCCTGCGACAGTGCTAACAGAACTAGCCACCTGTCTTGGGGGACGAAAATCAGGCCCTGGTGCGTGTCGAAAGTTGCTCCGATGAATTGAAGGGTCTGGGTCGGTGTTAGTTCCGACATCGCAGCGTTTAACAACCAACCTAGTTGCCGGAGTAGCTTCGTACTGAACTCCAACTGACGTAGAAGAACAACTAGGTCTCCCTGTGCCTGAATGCAGTCGTCTATGTAACTTTCGAACACGACCCCGTGGAGATGAAGAAACCTAGTGATCGGCTTGGTGATCCTGGCAAATAGCCAGGGGGCTATGGAAATTCCAAAAGGCAGGACAGTCCATTGATAATGGATCCCTTGGAATACAAATCGGAGGAATTTCCGCACATCCGGATGAATGGGCACATGAAGATAAGCATCTTGAAGGTTTAAGCTGACAAGAAAATGCCCTTTCTTCAGGATGGTGAGAAGAAGGACGATCGATACCATCTGGAAGTGAGGTGGGCGCTGGAGATAGTGGGCATTGAAAAGTTTCAGTTGAAAATGAGTCATAGTTTTGTGGAGTTTTTCTTGGGAACCAGAAAGATGAGGGAATAAACCCCGGAGTGCTGGGCACCAGACCGAGAGACTGGACTGCACATTTTTCTATGAGCATACCTTTGGTGGAGTGAAGAACCTGCACCTGGTCCGCTGGGTAGCTGCGGTGTACTGGATGCACTGTCAGCGGCGGACGTCCGATGACTAGAAGGTGATAGCCTGTGGCGAGGAGGTCGGTCACGAAAGGATCGTCGAGTATGGTCCAGTTGGGAGCGAACCTCCCTAGCCTCCCGCCCACTGGAGAGTCGTAGATGGGGACGGCTGGAGGCGGGAGTTCCCAGTCGTGCCCTTGTTTCGCCGAGTCACTGCTTTGGGGCCCCACTCCCAGCTCTGGAGTCGGACTTGGGAGGACATCGGGAAGAAGTGCCACGGGAGGACCTGCTACCTCTAGCTAGGGACGAATGGCCACGAAAACCCTGACGCAGTTCCGGATGAGACGGCACGAACTGTGGAGGCTTCCTCTGTATCATGGAAACTTGCTGATGAGACTTCTGGAGTTTCAATAATTCCACCGAAACTTGAAATTGAGTGTCCCGATCCATCTTCATCAAAACTTCCCCAATCATGCCATTAAACAAGGATTCTGCAGACCACAGTTGACGGAAGAGTTCAGCCTTACACCTGTCATCCAATGAAGACAAATTAAGTGGGCCGCGACGTTGAACTGCCAGGAGATAGCCAATGAAATGAGACAGCTGGTCAAGTACTATCTGAAATTGGTCCAGTATAAGGGACATACAGCCTCTGATGTAAGTATCCTGATCGGTGAAAGAGTGCTCCACTGATGCCGCAACCGCGTCCACCGCCGAGATGATGCAGTTGATCGAGGGTAAGGAACGACAAATAGCTGTGTTCATGTGAGACAGTTCTCTGTCTTCAACTAGAAAAGTTGAACAAGTCCTCTTCCCACAAAGTGTTGGGACATCCTCATCCACCGAAGGGGTAGTAGCCAAGGACTGGAAACCATGGGAGTGAGCTGCTGGTAGTGAAAACCTAGGTGAAGACAGGCCATCCTTAATCCGTTTAAGGCTATTAAAGGCATGATCCAAGGAGGTAGTGAGATGATACAATACAAGGCCGTGGTGGGAAAGTAATAGATGTCAAGTCTCGTTGTCTCATGGAGAAGGAATGAGATAAATCCTCCGGGTTCTGTGACATAGGGAGGTGGAGTTTCTGCACTATCCAAGCTAAAACTTGAGGCTCATCGACAAAATCCAAACTTCCCTCTGGGGAATCCACAACCGAATGTGCTGGAGACGTAGGAACAGGTGGAACACCAGGACTAGGCGCCATAACAGATGGTCCGAGGGGAGGAGCATTCCCCGTAGAGTGAGCAGCCTGTTGTTGATTCCAAGCAGTAGTAAGAGCACTTAACATCGCCCAGCCAGATCTGGGGATGGAGTAGTTTCCTCCTGCGGAGGAGTCAGGAATCTGGTACAATCCGAGTAGAGAGATGCACGAGGAGGCAGGAGTCCACTCAGAAGTCATAGCGCTGAGATCGCGCCTTTCGGAAAACTGTTGATTAGATCGACGATCCGTAGAATGTCTGGAGGGGGATGAACCGGGAGAGGATGCACAAATGGAGACCCGCTGAGGAGAACGGGAGCGAGGAGAGGAGATATTGCAACGATAACGACGATCCCTGGATCTTGAACGATAGGCAGTAGTCAACCGTGTAGGAGATATAGGTTGACGGGTCGAGTACGCAGAACTGGAAGTCCCATGATGACGAGAAGATGAATTCCGAGGAGGTGACTTGGAACGAAGAACTGATCTCAACGAAGCAGAGGGAGGTGTGTGCTTAGTTGAATGCGAACGAGACGAAGCGTGGCGTCTTGGCGGTGATGTAGGCCTAAGAGGTCTATCCGGTGAACAAATCCAACACAGTTCAGGGAAGTACTCAGATGATCTGGAGAGAGGCATTCCGCTGAATGCCGCTTGGAAGAAGGCTGTTTCGGAGAAAGTCTATTCACCACATGCCGTTTCGGTGAAGTCTTCCGTTTTGGCAAACGTTGTTTCGACAAAGTACGATTAGGTGAAGTCCGTTTAGCAGACGATCGATCAGGAGAATGCTGACTCTTAGATTGGTGTTTCGATGAAGACCGGTTCAGCGAAAGCTGTTTCGTAGAGAGCCGGTCTATTTCTGGTGAAGGTGGACAGTCCGGCGATAGTCAAGGTGGAGGAGGCGGACAGAAGCAGTGATCTGGCGAAGTGTGATTCGATCAGGCAGGCTTCAGCGAAGCAGAAGATCAAAAGGTAGCTGGACAGAAGACACATTTCTTTCGCGCGAATGGGAAGGAGACAGCAAAGTAACAACTGACAGGCGTTGAGGCGAGGTAGACTGGTTCCTCTCACTACTAAATGAACAAGAGCAAGAACGGCTTCTGCGCATTCGCTCTGCGCAGTCAGGAGTAGAGATCAGCTGATTCTTGTCCGAAACAGATAAGCCAGGTTGCCGAGATAACTGGTCCGGTGAACGAGAGACAGAGAGCGTAGTTCGAGGGTCCCGCTGTGTAGAGGTATCCTGGGGGTGGTAGCAGTCTCAACAACCACTACCGGGGCGTGGTCGAAGAGGCGAAGGACTCGGGCTGGAATGTTGAGAGCCCAACAAATGCCGAACATCTTCCGATAAGTAAGAATCTGACGACGCTCTCATGAAATCCTCTTCATTCGAGTGAGGGGACTGTGACCGCTGAGCAGACAAAGTAGGACGCTTAAACTTTCCTTTCCTGGATGGACTGGGTCCGTCAATTGAAGCAGCATAACGAGCCCTGTCAGCAACACTAACGAGCGAAGCCAAGTAGAAAACGTTGAGCAAAGTAAAATACGTCCACACTCGTGTGCGACAAGAAATAGAATAGATGATTTGGAGATAGTCACGTGGGCAGCTAATGATGCATGCCGCATGCTTTGCATGAGAGCTAGGAAGCTGTCTTATAGTGAGGGTAGCATGGAGTGCTTGGGCGGATGGACAAGAGAGGCCTAGGGAAAAAGTTTACATCGTTCCACTCAGTGTCGAATCAAGAGAGAGAAGTGCATACCGTGAGATAGGATAAGTTTAAAAATATAAAGAACAATGACTAGAAATGATGGGAACCTTAATTACATTAAGTGGTGACAACTAAATTGTTTCCTTTACCTGATGAGATGAGGGTTCATGAACTCTGTCCTCACACATCCTAGCACCTCATTGGCTCCATACTCGATGAGAGACAGCTCGCCAGCATTGAAGATCATGCACACCTGAATAAACAAGGATTTAATGTCAATGCAGGTATTCACTTGGCCAACTGACATAGATACTAACATAGAACAAGCATTGTCACTAAGGTGACATAATACCCTGCTGCAAATTATCAAATCAAACTTAAACAGTAATGAAAGTGAAGGTCGTAGTTAAAGATGAAGGTAAATGTCAACAAAAACATGACCAGTCAACCTCTCTTGATATCTTGCTCTGTAGTTGTTCAAACACACAAATATTTTCAAGACTCACTTTGAACTTGACATGAATGTCATGGTGTATGAAATATGCCAAAATAGTAAAAACATGCTGAAATCTTCAAAGCGTCACTGTGACCTTGAAAATTACGTGAAGGTCACCAAAACCGACTAGGCCCTGCGCCTTCCCTAGATGAAGCTTGGTGACAAATATAAAGAAAATCCAGAGAATGGTACTTGAGATATCTCACTGACAAGCTTAACATGCAGGTTAACATGCTGAAATCTTCAAAGTGTCGCCGTGACCTTGAAAGTTACGTGAAGGTCACCAAAATTGACTGGGCCCTGCGCCTTCCCTAGATACAGCTTGGTGTCAAATATGAAGAAAATCCAGTGAATGGTACTTGAGATATCTTGCTGACAAAGGTAAAACATTTAAGTCCCCTTGTGACCTTGAAATGAAGGTCAAGGTCACCAAACCTGACTGGGACCTTTCTTATACTGGGATGAACATAGGTACCAGATATGAAAAGAATCCAGTCAACGGATCTTAAGATATTCCAATTCATATGTATGCATGTACGTATATACGTATGGATGGACGGACGGAGACTAATACTATATCCCCCACTTCGCGCCATACGCGTGGCGGGGAATAAAAATAGTAAAACAGTAACATGAGATGTAAAAACAATAATACAGTTTCTGAGGTATCAGTTCTAACAGGTGAGACATGTCAACTTAAAGTGGTAGGAAAAACCAAGGTGGTGCCGGATATTCCATGGTCTGTTACTGTCGGGTTCACCAATGAATACTAGAACACAAAGTAATATTATTTCAGATCCTTGGGTAGCTACGTGACAGTGATTTGAGGATTTATCATTAGTTATATATCACCAAATGTCTACAAACCAAATAACTAATCAGTAAAACAACTTACACTCTCGTTATCAAAGTAGTATTTCTCGTTGCCACCAGACGACTGCCATGGAATCTGTAATGGGACGTGAAGGTTACTTGAAAGTTACAAGTATCAAAAGCAAGTTGTTTTCAAACCTGTTTTTGTCTTCAAGAAGGAGATATCAAATGAGATGCTGCTCACACTACAGAACATATGATAAATTAAAATGAAAATTCATAGTCACAATTGAAATGAGAATTAAACAGAACATGATCAATGACATAAAATGTGATCAGTAACTTCTTGAAAACATTATATTACCATTGTAATTATGTCCCACTACTTACCTCACTGAGTTTGCCTGAGGTCAGGTCGCCCAGTAGGATTGTGTCCGAGGTGTGAGCTACAAGGTAGCGGTCTTTACCCATGATGCGCACATCATCCACCTCATAGCCATAGAAAGACTTGAGCACCACACGCTGGCCACTTGACATGTTCTTCACAATCACCTGATACAGACATCACTAACAGATCCCATAAATCCATATAGACAATTAATTCAATTTCGGCACATTATTGATATTGTATTGTTCAACCGGAAACGAGAGGAAATTACATGTTACATTGACATTGTTTTTCATTAGATAAAACTGGACTGAGTTATCTCCCCTATGCCCTTTGACAAATTTGGACACTTACTGCATTCATCTAGTAAAACTCTGTTATGGGTTAAAATACAGTGATTCCATGAAACTGAGGACCTCATAATGTTGCAACTTTATCAAACCTTCAGTTATCTTGAATATGTATGATCAGATTTTCCTCAAGTTTGTACTTTTATAAATCTCAGTTCAACTTGTTAAATGGAACCATATAACAAAGACCCCTACCTGACTCAGGCCTACATGAGTTATTTCAAACTTGTTCTTGTAGATAGTTCTCTTGAGACAGCAGTCAAACAACTCAACTCCTCCACACAAGGTTCCCTATTAATCAGAAATCTCAAAATTACCACATGTGAACTCCAGAAACATTAGGCTGATTGACTTTGGTTCGAACCCGGGATCTTCGGCGTGACGATCAGAAACATTAGGAAACATTAACAGGACAGGCAATATCTGTCTACAGACCTTTCACATTTTGTTTGTATATTGTTTGCACTCAGCAACTTTCCAGCTATGTCAAAGTGGTCTGTACCAGACAATCCAGTGATTGACATCATGTGGATCAATCTACGCAATTGTGATATCGTCAATCAAGTCAGCAAGTCTGACCAACCAATCCCGCTCGTTGGCTCTTATGATATTCAGGGATAGCTGAAGACCAATTCTAACAAAGATCTTCATGGGTCTGAACATTCACACTTGTCAACACAAGCACATGATATCCGTTACTTTCATTCTAATGGATACTTGGCATTTATTAATTTACCCAATATGTCTTAATAAAAACACTGCATTAGTTTCACATCATACAATAAATGAAATCATATCAAGGACTCCACTTGACATATAGATGTTTGAAACTACAGTGGAAGCTGTCTAAACTGGCACTCGTCGGGACTGAAGAAATAATCCAGTTTAGACAGCATGCCGGTTTGTAGAGCTGACATGATTACCTACGACTAGAACTGAACCACTTTTGTCACTCTCATATACATTGTTGTATGCCGAAGCGAAGTGCTTTATTTCTGTGCACATTTTGAGGAAGTCTCTCATTGTCATGAGGAGAGAGTGGCTGAGCCTAGACAGGGGAATGTCGTCATCTTCGCCATCGCTTTCCTCTCTGATAGGACTGGCATCTTTGTCAGCAACCATGTAGCTTCAACACAGGATTAATTGGTGGCAATACACACCCCACCAAGACAGTGCTGATTACTCTATAAACACATATTCGGACGGCTCATTTCATGCCGAGATCCGGAATTGACAGCTGCCGAATTGCAGAGCTTTTAAAAGATGATAAATGTACTAGCTTCGGATGGGACAGAGATTTTATGCTGGTGTTGACAACTTGCGGGATTGGACAGCTGCCGGTTTTGACAGCTTCCACTGTAGTATGAATTTATCATAGAATCAGGACAGTTATGGCTCTCATGGCTCTTGTGACAATATTTAATCAGTCGGCACATACCGCAGTGACTTTGGATCCGTCTTTCTTCCAACAGAGGGATGTGATGGTGTACAGGTTGGGGATCTCCTTCAGCTTGGGTTCATCCCACATCTGCTTCCTGGGGCTCCAGTTGAACACCCGCAGTCTGTGGAGGAGGAGGAGAACGTACATACACCAGCACTGCCATGGCATATACAAACTGACATTATATTCTTCAAGAGTGGAGGGTTTGACAAACAAATTCGCCACAAACAGCTGCTGGATTGCTGAAATGGTGTTAAACTCTCTCACTCGACATGCATGTTGGTCTACTCAATAAATGTCAGCAAAAAGTAATCAAGACCAGTGTATATAAAATCTTGGTGATATGTAGCTGAAGAGATTTATGACATGTCCCAACAACTGGCAAATTCAACAAAATAATGTCACCTACCTGTCAAAACTGCCAACAACAACAGACTGTCCACTCGGGGAGCAGATGGCCGTGGTAAATCCATGCTCATCATCATCCCGGGTGTAGTCAAAGTGTTGGAAACTGCGACCATCTCGACCATAGGCCACGATACGCTTGTCACAGCCAGCGGCTACCACTGCATTCTGGGAGTAGGCCAGAGCATACGGAGGACAAGAGTGGGTGCAGATCTTGCCCTACGTAGTAAGTGAACGTGCATGAAAAACACATATAGAAGAAACAAGTACAAGAGTTATCCCCCCTTTACCACGAGCCTTTGTCAAGCTCAGAAATTGCTTACTAAAGTACTGTTGGAAATAGAAACAAACTTTTTTCACACTTATATCTGCAATTTATGTAGTTAATATATGAAAGTGTGAAATATCTGTTAAACTAGGTTAGGCCTAAGTACAGTCTCAGTGGTAGGGAGATAGGAAACGTGAAAAATGTAATTTTCTGACTAAAATTGATATTTTATACTTATCCTGACTCATGCTAATTATGCTTGTCTCCTTCCTTTTGCGAATGACAGTGGAACACTTGAAATCTCTTGAAGTTCCCTTTAAAAAGCAGACGTAAAATCACTCACCCAAGAGTAGCATCCCTTTCCTCCCTTTGGCGCCCAAATGGTCACATGATCGGCCATATTTGTCACTCTCTCCAGTATGTAAGCCCGACACCCGGATTTACAGGGAAATCCAGAGTGCCATAAGAGGGAGGTTGGGAGGGCTAACCTCATGAGTCAGGATAAGTATAAAATATCAACTTTAGTCAGAAAATTACATATTTTTCCTTATCCTGACTCATGTTAATTATGCTTGCAGAATCCGTCGGAAACGGTGGTGGGTCAAGCCACGTTCTGGATTCACTAGTTGTAGATTTACGTCCTGTATTACCCCCCTTGGGAACTTATGACGGCACTGTTGAAGATTCTTTCAACTTCTCTCTGATGAGTCTGGGGGGACCACAACTTGTCAGATTTCTTCAGAAACTTCTCCTGACATTTTCGTGTGGATTTTAGATATACTAATATTCCATTAGTTATCTATTGCAACTCCATCTCTTGATGCGCGCATCAAGTGGAGATGCGACCCTTCTTCATGTACGAGTATGTCCTATACAAGTACAGGGTCTATCACTCATGCTAGTCTGTCCTAGACGTGTGCATGGAGTTATAGCCATTGCTCTCCAAAGCGTTGGTTTTCACAAGTCATGTGATAAAAGGGGTGAGATTTACGAAGCGCCTTTGTGGAACCATTAGTTGTTGTGCTACAAGTGGCCCAAACTGGTGAACGCCTGAGACGTCTTCAGTTGCAATGTCTCTGAGGTAGTGGTTGGCAAACACTGTGTTCGATCTCCAAAAGCAGCCCTCCATTATAGTTGTAATCGAGCAGTTTCCATGCAGAGCAAGTGTTGACGCCAGGGCTCTGACTTCATGTGGATTGGAGGCTCGTGGAGGCTCAAGTCCTGCTGCTTTATATGCCCTTAGTATAACGTCTCTCATCCAGATCGATATCGTTGTCCTAGAGACTTCCGTGGGCGTCTCAGTGGATAAGGGGATGAATAGGCGCTTGAATTTTCGTCTCCTTGTTTTAGTTCTTTGTAAGTAGACTTTAAGTGCTCTGACTGGGCAAAAGGATAGATCATGCGTATCCTGTGGCCCAAGGACTGTACATTGTGCTAGGATGTGGAACTGTCTGTCAGGCTGACCAGGCAGTTGGTTCTTGGCGATAAAACCCCTCTCAATCCCAGATGTACGATGTCACGATGTCTTGATTCAAATCGTGTTCGTTCAAAGTCCAGAGCATGTATTTCTGACATCCTTGCTGCTGTTGCTAGGGCAATCAGGAACAGCGTTTTCTGAGTTAGTAGTTCAAAGGATGTCTGTTCTAGAGGCTCATAGGCATCACTGGTGAGATGTTGTAAAACTATGTTGAGATCCCAGGCAGGAGCCTTAAATTTCTTTTGTTGGTCTTCCAACTTGAACAAGCGTAGTAGTGAAAGAATCTCTGGTACTTTGGTCAGCTTGATACTCGTTGTCATGGGGATAACTGTACTGAGGGCAGCTAAGTATGTTGAGAGTGTTGAACCATTTAAGTGTCTCGTCTGTCGTAGATGACATAAGTATTCCGATGGGTTGCTTTCACCGCTGTAAAGCCTTTCCTCTTTGCATATTGTTCAATTCTCTGCCACTTGTCGTCGTACAAGTTGCGAGTTGATCTGCGTAGAGCTAGTGTTACTGCTTTCGCTGCTCTGGCGGAGTACCCTCTAGTCTTCAGGCAAGCTTTAATACGCTCCACGTGTGTAGCTGGAACAGTGTCGGTCCCGTGAGCTTGCTTGGTGTGTGGATGGACGAGTAGGTTCGACCACTCTGGTAGTTTCAGGGTTGGACTTCCGAGTTCTTGTATGAGGAAGGGAAACATACCCTCGCTGCCCAGTAGGGCACGACCCAAATCAGTTGCAACGTTGTCGTCTGCTTGAGTTTCTGTAGTACTTGTGGTAGTAGAGCAGGAGGCGGAAACGCGTAAGCATTTAGTCCTTCCCATGAGATGCATAGAGCATCTGTTGCCCATGCCTGAGGATCTGGAATCGGTGAGACGAACGTTGGTAGCTGTTTGTTGAACTTTGTTGCAAACAGATTGATGTGTGACTTCTGATCCTGACTCGACCACTTCCCTGCTGCCACTTCGTTGTTGAAGTGCGCACCCCATCCTTGTAGGGAGGCATCCACGTAAAGATGAGTGTTGCAAACTGGCTCTGACAAAAAGGTCCCTCCGCAAACGTTCGACTTCCGAGTCTAGGTGGGCGTTCACAAATACTTGTAGTGGGCGCAACTGTAGTCTCCCTCTGCGAGTCATGTCTTGAGGTGAGGTGAGTAGACCGAGCATGCTTTGCCAAGCACGTAGTGTCAACGGAGAGAACAATGCTTGAGATATCATCTGTTGTATTTTGACCCAACGATCCTCTGGAACGACTATACGATTCACTGGTGTGATGAGTCGAATTCCTAGGAATTGCAGATCTTGTTTCGGCTCCAGTTCCGACTTGAGGAGATTCACTAGCCAGCCTGATGGTGAAGTTTAGTTGCAGTCTGAGTTGACTGGGATCTTGATGAGCTTGAATCCGTTGTCCAGGTAGAAAGCACTGCGTAGACCTCGAGGATGTAGATATGTGACGATGGGCTTGGTCACTCGAGTAAACAACCAGGGAGCCGACGATATTCCAAATGGTAGAACCTTCCACTGGAAGTGCTGTCCGTTGAAAAGGAAACGTAGGTATTTCCTTGAGTCTGGATGTATCGGGATGTGGAGGTACGCATCTTGCAGATCTATGCTGGCGAGGTAGTCTGCTGGACGAACGAGATATCGGAGCTGAGGAAGATGTATCATCTTGAATTTTGCTGGTCTGCGTAGATACTCCCGGTTGAACTTCCTCATGTTGTAGACGAGCCGAAATTTCTCCTTGGAATTCTTCTTCGGTACCAGGAAAATCTTCTACTGCCTCTTTGTCGAGTAGGGTCTTGATAGCATCGTCCAGTTTCTCTATCTGGTCAGCTGCGTAGTTGAAGGCCATCGGGTTGCTTGTGAGCGGGGAGTGGCTTCCAACTGTATCTTGTACCCTCTCGCGCAGTATCTGGGATACCTAGTCGTCCTGTAGTATCCCCCAATTCTCCCAGTACCGTTGAAGACTTCCACCCACTGTCGAAGGTTGCACAGGAACGGCTGGGGTGGAAGTCAATGCTTGCTTCCTCTTGCACCCCTGGGTGCTCGGCCTCTTCTGGGGTTACCTCTAGGAGCTCCGGTTGGGCGTCGAAAGGAGCCTCTTCCTCCTTTCATACTAGAATACTTCTTTTCTCTGGCTCTGGGGACTCCTGCAAACTTAGATATGTTTGTTGACTTCTTCAATTCCTCCTCCGAAGATGTAAGATGATGACTATGGGGCTCTGTATAAAGACTTGGTGAAGCGTTCACTCCAAGTGCATGCTGACAATAACCCTTGTCTTCTCAGGAGAGTCAAGTCCGCTGAGGTGGATGCTAGGTGCTCCGACATAAATTGATGGTCTCTCTTCTGCATAAGTGGAGCGGAGTATATCATCCGGTCTTCTTCGGCCGAGGAATTCTTGAACTTCAAGATGAGTGTTTCGTTGATAGCCCTCGATCTGGCTAATCCGAAGAAAGTACGCCTGGTGGTTGTATCCAGTTGCGCTAACTTCTTATCCTCAATCTTGTAAGTTCTTTGACGGGACTCGGTGATAATCTTATAGTCATCATCAACCTCTGGAGCCTTCAGGAAGGGTTCCATGCTATGTTGAGGGAATTTCCTGGCGTTGAATGTCGGGATGTGCTGACTCTGCGACTTGGTGGCTTTATCAAAAGATGCATTGAGGTTGTCTGGTACTTGAGAGATCGGGTTGGTCGGTGAAAAGGTAGTGTGTCGAAATCATCTTTGGACATCTTGTAGGTAAACGCCTCATCTGTGTCCTTAGAAGGTGATGATAAGTCCAAGCCATTGGCAATCCAGGAGTTAATTTCCGTATCGGAGAAGACGCCTTCACCTTCATCCTCTGATTTAGACATTTCTCGCTCTAAGGATGCACGACGACTTGAGTCTCTATAGGATGATCTAAAAGATGAGCTTCACGCAGGCGATCGATCCCGATGTGATCTTGAATCTTTCCTGGAGATTTGAGACATTTCTCTAGATCTTCGCAAAGGTGGCTTCCCCTCTGTACGAGTGTCTTCACGCAGGCTCTTGATGGGTGTCAGAGTCTGATGGAGATGACGACTCATATCTGCGACATCTGTAGGATTTGGGAGAACGCCTTGATTCCTTCCTGCGTGGATACTTCTTAGCAACACTCTCTGGGGCATCTACTTCAGATTGGGAAGATCGTCGTGTCCGAGAGCCTTCGCACAGGCTTCCCTCTTCATCTAGATGTGGTGGGGAGACTGTAGAGCCTTCACGCAGGCTAGTAGATGTTGTAGCGGTCTTCATAGCAGCCTTCTCTTGAGCGAAGCTACGTTCCATCATCGACATCATCTGGTCTGTAAACTGTTGCATGAACAGTCCGGGTTGAAGTTCTGCATTGTCTGAAGAGAAGGGATGATGCATCTGATACTGAAGAGACGTCATCTAAGGCTCGCTGCACTCGTGAAGAGTTGACGCTGCTGCTATCTCTGGTACCCGATGTCTGCGTTGATAGTAGGTCTTCTGTCCATGTCTGCGCTGATACCAATGCCGATGTAGGTGTAGAAGCAGGCTTCGTCTGCTTACTGACGATGGTGACTTCAGGTATGAGGATGGGTGGATCATCATAAACATCTGCTTCTTCCGGAGGAACAATCTCGGCTGTAGAGCTGAGTAGAGCTGATCTTAGACTTCATAGAAGTAGCCTTCTTCTTCTGCGAAGATGAAGATTTGGCCTTCTTTATCTGCGATGAGGTCAGCTCAGTAGACGATGATCTCTTATGGCCTCCGGTGTTCAAAACTCACCGAGAGCGAAAAAACATGTAAATTCAACCGAATTTAAATTTACACAAAACTCACAGCGAGAGCCTAAAAAACATGAAACAGTGCAATTAGGACATAATAAATGCGGGTCAGCCGCAGACACTTTGTACCTGAAACAAATCAATTGTAAACATGAAGAAAACACATGTCAAACAACGGAAAATGTAGATCAAATTCCAAACCGTAATGTAGAATATAATCCTAAAAACCGTATACAGCAATAATTTTGATGTAAGGTCCGAAAATATAAAAGGATATGTGCCGTATAGGGACCCAGGTGCTCTCATAACCATCCTCAAGGGAGAAGAAAGAGAGAATGACAAATATGGCCGATCATGTGACCATTTGGACGCCAAAGGGAGGAAAGGGATGCTACTCTTGGGTGAGTGATTTTACGTCCGCTTTTTAAAGGGAACTTCAAGGGATTTCAAGTGTTCCACTGTCATTCGCAAGAGGAAGGAGACAAGCATAATTAGCATGAGACAGGATAAGGAAAAATAAGGACTTTACTGGGGAGAGATTAGTGCAAAAATGAGCAATGCATTTTTTTCTAAGTCTAAAGCGACTTATTTGGAACAGACCATGGCTTTATGCAAATTAGTGTCGATGATATTGTGTTACAAAGGACACTTTTTAAATGTCCATTGTGAAATTAAACTTAGCTTCATCATAAACGATAGCTGACCTACAAAATAATAACTTTAATACTGAAACTATTAAGGATGTAGCTACCACGGAGTCTCACTATCAATAGAAAAACAAACAGGTAGGAGGGGGCATCTCAAAAGCAAACCAGGATGGGTGTCGCAGAGGGAGGTTGAGGTCGGGCTGGGGGACAGAGATATCAGCTAAGATAATATAATGCTTTAGGGGAATTAAACTGGGTAAGTAAACTGCATGTCATAACAATTCACAAATAATATCCAGTCCTGTCGATCTTCGGGTGGTCATACCATATATATGTTTTGAGACATTTAATATGATGGCTGATTTTAGCTTTTCTATGGGTATCACACTCTTTTACATATTTCAACATGAACCTTATGAAAGAAACACACGAAAGATGTTAATCAATAGATGAGACACATTCAACACACATGAAAAATCATAAAATATCTTTGAGATGACCCTTTGTGTCTGTAGGAAGCAGATGCATTTCATACCAGGTGAGCTAACGTTCCATCATCATACCTGGCTGAGCGACCTTGTTGCCCTCTATAGTCTGATCTATTGTTTTCAGCAGCTATTCGTATTTTTCCTAAGTTTTGCCCAATTTTACGAGTAAACATGCTTTTCTGGATATCCTCTTACGCATCCCACTGAATACCCAGTTAGGCCGACTTGGGTTATATCAACAGATGCTATTTGCAGTTGTGTAAATGTTAGGGATACAGAGTAACAGCCTAAATACAGTTTTCTTCTATTTCCGAAAGTACTGTATTTGAATGGGCATTTCTGTACTATGCTATATTTGCCCTTGCTATATATTTGCTGTAAATACGACTATTTTACATCCGAATTTAAGCCCCATTATATCATGGGTCAAAAAACAATTACTCCCACATACATCTATGTATAGCTAAGTAGAGGATTGAAAGCACATTCCATTATCTCTCTCAAAAAAATAATGTAACCCATTGTTTTGAATAATACTGTAATAGCACTACCTGAGTATCACCAGAGCCTTCATCATCAAAGAAGAACCTGACAATGGAGCCATCAGCGTGTCCTGAGAGGAATCCCTTGCCAGTTGGGCTGCACAGGGGAATAGGATTAAGGGTTAGGGTTAGTCTGACATTTTAAAAAAAACTTCAGCATACAATTATTAAGATATGGTCAGAATTTTTACACACAATCAAGTCAGAAACTCTCCACTGACAGTTTTCTGTTAAGATTCAGTGGTTTTATGGAAGAATATTTTTACCAGTTAAAATTTCAATTTTTCATATGAATTTTTCAATCAAGCCTCAAACACCCACAAAAAAAAACTTCATCAAAGTTCTGAATAGAAAAGTACTTGTGTGTATATTGCTGTACAGGCATATGTTGACAGGTTGCTGTTAAAGTCATCACTGCCACCCTCGCTAAACAATAGTCTGACAACAACCACATCATGGTGAAGTGATTTCTTATTAGCAGAGCAGCAATGAGAGAAAGTTTGAGACAACTGTCCTTACTTTGGGGCTAGTGACACAACATAAGACTCTGTGGAGTACACTGTTGAAGATTTGTTTGTTCTTATGTTGGCTGCTCGAACCTGAAAGAGAAATTGTCAACTTCAACAAACAAAAACAAAAATACCATTTTACTCAGACGCTTTGGTTAAATTCAATATCGCTTTGGTTAAATTCAATATTCTACAAAAATTCTATTTCAGCTCCTTTATTAACCTGTAAATATGAAACATATACTCTCCTGAGCATCATGAAAATGTGATAGTTACATCCCAGTTAATGGTGACTTAAGAAAGACCACTTTTCTTCTTGTCTTACCTTTTCCATGCATTAAGATTTATCGTAATTTATCTCATATTTCAAAATATTCATGTTGACATGCTATGGTTACACATTTTTTGCATTTAGTTCAGAGATAAAGTTCATTTCACTGACGCATGAGAATACCGTAAAATTTGGATATACAACTGCCCCAGAGGACTGGTTTACCTTCCCGTCCGCTAGGCCAAAGATGATTGGCTGCTCAGCTGGCCACGTCATACATGTGACTGCGCTCTGCTGAACAAACTTGTTACAAATGACCTTCTTGTCTCCCCTGAAAGAAGTCATGCAACCTGTGTACATTCTGTTTGTTTTCTTACACTAAAGTGTTTACTTACAGGAGTAACAGGCATAACTTGCACATCACTGCAGATATATTTTACTGTGCCATGTTCACAAATCAATCAAAAATCATACAATATCATTTTAATTTTCATCAAGAAAGGATAACATTATGTTTAACACTTCTGAAATAACCAAAATTTGGTATTTAGCAGTTCCTATGTGCCATACCACACATCAATCTGAGATTAGGGTGGAGAGTTGCATCAAAATATTAGGCACAATTGAAAAGTGAGTGAACTGGTTAACAACATTCCAGTTTTATCATGGTGTATCAGGTAAAAGCCAGAAAGTGAAGTATGGTGCTGATTCATCAAGAATTATACTTTAATATGGCTAATCTGGTGTACATACATGTATCAAATCAAATGCTCTTGACACACCCTAAGGGGCGCAACTCTGCACTTTGAATTGATGCCTGGACCCCAGTATACGAGTGAATTTGGTTTATTGCCATTTTGAATGCTATTCCAATTGAATTATGCTTCATTATGTTAATGTGGGAGGAGTGAATGAGTGAGTGAGTTTAGTTTTACGCTGCTTTTAGCAATATTCCAGCAATATCATGGCGGGGGACACCAGAAATGGGCTTCACACATTGTGCCCATGTGGGGAATCAAACCCAGGTCGACATGACGAGCAAACGCTTTAACCGCTAGGCTACCCCCCACCGCCCCTCATGTGGGATTAAACAAATATAATAGTATTAGTTCCAGCACTAAATATTAGTTAATACTTCTTTGATTCAAGTGATATCATTGTTCAGTGTATTACTGCCACTTATATAACCATGGTACAGGCATAACAATGGGAGTAATAGCTGTGAAACATCTGTGTATTAAGTTAGACAGCAACACTTTGGATTTTGTCAATGAATGTGTTTACAAAGATAAACAAGCATGGTAAATGCATTTCATAATGACAAAACAAAGACAAGTGATAGTTTTTACAGATGTTTACTTTGTCATATCAATCAAATGAACACTATGATGAAGTAGGACATGTCAACTATATGCAACTAATGAACTGATACAACATCACACAACTCACCAAGTGTCACCAATCTTGTAGACATAGATGATGTTATCAGTTTGTCCAACTGCAAGCTTTGTTGAATCAGGGGAAAATGCTAGGCCTTTCACAGTGTAGCTTTTCTTCCCATACTAAAATAAACAGACGAAGTACCTTATGTTCATATGTACCAAGACTTTTTAAGACCAGAGTTTTAAGTGACACCAACTACTGCTTGCTATACTTATTATCATTAAGACTAGATACATGAAGATTTTACTACAAGTCTCAATGACGGAATGGAGTGTGGATGATAAAATAATTGAATTAATAATACACAACATTAATCTGATAATTTTGATCTACTGATCTACATGAAAAGTTGGCCTACCCCTAGAATTCAGCTCCGCAAACATTACAAACATTTATTGGAAAAGACATTAGCGAAACAACACTCAGTGATGTCAGACTCCCTCAGTAATCTGTCATCTATACATCAGTACATGCATTGTCATTGCCTAAGCCCAGCAACATAGGGAATTTTAAAAATATGTTTGGTAAATATAGTCTGCCATGACTAACAAATCAAAGGTTGTGGGTTTGCGTCTGACGAATACCCACACAAATGGTAGCTTGTCTTAGTGATATGTGAGCTATGACAGAGATCGTCTTCACAAGAAATTGTGGCGCTGAATTCGAAAGGTGCTCTGAAAAATTAACTTTCTCTGATGATCAGTCAAAAACATACGTCTATTCATGATAACACAAATTATGTCTTAATAACTTAAACATCAAGTCTACCTTGGCATCTGCAGGTTTCAGGGAGAATTTGTCTCTCTTCTCCCCCTGTTCATCATACAGCAAGATGACCCGATCGGATGTGCACACTGCCATCTTGTTATTGTTCAGTGACCATGCAATTGCACAGATCTTTGCTGCCCCATCCTTTTAAAAATGTAATATCATAGCTGAGTAAGAGGCCTATAATGTGTTTAAACATGTTAAAGTGCCATGTTTACTTATAATTGAGTTATACAATAGTATGTCTTAACATTTCTGAATAAATTTCCAATAAATACCCAAATGCAATCACTATCAAACACTGTCATTCATTTTCTAAAGAGGAAACGTGAGAATGTAATTAATATCTAGTAGATGAAATGTAACGTAAACTTTCTAAATCAGATCACACATTGTGCTTACAAGACAAATCAGACACAGGCTACAATTTGCTCAATAAATAAATCATAATTACACGTTGTGCTCTTTTCAGTTAAAGTGCCTTCTTATCAAAGCTGTGAATTGTGAACAAATCAACAAATGACTTCCATTTTAAACCACATCATGACATGTTATTTTTTCAATCTTGTTGACAGTATCATCAAACAGTTGATACATATGAATTATATCTATATCCCCCCAAAGTAACAACTAGTTATAAAATGTCAAAGTATTACCTGGGGAGCCAGTAATGTTTTCATATGTTTCAGTTGCATCTTCAAGTCGATGTCTTTCTACAAGTTCAGAAAGATCAGTGACAAGCAATGAACATTTCGAATTGTTTATGGAATGCTAGCAACAACCTGCCCTGTTTTCTCAAAAGCACCTACGGAATACGAATACGGAATTTAATTCGTTTCTTTTTATTGCAATAGACGATAAACCATTTTGTGGTTCGCTTTATATTCAAGAATTTTATTAAACATTTATTAAACTCTAGACACTGCATTTCTATCCTGATAAGAACTGAAACTTAAGTTTATTTTATACTGAATATTTCGCTTTTTTACGAATACCTATTTTGTTTAAGAATCGTTTTATAATGTTATTTGCGTATTCAATATATTTACATGTTTCATTCCGTTGGTAGCGAATTATACATTTATCATCATTCTCAAAATATCAATTATAAATAATTTTTATAAAGATAATGTTGATCATCAACATGTTTATGAATATACGAAACATTCACCCGCCTTGATATCTCAGAATAATGGCAGGTTTCCGAATTCGTAATTTTGTGCTGCCACCAAATTTACTTCGTCTCATCGAAGTTGTAAGTAAACGTTACGCTGTATCATGTTTGCAAACATTTGCATACTCTGAACACATCTGTTGTGTGCATAAAAGACGCCGAAACATGTCTGATTAACCATGTGTCAACGTCACTCCAGCGTAACATTGACACTATACCATATCATGCATGTAACTCGAAAGAGAAACTCGAGGTTTATGATAAAGGATCTGAGAGAAAACGTGATAAATGGAACGAAAAAGTAAATTATTTCTTTTACAAGGTTTTTAAAATTTTCTTGATTTCTGAGACACTTTAAATTGTTAAAGGAAAACAATTGAATAAGGGGTCGATAACGGTACAGGTCTATTTATGAGCCTAATCAATGGTTAAATTACATATCACCTTTACTATATGTAAACTGTGTAGATGACAGCATATGTTTTATATAATATATTGTTTGGACACTCTGCCTTCCAGCTTTTGAGTGTAGTAGCCGTGTGTTTGGTGACTGGATGGCGGAGCGAGGGATTCTCCTACAATGATCTCAACCGAAGTGACTTCAATGTTCTCCACAACCTACAGTACTTTGTTGGCATGTCAACACTGACATTTCTCGCAGTTGCTGTCCTCTGCCTCATCGTTCTCATCAAACCAGTTTACTTGTCATCCCTTGTTGTGAGTAACATATTAATAACACATATTTAAAAAGATCAATCATATTATGCATATTAGATGGCAGTGAACATGCTGATTTTACATTACATCTCAAATTTCCCATGAGAGTTTGTATTATCATGTATGTTATGTATCCTGTATCAATTATCATATATCGTGTAGATGGTGTTGATTGTGAAACATAAAGTTTGCTGTTTCCAGGATATGATTCTGAATGCTGTGCTGAGCGTCCTCCTCTTCATCGCAGCAATAGTCCTGTGTGTGTCCATCACCCGATTAGGGGAGTCAGCTGCTGTCAAGGAGGCTGACCTCACCTTCTCCAGCCTTGAGGGAGCTGTGGTCAGTGGGTCATCCAATACTCTTAGTACTTAATTGTAGCCAGTAGCTCTTGTGTAGTGAATTTTATCCTGGGCCAGGTGAATTGATCAGGGTCTGGTTGTCTGAGGCAACTTTGGGGTGTTGATCATGTCCCTGAAAGTGTAAACCTTGATATGTTCTTTCCATACTTTTAATCGTTACGGTGGATTCACACAAGTAACATAAGTTTTCAAGCACAGATTGGCAAATTCCAAAACATTTGAGTACTTTTGTTTTCACACAAGAAATGGGCATTGATATTAGTTAGTTCCGACACCATTTTGGAGAAGAATTTTGGTAAGAATCATGATATCTACACTACATCCAATTTGTTATTATAATTTTAACAGCCAAAGTATTTTTGACAATAAAACAGTATGCCTAAATATTGGTAAGCATATCTCATCTATTTCTTTCCAACAGTTTGTCAGATTTCCCAAACTAGTTCATGTAGGTTGCACACAGTTTCTGCAGTGATCACAGACTAATATTTGTGGACTCAAATTATCAAGTGATGTGATGTCATGTGACACCACTTTTATACAGACTATTTGATCAGGACTTTGGAGATTCAACAGAACAAGAAGTACTTGAACTCTGATTATCCTATGATCTATGAGTCTGACGAACCTGGTAGCTGTAGTCAGCAGTTAGGTCATGTGTGCAGGAGTTTGAAACGGAGAAATAATAAATGGGCTTCACACATTGTACCCATGTAGGGGTCCACCAGGCTATCCCACGCCCCTTTTCTCACTAAGAGAAAAAGTAAGCCACCTGTCAGCATCATTTTACTGCCATTGATATCCATGAAGATCTGGGTTAGAATTGGTCTTCAGTAACCTATGCATATTGTAATAGATGATCAATGCTCATTCATTATGTCAATCACTGGATTGTCTCTTCCAGACTCTATTATTTACAGACCTCTGTCATATAACTGGAATATTGCTGAGTGCAGCATTAAACAACAGAAAAAACAAAACTTGGCCCCTTTTCTTAAAATAACACAGTTTCTGTTAATTCTGTACAAGCTCCCTGCACAGTGATGTAAAATGATGTTTGTATGATATCTGATTTTTTTTGTTTTGATTTCTCTTTCTAAGTCAATGAATATTCTTTTGATAATTTGCACATGAATGCAAATATTTCCCTTCTGTTTTCAGGCTCTTGGCTTTATTTGTGCGCTAGCTCTTGGTGGCAGTGGTTGGTTTGCACTCCAGACTCATCGCAGACGGAGTGACCTCCCCTTGAACCAGTCCCACACCAATGCAGATTTACCTGGTGACATTCCTACATGAAAACATGAAGTACCAAATGGCGTGGTTGTGAAGAGATTCTATTTTGTTGACTTGTGTAATTTATACCAATGGTCTGTGTGATGGCAACTCCGTGTGACTGACATTTTTTCTGTGATTCTTGTTTTGGTTCCTCTGCCTTCTACACAGGGGATGGACTTTGTCATATAATCATGCTGTCATTTTCTGACTTACAAAGCCAAAGGAACAAAGTAAATATACTCTGTACGTACTTAGTTGTCATGAGTGGAGACTTATGACAAACTTTACTACCAATATCAAGGATTTATCTAAACCTGTTAATGAGCTAAACATCAGCCCTAGGTTTGCAACAAATGTCAGTAAAAGATTCCGAAATTGGATTGTTAAAGTTAGTGTTATGGCTTTTTAGAGCTGACTTGTACTTCACAATAAACAGGACCAGTAAAGAAGAGGCATTAATGCTTAATTTGTGCTTAGAAAATACAAAATAAGGGTTGGAATCCTAGATATATCACTGAATATGTTTACTGATAATATTGGTTGATCTGATTGGGTAAACTGGAGGTAATCTCTTTATAAAAATATATGTGTGCACTCTGTTTCCATAATCCATGAAATTTGGGCTTCATTCTTCATCTAGTTTAACAGGGAATGATGGTGGTGTGCTTATGTGGCCAATTATGGGATGTGCTATTTGCATTTTTCAGTCATTCCAAACCAGAACAGAAGTATTACTCTGTTATCCTCCATACACTGGTGGACTTAGGGACCAAGCATGAGATATTCATGGGGGGGGGGGGGTCTTTTTCTTCTTCTTTTTTCATGGACAGTGGGGGTGCTGAATACAGTAATTATGGTATTATGAAATTAGTTTATGGCATTTGACAAGATATGGATCATGTTCTAGTCTGGAATACTGGATGTCCTGAAATTGTTTTTGTGTTATCATCATTCACCATGATTTGTGTTAGGCCTATAAAAAGATGTTGTGGTTCCCATTACCCGACCGACCCTTGAATTCTGGTGCCAACCCTATTTTATATAAGCAATATGAATAAAGTAAGGGTTCAGATACCATTGTCTTTTCCCGTCACCGGCAGACATCTATCATTCTGATAGAGAAAATCGACATTATGGCCAAAAGCTTGATTGAAAAAACAATTACACATTGATAAATGTGTTATTAGTTTGTACTCTGCTTCTAAAACAAAATGTGAAAAAGAAATCCTACCTACCTAACCCTATACTTTTAAGAGGTGTAATCGAAACCACAACAATTTTTTTATTTGGCCTTAATTGTACATATGAACATAAAATAATAATTAACAGTAAAGACCAGTGTTGCCACAGGGTAGTCTCAGTGTTTTAGAATCACTTCGACACCTTGTTGGTGATGGCCAGAGTTTATTGACCTGTAAGTGCTATATGTGTGTTGTATGATTACATGATATACGGGCAATAGAGATATAATCAAAAGCAAAGCAAGTGCTTGTTTTTCATCAGCATAGGCCATGTGTTCACCTACCCCTTCATGTTTAGTTACCAGAGAAGTCCGATCTGGCTATCAATAGATGATCAGGGCTCCAGATAAGGGCCGTATCGGCGTATGTACGGATAACAAATATGCACGATGCAGTAGGAAATAATTTAGAAAACGTACCAGATACGCACCACAGCAATGGTGTACAATCTTAGAATCATTTACAGACGTATTTATCTGAAAAAGTATTGTCTTATTGTTTGTTGACCTGTTTACACAAGAGTAGCAATGTTGTGGTGCAGATATGAAATGAAACTCAAGATTACTGATACTCCATTAATTTCCATTCAGTACTCTAAATGTACACTTAAGGTTTTCCAGTACTCCTGATGTTGACAAATTATCTGGAGCCCTGATGATGCTGTAGGTGTCAATATGAGCTACTCAATGACCTTGGAATGCTCTGCTTTGACAGATTAACTAGAGTTACATGAAATTTAATCTTTTATGTATTTGGAAGTGTATACTTTGTGTGTTTTTTAACATGAAATGTTCTGGCTGCCTGTTGGTTGTTACTCTAGGCTTGTTCCAGTTCAGCATTGTGTTTCATTTAAGGTGTTTAAGTAACACTAGCTGAGTAGTCAGGGAATGCTATTACAAAACTTTGTAAATATTACTGTTTGAAATTGATACATGGTTAGGTATATTGGTACCATCTGATGAAAAGCGGTGATGCTTCAATGTATTTGTTACACATGAATTCCCTCTTACAGGGCTCCAGATAAGGGCCGTATCGGCGTATGTACGGATAAAAATATGCACGATACGGTAGGAAATAATTTAGAAACAGTAGCAGATACGCACCACAGCAGTGGTGTATGGTCTTAGAATCATTTACAGACGTATTTATCTGAAAAAAGTATTGTTTTATTGTTTTTTACCTGTTTACACAAGAGTAGCAATGTTGTGGTGCATATATGAAATGAAACACAAGATCACATACTCCATTAAATTCAATTCAGTACTCTAAAAGGTTTTCCAGTACTCCTATATTTAAAAAAATAAGGAGTACGTACTCCTGATGTTGAAAAATTATCTGGAGCCCTGCTCATAGTCATAGTAACTAAGAACTATTACTTCGAGGTATTCATACTCAAAGCAAATTTTGTCATTCAGCATTTTGTTAGAAGAAACTGTATGATTAGGTTTGGATTAAATTCATTTGTAGTCTTTGCAGGCAATCTCTTTATAACTCCTGTCTGTTTAGAAGAAAACTACCTGTTGTTACCTTGGAGAAGTTTCTTAGATCTCATAATGATTTCGAGTTGACCGTATATACTTTTTGTTATCTTTTTAATTTCTTTAAAAATTGTTATTCTTCTAGGGCTGCCTACACTGATGTATGTCTTGAGCTTGGCATGTATATTTGTTCATGTGTATGAGATATTGAGTGTCCTGCTGAAGTGGATGTGCCAGACATAAGAAAACCTTTTGTCTATATTTCAAATAATGGACACTCTGCTCTGATGAACAAGCAATTAATGTTCCAGTGGGAAAATGTCAGTTTCAAGGTACCAGGTCCTGGTTTCAACCTTTTGAGTAGTAGGTAGGGAGATCTATTTTCACTAGCACATCCATATACACTGTGAAACGTGCCCCCTTGGTAGTCAGAACCTGGAAGAACTACCTTTTATGAAAAAGAAAACTAATTGTTGTTTTTTTTGTTAGTTTACTGAGCTGTTAACCAGTTTCACTCATTGTGCCTACCCCTAGTAAACCTTTGCTTCCGGTTCATTTATAAATGTTATGTTTGGGATTACACATTCTCAGTAAAGTACAAATTCTAACCTTTTTGGTTTGATTCCTGTCCAGGAATAGATTTACTGAGAGAAAGTGTAATCCCAAGTATAACAATTTGTTACATTTGACCACTTTCTAACAAGCATTGTGTATTCATAAAGTGATAAACGTTGGCTTGAATGGAATTAACTTTGATAACAAACTATAAGCACAAGGTACTGTATCCGTATGTATATGGAGATTATCCAAGTAGTAATTATTCAAAGGGCTGGTTTCGAGAATCTTAGAGTGTGTACAACATAGTAACTATGGTAACATGGCTGTACTGTATATTGAAATTGGAATCAGGGGTACAAGGTCATGGAGGTACTATGAAAAATATTCCTGGAAGACATGGGATGATGGTGACAATTCAATGTATTTGTGGCTTATGCCATATGGGATCGCTTAACCAGTAGGCAGATCGAGATGTCCGTGCACCCGTGTTCACCATCAGCTGGACTCATATTTCATCCATAGATAAATTACACATGTACATTTTGGCAGAGGATCAACTTTATCATGCTTAATATGATATTCGCTCAGTCTGACAGAATTATCGGAGGTAGGGGTAGTAGGGTGGCCAAATGCTTACGGCATTCACTCATTCTTCAACCAAAGGCTCAGGTTTGATTCATCTCATGGGTCCAATATGTGAAGACCATTTTTTATGTCACCAGCTGAGATATTGCTGGATTATTGCTAAAATGTCTTAAGAAAATACTCACTCAGAGATAAATGTAACAAAAATAAGATCAAAACAGAAGGTTCTATGCGTGACTTTGTCCAGTCTTGGATCAACTTCTGTCATTATCTTGCTTCCCTTAGGCATGCCAGGATCCTGTGGTTGTCATGTTATTGTTTTCTGCCTGGTATGCTGGTATGAGGTTGTTGTAGGTGAATGTTGCTACAGTAATATCTTGTTGCACAGGGTAATGGTAATTTGGATATTTTCAAAGTTTATTTGACAGAAACCTGTGTTAAATTGAAAGCTACCAGTGCCCATTTTGTGTGAGTAATCTGTTCTGAAGATACTATGGTCACTGAGAACACAGTATGATCAGTTGAGGAGACTCATATATAGCATGGAAGTGAGGCATCTAACTGATGATAGTGTACCATTCGATCACTTTTCCTTCTCCGCAAGGGGCGTTGGGGTAGCTCAATGGTTAAAGTGTTCACTCGTCAAGCCGAAGATCTGGGTTCGATTCATCACATGGGTACCATATGTGGATCAGAGGGGGTGCATGGGTGCGCACCCCCCCTTTTGTCCTGAAAGTTTATTAAATGACCATTGAAACTCGGGTGAAAATGAAGTGTGCACCCTCCCTTTTCTCAATAGTGTGCATCCCCCCTTTCTCAAAAAGCTGTATCCGCCCCTGGGTACAATGTGTGAAGCCTATTTCTGGTGTCCCCCACTGTGATATTGCTGGAATACTGCTAAAAGCGTCATAAAACTACTCACTCTTTCACTCCTTCTCTGCAATCATGTAGGATGGGTGAATGGTCTCTGAGTTTAACCAGTTCCTTCTGGGTTTTGGTCTTTACAGCATTGGCAAGACACAGAAGGAACCTGGTTCAGTTTCTTTCAAGGGTACAGTGTGTGTAGCCCACTTGTTGTGTCTTCCTGCTGTAATATTTCTTGAAAATTGCCAAGACCAGCTTAATCTCTCCCCATAGGAAAAAGCCCCTCATCTGCCCACTCTGCTTGGATTCTAATGAACCCTGTTAGGTGTAAGATAGTGGTCATGTTGTCACCAAAGCTGAGGCTTTATTATTATGAGCCGTGGTAGTTGTAACATAGGGACCACGTTGCCACCAAAACTAAGGTGTTATTGTTTTGAGCCCTGGTAGGTGTAAGATAGTGGTCATGTTGTCTCCAGAACTGAGGTTTTATTATTCCTCCATACATTAAGTATGAGACCTCCTGTTTTTAGGTTGTGTTTCCTCATCTATTCAGACCCGGTTTATCAGCATGTGTTCATTTCAGTCATTTTGTTACAGTTTCTATGTATGTATGTATTTATGTAGGTATACATGAATAAATTTTTAGTAAAATGCCAAAGCCTTTGGTTGTGATATGGGTTTATATATTGTCTCAGATAACGGGATGGTTTGTTACCCGTTTTGATGTCTTTTGTCAATTCCTCTTACCAAATAATGCCTAATCTGTCTTGACTGACTGACGCCGCTTTTAGCAATATTCCAGCAATATCAGGGCGGGGGACACCAGAAATGGGCTTCACTCATTGTACCCATGTGGGGATTCGAACCCGGGTCTTCGACTACCCTACCGCCCCCTGTGTCTTGAACTTAGGTTAGAAAATGTTCTCCAGAAACCTTGCATGTCTAACCAAGAGACTCAATCGGTGGGGCAGTTTGTTTGTTGTTGAAGCCGCATATTTCCATCTATATGATGGCGGTCGGTAAATAACCAAGTCTGGACCAAACAATCCAGTCATTGACATGAGCATCGATCTACGCAACTGGGGCGATGACATGCAACGCCTAAGTCAGCGAGATCCCACGCGATCCCATTAGTCGCCACTCTAGACGGTGAAGGAGTTTGATACATGTCCCTCATGCTTGGTAGAGCCAACTAAAACGGGGTATTCCTGGCAGTGGGCTATCTGTATATATGACATGGTAGTTTCAGAATGTGTGTATGATCGTGACTCGACAAAATTCGGCGTCATTGATCAGGCTAACTACCTCCGGTTAATATGGCCAAGATAATATTCAGGCCGCCCTGATATAGCTTGAATATGTCTGCGTAACAAGCTGCTGATATAAGACGAAGAGATGTATTTTGCATAAAACAAATGTAACAATTTGCATGCTTCTTGCGTAAAATGAAACAAATTAACATACATTCGTCTTGATAAGACAGGTAATAATTGTGTAAGACAAACCAAACTGGCATGCTTTCAGCTTGCATAACTCATATGATGGACATGTCTTCCTTCGCACAAGAAATAAATTAACGTGCATGCATTTTGAATAAGACCAAGAATAATTAAGTTAATGCATACATACAGAAACTCTGTTCCTCAGATGATGTACCAGAATTCAAAACAAAGCGTCCTCATGTCGTTCCTTTTGATTTTATATTTATACATATAAATGGAAACTTGTTTGATGATTATAGCAAATATGTGACTGCAACGAGCACCGGTATTATCTGACAGGCCACAGACTAAAAAAAGTCCATGTATTGATGGTCACGATTCGGAACCGGTGATTATTGATAAACAACACTAATCTTTTTCCTCACCAGAGCGTGAGACGAATCGAAACAACATTGACACAAACATGTTAACAAAGGACATCTGCACCTAGAATTACGTTAAGCACTATAATAACACATATATAACACATTTCCACGGGGGGGGGGAGGGGTGTGTGTGGGGGTATACTGCTCAACTTTACATAAGGAGATCGAGATCAGATTTTCTGTGCCAATTAATTGACATGCAAGCATTGTTGACACGAAATGCCAAGTTCAGGAAAATGTCGATTACTACTTTGTGTGTGACAAAGAGTCTTATCATTCAGTCCATCCATGAACTCAATTCCTATCTAATGATGTGCAGTATATCCAAACATGCCGCATTGATCTCTTTTAATACATGTCTAGATGCCACTGACACTGGTAGACAAAATGATACAAGAACATACAACTCAAAGGAAGTTAAGAACACCCATCATAATGGCCATGTAGATCAGTTACACTCATAATAAAGAAATATGGTATTCCTTTTCTTTAACTTCTATTGGTTAGTACAGTAAACTAATAAACGATCGGTGAAGGTTCAACTGAGGTTATGTACACTTTCCATGTATTCCATTTTAATTCCTCAGATTTAATATTAAATTGATAACTTTCAAAATGAATAGCAATAATGTTTAAAATATTTAAATATTTAAAACGCTCCAAATCCACAATGAATCAGTGTGCACTCGGTTTTCATTCTCAGCTCCCTGAGGAGTATAAAACCCAGCTGCTATGTTCCAACATTCCTTTCGATTGTTTAGTGCAGATCATGAAGCAGTTTGTTATCGCTGTCTCTGTATCATCGAAGGTCATGTGACTGGTGACCTGAACACACATGCGTCCGTCTATCAGGCTCTAGCATGTGCGGATGTCACAGCAATGAGTCATCACACATTGCATAAAATATAGGCAGAGTAGGCGGGACATCAGGATATACTCCAATACCAGCACATTAATTTGCCAGAAACGGTAATTATGCAACGTCTAGACGAAGTAGCAAAGATTGTTTAAATAGTTGTGCATAGAAGATAATTATTTTTATCACATGAATATATATCACAGACCATCGTAATGCCTCCACACATAGAACACGAGATGTCTACCAGAATACGCGGAGTGAGAGAACGTATAGTGGTGAGATCCGTGTGTTACTGTTGGCACCGTTCTCCAACCCGCTTTGTCACATACTTTGAGAAGCTGGGTGTAAATCCCTTCATTATATACACGAGTTTCCTTTCAAGTTTCAATAACACAACACGTGAAACCCTATACAATGTACAATGGGTACAGCAGATGATGTGTTTACAACTGATCATGATCACGTCTCCGATTATGTGTGGTCGTTGCCGTCTTGGCAAAGACGAAATTGTCAAATAGCAGTCACATGCTGTCGAAAACTGCATGAACACGTGCAGTCGTCTTTTGTCTTTTGTAGTTGTCAGTTCAATCATTACTAATAGATCTAACGATGTACACGCATATGTAAATGATAATCCAGGTATGTGGACGTTTCTCAACTATTTGTCCGGGAAACGGAGTTTTCGGATTAACAGGTTCCCGTCTAGCGGGGTTCCAGTGTGTCCGTGTACAATGCTAACATAACACAAGCAGTTAAGTACCCAGCTTTCACACATTTCATCTATGGTCACCACAGCAACAGCACTTGACACCCGGAATAAACAAAATCAGGAAGGCAAGGGGTTATTTCTTTGTAGGCTCGTGGTATGCTACATATTATCACAGAAGACGAAGTCTACGCTCCCACGGCAAGTGCAGACCTGATGTCATTAGTATCCCGAACAGCGGGGTAATGGTAAAACTTTCAACACATCAGCAAGTGGCCAACCCGACAGTGTCACTTGAAATAAAACAGGTCACTAAGGCACGCATTATCCATCTGTAGACCAAATATTATTGTCTTAAGTTTACCTATGAAGGTGATGTCTTGAACAATACCTCGCTGACGAATGTACCGCACTGGGATAGATCCTAATGCCTTTCAAGAACTCCCGAGAGCAACTTCTTTCATTAATATTAATACAACGCCTTCCAAAATGTTGCTTAACCATCAACATTCAAAATCCCCAGATAACAAGATGTAGCTGACGTACTCAAACGTTTCAGTCAAGAATGTTGACGTTGGGCACCGGTCTTGTGACACATTATCCGATGAAATGAAACACACATTCATGATTCGTGACACATCTTACCCATGCAGGTAACATTGTGATCAGGTATATATATTTGGATCCGACTTTCTGCACCATATATGTCTGGCATTCAGTGTGTAAAGCGTATCACACAACTTTCCCAACAACACATTTTCATAGCCAGCAACACAGCCTTATTCTAAACTTCTTTCTACTGAGATCATTTCTTTGTCACCACAGAACCCCTCTTAGCTGATTTTGCCCCAAATCTTTGGTTAGTCTTTCCTTCTGGAATGGCCGCAGATTGCCATCTCGTGGTCTCCTTTACACCGTAACGTATAGGCGGAAGTTCAGCTTGACTAGCACTGCTGCTGGTTACCGACCTGGAGGACCTGCCCACTCCACTCTGTGAGGCCCGGATGGGGGATGTTCTGGAGGACACAGCGGCTCTACTGTTGGACCGGATTAACGGACTAGGGCCTCCCTGTGGTCTGGAAATGTTTTGATTAAGATGATCCAGAGTTCTTCTTGGAGGATTGGGACTCTTAGATTTAGGAGCTAAGATATAGGTACTCATGTTGATGTTGCTGGTTGGCTTAGATGGAGCAGCTTCCTCCTCCACGTCCTCCCTCGGCGTCTTCCCCTTCATGATGAGGTCCTTGATATCCTTCACGTCACTATGCATTTCTCTGTTCTGCTCCCGTAAGTTCCTCATCTCCTCATAGTTTTGATTCATGACCTCCCTCATCCTCTCTACCTCCTGTCTCATGGCCCTTGACGCCTTGTCCAGCTCCTCCTTGAAGTTCCTCGCCATCTCGTTCCTTTCCATTTCAAACTGTGCGAGTTTCATATTCTGCTGAGTGATGATGGTTTTGGCCCGTTCTAGTTCTTTCTCCATTATGGCACACTTGTTCTTCAGCTCTTTCAGCTCCTCGCGTAACGTCTGTATCTCGTTATTTTGTTCTTTATACAAAGTGTCTGATTCTAGGTGTCGTTTGTCGTCACGCAGCCTACTGACCTGTTTGAACAGCTTCCCAGCATACTCCTCAGTTTGTTTCACAAGTTTCTTGAGGTCATTCAATTCAAGTGATTTTTCCTTTATTATCCTATCTTTCTCACCAGTGCATTTGACCAACACGTTTATCCTGTCATCTCTGTTGACCAATGAGTCTTTTAATTCACCTATTTCCTCCTCCTTCTGTTCAACTTCTCGAGTCTTTTCTTTAACTATTCTTTCGTTTTCGGAGGCATGGTGCTTGGCCTCAACATCCAACCTTAGCCTTAAGGCATCGATTTGTCCTTCAAGTGCCTTGTTCATGGTAATAACACTCTGCAACACGCTGAACGCCTCACCTGGCGCCATTTCCAGGGAAGCAGACGAAGGCCTTGACGAGGAAGCGGAAGTGACGTCAACACTACTTGCACTTCCATTATCACCTGCTCTTGATTCTGGTCGAGGGGTGATCCCGGTACCATGAACCTTTAGGTGCTCCTGAAAGCGAAAAAGAAAACAGAATTCATCTGTTGATATATCTAAGTCAAACACCGGTACTCATTTTATCAATTTTGTTTGTTGTTTAATGCAAGACACAGCAATATTCAAGCTATAGGAAGGCAGCCAATAAGAATGGACCGGGTAATCCAGTGATTGACAATATGAATAACATTCTACTTGGCTCAACCAAGTCGCCTAGCCTGACCAACCAATGTATAATAAAATTGTTCTCTCCGACAGGCATTGGGAGCATTGGTCCATTTCTAACCCAGAATCGTGAACACGTGATCAGGTATTCCTCCGCTGGTGAAGACAGTAACATTAGGATCACCAAACACTTCTTTCAAATTTGACAAAACATCCTGTTTTTAAAAAAAAATATTTGTGAAAAGCTGGAACTACGATCATGGATTTCATTTGAGGAAATGGTTTACTCCACAGTATCTGAGTAGTGAGCGAGTGTGTTTGTTAGTCGCTTTAGCAATATTCCAGCAATATCACGATTACCCGTGTGGGGAATCGAACCCGGGTCTTCAGCGTGACGAGCGAACGCGTTAACCACCAGGTTACCCCAACCGTCCCCACAGTATCTAGACAAGAAACGGGCTATTTTTATTTCAGCTGAAGTAAATTAATGCAAAAGGCTGACAACGACACGACCATGAGATATCCTGCTGAGTCAGCCACTCTTTCAATGCCCGATTTCCCAATCTGACTCCAGCCTCTTAAACACAAGGCAAGGTATAATCTCCTTTACGTCGTGACATGTATGTGTGGTCCCTGAGGAGGACCATTCCTCAATCACCGCCATTAAGTTTTCAGGACACGAACGCAGGATGTTACGGTTCCTATGTTTGTCCCAGTTATGATCCTTGGGTCTGTACCCGTGAAGATCCGGGTTAGAATAATTGATCTTCAGTAACCCATGCTTGTCGTAAGAGGCGACTAACGGAATTTGGTGGTCAGGCTCGCTGACTTGGTTGACACATGTCATTGTATCCCAAATGCGAATAGATCGATGCTCATGCTGTTGATCACTGGATTGTCTGGTCCAGACTCAATTATTTACAGACCGCCGCCATATAGCTGGAAAATTGCTGAGTGCGTCGTAAAACTAAACTCACTCACTCACATTTCGGCCTGTTTGCACTAACGTGTATGTGTGTGATATTTTGAGAGGCGTGGGTGTCCTCCCAGAATGGACTGGAGCGCCATGATACAACTTAAATAGTGTTGCATGGAGGATAAATGACTCAGTTACCTGGACAGAAAGCGTGTTATCCATTCTCTGTGTTATCAAACCGCCAGACGCCATCTTGAAATCTGAAACGAAATAATGTTATGTGGCAGTGTTATTCATTGTACAATAGTGTGCTAGTTACTATATTTAGACAGGGAGTCAAGGGTGATCTGTAAGCTTCTAGAACAGCTGAATTAATCCAGCATTGAACGGAACCTTAAATAAATATTCAGACTATATAAGGGAGCAAGCAAATGCATATCATCTCTCACATTACATTAGGGGGCAGTGTGGTAGCTCAGTGGTTAAAGCGTTTGCTCGTCACGCCGAAGGCCGGGTTCGATTCCCCACATGGGTACGATATGTGAAGCCCATTTCTGGTGTTCCCATGCCGTGATGTTGCTGGAATATTGCTAAAAGCTGCGTAAAACCCAGCTCACTCACATCACATTAAGACAATGACTCTACAAAGATCGTGATTTTAACCCTGCATTACCAGCCAGGGCCTGTTTTGACGCATGGCCACTGCTGCTAAGTAAATATTACCATAATGATCTTTGTGGCTATAATCACTGCTTATATATCATATTTCCATTTATTTATACTGCCATTGTAATGTCTTTGCAAAAATTAAAATTGATTTATAAACCTAGTTAATTTTGGTATAACATGGATGTATTGACTGTTGGTCTCACGATAAATTCGTTAATGGACAGATTTCTTGTTTCAACAATACATCATAGTTTCAACATGGAAATAGACAATTATTACAATCTAAACATAGGTCAACATATACAGAACAATCACATTCAGAGTGCTATAACGGTACAATAACCAAACAGATTATTATGACAGATAAATGGTCAGTATTTAGACGCTGTGACATCATTGACGTAATTAGTAATGTGGAAGTCTTTAAGATCGGGGACCCCTAAAGTGAGTTTACATATTTCTCATCTATGTAAATGGGTTCATGCGTCCTTTACAGCTCCTGTAGAAAGTTCCAGAACAGTTAACTCCTGGAAGATTACTATTGTTTTCTGTTAGTTGGTTATGCCACCCGCAGCAATATTCCAGCGAAAAAGCGGAGTTGGTATGTAATCGGTTCCTTGCGCATCTAGGGGACGTAACTCTTGGTTGTAGGTTGTAATGCATTAGAAGCTATCCTGCTCCACAAGCCACTACCGCGGCTAGTCTTTACTTTTCACAGTAAACGCCAAATGTATTGAGGTCAAATCTAAACTCACTAACTACATATTGGGCAATGTACCCCCCACGTGGGGTGTCAGACTTCCTAGTGTTGTTGGACATCTGCCAGTGTAAGTTAATCCTTTACTGGCGTCACAGGAAATGATATAAACACAGTTATTATGATCGTTAGTAATATCCCCTGGAAGATTAACGGCTATTTCGGCTTCTCGTCTATAACGTGCAATGAGCATGTGTCCTGAGTTCATTACCTGAGAAACACACACACATGCTTCCTGCACCTTTACATCCATATTGAGACACGTGTCAGGATTAGCGTGTATCAGAGACCATGCAGTAAATGTATTATATGGTTTCTGCTTGCGTGACACAATCGTATATTCAATCAAATTATAAAATTCATTTACTTGACATAATAAAGAAGATCTAAATCACCGTTCTTAACCACGTGTGTCATGACGTATGTCTGAGTAGGTTACCGCATCTTTGGACAATGCACACGACGGTCTACAATAGAAGTGTCTCAGTACCAATCCTGTACTTAAGTATCCACGGGTGAGTTAACCCCCCGCAGTGAGCTTATGACTTCCTGAGCTTCCTGGGTACTTCCGGTGTTTTGTATGAACCCTGTCACCTGTCTTGAATGACATGGACCCGCCTCCTTAATAATTCCTCATATATTTTCTGATCGAATAAGTTATGCTTCAATATGGCTTTTAGTCATTTTCAAAGGGGTTTGTTGTGTGTCCGCCAATGCATGTCAATCTGGGTTTTAGGGGAAGACACTCAAAATTTGCTCTATCCAGAATTCCATAATGCAGCTGATCAAATAAAAAAAAAGTATTTACAAATTCTCCAGGCGTTTGTAAAACAAGAAATAGCAACCACAAACTACATGTTCCAAATCAGTGTACCAGGACACGCTGATCCCACTTTAGCCACAGATGCGTCCATTTATATACCTTGGTTTGCCAGTACATGTCAGTGTTCTTGGGTTTTACCAAGACTAGTATTGATGACTTTGCAGTACGTTGCTGAAATTCTGCAATTCGGAGCAGCCAAACCCAAAACTGAGCCCAAACCCAACTCACCTGCTTAATTGCTTTTGCTAGCCTTATTTAACAACATTCAAGAGTATAATCCACTTTAAAACAACGTTTGCACATTCGTTGAATACGTGCTACGTGTCTCCCTGACTTGGTCAAGGCTTGTATATGTATATAAACGTGTCGCCCCCCCTGTAGTATACAGTGATGTGGAAAGTGATAGGATTTCACGCTATACTCGGCTCCTGTTGATAAGCACTGGTTGTTTAGTCACAGCGTAATCACTAACATGTCGAAGGCAGCCTGGCAATCGCTGATACACTTGTTCACATTCGACAGGGCTCTGTGACACGACTACAACTGAGAATGTCAGTCTATTGGGATTATGTTGGGATTCAAGCAGCCAGTTCCCTTCCACTGATTCATCAACCTCTTGCATATTATTTAGATTTATACTTAAAGATTCAACTTCAAGAAAACCTCTCTACAAGACTGTATGACAAGTGGAAGACCTCAACTATTCAATTGTTTAAGTTTCCTTAATGCTGAGCAATAACTCCTTCAGCCTTTGGAGGCTTTGGTGTCTACATTTAATAACTTTTGAGATACAATCGACCAAACCATAGGCGAATCTGAGGGGGTGCAGCTTTGGTGACTACATTTAATAACTTAGAGATACAATCGACCAAACCATAATCGGATCTAGAGGGGTGTGTGTGTGTGTGTGTGTGTGCAGGGGTGCCCCCCCCCCCCCGCATTGTCCTGGAAGTTTATTAAATGACCATTGAAATGAAAGTGCAACCCCCACCCCCACCCTCTCTCTCAATAGTGCGTACACAGTGCTTTTCTCAAAAAGCTGTATATATCCGCCCCTGCAAACCCCTTATATGAAGATTTCGAGAAGCGTCTTACTACTCTCTCTCAAAAGTGTAACTTGCCTGGCAACCAGGTTCAAGACCTCAGTAAATAGTAAACTCAGTTTTATGGCAGACATGTAGACAACAAGTCCAAGTCGAAGCGTCAGAGACAAATATTATGTCCAATGCAACTCTCTATTGTGACTTGTACCACACGTGTCTTCTTTCAGGTGAACAGTTGACTATACTCAGTGCATGTGTTTGTGACGAGAGGCACCGAGAGGGAGGGGCAGGATACGTTCACATTTTTCATAAATTGACTGACTGACTGACTGAGTTTAGTTTTACACCGCTTTTAGCAATATTCCAGCAATATCACGGCGGGGGACACCAGAAATGGGCTTAACACATTGTGGCCATGTGGGGAATCGAACCCGGGTCTTCGGCGTGACGAGCCAACGCTTTAACCACTAGGCTACCCCACCGCCCCTTCATAAATTGAGATTGATAAAAACATGCTAATGCTTTATGTAGTAAATCGTACAGTCGACTCTGCTTATAGTTTCTTGTTAAACGCCGCTCGCAACAATTTATCAGCCATATTACAAACATCCAGTGATTGAAATCAAGAGCATAGATCTAAGCAGCTGGGATACAATGGCATGCATCAACCAAAAAGAACTCTGGGGCTTAAGAATTTAGTGAATAATTATTATGTTGTGTGGGGTATTTCAATGACTATAATTAAATCAAAATGATGATGATGATGATGATGATGATGATGTTGATAACAAAAAACGTGGGAAAGTTAATATCGTTACATCAAACTAGCAACGCTTGTTACCCATAGAACCGCCTAAGTAATAAACGCCCTTCAAGAAACAGTTTGTTAAGCGATGTAATCACCTCTCAGCGTATATTGTGATTCAGTCTTCCTACTGGGTAACAACACAACCAGACGGGTGCCTAGTGAGCGACTAAATACCCGCAACAGGTAACTAACACACCCGACCTTATCATCTCACGGGGCGGCGTGGCCCGTCAGGCTGACAGTAGACCCTACCTGCTGGTGATTACATGGGGTACCCCGGTGACACAGAACATAAGTACTTCCACACAAGCTAAACAATGGAGGTGATCAGATACAACTCAGTAGTTCATGGATTTGTCATACACCCTGACGTGCAGAAATTAACATTACAGTGGATTTCAACTGAAGATCAGATGAAAAGAAATCTATTAACAAATGTTATAACTTGGATTGACTCTGAATATCCGAGTTCAGATTGATATATATTCACATTTTGTGAAGAAATATTGACAGCTATATGCAAGAAGACCATTACTGCAACGTAATCACTAAAAGTGTTCTTGACACGGGTCTATGAAGTCACAACATGGTCCCCTAGCATATTGTATATGATGACTAGTTATGCCTGGACTCCCCTTAGACAAACAGTTGACTAATATTCTGCATACAAGGACGTGTTGTTTCGACATACCTGTGTACATTCCCAGCAGAGCGTGGCGTGCTGCCCACGACCCAGGTAAACCCGTGACCTAACGAGCAGGTATGCCTAGAAGACGCATGAAGGCAGATTATACCTGGGCCACTACTGTACACAAATATGTTTACTTACCGTAGTTGCCCAACAAAACGAACAGTTCCAAATACACGAGTAAATCATCTTATCAGTATATGCTTTATTTGGGAGAATTTTATTCAGCGACGTCTCCTTAACAGAAAGCATCGGACCAATCGAAAATACACAATTAATACTTTCGTAATTCCAGACAAGCAACACAAATACGACGTGTACCACTTCTGCTGTAGCCATAAAAGAACTTTGTTTTAAACAATATATGGGGTTAAACAGTTTTGAGTAAGCGGAACTTGCAAATATTCACAGGATACATTCATACACTGAATATTAAAAGAATCCTAAATTGTATTTTTACCAAGAATGTTCACTTTATGTATTATCGGCAACTTTCGAGGAAATATATTTCCAATAAGAACAGTGAGCTAGAACTGACATAACAGTCATTCGATCCTCCTATCAGTGAATGAATTTGGGTATAATACGTTGGTGTTTGTTAGAATTGGGTGGTATCACGGCGGGGAACACCAGAAATGGGCTTCACACATTGAAAATGCTTTGGGAATTGGGCCTCATGGTTTTGGGCGTGACGAGCGATCATTCTAACCTCTGATTACCCCACCACCCCAGTTTGTAAGGAAATGCATATATGTACACACGTCGCACATGTTCGTTGAAATTGTGGCAATTTTGTCATTATGGAACCTGACACAGACAAACCGTGACAGTCACAGTAATAATGTTGATATTATCTTGCATAAATTATTGTAGTACATGCCAATTTCACGGGTACAGGTGAACCAACTGATTTAAAGATTACCAAAACAATTAGCATATATTTTAAACTTATCAGCTATCCACTCTCCACAGTTCAGCATAACTTTTATTATCGATCCGTCTTATCGATAGATCCATACACTATACCTTATTGAACGAGTTTAAAAACAGATCGATCAAATTACTTTGAGTGACAAAGCCTGATAAGAGAGCACACGCTATAACACGTCACGTATATTGTGAGTACCTGTTCCTTATATTAAACTACTGCAAGAATAAGGCAATGCGTTGTGAGGAAGTCAGTCATATAAGACTTCCAGTACTGCCTTGTGTTATGTGGTAAATGAATCTATTCGTCTAGTCACAAAGGTGCTATCATAAAATTAATGGATATGAAGATAATTTAACAAAATGTAGAGTTATTAGATGTTGACAAATGATTCCATAACACAAACACTGACTTTGCTGAAATGAATCTAGTTATTTAAAGTGACTATTACCTTATTTATAAATTACTTAGATATTGTAATATTGGTTGCATCTTATTCAAATAAGGTCTTACTTAGATCTTATCGTTATCAAACAGACGAACGAAAAATAATTATAAGATATTGTTTCCAAAACAGTGTTTCTGAAATTGACATGGTTTTAGATATATATAAGACTTATTGATATCAAACGTATCAAATTATATAGAGGTAGGCATATTTGACACCGACTAGAAACGTTTCGGGAGTAACAGCAGCTCGCTGGTATTATTACATTAAATAGAAGGTAAAAACTACAAATTTGATTGGCTCTGTTAGCAGAATAACCAGTCTGGTCGAGATCTCGCTCACAATGACCCCTATCCCCTATCCAAGCGTGTAAACAAAAACAATTTCAAACAGGTCTCACATACCTTATTATTAGAGAAAGCCCATGGTATTACATTATCCGTCTGTACATTTTCCTGGAGTGTACCATCTGTATAACGGCATGTAGACCTACATTGACTACACTTACTTCAGTCAGGGTGCTTGACCTACAAGTCTCGTCAGGGGTATCCATGGACGCGTTAGCCACCATTACCGCCTACCCAGCACACTGGTGAAATCTCGCCGTGTGCAGCGTGTTGGGATCGAGGATCGAACCACGATAAGATTGTTGAGAAAATATATAAGTACGACTTCTTTTGTTAATCGTTGGAGTAATAATATCATATAAATTATGAAGACTAATGAATAATAATGCATTGAGGATAAATATAAAATTACCGATTTTTACTTATTACAACCCATACTGGCACAAGTTGTCCAACACTTTAGTTAAATGGTGTGTCTCTCAAGAAGGCGATTCCTTTACAACATTCTGATTGTTAGGTCACACACAAATGAAAGTGATTATTGGGCTCCAGTTAAAGTTCAAAATATCAGGTCGCAGTACGCTTCTTGCTCCAACTACGCAACACTAATTTACACTACACTACATTACAATGCATTACAATACAGTATATGCTGAAACGTTTTCCGTCGTGACAATAAAGAATAATCATATGAAACATGCTATCATGATCACGTTTCCCAGAAGAAAGAAGTATTGGGTACTGTAGTTCTAAATACAATTGTAAATGTAAGTTTTTAATTAAAACAAAATGGAATGTTAAGCAAACCATCATACAGTCATTATGTGGGTATATTTTGGGGCAATCCCCAATTCTTGCAAGGTCATTCCCACTGTTTCAAAGGTAAACGCTATTAAATCTTATGTTCCATATTTTTTTCTAAATGAAATAAAACGAATTTATCGTGACTTTGACAGTTGAGTATTAATACATTACTGCTACATTCCCTGAACAAGGTAACTGTTTCAAATGTACTCTACTGAGGGTTGGAATGGAAATTATATTCATGTTATTACAAACGTTTAGCATGATATTGGGGTCTGTGCAGAAATATCCACTGTAGCCAATGAGCCCGTGTCTTCAATGTCGGGGAAACAAAGAAGAAACATTAAACCAGTATCAATTTAGTGGTACTGTGCTGCAGTAGATATGCAAACAAATGCAATTTTAAAGTAATAATTGTTCCAGATGTAATAAAACGTGATGGTCAGCGTGCTGACAGTATTACCTATTACAATCTTTAACATTAATGATACCCATATTTTGTTAAATACAACTATCGTTTATGCTTTCAAAATTTTGCATTTTCGTAATTTCGATTAGTAGTTTTCTGAAAAATTAATCACAGCTACGAAAAAAGCTAATAATTTAAAAGAAACTCGAAATTAAATTTTTCAAATATTTGAAATGCCAAGAAAATAATTTGGGTAGACTGCACTTTAATGGTCCCCGGAAGTTTACTCTAGCGAGGGTTAGGGTTATAGTTATGGGTTGGTAAGGGTTCGGGTTCGGGTAAAGTGCAGATGTCCCAATCATTTAAATTTCGTGATTATAGCTATAGCCGAATGAACAAGAGAAAACACGAAATTTTCAGTAATAAAATATATAAATTATCTAAATATCTCATATTTACTCAATATGATTTTATGTGTTTTGGCAATACATGAAAGTTTTCATTTGAGTGATGTTGGTGGCCCTTAAAAGGGCCGTTGAAAAAGCCAGACAAGGGCACAGTAAATTACTTTACTTGACTTTCTTAGCAGATTTCGCTCTTCCTTTGGCAGCTTTCTTCATGGGTTTCTTTGCAGATTTCTTTGCTGCCTTTTTGGGAGACTTCTTCGCTGGCTTCTTTACAGCTTTCTTTGCTGACTTTTTGGCTGGCTTCTTTGCTGCTTTTTTAACAGCTTTCTTTGCTGGTTTCTTCGCCTTCTTGGCGGGTTTCTTGGCGGCGGACTTTGCCCTTTTTGCTGGTTTCGGCTTGCTTGAGGATCGGCCGCGAGAGGAACTCTTCTTTGGTGAAGCAGAGCGCTTTCTTTTCTGAGCTTTGCCGGGGCGCTTACTGATGGATCGGGGCCTTTTAGGCGCAGGTAAACCGAGTTTGGCAGGAGACTTCGATCGGGATCGGGATCGGGATCGAGATCGGGATCGAGAACGCGACATTCTGGTCGGGCTGTTCATTTCGAAGATGTACACACTTTGCAGTCTGCAGAACGTGACAGGAGTGACGTGATGGCAGTTACGTCATATTTATAGGCATCGCGCGGACCTGATAGAAGACAAGCAACACATGTGACGCGAAGACAAGAATGGCGTTACAAGTATGGCCTTACTGTGTTTGTTGACATATTTGAATCAATGTAATCGTATTTGTAAAGCATGTAAAGTACATATAAATAGTAACACGTCACAGAGAGATCTATTAGAATCAGGAAATTTCATATATTCAATCAATAGCAGCCAAATTCTGAAGTTTGTGTCTCATAATGTATGCGTAAACACTCGCTGGAGATCTTCGCAGTAACAAAATACCTACATTTTACGACATTATTCACCACAAATCTGATCTACTTATATATTATGAACACATTATAACTGGGCACCAATAAACACGATGACCCGTTTGTTCATAAATAAACACTGATCAATATATGTGTCTGCAATTGTGCACTGGCGCACAGCGGAAACAATCAGCCATTTTGAAAGTCGGTAGTACTGAAGCGGTCGTTGTTGGCACGGGTACTACAGTTGATGTTAATGTATGGCACTTACGACTATCTTAGCTCTAAAAGAGTTTCGAAAATCTAGGCCCAGCTAGCCAAAATCTAAATACAGAAACGTACCCTAGGACGGGTCCATTCTGCATTGTGACGTTTTACTTGATCGGAACTCAAACTGTTGTATTCTAGATGTTGATTGCGTTATAAGAAACGAGCAAACAAATACTTCGCGATGCACTGGCAATCAGTTGAACAGGAATAACTGGACATACGGTTTCGGTTTTGGGTTGCATCATATGGAGTCGTCCGCCATTTAGGTTGATTTTGTTTAGGGTACAGCCATTTCTGTTTACAGATAGTTTACACCATGTCCTGAAAGGTGTGTACCCACTGTGGGGGATTCAGAGATTTCAGTAACACATGCTTGTTGTAAGGGACGACGAGATATATGGATCATCAGGGTGTCATAGCATTTCATCTCTTCCTAACTGTTTGAGACATTCATAATATCAGTTTCTGGATTGTCTGATCCAGATTCGTTCACAGGCTGGAACTGAGGTTAATTGTTTTTTTGGTTTGTTGTTGAATAAATAATTTAAAAATAAATAAATAAACCTTATTTCCTTAATGTCGTAATTAAATTAGATCTCATAAATTACGACTTGAGTTTTCCACGTTTTTGGCCTAAACTTTGAGGTTAATATTGTTCTGTTTAGTGATCTAAACGCGATTTTTTGATGTACCATGTATAAAGTTCTTTCAATTAAAATATATAACTGGTTCGTGTTTTGTAACATTATTGTTTTATTGTTTGTTTGTGGATAATCGAGTCTGGATCAGACAATCCAGTGATCAACAGCATGAGCATCGATCTACGTAACTGGGAATGTCTAGGATACGATAAAATGTGTCAATAGGTCTGCGTGACTGACCACCGGATCCTGTTAGTCACCTCTTACGACAAACATGGGTTGCTGACGATCAATTCTAACCCGGATCTTCACGGGTAGAGTGTTGTTTTAAGATGGAATCCTAAAATAATACTTTCATCTTTTTCCTGAGCTTATTGATTGTCAATAAAATAAAATAAATAAATGTAAGAGAAAACACTCCTCATATCGTGCTGTGTATGTGTTCTGGCTTGAAGGAACCATCGCCATTACTCTGTCCTATCATTCCTATTTGTTTGAACGTTTTACAGAAGCGTCTAGTTACCAAAGACGAAGTCGTATTTGTAATCTCTTTTCGGGAACTGTTTTATATACTGGACAAAATATGCTAGGGATATTGGTATTTTTATGATTGATATTTTATCAGAGTGTCAATGAATAAATAGATCATTATTTATAATTTCAAAATTTACATATATCCCTAACTATTATTGTCCAGTATATGTGCAATACACACACGCCTCTAAATGATGCCGACTCTCTATCCCACAAACAGAAGCCAGGCATGCATGAATGGTCCTAAAGACAGCAGTTTTCCTATTCTAAATATGCTCTAGTCTGAGATATGCTGGTGGTTAATAGTGATCGTTTCATATATATACCAGTTACGTCAGAAGTTGGGAATCGAGGATGTGAGTTGTTATAGCATTAAAAAGACTGACTACTGACTGCGTATGGGTTACGCCGTCTTTAGCAGGATTACAGCAATATCTGGGGACACCGGAAATGACATTAAAAAGACGCCGGATCAAGTTGATAGAGAACTGGCGTCTAATAGAGAAAACTCGGTATTTAAACCATGTTGGCTGTTTCCCTTGCTTGTAAGTGTCACTTGAGCATAAGTCACACAGTTTGTGATCTGACTGATTGCAGGGATCTTGTGTGCCTTCATCGTTTCAAGACGAGTGAGTGGGTATGGTTTTACGCCGCTTTTAGCAATATTCCAGCAATATCACAGCTGGGGACACCAGAAATGGGCTTCACACATTGTACCCATGTGGGAAATCGAACCTAGGTTTTCGGCGTGAGGAGCCAACGCTTTGACCACAAGGCTACCCCACCGCCTCCAAGGCGACGAGGGCAGTGTGTGTAGGTTTCATTGCTTAATTTTAAGTCTATAGACTGTGACCGTCTCTATGGGGATCCCATGTATAGCAGGATCCTCAGCAACCCGGTCGTTGCTGTAAACTGTAAATCTGTAAATTATGCGAGGTCCTTTCTTCCAGATACTGTTAACTTATGGAATTCATTACCAGTCGAACATAGAGAATTACCGTGCCTATCGAGATTCAAAAATGTACTTTTAAATTATTCTAATATCTACAGTCATTTTGACTTAAATTTCGGTAGCAGATTTTGTCAAATCATACATTCTCCGACTTGAATGTAGTGACCTTAATGCGCACAAATATGAAAGATTTATATCTCCAACATCATCTTGCTCTTGTGGCAACAACTATGAAGACTCTGCTCATTATTTCTTTTCATGTACTCTTTACAACGATATACGTCACATTATGTATTTTTATACTAAAGGATTTGACCTAAAATCAATTTTGTTTGGAAACCAAAGCTGTTCCCCGATAGTAAACAGAGAACTTTTCATTTCAGTGCACTCGTTTATAAATTTAACAGGCAGATTTGATCCAAAATAATTTCTTCATATGACAGATACTGTTTAAAAAGGATTGGCGTTATTTCTCGTTTTTGCAACATTTATACTGTATATCATTCACATTGTACATTCATCATGACATGTTTACTCTTCCTTCCATTGTATCCCAGAGAGGTATTCATATAAGCTTATGCTTGTTGACCAATCCGGTTCCTTTCTTTGGAAATAAATATGTGTAAATCAACCCGGTTGTAAGAGGCAGCTTATAATGGAAGACGTGTTAGATTGGTAGGTCTGTCATAAACAAAACCAGCAGAGCAAAGCCCACCAAAAACAAACTCGCTGTACCTTTCGGCACGGGGTAGGTACTCCAGGGGCACCAAGTAAGTGTGTCCAACTCCTCATCTTTATGCTAATGAAATGGAGCCTCTGCTCGGAATGGCAACATTATAAGAGAAAGTTTGGTCAAGAGACCAAGAAGTGACTTAAGCTTTGGTATTTGCTGGAAATCAAACACAAGCATCATATTTATGCTTGTGTGAGATATGCATCTTGTCATAAGGTTCATCTAAGAGCATGACAAATACAGTGTTTGTGAAAAAACAGAATACCATGTTTCAACCAAGTCAAGTGGCCATTGGAACATACATTTTACACATTCTTCATTCCCTGTGCAAACGGTAACTGGTTTACACTACCGAGTCACCAGTCTCCAGATTCTGCACACGATGCATTCCACACTTAAACTATATATACTTACTAGCAAAAAAGCAATCACAAACAACAAAACGTTATGTAAAGAACACACGAGGCATTGCACACAAAGAAGAAAATACAAATGATTGTCAAGTATGAAACAAATTTAGTGTCTTCGTTTCCACTGTGTGTATATATATATATATATATAGTATTGCAGTGTGTTAATCAAATCACGCGGATTCATCACGTCTGCCTCCAGCAGTAAAGTAGATACTGATTCGTGAAGCAGTGGAAGTCTTCACTGTTATCCAAATAGAATTTCTTAAACCATGTTTTTCTTCTTGTGAATATTGGTACGTTTTGAATCCTTGCTCAAAACCGGAAGTGTTGGTTTGAAAGCCATGTGCCCATGTTCTTTAGGAGTCGTTTGCTCATGTTGACTCGGGGGTTCTTTCTGAGAGATCTTCTGTGGTTCATTGACTGTTTCTGACGCTTTCGTAGTACTTTGTTCCACCAACATGTCTCTGATCTGTTTTATGTCACTTCGCATAGACTCGTTCTGTTCTCGCAAATCCTTCATCTCTCGCCACTGGCTTCTCATCAAGTCTCGCATTTTACCGATTTCAAGTCTCATGTTCTGCGAGATTTTATTCAGTTCCTCTCTGAACTGAACCTGAGCGTTTTTACTTTCTTTCTCCAACAACCTGACCTTTCCGCCATGTTGAGATATCACTTCCTTAGCCTTTACCAATTCCTTTTCGAATCGGGAAAGATTCTTCCGCAGATACCCGATCTCCCTGTGTAGTCCCTTAATTTCGTCCTCCTTCTCTTGATAAGCAGAACCAGTCTGGAGCTTCCCTTTGTCTCTCTGAAGTTTCGATACCTCGGACTCAAGTTCATCTGTATATACTCTAGTATCCTCTACATCCCTACGTAGATCTTCAATCTGACGCTGTATCTCCTCAATCTCTTTATTCTGTCTGTCGTTATTGTCTGTCAAATGAGACAATACTGCAGTTTTCTTCTGTATCTTAGATTTCAGATTCGAGAGCTCAGCGTTTTTTGTTCCAGCTGCGCATCTGTTTCCTTGACGATAGCAATCCTCTGTTCGTTGTTGTGTTTGTAGTCCACCTCCAGACGGAGACGAAGAGCGTCTATCTGTTGCACGAGAGCCTTGTTAATAGCGACAACCTGACTCATGGCGTCATTTCCGCTAGCCTCGTTCTTGGTTTCAGAACTTCCATCAGATGAAGTGTCTAGTGACGAGGAGGTATGAGAAATTGTCGCAGCTGATGTAGGTCTTCCGTTCCCGGGGTTGTCGCTACCTTCGACGTACATGGACTTGCTTCTCGTCTGCATGGATGGGCCTTTAACGTTGAAAGGCGACTTGTCACCCTGAAGATGGACATGGTGTTAGTTAAAACGATAGCATATATAGTACATAGATAATATATTATTGGTCAATATCTTTACTTCGTTCGTTTGGGTTTTTTTTCTTTAACAGATCTGCAATCAGCAATATTATCGTGTCTGGACCAGATAATCCAGTGATTTGATATTGTGAGCAACGATCACCATGCGGGGTAGGATGACATTCTATCAATCAAGTGATCATCTGACCACCGAATCCCCTTGTGTGACCTGTGGGGGACAGTTCTAACCCGGAATCTCCAAAGAGAACGGGTTTTTTTGTTCAGATCGATGAAATGGAACGGAAATGAGGACGGGCAAGTCAAAACATTGATTACACAACAGTCTCTTTTCCTGTTGACTGGGTTCCGTCCTATTGCGCAACTTAGTACAATAACCAGTCCAGAATTTTGAGACCAATTCATTTAGCTGGATACATATATATATATATAAGTCAGTATTTTTTTTATACATCTAAGCAAATGTACACCCCAACACTATGCTCCTTATACTCCTTCCAAACAGAAACCTGGAAATCGTGGAAATCTGAAAACGAGGCTCTACCGCTAGAAACGTTTGGCGGTCTGGTACGAACTTGATATTATATCAATCACAATGTGCGTTACAGAACTACACTGAATAAGCGCAAGAAACACATAACAGGTGTGACCAGTGAGCCAGATGCATTGTGAATCATTTTACGACCATACCAAACTGGGGCAGTCTGTGACGTCTTAGTTAAGGTCATGCTGCCTACACCTCGCCATAAAATTTAGAAATACGATGTTATTAAAGTTTAAAATTAGAATTCATTTTTAAATACCATTTTCTTATGAAACAAGGAAGTGGAATTCAGTGTAACCATAGTTGTTTGTGATGTCTATTTTCACTTTCACACGAGAAAATTCGGATCGGCTGAAAAGTAGGTCATTGTCTGAATAGGTTAATGAGACTCATGTTTCGGTTTGAAGGGGACGGGGGATCACGAAACAAAAATAGGGGGTATCTGGGATTCAAGTCCGTGTTCAGAGGAACCTTGCAGGACGAAGATTCGAAGGAGATGCGTACTTGTCCCTGTTGAATATTTTTCACACACCCGTACTTACAGGACAATTTGAAACAAAAACATTTCATGCAAAACATCTAAATTCCTTGACGTACGCTTGTCCAGCCAAAATTGGATGCCAGAAAATTGCCCCTGACATCAGTTAAATCAGCAGTCAAAACATGTGTTGATACAAATAGCGACGAAGACATAACGCGGCAATTTACACATACCTCTGAATAGGACGCCATGTTTGCTAGAATGGCGGCGTCCTTCTGGTCAGCTGTATACCCGAGATACCTGGAATAACATGAGATAACAGGATGAAAAGAGGCAATTAATATGGAGTACATGCAACCACATAGATTAAGTTTTGGAGTAATTCATCATACAGAAGATCTTGAGCTGAATTATTGTCATGTAACATACAAACAAATATTGGGAAGTTTCAACAACTTGATACTAACCATGTATTCTCAAAGCCTCTTTTTATTTACCCAAAGCATAATTTGTAACTCTGATGATTTTAGTAGAAAAAAACTCCATCGAATCGTCGCTCGTAAAAAGGACAAAAGTCGCACTGTAAATCATTGTAAATTTGCATGGGTCAACTTTGCTACCGGGCAAGAATTGAGGACAAATATAATTATTATACATTTCTATGAAATCATTACGCAAGGAAGCATCGTATCCTTTCATTACCCTGCCTTGCTCTTGTGGAAATGACAGCTGCTTGATACTATGGAATACATGGAATTGTTAATTGGAACCAAACATTGGAGCACGTTTGTTAATGGGTAAATCATGTAGTTTCGTGCAAATAAACGGGAACCTGATTTCTTTAATGTAACTTCTGTCTGACGATTACGGTTTCAAGACATGCATTAATAGCATTTTAGCATTTAGTTGGCATACACAACACGGTGTGTGTGTGAGTGAGTTAGTGGCTATGGTTTTACGACTGTTTCAAGCAATTGTTTTAAGAATTGACTCTGTGCCTTCAACAAACCGAAGATTTGCCCATGCACTGCCCCATGAAGTATGTCACAACACATTGACCGCCATGACCGATAATGACGTATGGAGAGTTTTATCAAGTATACGTGACATTGTTCTATCTCAAGCCCAGCGTTATATTACCTGTCGTATATAAGAGGCGACCAGATTTGGTTGTCAGGTTCATACACATAGTCGATAGAGTGCCATCTTACCTACTTCACACGGTGCTCACAATATCAACCACTAGTCTACAGATAGCTGAAATATGCATACTAACCCTCACTCACACATCTTAACGAGGATAACGTTCCGAACACCCCAGAACGTGTACCATATAACATCGTATCCCAGGTTCGATGATCGATGCTCATGATATCATGTGGGCGCGGTGGGCGAGCTGAGGTTGAGGTGCCGGGATCGAGCCGACCTGTGACCGGGTGTAAAACCTTGGAGTCAACTTTGTGTGCAGACTCTTTCCGTGTTGTCACAACCCCTAGTGTACAGTACACAACCCTGTGCACTTAAAAGAACCCACGAATCCATTGGTATATGACCAGATGGTGGCCACATGAATACGTGCAAACACCTAGTTGCGGGTACAGCAACGTGCAGTAAACTTGGACAAAGTACTGTGACTATGTGTCCCAGTCCACCCAGCTGTGAATGGGTACCTCGTTAGGATGAGAAAGCCACAATAACTCGGTGCGCCTTGTGGCAGCAAGAGTTGTATACTCCCCAGGGAGTTGAGATGGATAATACGATGAGCCGTTGAGATTGACATCCAATGATCGAGGGGAAAAATAACAGCGCCTTGAGCATGCACTAGTGTGTGGATATGTGCGCCATATAAATATCCTATAATAATAAAAATAAAATATAATAATAAAATAATAATAAAATGATATCAATCACTGGATTATCTGGTCCAGAATCGATTACTTACAGACCACCGTCGTATGGCTAGAATATTGCTGCTTGCGGCGTTAAACAACACTCAAACAAACAACAGGACCCTGCTGACATGACGTAAGACAGTTCACACCTTGTAAACCCAATAAGATCAGGTTGCGATTATTCTGATCATTTGCACGAGGATGCTCATGGAAATATCTCACACAGCAACTGTCTATTCTTAAACTAATAAATACAATTTACTTCTTCTTCTTACCTTCAAACGACCATAATTACGTCGTGTTTCGTTGCCTTTGCGACACACATTTGCAACAATCGTGACAGCTAAGCAACTCACCTTGCACCCCTAATCCATTTGGTGTTTAGAAGAGTTATGAGTTTGGTCACGTGACGTGTATACTTCGCTCCCTCGTTATACCCGTCTTCTCTCGTGCTGTATGTATTGCAACTAAATACAAGAAACCATGCAGAATATGGGGCTTACACCATTTTTCACATTATCAAACAGGTGTACATATTAAAATCACTGTAATTTTGCTAACCACAACCTGTCTTAAGAACTCGTTACAAAGAGGTAATGTGTTTCTGTGAGATCATCTATGAAAATGAGCGATTCAAAAGCTATAAAGGGAACGGCCAAGATATATAAGTGCTTCAGTGTATATCTCCCAGTGTTTCAGATCAATCAAGCCGTGGTAGACAAAGATGGGCAGTGTTTTACTCATACTTTCGATGACGAATTCAATAGCAATGTTCTCATATCGGTCTCATTATGTTCAGGAACCAGAATGAGAGCGTCCCTCAACACGTCCGATCAGGCCTGTCTATCCACGCAACCTCAAAGGATATATTCAGTATTTATCAGATCGAACGCTTCATATACTGTCGTACTGGTGTCCTGTTACACCAGACCGTCATAACATCAGACGAACTATAAATATAGAAGACGTGTATTGTTATCATAGTCTTGGCGGTAATATAATTTCGCGTACGTAATGCACATACAGTCATCAAGTTATATATACTACTCACACTTTGCTAAGGATCACAAAAACTTTACTTAAACGTAGATTTATAATTTGAAATTGTATCCTTTTAAAACTGATAAATAATGCTATGGTAACACAATGTCATCTTTAGGAAAACAGACACTTTAAGCTAATACACTTGATACATGTGTAACCATAAAAATGGTTTTCATGGCACCAATCAACCATTTTGCTAATCATGGCACACAACACCTGTCAATAGCAGGTATGGGATCCACAAAATGCAGTGGCATACTGAAAACTTGATCCATGCTTACAATAGTCTTAGATATTAAACCAAATTTGACCCCACATCATAGTTTTCTGTTGAAACAGTGATTTGATCCTTAGCAAAGTGTGAATAGTATATATGATTTTGTATACCCGTTTGGGGCCTTTTTTTTGGTTCTGGCGTTGTTTTGTTTGGGTGGGTTTTTTTTGTTTACTTTTTGGGTAGTGGTGGTGGGAGAGGTCTGTGCTTATTCTGTTGTTGTTTTTCCCTTATTTACTTTATTTTGTTTATATTTGGAGTGGCGAGTGGTTGCGCATCAATTTAACTGGCGCGGTGGCTAAAATCAATGGTGTTACATAGAAGCTGCAAGATTCACTTGTGTACCAATGTGTTGCTGGGTTCTGCTTAAGTCGTTCTGGCATCATGTTGCAAAGTGGAAATACTGGATCATTATGTAATGCTTACTCGCTGTGCACAGAACTTGTTTGAGAGGCATTTTAGACGATTGGAAGTACAATATGGGCAAACTTTATGGGAACTTATTTCTTTGTGAGTGCACCGTTACTCTACAGATTCTTGCACCAACATGATATCGCTGTGTAGAGTTGCATCCCTTGGAGCAGGACACAACCTTATGGTATCTTCGAATCCCGGTTCGTAGTTTTACAGCACCCGAGTGCCTGAGCTTCACCCAAGTGGTAAACATGTAACAATTCGGGCTTTCCTCCCACAGTAAGCGGACACGCCGGTTCAAAGCAACATGGGTCCCTCACTCATAAAAATTTGGACCCGTGAAGATCCGGGGTAGAATAGGTCTTCAGCAACCCATGCTTGCCACAAAAGGCGACTATGCTTGTCGTAAAAGGCGACTAACGGGATCGGGTGGTCAGGCTCGCTGACTTGGTTGACACATGTCATCGGTTCCCAATTGCGCAGATCGATGCTCATGCTGTTGATCACTGGATTGTCTGGTCCAGACTCGATTATTTACAGACCGCCGCCATATAGCTGCAAATATTGCTGAGTGCGGCGTAAAACTAAACTCACTCACTCATATCTGTAGTCGGGCCTGACGAACATCACTGCACCGAAGTGAGGAAGGAACAGCCATCACGGGCATTGTAATGACGCCATAATCACATGACGCCATAATGCATTCGTCACCGCCTCTGCTGACTTGTCCCACTCTACTCCTGCGCAGTGATGACTTGGCATAACATAGAAGGTGGACTTGTCCAAGTATGTCACCAGATGGTCACAAATAGTAAACATTCCTCTAACGATTCACTCACATAGTTGATATTCAAGTAAAGTCTGATAGAGCGTTGAACTTGTCTATCGCCTTCATGCCATGTCTGATATGGATGTGTGAGTTTAGTTTTACTACGAATTCAGCAGTATTCCAGCTATATGGCGGCGGTCTGTAATTAATCCAGTCTGGACCAGACAATGCAGTGATCAACAGCATAAGCATCGACCTACGCAGTTGGGGTACGGTGAGTGTCAACTAAGTCAGCGAGCCTGACCACCGGATCCCGTTAGTCGCCTCATACACCAAGCATGGGTTACTGGAGACCAATTCTAACCCGGATCTGTAAACTGGTCTAAGGATGCACTCCATGCACGAATAGTGTTGAAATTACTAGTCTATCACATTCATGCAATGTCTGATAAACCGTTGAAATGGTCTCATGCTTTCATTCCATGGGGGTCACGCAGATGATCCGGGTTCTATTCCCCACAAGGGTACAATGTGTGAAACCGATTTCTGGTGTCCCCCGCCGTGATATTGATGGAATATTGCTAAATGTGGCGTAAAATCATACTCACTCATTCCATGGCGGACAGGGTGTAAAACTGGTCTAACGATGCACTCCATGCACGAGAGTGTTGAACTGGTGTGACACATTCATGCAATGTCAAAATGGGTGTTGAACTGGTCTATCCCCATGCCATGTCAGAATGGGTGTTGTTGAACTGGTCTAATGCCTGCACGCCATGTCCGATAATGTTCTTATCAGCATCAGTTTAGCCTGAGTATGTCAGTGCAATTATAGTGACCCTTTTGGATATGACATGCAGGCCATAGAACAGTCCATGCTTTTGGACAATACCACCACAGGACAAAATACCCATGCACAGAAACCCTAGAAAAGTCTACTTGGTCTTAATGGAAAAGTGGAAAGAATGCCCATTTGCTGTGATGAGTTGCTTTGAGTGATGAGATATATTATGACCAACCATCCCATAGAACATGTGCGAATAGTGTTCAGACATGTATTCAGACAATGAATGCTTGCAGAAACACCCCTGAGAACTGTAAAGTTGTGAATGGTTTGACAATAGTTTGGTGAAACCTATGGCTGTTCAGTCAGTGTGATATCCGACACCTGTACAGTGTGATAAGATTTAGTAATTTTGTGCATGTATTCAGACAATACCTGTGAAGATAAGATAAGATAAGATATAACTTTATTATCCTGTAGGAAATTCATTTTATATCAAGATCCGGGTTAGAATTGGTCTCCAACAACCCATGCTTGTCGTAAGAGCCAACTAACAGGATCTGGTGGTCAGGCTCCGTGACTTGGTTGACACTAGAGCAATGCTCACGATGTCGATCACTGGATTGTCTGGTCCAGACTGGATTATTTACAGACCGCCTCTTTATAGCTGGAATGTTGCTGAGTGTGTTAAACAATAAAACAACATCATATTCAGACAACTATGTTGCAGTTTCTTTTACCTCAAAACTCTGTGTTGGTATGATCTATATTAATGCATTGTACCTATGAGCAAGCAATTGAGTGAGTGAGTGAGTGAGTTTAGTTTAACGCCACACTCAGCAATATTCCAGCTATATGGTGATGGTCTGTAAATAATCGGATCTGGACCAGACAATCTGGGGATCAACAGCATGAACATCGATCTACACAATTGGGATATGATGACATGTGTCAACCTAGTCAGCCAGCCTGACCACGCGATCCCGTTAGTTGCCTCTTACGACAAGCGTGGGTCCCTGAAGATCAATTCTAACACGGACCTAACACAATTGCTTCGAAATGGCATACATTCATAATTGATTGTGAGGAATGTCCAAAGCACTACTCGTCATAGACCATTGTGGAGGAACTTCTTCAGCATTGGAATTGTATGCTGACAGACCAAGGATGAAAATCAGAATGAATCTGGGACCAACCATGGCAACAAAGGGAAAGTTTATAATCATGAAAACCCAACTAAGACTTACCCGTATCACCTCATGATCTGTATGACAACATTCAAGGAAAATTTTATTAGATTACCTAATCTTGTATCATATTATCTTGATATACAATCTCAAATCATGATCAGTTCCACCAAAATTAAGGGGGTCCTAATTTTCATAGGTTTTCCCCATTAGATACTTAATCTGGTGACATCAGTGTTACCATGAGGTCCCCTGGACTTTCAACTTAGGGTATCCCAGTACAGGGAGCATTAATGTTGAGGGTTAAGTCTGATGGGACCCAAGTAATATCCCACAAAAAGAATTTTTCTCAAAGCTATACATGTATTGCCAAGTATTGCAATGCATATTGACTAGCCACAATATATGTATTCAGACGGTGGGTGCTGCTATTGAAATGTATCAATTCATCCAGGTAGGGGTAATTTATTTGACAAATCCATAGTCTCAAATATGCTGATGAAATCAGGCACATGGGATTTACACCTAGGATATTCTGATGGGCCTGTGAATGCCACTTCATTCACATGAAAGACAACACATTTGTTTTGAACAAAACTTATTGTTTTATTACTTTTCATGATGTTGAGTTCAATTTGATGGGTCTGTTAAGTATCTAAGCATGTCTTAACAGTTGTGGTAACCATGGTTACTGGTAATGGAAATAGCAGTATCACAATATTTTGCAATATGATGATGTTTAACAAGTTCATAATGTCAGTATTGGGATGTTCAGGACTAAATACATCCTCCTTATCTGGAAAATACGACTTGTGGCAGGGAATGAGAACAAGGCAATACATGAAGATAAATAATTACACATCATATGCGAATGATCACTCATATTTTCTTATATCCATCTACATGACACATCCCTTGTAACCTTCTGTCAGTGTCTGTTAACATGCTGTCTCAAAATGTATTAAGACATTTGGTTTTGTCCATGTTCAAAGCTATTATTAAGCAAGATATCCGAGACTAATAGTCAAACTGTTGGTCAATGTCACCAACATATTCACAAATATCATCATATCCAAGTTTCAAAATGATGTCTCTGTCACTTAGCAGCTGCAGTAAAGCTTCACATTTTTCTTTGCTTCTTTTCACAACTTCCCCCTATTTGCCCCTTGTACTTTCCAGACACAATCAAAGCATGTGCATGATCATGTTTGGGAATCACAGTCTCCAGACTTGATTGTGACAGTCCCTCCAGTACTCGCCCTTCCTCAGTCCGACATACACAGTTATCTACACTGACAACGTCCACCACTATAACTTTTGACTTGTAATATTTGCCACTCTTAAACTTTTTGTCAACAATCCGAACCCTAATGTCTGGTCTTGCCCACAGGTACACATCATTTGCATTGTACCCATTTTCTTGTTTAGCCTTTTTATCCTCTGGCAAATAACTTGAACTTCTTTTGACAGAATTAGTTTCATCGTCTGACAAATCCCCGACTGGACTTGTGTTTCCTTTTTCTGTCATGTTCAGTGTGTTTTGAGCGTTCAATAACTGGACTTGAGTATCGATCATGTTTACTATGATCAGCATGTTTTCTGTCATCATGTGGACTTCTACTGTGACCCCTGTGAGATTTCTTTCTTCTGCTTTTTTCATGGGGACTTCTGCTTCTAGATCTATGTTTGTCTTTTTTCTTCTTTTCCTCTTCCTTCTTATACTTATCAACTTTTCCCTTATTGAGATATTTTGAAAACTTTTCATAATCTTTCTTTGACACCAATTCAACAGAATACTGGGAAATTGTCACAATTTTTCCACTGAGCGTTAATTTCACCATAATCCTTGCATTGTCATCATCTAAACCTTCAATAACTCCATACATATCTCTACTAGTACCTTTAGTTATTAAACAAAAGGCACCCTTCTTCAACTCTAATTCATCTTCTTTATCATGGCCCTTTTCAGATACAGCACCATTTTTCATTTGTAAGTTTGTACTTCTATCTGCACCAAGTCCAAGTCCTTTAGGTCTTAAAATTGCTTCTGGAGGTGGAACAAGTTCCTTATTTTTACCAATACCTTCACCATCCTTCCAGCCCATACCTCTGAGCATTGCAAAGCCAAACTGGTCTATTGGTATTTGTTCGTAGTCAGCATCTTCTGGGCCATCCGGCCTCAGTGACACATCCAGTTTATCATCAGTTTCGAAACCTTCGGGAACCTTATTACGAACAAGTAAAGGAACACTTAAATTTGGATCGGGCTGCCCGCGGCCAGTCCAGTTCTGATTTTCAAGTGCACTCGCTTCAATAATTTCTCTTGTCGCCTGCTCTGTTAGAGTCAAGTCTTCTTTCACTACTTTGGGTTCTGTATCGTCTTTGCTGTCGACTGAGTTTGTCTTATCACTTTCTTCCTTTAGCTGGTCTTTCTTCTCCAAGAACGGAGTCCTCCAGTTATTGCTCTTTATCAACGGAATAACAAATTGTTTCGGGGCTGTATCGGTTGGTTTTGAGCTTTTGACTTCCTTACCCTCGAACGAGTACACAAAATCCGTTTCTTCTTCCTTTTTCTTTTCTGAATCGCTGACGACAGATGTTTGTAATTTTTTGTTGTCAATTTTCTTGGCAAAACCAAAAGAAAACCCTCCCTTCTTCGCGTTTGTTTCGTCGTCCGCCATTTTGAGACACTCGCTGAACCAACTTCCTGTGCAACTCGTTTACCCGCTGTTGAATCGTAATGCTTTCATACAGTGTTCGGTTGAAAGAGTTGTCATGCCGTGAAAAGTTGGGATACGGCCACGAAACGTCCTCGCTACGTCAGGCCAGAGACCATATCATATACTATATTATGGTCTCTGGTCCACAGACCCTCGAGTCTTTGCGAGGATTAAAGATTTTTAAAAATATATTTAAAAAATCAACAAAAATATTAATTTTTAACCCTCGCAAAGACACGAGGGCCTGTGCTCTGGTCAGGCGAATATATTCCAACGTTTATATTATTACGCAATGTGGAGCCCGCAATTTTATAAAAATGAAATGTATGATAACAGTTTACAAAATCCATATCCGCGATCACTGCAATAGCTTGTGCTAATACTTTCTGTGGAAGTTACAGCCAGGACTTTTTAGAAGTGTGTGTGTGCGTGCGCGCGCGCACATAGCTCATAAGGTCAACAAGTATAAACTGGAAAGGGTCAGGCATCTTGGTGTATTATTTGCCAAGTTTTCGTTAAGGTGTATTATATTGCAATGCTTTGGTGTATTATATTGCACTCTTTGCATTGTGTATTGTTTAGTTGTGTTGTATTTCACTCTTTCCTGTGTTTAGGTGTAATATATTGTACTGTTTACTTGTATTATATTGCACTGTTAATGACATAAGTCAACAGTTCTGGTATGAATACTTACCAATCATAAAAACAGTAGAAAAATTTAGTGGTTAAATCAACGATCATCATACATCTGTAGGTACATATCCCAGTACCGTCATCGACATGTATGAACCGACTAAATTATATGAACTCGATTTTATTGTTATATTGCCTGATTGCATGAGATAGTAAAATAAGCAGTGCACGCACTCACGCACGCACAAATAAATAAATAAATAAATAAATAAATAAATAAATAAATAAATAAATAAATAAATAAATAAATAAATAAATAAATAAATAAATAAATAAATAAATAAATAAATAAATAAATAAATTAGAGGTTTAGGAGTCCATCATGTCTGACAAATGCATGCTGACCGTTTATATTATACCCTTTTTGAGCCCACACTTCAACACTACAGATAATAAACTTCTATTAGTAACTGAACCAACCTTTGTTAAATTAAAGTCCAGTCAATTCATTCATTTCATTTCACAATGTATATTAATGCATACTCAAGTTTCTCTTTTCATGTTGCCATGTGCACATGGTGTAGTTACTTTGAAGGCAAACAAATCTGCATGTTATGTATGTATAGAAAGGTGACATAATGCATATGCGATGTACACTTCTTGATCATGTAACCGTAGGGCCTTGAACAATACCAGTGGGTTTGGTTTGATTGTTGTTTAACACCGCACTCAGCAGTATATACCACATACTAGTATATGTCGGCGATCTGTAATCGAGTCTGGACCAGACAATCCAGTGACAATCCGGTCAATATGCTTCAAGATAAAAATTCAAAAAATGCATAAGAGAAAGGAATCATTCTGGACTGCATCCTTGCACCATATGTGCATTGAAAACGTCATTAATCCTACATGGCCCAATCTTGATTATTTACTGTCAGTCATTTACATCACAGTCTGCAAATAATGAAGATTGTGTGAAATGGGGCTTACTATCGTGGTATGAGTAGAGTATATATGTACAAGTAGTGAGTTGAGTTTTACGCCGCACTCAGCAATATTCTAGCTATATGTCGGCGAACTGTAAATAATCGAGTCTGGATCAGACAATCCAGTGATCAACAGCATGAGCATCGATCTACGTAATTGGGATACGATGACATGTGTCAACCAAGTCAGGGAGCCTGACCACCCGATCCCGTTAGTTGCCTCTTACGACAAGCATATAGCTAGGTTACTGAAGATCAATCTAACCCGGATCTTCACGGGTACAATACCAACGGGAAACCTTCATTTGCCCCACTGAAGACGGACATCGTTGGAGCTGTTTTATTTACTGAAAAATCAGGGAGAACAGGGTGGACCTTTTTTGTATTGCTCAGCGTGTACAATACGTGTTATCCGCAAACAGTTTTATCCATACACACGGTTAAGTGTCACAAGGTCAACACCCATGCCGAAATATTTTAAAAGTTTTACAGACCTGAAAAAAGATCTGAAATTAAAACTCTTCACAGCCTTAGATTAACAGAATACAATCATCTCCAAAAATATTGTCATCTAGGAGCCACCTTTGATGATGTTACTCTTTACTGCATTTATTCTAGAAACGATATTACTGCCGCCATATACCTCGAATATTGCTGAGAGGCAACAAACCAATAACCAGGTATAAATACCGTTGAATAAAGCGTTACTATGTTAGTTTCTGATTCTACGAATTCATATTAACCAAAGTTATTGTTCTTCGATCTGGTCAAAATACATCGACCCGGTCACTTGATAACATTTACCTAACTGCAGAGACATAACACGTATATATGTATGCTATAATGATTAATACTTCTTTGCATAGGCGTGGGAAATATATCCCGAGGTTGTTAATATGCCGAAGCAACCTTTAATAAACTGATCAATAGTATACCTACCGCTGAAAATATGTCCATATAATCTACAAACGGATTTACGAATGAAAAAATCCCACATGACTAATTACATGTAGTTTTCGTAAGTATATGTCATGGGCGGATCCAGGAATTTTGAAAGGGGGTGGGGTGGGTGGGGGTTCAGGGGCTCCGCCAACGCAAAAATACCATTTTCAATGTGGTCTTAAGTCAATTTCAAAAGCCCCCATGTATGTGACCTTTATTCATGTACAGCTCTTCATAACAATGCGATACACTATATACGTCTCGCAACTTAGTGAAAATTCAAATATGTACACTACAGAATACAATAAGAGGCTCTTGTAGCAACTTCGGAGGTTAGACTACATTTCAATTATTTATAACAAGAATCTGATATTTGTAGATACATATTCATTCAGTTTTTAGTTATGTGGCCTTGATCTATTTCCACATTAGCTCTCTTATTAGGTTATAAGTCCCCATATTAGTTCCCACAGAAAACCGCTGAGATAACTGTCGATTTTGTTGTGCTGTGGTCATCCAAGAAAGAAATAAGGGCTATTCTCTGATTAAATTTCGTGCCGTGTCAAAACATTACACCGCGCCATCTATAAGGTCACGTGACCTATCTAAACACAACAGGCAAGATGGCGGACTCGGTTGCAGGTAGGTTTGCCGGGAAAAAAGTTGAGAAATCAGATGATAACAACAATAAAATCAAGGCATGCATGTTACAGATTAATATTGTAATAAGGAAATTCCAAGAAACTATGTATAACTGCAAAACATATCTTCGCAATCACAAATAGAGCTTTCGATACTGAAACAAGTGCTCACTCAAAAATCTCGTGCATCCAACTTGATCAAGATTTTGGTTGTCAAAAAAGAGGACTATCTCGGTCGAATCGTAACGGTAAATAACTGTAATTTTGCCACCAGTTAATGTCAAACTGAATACATTAGGAGGGGATAGATTGGACGGATTGTCAGTGTAGTATCTGTGCAAATATTGATGTTGGAAGATGTTGCCTATCTGACAATGCATGGAATCTAAAATAAAGCGGTTTGGGAATGTGATCGTACCTCAGCAATCGATTCTCCAATCTCAATATTTCACTATGAAGGCACCAGTAATGTTTTCTTTTCATATGTACTTGTAATCAAGATGCCAAACAAAATACATACCCGAATACGCCTTTGGCCATGTCACTACAAATTGAACTAGTTTTTCAGGCAGATTCCTATATAAAATCTTCTATTTCCTAATCATAGACATATCAGTTGTGCACATGACTTGGTGAATTTCTTCTTTCTTTAGTTACTTCGTGATAAACAGTTTTGTTAATGTGACCTAATGGGGATGTACTTTGTGGCAGAAATATGCATTCTATATTTCCTTATATGTGAATAAAGAGTATGATTTCCATTTAAAACACAAAACTGGAAGCAGTTTCATGCATCTGCCATGTTATTTTACTCAGAACTTCACCTCCATTTTACAAATGTATGTTATCTACAGTAATGTTGTGGTTGCAACATTATTATGTGAAATTGCTGTAGTTTATACTTGCCAACAAACGATCAGATAGGACAAAGTGGCCACAGGACACTCTGATAACGATGTTTCATACTTGAAAAATACTTCTGAGCAACCTTTTGTTTCAGTGAATCTCATTTCACCATCAGAAGGAAATGAAATAAGTTTGTACCCTATCTTTTCACTGAGATTGTTAATGGGATTACTTTATGAATTTGGGGCGGTGGGGTAGCCTAGTGGTTATAGCGTCCGCTCGTCAGGCGGAAGACTGAGTTTAGTTTTACGCCGCTTTTAGCAATATTCCAGCAATATCACGGCGGGGTACAATGGGCTTCACACATTGTGCCCATGTGGAGAATTGAACCCGGGTCTTCGGCGTGACGAGCCAACGCTTGAACCACTAGGCTACCCAACTGCCCCTCAGGCGGAAGAACCGGGTTCGATTCCCCATATGGGTACAATGTGTGAAGCCCATTTCTGGTGTCCCCTGCCGTGACATTGCTGGAATATTGCTAAAAGCGGTGTAAAACTAAGCTCACTCACTTTATGAATTATTTATGTGTATTCAAGAATTCACCGGTTTCCTTCAGCAACTTTGCACTATCACTGTAACATATGTTACAATTGTAATTATGCTTTCTTTGTATCATAATAATTCTTGTAGTTTTTGTATTATATTCGGATGAATACCAAACCTAATCACCAGCACAGCCACCTCTCGACCTTCCATGAAATGATAGGGGCGGTGAGGTAGCCTAATGGTTAAAGCGTTGGCTCGTCACGCCGAAGACTCGGGTTCGAATCCCCACATGGGTACAATATGTGAAGCCCATTTCTGGTGTCCCCCGCCGTGATGTTGCTGGAATATTGCTTAAAGCGGCGTAAAACCAAACTCAGTCAGTCAGTCAGTCCATGAAATGATAGCTTGACAACTGGTAGCCTGAATCATATACTCCTCCAATAAGGGTAAAATGGAATGATTCTCATGGCTGGAAGCTGTAGCAGGCATTGTGTATTCATGCATTATCACCAGCTTATGATGTTTTCTTAATTAACAGAAATGAGTGATTTCTAAGCATGTCCATCATATTCCAAAAACGGATTGTAACAGCTTCATTGATGCTGATACCATGACTCTTGAAGCAAGCTGTGACCCCATTACACACTGTGATCTTAATGCTGCGATTGTCATTAGTTTATATTGAGTTTATAGTTGTATGTGATTACGATTGTCATGTAGATATTGGCAAAAACTTAGATTACAATTGAAACTGACTTTTGCTCCTGACTTAGCTCAATGTTGGCCTCTAAGCAGGTATAGATAAATTCCTCCCACTAGAATTTCTTATGGTCAGCTTGTATTAGTCCATATACTGAGACTTGTCTACTGACAGTTAATGGTGGTCTAATTAATGGAAATAATCGAAGATTGACTAATTGAGCAATCAATCATGTTTTCTCATAATTGAACGCAAACAATTTTGGAACACTTGTTTGCATTAACAATATTTTTCACAAGGTTGGTTTTGTCTGTTACATTTCATAAGCACTACAAGCTTGTTCCAAGTCATGATTGAATTTATCTTAAAGACTAGGAAATTTATGTTCCTAACATACTAGTCATACTTTAAAGATGTGAAATTTGCAAATGCATTTTGTGCAATTTGAAAATAAAATGCGGAAGAACTACATGTTTTTACTATATTTTTTTGTGCATTAAGAAACATAACCAGCAAAATTTAATAAATGAAGCTAACCAATTATTTTCGATGGTTGCTCTGTTGCAATGAAACAACCATCACTTATGAGGTTTTAACCAATTCCCAACACTCCTGACAGTAATGCCAAAGTACAACTCCATGGTTTGGGCACACACTGTGATGATAATGCAGTCACAGCTGCTTCATTATTTTCCAAGTGAAAACAATTATCAGGATATGGTAATGGTGTTCATTACACATACACATTACACATAGTTGTTTACACTAGAGGCAATTCTGTTGTTTGTAGATGTGAAATACAGAAGTCTAAATTAGGAAAACAACCATTTCTTTTCTTATTTTTAAAATTTGGCTAGATGTCATAAGGACTAGTTGACTGAACATGCTATTTTTCTAGTGCTGTGCTTTGGGCACAATATATCAGTAGTATTCGGGTGTGCTGTTGTATCTCACACTGCAGAATAGGTGCTGTTGTTGGGATTGTGGGTTAGAACTGGTTCAGTGGTAACAGTTTCAAGAGATGGTCAAGCTTGTGTGGATGGATGCTCATGTCAGCCACTGGTTTGTCTGGTTCAGATTCATTTGTTTACAGACCACTTTCATGTAGGTGGAATATTGCTTTGTCTCCAAATGAGAATGATGAATGGCGAAGTAACTCAAGATCGAGAATAGTCTAGTAAATGTTTTTATCATAGTGTGGCAGTAAACACCGAACAAACAGAAGTTTGAATATATGACAATTTCAGGGATATGTCATGGTGTAGGTCTGTAAGTTTATCATTCAAAATTTTCCATTTTATTCTACCATTCAACATGTCTAACATTAGATCATAATGAAACTGAGGACTGCAGGTAACGTCAGTACATGACACGTTTTATGGATAACTGTAGGCAACATTGCAGCCTGTGAAATTGCGATATGCACAGACTTCGTTCAGCTAGTATAACACATATTTTTCACAACATTATCTAGTATCTGTTTTTTATGAATACATTCAGTCAGAATGTAGTGTTGTCTTGCATTTGTGATGAAACACAAGAAGTAGGTTTGATTCAACCATTGATATGAATGATATTTTCAGATTCAACTAAAAGTGAAGATAGTGAAAACAATACAGAGAGTACTGAGAGGGTGAGTAAAATGATTTCATTCACTAATAACCTTTGTGTATGACACATGTTAAAGATTGTCCCAGCTTGATTATTTAGAGGACCTATATTGGATGACGATTGTACCTAAAGAGTGGTTTCCAACCTTTTATGTGTCATACCAAAAGATGCTGGTCCTCCTTGTTACCCAGCCTGGCTAGTCTCAGCATTAAGTACATAAAACAAGGACTGGTTGGTTTGAAGTCAGTGTACTGTATTGAGTAGTGTTTCCCTATTTAACTCTGACATGGTATCACAGTGGGCTTGCTCTGTGAAACAGGCATATGTCCATGTATACACACACACGTGTATGCACTGCTACTACTTGTACTACCTGTATAAAGGTCCGGGTTAGAATATTGATCTTCAGTAACCCATGCTTATCGTAAGAGGCAACTAATGGGATCGGGTGGTCAGGCTCGCTGACTTGGTTGACACATCACATGACATGTCATCATATCCTAATTGCGTAGATCGATGCTCATGCTGTTGATCACTGGATTGTCTGGTCCAGACTCGATTATTTACAGACCACTGCCGCAATATACCTGGAATATTGCTGAATGCGGCATAAAACTCAACTCACTCACTCACTACTTGTACATATATATTCTACTCATACCACAATAGTAAGCCCCATTTCACACAATCTTCATTATTTGCAGACTGTGATGTAATTGACTGACAGTAAATGATCAAGATTGGGCCATGTAGGATTAATATGAGCCACTGATGACGTTTTCAATGCACATATGGTGCAATGATGCAGTCCAGAATGATTCCTTTCTCTTATGCATTTTTTGAATTTCTATCTTGAAGCATATTGACCATGTCTGCCATGAATGACTCCTGTTATAAAGTTGATAACTTGTTCCACGAATAGTGTGGTGATATATGGTAAAACTAGGCCATGATACAATATGTGTGACGATACATAGGTTATGATACATATTGTGTTATGCATATTTATGATAGATTGTGTAGAACTTCTTGAATATAAATATTTTAGTGCAGTCTCAAATTCAAAAGGAAAAACTGGGTTTTGTCCTCATGTTCAAAGGGTATTTTTAGTTGTGAATTTAAAATGTCAGTTGCAATTTTGCAATATTTGACAGATTAAAATGCTAGGGATCATTAAATGAATAATTTATTTTAGCAAGGGTATCGTCTTGTATTGATACAGAAACAATGTATTGTTTCTTGTGTCATTGTTTGCAAGCTCATGGTGCAGCCAACAAATTATGGCTTCATCCCTACTGCTAAGTAGGCTTAAAAGAATGATAATCGGAAATATCATTGATAGGAAAAATATTAACGATTAACGACACGAAACTGTCTCATTGATAATATATTACCGGTACATATACTATTGTGATTTCATAAAACCTTTATGTACACACACAATACACAAAAGTTACATCTTTAATCATGGGCTGCTTCTGAATTATGTTCATAACGATTATTACTAATGTTAGTAATTCTTTCATAAAATGTCACCACTCACCAGTAACTTGAAAAATGTTACTGGTAAATGGTATGTCTAATAAAATACTTGGGTTGGGAATATCAGAAAGCAAGGATGTCTAAGTTCTAGTCACAATTAATTAATGTGATCAATGTAAGTAAGACTGCCTGACTTAATCCCCCTTTTATTTTATGATTGTTTACAGGTATCAACATCAACAGAGGGCCCAGCAGGAGCAGCAGGTTAGTTACCTTACAGAAGGCTAGGGTAGCTCAGTAGTGAAAGCACAGCTTATCACGGGCTGAACATCTAGGTTTGATTTCCCAATATGTTGAACCAAATCTCTTTTCATGATGTTGCTAGGATATTGCAGCATAAAGCCATAGTGGGTATTCTACCCTCAGATAATAATTTTATGAAAGGTATAGTGGTGTTGCTTTTGTTTTCTTTATCAGTGTGGAGCATGTCCAAATACAATAATATATGCCTTGTGCCTTTTCTATTTTGAATTGGTTTCAATGAGCCCATGCTTGGAGTACATGGATTAATTGGTCAGTTTGGTAGGGAGACAGAGAAATTCATGATAACCATGTAGAATGATGGTCTTGACACCAAATATTTGAATTAAAAATACACTTGATGTACCAGAACCCAAGATAAGTTGTGAATGTGCATAGAATGCAGTGTAAAACATGCACAAATCACCATACCTCATTAATTATTTAGTTCCTGGTGTACCATATTCGCATGAAAAATGATAAGTTAATGATGTATAGTAAAGTATCACACCTGGTTTATTATGGCTTAAACATGCACTGCTGTTACCAGCATATACAATATGTGACAGATGCAGGTTAGAGGTCCTGAAACACAGTTTTCAACATAATTCTTTAAAACAGGTTGGCTCATTAGTTTGAAAATACTCATATGGACTGGTCCCAAGCATGTAAATGGAGTAACAATGTATTTTTTAAAATGTTGTTGAACACCCCACTTCGCAATATTGCAGCTATGTGGTGGTGGTCTGTAAATAATCAAGTCTGGACCAGGCAATCCAGTGATCAACAGTGTGTGTGTTGATCTACGCAATTGGGATGTGATGACAAGTGTCGTATCCCAATTGTGTAGATCAATGCTCATGCTGTTGATCACTAGATTTTAAATGTAATTAAAACAAAACCATCAGTACCCAATGTAAATGATAACATGTGAGTAATACTCAGTGGCTGAAGAACTGTTATTGTCAGGATCTCAACAGGAGGCAAGCTGGTTATTCTCGTAATTGTGTGTAAATGTATGTAATTTCAGATCCTCCTCATAGGAATGGGGCATCTGTGATTCAGCCTTCCAAGCTTGGTGGATTTAGGCCTGGATTCTCAGGTACATATATTTTAATTACCTTGTAATTATTTCATTTATATTCACTGAATGTATGTGAGGTAGTTTATCATTTGAACACTGTTCAACAGTTTTACTTTTTGATGCAATCTGTAATGGTACTTTAACATCATAAACCTTTGTCATTACAAATATGATTTTGCTAAACATGTTAAATTGGTCCCGATTTTGTGTGTGACTTTGAACAAATATGCCTTCCGTTATGCTAAGTAATTTTATGTTTTTCTTCTCCAGCATTTGGGGGATCAGGGGCGAATACCGGTAAGATAAAGTAGAATAATGTTTACTGTTTAATTGTTTTTTATGAATCGTTGAAGTTTTAGTTTTACACCCATCCATGACAGTGTTGGAACTCCTAGCCATGGTAGATTGTAATGTGTTAGTATTGTGGCCATAAAATACATTGTCCACAGAACCATAGAGGGTAACCACATCAACAGTCAATCGGGTACTGATGTCAACTGAGGGATGAATTTGTGCTCTGTTAGGCCAACAAATGTAAATAATTAACAAAATATAGTTGTATTGATATCAGGGATAGAAATGCATTTTTTTTCAAACGGTGCCATAGGGCACAAAACAGATAATTTAGGTGTGCCTTTGTGAAAAAAAGTGTGCCCATCCCTTTTGATGATCTGGACTTGAAACATCACAACAGTTGTCATATTTCAATTTATTGGTTAATAAATCAGCATACATCATGTAAACCTGTAAACTTGAGAGATGGATTCCCTGAACACTATCATGACTCCAAGAATAGTTCAGCTTCATTAGTCCTGGACCCATGAACAAACCCACAAGCTATGTTATCATCCTAAATGGGAATTCCTGTCATGGGCACTAGAATTCAATATGGCCATGTTAAGCTGTGAGATTGACTGTACCAACAGGATTTTCCCCCGACTCATAAACATGGGGGTCCCTGGAACCCCCAGTTATTAATTTATTGCATTTTCCATTACATGAATCATGGTGAGCATTGTTTGTATTTTTGGTGTCACTCCATTGCACTGTGAAAATATTTCATTTAAATATTTACCACTATTTCAATCACTGGATATACAAGATTTTTAAATGGGAAAGTCTGTAGCTCTTTGTAGTAATAAGTCAATAGCAGAAACGTTTATAGCGAGCAGCACATAGGTGTGGTTCTTGTAATTAATGCTTGTAGCAACAGTGTGGGGGATTCGATGGTGGCAATAGCTGTGTGGTGTAATGGTGAACAGCACTAGCTGTGTGTAGTAATGGGTGATGGCACCAGCTGTGTGGAGTAATGGGTGACAGCACCAGCTGTATGGAGTAATGGGTGATAGCGCTAGCTGTGTGGAGTAATGGGTGATAGAGCTAGCTGTGTGGAGTAATGGGTGATAGCACTAGCTGTGTGGAGTAATGGGTAACAGCACCAGCTGTATGGAGTAATGGGTGATAGCACTAGCTGTGTGGAGTAATGGGTGATAGCGCTAGCTGTTTGGAGTAATGGGTGATAGCACTAGCTGTGTGGAGTAATGGGTGACAGCACAGCTGTGTGGAGTAATGGGTGATAGCACTAGCTGTGTGGAGTAATGGGTGATAGCACTAGCTGTGTGGAGTAATGGGTGATAGCACTAGCTGTGTGGAGTAATGGGTAACAGCACCAGCTGTGTGGAGTAATGGGTGATAGCACTAGCTGTGTGGAGTAATGGGTGATAGCACTAGCTGTGTGAGTAAGTAACTAGCTGTGGAGTAATGGGTGATAGCACTAGCTGTGTGGAGTAATGGGTGATAGCACCAGCACTAGCCATGTGTGGAGTAATAGCTGTGTGGAGTAATGGGTGCAGCCAGCTGTGTGGAGTAATGGGTGACAGCACTAGCTGTGTGGAGTAATGGGTGATAGCACTAGCTGTGTGGAGTAATGGGTGATAGCACTAGCTGTGTGGAGTAATGGGTGACAGCACTAGCTGTGTGGAGTAATGGGTGATAGCACTAGCTGTGTGGAGTAATGGGTGATAGCACTAGCTGTGTGGAGTAATGGGTGGATAATGGCACCAGCTAGCTGTGTGTGGTGGAGTAATGGGTGATAGCACTAGCTGTGTGTGGATGGGTGACAGCACTAGCTAGCTGTGGAGTAATGGGTGACAGCACTAGCTGTTTGGAGTAATGGGTGATAGCACTAGCCATGTGGAGTAATGGGTGACAGCATCAGCTGTGTGGAGTAATGGGTGATAGCACTAGCTGTGTGGAGTAATGGGTGATAGCACTAGCTGTGTGGAGTAATGGGTGATAGCACTAGCTGTGTGGAGTAATGGATGATAGCACTAGCTGTGTGGAGTAATGGGTGATAGCACTAGCTGTGTGGAGTAATGGGTGATAGCACTAGCTGTGTGGAGTAATGGGTGACAGCACTAGCTGTGTGGAGTAATGGATGGTAGCACTAGCTGTGTGGAGTAATGGGTGATAGCACTAGCTGTGTGGAGTAATGGGTGATAGCACTAGCTGTGTGGAGTAATGGGTGATAGCACTAGCTGTGTTGAGCAATGGGTGGAGTAATGGGTGATAGCACTAGCTGTGTGGAGTAATGGGTGATAGCACCAGCTGTGTGGAATAATGGGTGATAGCACTAGCTGTGTGGACTAATGGTTGACAGCACCAGCTGTTTGGAGTAATGGGTGATAACACAAGCTGTGTAGGGTAACCTGTGATAGCACTAGCTGTGTGGGATAATGGGTGATAGCACTAGCTGAGAGGGGCTATTGGCGATTGCAGTTTTACTGGAGTTGCTGTTTCCAGCCTACAGATGTGTGATTCAGATATGTTACATCATATTCATGTTTGTATAGGTGCTTTCTCAACCAACCCATTTGCTCCACGTGCCACCCTGAAATCTGATGTCGTATCTACTGGGTCAGCACACCCTCACCCACATGAAGGTACAGGTTGGTTGTCTCCCTTTGTTACCCCTTCCTTGGCTGCCATTGTTACCAAGCTGCTGCTGGCTGTAGAGGTGGTTTTGCGCTGATTGTTGCTCCTGTAGAGACCTGCCTACCCCTGTACAGGGTTCAATAATTACGCTGGCTCATGAAGCAAATGCCATAATCACTGATTTAGAATATTTATTAAATATTCAGAGTAGTTTGATTGTCTAGTGGAAGTTCTTGTCATCTCCAGAAGCTAATACTAGGCACTAACTTTACACAAAATACATCCATACTTTAAATGTTATAATTTTGATGTAACATAGTGTATTTTTGTATTTTACACTCACTTTGACATGAAACACAAGCGCTTTGGAATAAAAAAATTAAAAAATAACCCTTGTTCTGTGAAAGGCATTTAGCTTTCATCCAGCCTACCACGAGTTATCTCGTCACAATATGGCTGAATACCTTGAGAATTCTGAGGACTACCTGTTCCTGTACCGTCATCTGTGTACACATTTATGCCAAACATGTGAAGTTAATTTTTATTTTCTGCACAAAATAATGGAACATTAAAAGTAGAGTGTTTCATTTTTTAAAGAAGATTGATCAATGATACCTGCGAGTTTCATTGAAGATTTTCCAGCATTTGTATGGAAATAGCTTATATGTTGTAGTGAGTACAAAGAATAATTTTAACATGGAAGAAGCTCAAACTTTCTATTCTGTTGTGCCTATATGTAAACAGTGAACTAGGTCATGTAGGAGCTACAGTGAGTGAGTGAGTCTGTCTGTTCTTGCTTATTTTTTCCATTCTTAAGCCCCATTCACAAGCACAAACTTTACTCATGTAAGTAAATTTGCACATGTGTAAATATACATACGTGTGTAATAGTAAATTTACTTTGCATTCACATGGAATTTATGAAGAGTGAGTAAACTTGAAAGTGCAAATAATAAATGCATTAAATTGTCTAATTTTTTATCTGAACTTCAACAGAGAAAGATGTTCTCTTATCACTGGTGCTTTAGAAGACAAACACAGTATTAGATATGTACTGCTCTTGCAATAGGTCTGTCACAAGAAAGACTGTCTGTGTGCTGGAACAACATGAATAAAGACTGGTATGATAATGTTCGAATGAACAAAGGAGTTTTTGATCTTATCTGCACACAACTGCAGGATTACTTAAAAGCTAGTGACCAAGCTGTTTGCCAAACTTGGGATGTACGAATGAAAGTTGCAATCGCAATATACTGGATGGCTTCAACTTCAGAATGTTGAACTGTGGGGAATTTGTTTGGTGTAGGGAAGTCCACCGTTTGTAAATGCATTCATGAAGTTTTTCAGACCATATGTGATGTTTTGGTTATGCAATATGTATTTTTTCCCCTAAATGAAGATGACATGACACAATTTACTCGCAGTGCAAATTTGCACATGTGTAAATATACTTTTGCACCTGGTCCTGACCACATGTAAATTTGCTCCTAGTGTATATTTACATATGTGTGTAAATGTGTTCACATGACACATTTACACATCGTATGTAAAGTTTGCTCATGTGTGTATATATACACATGTGCAAACAGGTGCATGTGAACAGGGCTTTAGCCTGTGTGTTTCTTTTTGTACATGAAATGCAAACCGATCAGCTTGCATAGAATATGCTTCTGTTGCTGTTTAGATTTAGTCATCATTCAAATGTGGTGAGAAAGAGTGGATCTGCTCTAGTATCTCAGCAGCTGAAAGTCAGCATCTAATGCTGAAGCAGATAACTTAACCATTGCCATTGTGCAAATAGAGATTGATATCCAGGGCTACAAATAAGGGGCGTACAGGCGTAATGTACGCCTAAAATTCAATGATGTACGACATAATATAGGACTTCAAGCGTATCATGTACACACATAAATACCTTTGTACATCTAACATATATAAAGTTTACTAGCTGAAAAGTTGTTTAATATTATAAATAACAAACCACATCACCGGCTCGCTCACACAGAAATATGTCAGTACTCCTTCAAAATTCTCAGTACACCTCCACTTGCAATAAGGTGTAAGTACACCCACATCCTCAAAATTTATCTGGAGCCCGGGATATCCATGGCACATTAACTGTGTCCATGTGTCTATACTTGTACAGGACGATACAGGTTTGCTGTAGAGTTAAAGTGTTAGCTTCTCATACAAGATACAGGTTCTATGTTCTGCTCAGGTACAATAGCCTCAGTCAATCTGACTCCTGACCCTTTTGTCAAAAACCTACAATTAAATAATGATGTTTGTAAGTTTCATAAATTTTTGGGTCAGGTGAAATAGAAAAAGAGACCTTCGTGCGAAAGAATGTAAGAGTTTCTATGCACATTTGATAACCATCAATCTTTTCATTTCTGTAATAGGTTGCAGACTTGTTAGAAAGGAAGAAGGATTTGGGAAGTAAAGGAACTATTCAACAAGTAATTGGGACCTAAACACCATGTGCATCATGTGAAGTAGTCAGGCTAAATCTGACAACGATTCACTGCATGTTCCTCTTGATATGGTGTTCATTGTAACAGGGATATAGAAATGTATGTCATCATTTTCAGGTCTCATCGCACCCAGTCGATTCATGGTCAACCCATGCATGCCCCACGACAAGTCCGCATCGCAAAGTGATAATGATTCTGATGTAGATGGTAAGTCATTTAGTTTTTACCTGAAGGCAATTTAGGCAATCAGCGTTAGTATTAAATTTTGCCTTGGAACTCTCTTCTGAGAGCTATTGGTTGATTGGGGAATTCCATTGCTTTGCTACACAGCAAAGTTCATGTGGCATAAAAGTCCAAAGTGATGTAGCAGTGCGTGGCAATAGGTGATAGCTTGGAGGTTAATGGATGTTGACTTTTACCACTTTTGTGAAGTCCATAAGCATGGTGCTGACAATCCTAGATACATATGGAGGCAAACCAGGAAGTGAGCCAAGGATCCAAGGGACACAACTCTTCACAGTGAATTATCTTACACAACCTGTGTCTGTTTGCCCAGTAGCAAACGAAAATACTGATCAAGGCTAAATTTACCGGCCTCATCATCGGTAATAATAGATCTTAGAATTACCGGCCTCATCATCGGTAATAATAGATCTTAGAATTACCGGCCTCATCATCGGTAATAATAGATCTTAGAATTATATTGTTTCACTGAGCCTGTTTACGACCAGCCAGTTTAGGTAATTTGCACATGTCAGACGTTTGACCCATGTGAAGTATTATCTTAACATGTCCTGATATCATAAACATATTTCATTTGAAATTTCTACCGGACATCAGGACCATCAGCCCTAAAATGTACTGGTCCCAGTAAGATCTTACTGGTTAGTTATATCTAGTCAGTATCCGAGAACGGAAACATTGATATGAAAAATACATAGGCCACTTGCCATTGTTGGAGGATCTTGTGTCTTACAATGGAACCCACATCAATGTCAGTAATGATGTAAAATAGCCACTGGGGGATATGTTGAGGAACAAGGTAATGACAGCAAGTGATTGTTGTAGTCCCGGGGGAGAACCGCAAGTTCCAGCTGCGACCTTCAGCCCTGACGAACCAAGTGGAAACACTGAAGAGTAAAGGTCAGGGTCAAGTAGTTCAATTCTTTGATTTGCACTAAAAGTCTTTTAATGTGCCTAAAAAGATCTTTGGTTGGCATGATTAAAGCTAGGAAGAGTAATAGCAAACTAATAGATAGGCACATCAGGCGAATACTAGATGCAACAGTAACTTGTGGCAGTGTCCCTTGTTTGGTATTAAACAGTGTGTCACATGTATATTTGCTAGTCTTAGGGATTAAATGAAAGATCTCAACTGTTTTCGAAAGGTTTACTTTTTCAGGCTGTGCGAGAGAGTGAGTAATGTTTTATGTCGCTGTTAGCAATTTTACCACAATATCATGGCATGGCCACCAACAAGGGGCTTCACGCATTGTACCTATGTGGGGAATCAATCTCGGGTCTTCAGCGTGGCAGTTGAATGCTGTAGCTTCTAGGCTACTCCACTGCCCCTCAGGCTGGGTGAGACAATTAAGAATACATTTTTCATCACAACCTTTTTCAGGACGAACCTCACCACAACCTGCTGTTCAGTCATCAATACTCAAGCCTGCTACGCTACCTGATCCTCGACAGCCCCAAGACAGTAAAGGTGAGTTTATCAAGCTCTAGACACTAGAAGCCTTGTTATTGTGAGAGGAGGCGACAAGTGAAAGTTATTCATCCCAGCCAAAGTCTTGGTGAAATGTAAATGTTAGAGCCAGAAGAACAGTTGTGTGACAAGGACTATCATCTTGATGAGAAGTTCCTGATTGGTTGGTCAGTAGTCAGTATAATTTGGGTCCTATAGTCAGTAATCATTGAGTTTTCATCTTTGCGAAAAAACAACACGTGAATTGTAGGTAAGTTGAACTAAAATATGAGTGCCGATCATCATTGGGTGACAACTAGAATTTCTGTTTCACAAACACCAAGCAACAGTGATTTTGAAGCCTATAAAAATCAGTAGGACAAATGTCCTGAGTGGGTGTCTGGCGATAGGCCATTGACCTAAAGCTCTTTTTCACATTTTTTAAATCCCAATGCCATCATATAACTAAATTGTTAATGACATTTAATGTTGCAACTTGGATTCTATATATACAGCAAAATTAAAAGATGTAATCCCACTGTTGATAAATATGAAATTTATTTTTCTTATATTTTTCAAATAATACAACTACAACTTAAATAAATTGATTTTTTAATGAAAATGCAAGCATTTATAACGTCCAGATATTATCACAAAAGAGGCAAAAACTATGGCGATTTTTTTTCCATTTGTGACATGTCATAACATCCCTGTGCCTTTTTCTTTTATATTTTCATTTTTACGTAATCAGAAAATTATTGTAAAAAGATTTCTTAAATAATATGTATGGTCGCCTATTTCCCGACATCAGTGGCTTTCCGCTCGGTAACATGACACAACAACGGAAAAAAGCTTCGTATGAATAACATGCGAGGCGAATTGTTTGATGGCGGGTATCGTTCGAAAGCTCTGAACAACAACACTATCACTATACCCTTGCTGAGAGTATTTTCACAGTTGTAAGAAGCGATTTTATTGGATAAAGATTGGTTTCTAATGACGCTTTTTCGCCAAAGTCTGCTATAAGGGTCGTGATTGGTCAAAATCAGACACGTGACATAAGGCAGCCAACCATATTACGGCAATGGATACCGTCCTCGTAAACGAAAACTTTTAGATTTAGACGAAAGTCGCTATCTATACGTAAATTATGGAACTTATTGGACGTATTGTGCTAGGTTATGACCTGTGTCGCATTAAACATCGTGTCCAAGTGTGAAGATTGAGGCGGCGAAACGAAAGCCGAGATGTCACTTGTCAGTGACTTGACTTGCATTACATGATCGCACAAAAAGATGGAAATAGTAATTTTATATGTACGTTTGACAACTTTTATGAATGCTATTGTTGATTTTATTCATTAGTTTATTCAATTTATTTAATGATTTCGTTGAAACAGGGTGGGGTCGGGAAACCCCATTTCTGATTGTCCAATGCTTAAAATAGCAGCCAATCGCGCAATCCATTACATGTACATTTGGCAGCTTATTGTGATAAAAATGGATGCGTAAATACATACACGCCGCAGAAACATGATCAAGATTTCGTGGTTAGTTTTTGATGAATTTTTAAATGATAATGTTCGTAATTTATTAGGTCCAATATGTGAAAATAACATAGAAATTATCTATCGGCCCGAGTGTCCTAATTAGTAAGAAAGTAGTCGGTCATTTGAAAATGTTATCGGACTATGACCGAAGGCTGATGACAATCTGAAACCCTGAGCAATTACTGTGGCTATTTTGTGTCCTTGAATCAAGATGTATACAGCTTTTACAAGTTTTTAGCATGATTACTCTGAACATTAAGGTTTAGTTTACCCAGAGCGGTTTACTATGGGCATTTTACATAATATTTTTCAATATAAATCTGACTCAACGTATGTCTGGGATAATTCTTTATTTCCTCCATTGTGTTAAATGCAGAAAATTTTCTCCAAAATTTGTACTTAGATAGATGTGGTGGTGAATTAATGCCATTTGATAGTTTGGGATTTTTGTCCCCTACCGCGGAACGGGGGACTATGTATTCAGCGGCGTCCGTACGTTACGTCCCGATTCTTGTTAACACGATATCTCATGAACTGTTGTACCCAATGTCTTCAAATTTGGTGACAGCCTACATTGGGGGATTACGCAGACACCAGTCGATTTGGTTGACCTTGACCTTATTTTCAAGGTCACCTCGACACTTTCACCGCTTTTCAAACTCTTGTTAAAGTGATATCTCATGAACTGTTGTACCCAATGTCTTCACATTTGGTAACAGCCTACGTTGGTGGATTATGCAGACACCAGTCAATTGGGGTGACCTTGACCTTTTTTTCAAGGTCACCATGACACTTTGACAACTTTGCAAACTCTTGTTAACGCGATATCTCATGGACTGTTGGGGGATTATGCAGACACCAGTCGATTTGGGTGACCTTGACCTTATCTTCAAGGTCGCCATGACACTTTGACAACTTTTCAAACTCTTGTTAACGCGATATCTCATGGACTGTTGTACCCAATGTCTTCAAATTTGGTAACAGCCTACGTTGGGGGATTATGCAGACACCAGTTTATTTGGGTGACCTTGGCCTTATCTTCAAGGTCATCACGACACTTTGACAGCTTTTCAAACTTATTTAAACGCAATATCTCATAAAACATTGCACCCTATGTTTTCAATTATGTTGACAGCCTACATTGGGTGATTATGCAGACACCAGTCATTTCAGGCATCTTGTATGTGACCAAAAAATAAAAAGTAGTAAATATAGATATTCCATTCTGTAGCAGCGGGGGACATTGCCATATCAGTGGCAAACACTTGTTGAAAAATGTATTTTGAATTCCCATGGCAGCAACGGTGTCGTGCCGGGAAGGCTAAAATTTATTTTTCAGATGTCCCGGGAAGGCTTAAATGTATATTTCGGATTTCCCGGGAGAGCTAATATCCAAGGGAGTAGGGGAGTACCGCCAATGCTGAAGATAAGGTGCCGAGAGGCATAATCTATGTCGGAAGTAGATAGATTTCTTTTCAAAACATTGTATAGTATTACTGTTATCTGTACACTGGTTGATAACATTTTATAAATTGCACATTTCGATGAGTTGGACAGCTCACTAAGGAGAAACTGAATAGCCTGATCATGTTTTCTTTGTTTTATAACTATTAGTTAATCTAGTGGTAATTCCTGCCTTAACCATATTTCACTTAATCCAATGTTTGACAAAATACTTTTAACCTGATACGCCTGATTTTTGACACCGCGGGTCTCCACCTCCACATACAAATACTCATAACAACCCCGTAAAATGCTATTTTCAGACACAAGCAGTTTACACCAATATTTAATCATGCTATATTGCCTATTAAATACGAGCGGATAACGACCTAACTCGGCATAAACCATGGAATTACATGTTGATTTCTTAACTCCTAATAACCTTTTACAAAAATCCAAATGCAACCTTTCAATGTTTAAGCCTTTATTATATCCCCATATCTCAGACGCCATAAGATAGTATACTGCCATCATAACAATCAAAGACAAATAAAAGAGATTCCAGGTTGAGAGAGAGCGATCTGATATTATTGTAAATTGAGAATCGGTTATTATAATTAAACACTATTCTTAAATATCTAAACGTATCGACAACCTCTAGGACACAACCATTATATATATACCCAATGTTCTAACGATTTAACTTTACCAACTCTTCTGAAGACCATTATCTTTGTCTTAGCAATATTTACTTCAAGTTCCCACCGTCTGGAATAAACTGACAACGAATTCAACTGTGTTTGCAACCTTTCAACAGATTCAGAAAATAATACATGGTCATCAGCATACATAAGCAGAAACATATTTAAAGATTTAAACTCGTAAGGTATACATTTATCTTTTAGGAAAGACTCCTCAAAATAAACTATCTAATGTCGAATTAATGAAAATGTATAATGAAGAATAGGCGTGAAAATGTGTAAATAGCTTTTTTTATATTGTTTTATGCGCCTAAATTAAAGAGCGTCCCCGTTAATCCTGTTTTCTTTGTAATTTGTCAGAGCCTCCGAGTGAGGCGCTGTGTTCATTCAGCCATAACATTGCATTGCAAGTACCGCGAAGGCTACGCTCATTGAACCGAGAAGCGTCACGATTTTAGCCTTCCCGGCCCTGAACCGCAGCAACATGGCACAGACTGAAAATGTTGGAAGTACTCGTTACTGGAGCAGATCTTGAGGATTGTACAATATTTCTTCAACAAACTTGGCACATTGATAGATCTGGTTGTGAACTAGTTACTGCCTTGGGATGGTTTGGGATTTTCACACTGATATTATTTTAGTATGTTTACTCTACACCAGTATTCACCGTTGACTTTTTCCTCTTGTCTTAGTTGTGTAAACAGTAACAGGAACTCTCAGAACATTTTCAGGATGCAAGTCAGAAATTTTTAAAGGAAAAATGTTTCGCATCAATTTCATGATATAGAGTATGACCAGAAATTATTGAGAATTTTAGGAATATGTTTAATCGGATTTCAAATATAAACAACCTTGACCAGCTATCAAGTGCTTGGTTTCATTCAAGAGAGACAACTCCGTTAATCCTTTTTCATTAGTTTGTGAAGAGTTATCCCCCTTTGTTTACTTGCTAGCAGACGACATTTTCAGTGATCCTCAGTATGGATGATTTAGAGAAGAGGAAGTTGATTTTAGAGTATTATAACAAGGACATCAGATCAGCTAAAGTGATTTCAAGTAGAACAGGCATCCCTTTGTCCACTGTTTATCGTGTTTTGAAAAATATTGCAAATGGATATGGCATTGAGCACCAGGCTTAAGGCTGGATATGATTGATAGAGGAACTGTGGCTGTCTGTAAGGAGACAATTAGAACTGAGCTGCATGCAATGGGTTGGCAGAAAAGTCGAGGAATTCCATCACCGATCATGAAACCTGAACAAAAGGAGCAAAGATTGAACTGGTGCTTACAGCATAGAAATTTTAACTGGGACAATGTGATTTTCTCAGATGAAAGTTCTGTGTGGCTGTTTCCTAATACACTGAAATTCTGAACCAAACAAACTGAAAAACCTTTGTATCAGCGCCAAAAGTACAGTCCGAAATTAACTTGTGGGGTGGCATATCTGTGTTAGGGGCAACGCCCCTCTGTGTATTTGAAGGGAATATGAACAGTGAGCGGTACACAGATTTTTTGAGGGACTTTTGCTTCCATCTGCTCACATGTTCTATGGAAATTTTTGGATTTTCCAGCAGGACAAGGACCCAAAACATCGTTCAAAGCATTCACAGGCCTGGTTTCGGACCCAAAATATGACATTATTAGATTGGCCAAGCTATAGCCCTGACTTAAATCCAATAGAAAATCTTTGGGGACTTATGAAGGAAAGTGTCAATAAGAAAAATCTGACCAATATTGCTGAAATGAAAAAAGAGGTGGTCCGATATTGGGACAGCATGGACCACGACTTTCTAACTTCTTTGATCAGTAGTATGCCCCGCGGCATTGAAGCCTGCATTGCTGCCCATGGTGACTTGACAAAATACTAACTGTTCACCTGTCTTTGAATCTGGAGTTACGTTCTGCTAATATTCACATTTAATACGTGAGTAATGAGTAAAAAAAAAAAAAATTACAATCTTTAAATTCTCGATAATTTCTGGTTGTACTGTACAGCACTTAATGATTGAACAAGAAAATCCTTGGTGACAGGAAAATATATGTGTATGTACAAGACATATGTGTCCCATGTCTATGATGTCATGTACAAGATCTACTGTATGTTTGTGTAGAGAATCACAGGGAGGAGAACGAAGAGGAGGCTTGTGAGGACAAAGAGGTGTCGTCCACATCACTCCCAGTCAAGAGCCCAGACAAGCCCCAGGCAGCCAAACAGATCACCGACAATGGCCTCTTCTCTGCGCTGCTGCCGTGGCACCAGAAAACAGGTTACCATCATCTAGGGTTTTCTGATGACATTAAAGATCAAAGACTCTATATTAGCTTTTAGGATAAAAGGATCATACTTCTGTGTTCAAAGCTGAAGGGCTTGAACGCAATTTAACGTTTCCTTTTGTAAACAGCAGGCAAATATTTTTATTTTCACAATTGAAACTTTTAAATGTCTGCAATGAAATGTAAATTTCATTTACTTTTACATTGTTGTCTTTTGATCTTTAAAGGCCTTTTCCAAATGTAGTTGTCATTTTATAGACAACATTGTAATTTTTTATGCATATTATACTATGGTTGATTTATAATATGCTGCGTTTGTTGCCATATTACTAGATCTGAGTGTGATGACAACAGGTACATGACATAATACATCTCTGTGTATTGTGTTACAGTGTGGCAGATTCTACATCAAAATCAGCAGCGGGAGCTGAAGGAGGGGAGTTCATATTTGGACAAAATTTAACAGAACGCGTCACAGTGAGTACAATCATGCAGGTACAACCCCTGAACGTACATACTTAATGATTGTGTTCTAAAACCATGAGGGTGTATGAGTAAAGCAATAGTGGGAAATTATTCTGGAATACTTTCTAACCTGCTTAGCCACAATTTTAAAAGTTTCAAATTCCTGTTATCCTCAGGAGACATTTTCAAATTTCAAAAACTTGCTCCTGTTTAGTACAGTAGTAAGGAATGTTGGAACCTGTAACTCAAACTAGAGTTAAGTTATGGTATATTTGTTTGTTCTTTCCACACACTCAGCCATTTCCTAGCAATATCCTGATGACCGCCTCCATGGTGTAGTGGTTAGAGCGTCCGCCCGGAGAGCGGAAGGTCGCGGATTCGATCCCCGACCGCGTCATACCAAAAGACGTTAAAATATGGTCCTTGTTGGTCCCTGCCTGGCGCTCGGCATTAATGGGTACATGAAGGACCGGTTGGCTCGGAGTCAGTATAATGTGTCTGAGTGGGGTATTCATGCTTCACTGCGGCATGGTATGCACGTCTTCATATGAGCAAAATATTCTCAAGAACGACGTTAAACCCAATTTCACCTCACCTCACCTCAATATCCTGACAGTGGTATGTATACTGAGGGAAACAAATAAAGGAACACCTCTTCATGGCAGTGTTTCTTTATTTATTTCTCAGATTTCCTCCCACAGCGCTATTCAAAGCTGGTGATGAAAACTGGAAAATATTAAAGGAACGCTTGAATTTTCCTGTGTTCCTTTATTTGTTTCTCTCAGTATAATAATTGAATCTGGACCAGATAATCTGGTGATTGAGATAATGAGCATCGATCTACACAAGTTGGATAACGTGACTTGCATCATCCATGTCACAAGTCTGACAACCTGATCCTGTTAAGTTAACTTCCTCTTCCGACAATACCCAGGAACATCTGGGTTAGAATTGGTCTTCAGCAACCCATGCTTGTCGTAAAAAGCAAACGATAGGATTAGGTGGTCAGACTCGCTGACTTGGTTGACACATGTCATCATATCCAACCAACCAACTCTTACGTCAAGCCTGAGGAAGAATGATATGTCTCGGTGATGAAGTGAGAGGGACGTTAGAATATGTTTTTATTCCAACAGCTTTCAGTATGTCAAGCAGGCATATTGTGCAGGAATCTCTAGTCAACAGCTCTACAAAAATTAGACCTTTTTGAGTAACAGGAGCAAATCACGAGTGGTTAATAATTCGCGATACAGCTACTTTCAAAACAGTGTTTTTAAGGATGCTGCATTAGTGAGAGGGCCATAGAATATTCATACTGAAATTTTACGAAATTTTGGTTTGTATGTAGTATGCTTTGTTTTCACAAAACATTTATTTTTCAATTCAGGGAGTGTCTTCATCTCAAGCTGCCAGTGAGTCAGCGTCAGGATTTGTTTTTGGTCAGAATTTAGCAGACAGAGTAGTCCATTCAGATGCAGGTTCGCCCCCTCCTGACACGGAAACAAACGGGAAGGAGGCGGAGTCATGTCCCTCAGGTGAGACAAAGTCCATGGTGACTTCCTGTAACTTACCCTTATATCATATAAATCCTTCACGCCTTCTCCAGATTATCCGATTTGATGTTCTTGAACAATATTTACTTTGAAGCATTAGAACTTGTTGGTCTAAATAGTTTGATACCTTGCCTGTGTAATGATTGACGTTGAAGCCAAAGTCTTTTAATAAAAAATGATGGAAGTTGGCTTCATTAGGTCAAAGGGAGATAATCAAGACAATCCACTATGTTGTTTTCAGTTACTTCCCCTTCAGGATTCGAATTACAAGTCCAAATATGAAATTACTTTTACGATGTGCTTCACTTTCAAACAATGGAAAAAGGTCATCAATGGGTCATACATTTTCACTGTGATCTACCACTGATTCATCTAAAATAACACCTATTTTATATGTCAATAATACCTGAAAGCATTGCCGCCATATGGCTGGAATATTGCTGAGTGCGGCATAAAACTAAACTACTGCCCTGAAAGCATTGATCTGAAGAAATTAATTCCACATAATAAACAGTTTGATCAACCAATCACTGATTGAGACATGAAGCCATCTGTCCTCCTGACTTAATTACCAAAAGAAAGGATATTGACCTCCAGTTATTAAGTAAAAATTATGACTTATTATGAGAGAAAAATTTTCCTTATCCTGACTCATGCTAATTATGCTTGTCTCCTTCCTCTTACGAATGATAGTGGAACACTTGAAATCCCTTGAAGTTCCCTTTTTAAAAAAGCGGACGTAAAATCACTCACCCAAGAATAGCGTCCCTTTCCTCCCTTTGGCGCCCAAATGGTCACATGATCGGCCATATTTGTCACTCTCACCGTATGTAAGCCCGACACCCGGATTTACAGGGAAATCCAGAGTGCCATAAGAGGGGAGGTTGGGAGGGCTAACCTCATGAGTCAGTATGTATGACAGTACGGAGTAGCATGTAACTAGATTTAGATTGATTTATCAAACAAGAACCTTAAAGTTCTACCACTTTGGGTTTTTGGCTAGGTAATATATTATATACACACTACGCATGGATAGTTGATAAAACTGCGTGTACATGTTCAGCATGTGTGAAAATAATGACTTTATTCAGATTCCGGAGGCCAGACACTGGAGGAATCAGCACGAGAGTACCAGGCCAAGCATGGAGTTAAACCAGATCTTAAAGAAGTGGAGATAGTAACTGGGGAGGAGGATGAATCTAATGTACTGCAGGTGAGCTACACGACAGACAGTTACCTATTTCATAAACAGGGCTCCCTTGATTAGCATGTGGAATAATCATAGTTACTGATGGTAAAAGTGTCTTTGGACCACAATGATTCTGGGTTATAACTAATGCTATGCTAAGGCCGACCAAATTCACTGATTGCCATGCATAGTGACGTGGTTGATAACGTTGTAGAAACCAAATGGCAAAATTAAAATAACTGAATTGTCTGGTCCAGACTTGAAGGTCAACATAATATGACATGAATATTGCAGAGTGAAGAATTTCAAAAAACAAACAAACTTATAGAATATATTACTACTGAACCTAAAAAATATTTACTATGTTTGTCATCCCACAAGTTACAAACCTAAAAAACGATTAAATGTCTTTATTCTGGACAAGTCGACTGTTTATCCTTCCATCATCACACAATGTCACCACATATTGCAAGTAAATCGTGTTCCATTGATCAAATGTTGTATTCATTTGTCAACTTTTGCTTTTCTTTCTTTCCAGGCAAATTGTAAATTATTTTTATTTGATGGAGAAAAACAGAATTGGAATGAAAGAGGCCGAGGTGTATTAAAACTTAATGATATGTCTCCATCAAATCCTGCTGAGCAGTTTCATTCTCGTTTAAGTGAGTATCTGATTTGTTTTACATTTGTATCACTTTGACCAATGGTGATTCCATCAGTAATACCATTACACATTGTCAGTCCGGCCGCCTAAAAGGTGGTTACCTTTGCAAAATACTGATAAACTTCAATGAAATTTGATATTGACTGTAATCAATCAAGTCAGTGTGGTTTCTTTTTTCAGACAGTACATTTAAGTCATAAATTTTCTTGTAATTGTGAGTGTGATGCTTGTTTTGCAGAAGGAAAAATGTTCATTAGGCCAGACCAATTTTATTTCTTGTTTTATGGATCCGCCGGTCATATTTTTTCAAGAATAAGAAAGAAAATAAAAATAAATTCTCCCTGCTCGAAAAATAAAATCCTTATGTTAAGAGATATTGGAGCGTGACTTTGACTATGCAAGGCAGATTGTTGGCCTCTAAAACACTGGTATCTGTTCTCAGAGACTTTAAACTGAATTATCTAACAATATTTGTGTTAGAAATCAGTGCTTTGAGCACCTCAGCAAGTGTGAACTGGAAAAACAATGCCTTGGAAAAAATCATGTGGGTTTTTGCTTTCACTGGTGATTTCCTCTCTTTCTCTCTCTCTCTCTCTCTCTCTCTCTCTCTCTCTCTCTCTCTCTCTCTCTCTCTCTCTCTCTCTCTCTCCTTCCCCCCTTTTCTTTCCTCTTCTCTTCCTTTCCTTTCTCTCTTTTCCCCATTTCTGAGGACAAAAATCCATAAGACAAGAAATAAAATTGGTCTGGCCTTATGAAAGTTTGCAAATGTCTGAACCTGCTTGGATCTGACTTCTCTGAGAGGCATTTAGGAGTTGGAGTACTAATGAGGGATATGATGTGTGGGTGAACAATTTCCATGTTGCAATAAGGTTCTTGAACCTACACTGGAACATCACCCCTTAATGTTATAAAGAAGTTATTCATCCATATCATATGTCTTAAAAAAGAAATTAAAGCCTCAGGAATGGTAGGTTTATGTTATATGTCTTACTTTGTTTTGATATTCACAAATTTGTATCAGTACAGTGGGAAGGTATAGATGCAGCAATATCTCGAGACACTATCATAACGTAGTGTATATCGTTGCAGCCATGGTAGTTGACAGTGTTTGTTTCATGTTTCAGTAATGCGCACACAAGGTAGTTTGCGACTCATACTCAACACCAAAATCTGGTCAGGCATGATGGTGGAGAGAGCTAGTTCCAAGAGTTTACGCATCACAGCAACAGATGGGGACGATGGCGTCAAAGTCTTCTTGGTCACAGTGAGTAGTGCTGTTCCTTTTCAAATTATATCTACTGTTGGGTTATCAGGGGATGAGTGGATCATTTGAACCATGCTTGTCGTAAGTCATCTCCAGACAAGGATGGGGTTGACCTTTACAAACCACTGGTCTTCCAGTTGACACTAATATGGCTGTAATATTGTAGACTGTGGCATGAAAACAAATTTTAAACTTATCCTATCTCACGACTTGCACCTCTCTCTCTTCATTCGACCATGAGTGGAAACGAATTAAACTTTGCTCCAGGCCTACCTTGTCCCTGTCCCCGTGCTTTGCATGCCTTCCTGCCTTAGCCATGCTCACTAGTCCTTGACAGCATGTGGCATGTGCAGTCCTCACCCACGTGATCACCTTACATACTCATTCTCTTTCTTGTCGCTGGACAGAGTGGACGTGAATTTTTTTTCGGCATAGAATTGCTCAACATGGATAAGCCTGTTCAGGCCAGAAAACGAAAGTTTTGCGCTCAGTGTAATAAAGTCGTTTCAGCTTGGGACCCATACACATCGTGTGTTGATTGTGTGGGTTGTTGTGATTGGGACAAACGTTGTCCTAAGTGTGCAGGACTGTCTAATGAGGATTTAAAAGCTTACAAACGTGCTTGTGCCAGACGTTTGACAGATAAGGCCAGGAATGCTTCTGCGAGATCTGGTCCATCTCCCGCTAAAAAACAATGTTTAGATTGCCCCACCCTAACTTGCTCGCCGTTCTAAATCTCCCGTCTTTCCTGACGAGGATTTTATGGACGCTTCGTCTGATACCTCTTTGTCTGAGAATGTTAAAAGGCTTTTTGGGACGCTTCCCTCACCTAGCTCAAGTTCTCATGGGCATGCAAGGGTGGTAGTGACTGATATTTCCTCTACACAAGACCTGCGATCTACGTTATCTCATAGATCCGTTTCATCGGGCCGTTCACAGTCCTCGAAAACTTCTAAATCAAGGATTCAACATCGGAGCGTGGATCGGCACGGTTGGAACGTAACTGTTCTCCTAATCGTACGGTTTCATCCCACCGAAACCATTCATCCACACGAGTTGAGTCACCATCTGGTTCGGAGGTTCGAATTCGTTCTTCTACTGCTGGGAAGTGTCGTTCTAGATCTCGTTCACACTCGAGCTCTTGTCGTCCTTCCAATGTACCAGTCGAACCGATTCACCACCTCGATTCATTTCACCAATCAGAATTGGGTCTAATGCCAGTGTTGGTTCACAAAAACGGAACCATTCACCTAGCCGTGTTATTGCCAAGGGTCACCAGACCGAACTGATTCACATAATCGAATGGTTCACATTCCCGACTCAATTCGCCTCACCATGTGTTTTGATTCGACTCACCATCTCATAGTAGAATCAATTCACCACAGCGTTTTGATTCACGTAGTCGTTCAGTCGTGGTTCGCCATTTCGATCCGGTTCACCTAGCTGTATGGTGTGTTTTCGTCAGAGTGATTCTCGTAGTCGGTCTCATTCACCTCAGGTGAATCAGGTTATCACGTCTAGTCAGTCTAGAGCTAGTGAGCACTTGCAGTCAGCGCCTTTACGTGATAGTTCCCCTCATCAACATCGTTCTGTGCGGGTGATTTCACCTGCTAGGCAGCGTTATGGTTCAGTGGATCGCGCCATGCCACTTCTACTTTGCCTTGAAAACAGGTTATTGCTGAGTCTTGGACTCCTGCACTTGATTCCTCTCCAGTGCCGGATTTGGACACCTTGCTCCGTGCTGTTACATCGGCTTGGAATCAGTGTCATTCGTCCTCAAGTTCAACAATCGTCTACCATACCTAGCAATAATCGTCCTGTGGATTCGAGGGATCGGACTCGGTCTCGGTCTCAGACTCCATTACCTTCGCCTGGCCAGTTGGACATCTCCACTCCAGATGGCAGTTTGATGTTGTTGAACCGGCTCACGTGCTAGCCTGGATAGTTGAAAAAATTCAGCTACATCTTAGTAAATCTCCAGATGATTTGGCCACGTCTTATGCCATTACAAATAGAGATATTTCCAGTATCACACTTCCTTTGCGTCCATGTATTCAACAATTACCTTCTTCTCTTGATGCGGCTTTCAAGAAGCTTAGGAGGACGAAGGATGGTTTGTCAACTCCAAGGTTCCGACCATTGACGGCACATACGCATGGTGTTCAACTTTGGTCATCGACATTTAGTTGATCATGACATTTCCATGGTCTGTGGCAAGCGTTCCAGTTCGCCGTTTTTTGTGGAAGATAGGGAAGTGGGTCATCTAAATGCTGCGATTCGGCATTCTATCCCTTCCATTAGTTCCATCCTTCCATCAGTTCGGCTGTTGACCCTGTGGCGGGCGGCTGTCAATCATGCCTATACGGACCAGGACGCGTACATTAGGGGAAGTATGGCTCTGATATTAGATCAATTCCAGGTGGTCTTGGGGCAACTTTCTCATTTCTTTGGCTATCTACTTGTCATATGGCGTTATGGCCCTTTGAATTTATCCTCATGGGAAGATAGATTCAAGGCTGAATTGTTTCGTCAACCGTGGTCGGGGGATACGGTGTTCAATGGGTCTATTGCATCCAAAGTGGACCGTCTTAATCAGTTGTTGGAGTTGCAAAACATTCAACTTCAAGACTATGTGGCACTGTCAAACCCCACACTTTGCCCCTTTCAATCCAGACCTTCGTGACTGTTTGAAAGACAAGGTGTCCTCTCAACTACGAGGCAGGGGCAGGAAGTCTTTTCGTGGTTCCGCGTCACGTCACCCCTTTAGACCCGACGCTGGAACCGGAAGTAAAAAACTCCAAACAGTGTGACTTGTGGAAATCAGAGCTCGGATTGGATCTGCTGGATCAGGTGGTTCCAGTGTTCGATTCCCCTGTAGGCTGGAGGTTAGGTCTGTTTGCTCCCAACTGGGAGTTTCTAGGGGATCCATTTGTCACAATGACTCTCATTCACGGCTATCGAATGCCTGTTGTCGGGGAACCACCCCTCACCATTCAACCTTTGCAGTGAACGTATCCTCAGGATCAGGCTGCAGTCCTTTTGTCCACAATCTCAACTATACTGGAGAAACATGCGGTAGAATGCCTCGATCCGGTGTGCATAACTCCAGGGTTTTACTCCCTGATGTTTCTTGTGCCAAAGCTGAGTCTCATATTCAATATGAAGGCGTTCAACACTCGTTTCCTTCAACCGCCACCTCATTTTCGAATAGTATCAGTCAGTCTTCTATGTTCAATCCTGAAGAAAGGGGATTTCATTATATCCCTCCACCTTCAAGACGCATACCTTCACATTCAGATTCACCCAGATCATCGGAAGTACCTGAGGTTCACCTTTGAGGGCCATCACTTCCAATGGAAAGTCCTTCCATTTGGAATCTCTACGGCCCCGTGGCTTTTTACTCGGGTGACCAAACCCATCAGCAGTTTCCTTCACTCTCGGGGAGTGACTTTCGAAAGCTATATGGACGATTGTATTCAGGCACAACAGGAACCAATCGTTCTTCAAATTCATCGGGAGTTCACCATCAAGCTGCTCAAACAGTTAGGCCGGCTCCTCAATTACAAGAAGTTAGAGTTAACACCTTCAGTTCGTAGGAGTAGTTTTCGACACAGAACAAGCGATGTTGTTTGTTCCCCAGGACAGGTGGACAAAAATTCAGTGTCTGGTTCCTCTAGCCTTTGATCACCCCAGAACTCTACGCCAGTGGCAACAGTTGCTGGGTGTTTTAACGTCAGCTCAGGCTCTTCGCGAGCCTGCTTCAGTTATTTCTGCGACCTCATCTTCAAGCCAACAACCCTCAGGGGTTGATTAGGATACCCAGGGAACTGCGTCCAATTCTGTGTTGGTGGCTCCTCGTACAGAATGTTTGCGCCGGCGTCTCTTTGGTGCCCTTCAGTCCGACCCATCAGTTGTTTGTGGACGCTTCTCTCGAAGGTTGGGGAGCCCACTTCCTTCAGCATCAAGTGGCAGGGCAGTGGTCGTCCGAAGAATAGTCACCCCACATAAACTTTCTGGAGTTCAAGGCAGTATTACTGGCAATTCAGCACTGGGCGGCTCTATTCAAGATGTCTCACCTGCTGAAACAGTCCGACAACTCGACAGTAGCGTGGTACATCAATCACCTAGGGTCGACGGGTTCAGCAGCACTTCTACAGTGGACGTTTCTATTTTATCTCCTGATAGATTCTCTCAACATCGTAGCAAGAGCCAGGCACATCCCCGGAACAAAGAACGTGATTGCCGACGCTCTGTCTCGTTCCAGTCGCCCGTCGCCTACAGAGTGGCAACTCCTGCCCAAGATTTTTCGGACGATAATTTACCCGCCCTCTCGACCAAGTGTTCACCTGTTTCCCACTCGGTTCAACTCACAACTACCGAGATTCGTGTCTCCAATACCGGATCCACTGGGATCACGACGCCCCTGCCATTCCCTGGGAGGGTCTCAACGCATATGCATTTCCGTCCCTGGCTCTGCTTCACAAGGTCATTCAGAAAATTCTGTTAACCAACAAAGTGCAACTGCTTTTGGTAGCGCCCTTCTGGACGGCCAGAAGCTGGTTCGTCTGACTGAAAAAGTCTAGTCAGTCGAAGCAGTATTCCTCTTCCCGTGCGGGACGACCTACTAGTTTATCCGCACTCGAGCATTTTTCACGAGTCACCACAGACGTTGAATCTTCACATATGGCACATTTGCAGAAATCACTAATGGCCAAAGGTTATTCTCACAAAGTGGCCTCAGCTATCACTGCAGCTCATCACTCGTCTACAGGCTCCTTATATGATGATAAGTGAGAGAAATTTGAATGTTATTGTCGGGTCAGAGGGATCACGTCCCCTACTACTGCTTCGCCCCAGGTTGTTGCGGAATATTTACAACATTTGCGGACTACAAGGAAACTCAAGGGTTCCACTTTAGCCACTTACATGGCGGCTATTAATTTGGTCTTAGCTGCGACTTCCGGTACAAAGGTTTCGACGGTACTGGAACTGCAGTACTTGCTTCGATCTTTTAAGCTAGCCGACCAATCCAGGAAATTTCGTCCACCAGCTTGGGACTTATCCGTGGTTCTTCGCCACTTAGTGTCCGAGCGTTATGAAACCTTACAGGACAAGGATTTTGAACAGGTTCCGTTCAAGACCTTTTTCTGATTGCCTTGGCCACGGCTGCACGAGTATCAGAACTTCATGCTCCAGATGTCAATCATGTCTTTTTGAAAAGGGTAGACATGGCAAGGTATTTTGGGGATTGTGCTGGGATTTTGTCGCTAAAAACAAGTTGCCGGGTCAACCTGATCGCCTTTTAACAATCCCACCTTCGTCTACTCTTTTGGGTCCAGAAGATGTCGAGGATCTGTCTCTCTGTCCAGTTAGAGCGCGTCGCATTTTCCGTAAAGCATCACAAGAGCGCCGCGGCTTGCGTAAGAGACTGTTTATACCCTTGTCTACTGCTTCCAAGGCAGATGTCTCTCGCACAACTCTCTCATATTGGCTACGAGCTACAATACTACGAGCCTACGCCTTTGCCGGTTTACCGCCACCTACGGCATCCAACCCTCATGAAACGAGGGCACTGGCATCTACTATGGCGTTGCATAGTAACTGCTCGTTAACTGCTATAATGGAGGGATGTTTTTGGCGTTCTGACACTGTATATTCGTCTCATTACCTCAGAGATGTGTCGGTGACGGATATTCAAGGCCTTCATCAGTTTGGACCACTCATCCTTGCCCAACAGTTGTCAGCAGCACAACATCGCAGATAATGAACTTCCTTGTGCTACGATGCTGTATGGATACCCATTAGTGCAGATGATCACCAGTCGCGATCGTTTCTGCTTGTGTACAATCTGAAAAAATCTGAAACTTATTTCTGTTTTGCATCCTTGATTCTTCCCGGATTTAGATTTCTCCTCTCATTTGGTTTTGAGACTCTGGAGAGTTGCCACCTCACTTACTGTCCTCTGCTCCATGGAGTAATTACGTCAGTGAAGTGAGTCATTCCCGAAGTGTTACACTTCGTAGCGTTCATGCTCCTAAGTACCTATACACATCCATGTGATCTAACTGTGGTAAGTAGTGGAAGTCATAAGATGATGTTGTGGTACTGAACGTTAAAATTGTGAGTTTTTCCGATTCAATTACCCTTTCACCCTCCACGGGACAGTGTCTGTGGGGTTGTTTCGAAGCAGGGGCTGGCCCGATACTAGTCTTTAGACTTTTATTACGGGGGTACCTTGGAAATCTTGGCGATGCGACTGATTACACTCGCTAAGCTGCGTTCTTTCACTTTCGTGAAGGTAGTGACTGAACACCACATTGCTTGGGAATCCCTGTCCCTGGGAGCACTTGTGCTTAGTAAGTCAATGGGTTCGAACTAACCCTCGCATGTAGTAACTTTGGTAGTTATTGGCCTACCTTGTAGTTGCTTCCTATGGTTGTTTCGGCATAACGCTTAGCTATTATCGCTTGAACTTCAGGTAATCTATGACCCACCTTCCTACCGTGGGATAAGTGCAAGTCATGAGATAGGATAAGTTTAAAAATTTGGAAATTTTAACTATAAATTGTATATTTATATACTTATCCTATCTCACACGATAAAGTCCCATCCTACCTCCCCACTACTTAGATTACCACCGTTCCGGTTTTGTCCTTTTATGGCTCCAAGATCGAGAATGAGTATGTAAGGTGATCACGTGGGTGAGGACTGCGCATGCCACGTGCTGTCACGGACTAGTGGGCATGGCTAAGGCAATGAAGGCATGCACAGCACGGGGACAGGGACAGGGACAAGGTAGGCCTGGAGCAAAGTTTAATTCGTTTCCACTCATGGTCGAATGAAGAGAGAGAGGTGCAAGTCGGGAGATAGGATAAGTATATAAATATACAATTTATAGTTAAAATTTCCAACATTGTTTCATCAAGGCTATGTCCTTATGCTATTCACGCTGAGTTGTGAAAATTGAGCTGAAAGTAACCACATGTGGCTTTTCATTACCACACTTATGGTAAATCATAACTGAAAGGTTTTTAAAATGCTGAAAAACATTACGTCTGACTTTCTCATCTGCCTGATTTTTAAAGTGTTACTGACTGAGCTATTGTTCTCAATGTGTACCACAGATGGAAAATAATGTTGTTTCTCTGTCAATTGCATCATAGGGGATGCCATGTGTTTATGGTACATTCAGGAATGAGTGGCAAACGTAAAAAATATTAGTCACTTCCGTCATTTTGTTTCATCGTGCATTTAGCACTATTTGCACATTTTGTGTAAAGTCATGTGTTAGTTGACACTTTTCCCAGGTTTCTGGGTAAGTTTAGGACCCCAGCCACTGTTGCTGGTAGTAAGAGACAACCACATGAACTGGGTGGTCAGGCTGAGATTGTTTAACTGAGCCATTTCCCCCCTGACAATGTGGCTCATAACATCACTGGATTGTCTGGTCCAGACATCATGAACATGTGCAGTCGGGATATGGTGACTGCAGTCAACCAAATCGTAAGGCAATCAGTTCATTTGGTCGCCAGTTACAAGAATCAAAGGTTGCTTGGATCTATATTTTTTTCTGGAATACCAACAGGTGTCAACATATTGTAACATTCATGATTTCATTACCTTTTACAGGCTGCCCCAAAAGACAGTGAAAATATTTTGCGAGCGATTGATTGGAGAGTCCAACGACTGAAGATGTGGGAGGAGAAGGAGAGATCACGTGGTGATGACCGAGTAAGCGAGAAGAGGAAGGCCGATTCTACAGATGCACAAGATTCACCTTTGAAACGACAAAAGTAAGAAAACACTATGATTGGATTTTTTTTTTTTTAAATTTCTAACTGTTTTACTGTATCACAGAAATCTCCAATTGTGAAATCTTTCTGAGTTCGGACTAATGTTGTTACTTCTGCTTTTCTGACTTGGTGACTTTCTTCTATGTTTACACTTCCTGTCAGTTTAATTCAGTTTTAGTTTTCAGCAAAATTGAAGCATTGAGAACTGGTTCAGAAATATAGCCCTTAAGTACAATTTGTGAAGACCACAATCAGTGGAAGTTTGCTTGTCCTTAGAAAGGGTTGTAGTTGTAGATCCCTTGTAGTAGCTTTATGTGTCCTAAAAAAACATAGAACCTTTTTCAATTTGAGCAGTCGAACCCAGGTTTCGGCGTGACGAGTGAACACTTTAACCACTAGGCTACCCCAACGCTCCTACTTTGAGACAATCACTGCAACAAGTTCAAACTCAAACTACAGTCAGATATCACGGTCATTTTAGGTGCTGTAATTCAGTGTTCAGAGAAGCTCCCAGTGCATGGCAGGATAGTCAGTGTGCCTGGATTAGGGTTCTTGCGATATCTGTGTTGGTGTATTTCATCAGTGTGATGGACCTTTATCACTTTCTGCTGTCCTTCCACTTGATGTAATAGAAATACTGTTCCAAACAATACTGCCTGACTCACCGCTGTGCTTTTACCAGGAAGCCAACAGCCCCACACCAAGCAGAGGGAGGAGCCCCCACCAACCTGAGACGTGAAGAGTCTGACAGCAGTGTACAGGACCCAGAAACAGAAGGTTTGTACCTCAATCACTGAAATACTGACAAATTTGCAAGAACTGCAACATATCGTGACTTATAGAAAATATGTGTATTTTGATAATTACTAAATTGGTGTGTATTTTTGTAAAGAAATTAAATGAAAATTCACACTTTCTATTTCAAGGTTAGCGTTTCAAGTATAGTTGTAGTACAGCATCCCTCAATACAGCACCCATTAATGGATATTTACCATCAGTGTAGTGCAGCAAGTGACTTAGTTACCTGAAAAATATCAAGATCTGCTGTTAATTATGTCAAACAAAACTTTGAGGTATACTACTGATATTTCATTGTAGGTTTGACTTGGTCTTCAGCATTTGATTCCCCTCTATATACTTAATGAAATCTTTATATGACCATCTCATGCTCTCCATGTAAACACTGGATCACTACGCTAATGGAAAGGATACTCAACAATTTTAGAACATATATTTATCTATACATTTGGCCTTTCCAAAATTGAAATGCACGAAAAACATGTAATTTATAGAATGAACGCTTAAGATGTGAGAAGTGATTACAAATCACAGGTGGGTTGCAGAGGAACTTGCCTGGCTATGAGAAACTGTCACATGTATCAGTATGGCAACTACTTCCTAACTTCTGTCCTGAAAATTTAATCTGTCAGTAGCATAATTTAAGCGCACGAGAATGTGTTGTCAATGTCGTTCATTTTTTATTCCATTTGATCATGTTGATGTCTTCATAAAAACACATGGTTGTGTTGATACATAGCATCTTCATGTTGTACTTGCATCAAAGTCCAAGTATCCAATACTTTGGCAAACCTTATAGCCAGAGAAATGAACATAGGTCACATGTCTTATGAAGCACCTTGCTCCTCATATGGGACAACAATCAACATTACAACTGGAACCTGTAGCATATTCTGACGTTAAGATTCATTCATAGTGTATTCATCTAAAATTATAAAGTTCCTTATAATTTGAAACATGATTGTGATTCTTATAGAACCTTCTAATGAGTTTAGAGGGGAACACTTTCTGAAAATGCATACAACTGCATAATGCTAAGAATAGAAAACTCAGACTGACCTGTTAATTTGGCTTATTCCTCATTTCATTGTTTAGCTTGTGTAACCTACAAATTTGAGAACAGTTCAGAATGAGTTGCTCTGTGTTATAGATTATGCAAAGAAATATGAAATAGATAAATGACTTAAACAAGACCCATATCTGTCAGGTTCGTGTTACCTGGAATGCAAACAATTTTAGGTTTTAGCCCAACACAGGGTTGTGATTGTTCACCTAATTTAAGAGTTGTATTGAGGGTTGCCTGTATGCTGAAATATAATCCATATCATCTCATCATTCGCTGTATTATCATTGGCTGGTCAAAGGGGAGGTATATGACTATATTCAACAGATTTGTTAACTTTGAGATTCTGAACGTAATAGGTATTTAAATGCAACTTTTTTTTCCACTAACATTTCATGTAAAAAAATTGACTTTGAATCGCTAAATTCTTTTTCGTATGAAAACATAGAGTAATCTCTGGTGTTTCCTTCCTCTTTGACAGCATCCTGTGAAAGTTTCTCATCCTCATTTACAGTACGATCTGAATCTGACTGAGTTACCATGGCAGCAGTCTCATCAAGTTACCGTGGCAACAGACCAGCTCACTTCAAGGTGTAAAACTTGATATGCTAATTGATGTGGAAACCAATGATGGATGAAACAGACATCAATTTAACATTGTAACAGATTGCTGTCTTCCTGTTGCCACACGTGTGACACTGAAGCGTGTCAATTGGCTGCCATGGTTACATCGTTGTCAACATGTTTACTGTCACGTCACATCAGTGTTCATTGAGAAGATACACCACTGACTTCTATTGTTCAAGGACGATTGTTTGAAATGGTTCTTCTGACAGCATTGCCATAAAAACCTGTAGATATGACAAGTGTCTTGTGCAATGTTAGCAAAGAATCTCTGACTTGTGTACGAAGTATTTTTGTAGGCGAGCTCTACTCCGGTCATGCTTATATATCAATACACTAACTTGCGTGTTCAGAGATACCCATGGTAACAGTGCTGGTAATTTTCTTTAACAGAAATGGAGACTTGCATCAACATTTGCTGTAACTTTGTACGGATAAAATGTTTTCCTTGTGTAAATGGTCTTGTATTTCTAATTACCATCGCAACAACCTGAGTATGTTTTCTGATTTGTTGGGGATACTTGTGATACACCAGTCACATTGAGCCTTGATCATTTTGATGCATTCTTGTTCTTTCTGATCTCTGAAGTATATGTTTCCGTTAGAGTATGTTCCTCAAGGATTACTGGTCAAGTAACCATAGAAACTTGACTGTATTCACACTGACATTACAAAGCAATTAACTGAGTATGAAATAGATGAAGATGAATGCCACCAGGATATTCTGCCAACTGTAAGGTCAGTGACTTGTCAGTGTTTGCTGTTCCAGATCAGATTAAACAGGCAAGATGATACAGTGTTGTACATGTGTGACTTTATATGAATCAGCCTAGACAAATGGTGCAGGGGTAGACACCGACTCCAGTCTGTAAGTTTCAAAACAGTGAAATTCGGGATGGACTTCTTGTCTTCCCATATCTACTTAAATATCTACTACTAGTCCAGACTGAGTTGAAATTTGCTTGTGTCCATCCTTGAAGCAGATGTCACAAATAACTATTTTATTTTTTTCTTTTGAATGCAAACTACAACTTTTATAGTGAGTGAGGATTTATGCCGCTTTTGCAGTAATGGAGCAATATCACGGCGGGAGACACCAGTAATGGGCTTCACACATTGTACTCATGTGGTGAACTGAACCAGAGTCTTGAGCTTGAGGAGCGAATACTTCAACCATAAGATCTACCCCACCACCCCTTATAGTGAGAAGTGACCAGGGAGCCTTCAGCATGAGGAGCAAATACTTCAACCATAAGATCTACCCCACCACCCCTTATAGTGAGAAGTGACCAGGGAGCTTTCAGCATGAGGAGCGAATACTTCAACCATAAGATCTACCCCACCACCCCTTATAGTGAGAAGTGACCAGGGAGCCTTCTGCATGAGGAGCGAATACTTCAACCATAAGATCTACCCCACCACCCCTTATAGTGAGAAGTGACCAGGGAGCTTTCAGCATGAGGAGCGAATACTTCAATCATAAGATCTACCCCACCACCCCTTATAGTGAGAAGTGACCAGGGAGCCTTCAGCATGAGGAGCAAATACTTCAACCATAAGATCTACCCCACCACCCCTTATAGTGAGAAGTGACCAGGAGCCTTCAGCATGAGGAGCTTAATACATCAGCCTTAAGATCTACCCCACCACCCCTTATAGTGAGAAGTGACCAGGGAGCCTTCAGCATGAGGGAGAATACATCAGCCTTAAGATCTACCCCACCACCCTTATAGTGAGAAGTGACCAGGAGCCTTCAGCATGAGGAGCTTAATACATCAACCATAAGATCTACCCCACCACCCCTTATAGTGAGAAGTGACCAGAGAGCCTTCAGCATGAGGAGCAAATACTTCAACCATAAGATCTACCCCACCACCCCTTATAGTGAGAAGTGACCAGGGAGCCTTCTGCATGAGGAGCGAATACATCAACCATAAGATCTACCCCACCACTCCTTATAGTGAGAAGTGACCAGGGAGCCTTCAGCATGAGGAGCAAATACTTTAACCATAAGATCTACCCCACCACCCCCTTATAGTGAGAAGTGACCAGGAGCCTTCAGCATGAGGAGCAAATACTTCAACCATAAGATCTACCCCACCACCCCTTATAGTGAGAAGTGACCAGGGAGCCTTCAGCATGAGGGAGCAAATACATCAACCATAAGATCTACCCCACCACCCCTTATAGTGAGAAGTGACCAGGGAGCCTTCAGCATGAGGAGCTTAATACTTCAACCATAAGATCTACCCCACCACCCCTTATAGTGAGAAGTGACCAGGGAGCCTTCAGCATGAGGAGCAAATACTTCAACCATAAGATCTACCCCACCACCCCTTATAGTGAGAAGTGACCAGGGAGCCTTCAGCATGAGGAGCGAATACTTCAACCATAAGATCTACCCCACCACCCCTTATAGTGAGAAGTGACCAGGGAGCCTTCAGCATGAGGAGCGAATACATCAACCATAAGATCTACCCCACCACCCCTTATAGTGAGAAGTGACCAGGGAGCCTTCAGCATGAGGAGCAAATACTTCAACCATAAGATCTACCCCACCACTCCTTATAGTGAGAAGTGACCAGGGAGCCTTCAGCATGAGGAGCAAATACTTCAACCATAAGATCTACCCCACCACTCCTTATAGTGAGAAGTGACCAGGGATTTCAGTGCTGTACTCAAGCAGTCAATGCCGTTGCTTTTCATGCAGCAGATGTTCATATCTCCACATTGTTTAATGCTGGAAGCTCATTCTGGTGGTCTCAACTACATTCTTCCTCATCACTATGTTATTCTTGTCTTGGAAGACGGTGGGGTAGCCTAGTGGTTAAAGCGTTGACTCGTCACGCCGAAGACCCGGGTTCGAATCCCCACATGGGTACATTGTGTGAAGCCCATTTCTGGTGTCCCCCGCCGTGATATTGCTGGAATATTGCTAAAAGCGGCGTAAAGCCAAACTCAGTCAGTCTTGTCTCGGATATGTCATGCAGCCTGAATATATTAACAAACTCCACCACCATCATATTTCCTGTTCCTGGCTAATGATTTTGTTTTCATTAGTTTTACTAGAATTCTAACTGTTTGAGGAGTTTTACTTATTAACTTATCAGTGTCAGTCGGCACAGTGGTTTCTGCTGTTGCTCTTCATTTATACGACTTGTATTCAACTCCTAACATGGTGCAACAGTTGGTTTCAGTCATCCAAAGCTCCAAGATTGCCAAAGTTGTCACAACCCACTTTGTTTGTTTCATTATTTAACTTGAGCAAAACAAAAGATTGATATACCAAATAGTTTTGAAAATGCCTTCTTTTTTAATTTGAGACTGTCAGATAAGGCAGCATGCAGTTGTGGAAATTTTGATGAGTATATTATGAACATTCGGTGTGATAAGCAATAACATTCTATGACATTGAATGTGCATGTATCGCTCCGTGAGAAAACCAAAGAATCTAGTTCCACAATTTGGCATTGGCCAAAGATCAACAACCAATGCTAAACGAAAGATTTGTCTTTTAATTTGTGGAAAGTTTACATATCACTTCACTAGTGCTCTAGTCAAAGTAGGGATTCCAGGTAAAAATCAGTCGCCAGTGACCTATTGCTTGTCAGAAGAGGCGATAATCTGAATTGAGTGGTCAGGCTCAGGGACCTTGGTCGATCACGTGTCCATATCACATCGACGTTGGTAATAGCTCAAATTATCAAATACTGGTTTGTCTTGTTCAGACTGAAATATTTCAGATTGCAGTTCTTCAGGTAGAATATTGCTGAGTTGGACAAAAAGTGGTCGTGTTGTGACCTGGGACCCTACCCACAAACCGTTTGTAGCAATATGCCTTCGTAAGCATATGGAGTTACGATTAGTCGTAATGTTACGAACGCTTTGGGGACCGGGACCCAGGGGCCTTATTCTCGAAACGTTCTTAGCCCTAAGAATTCTTAACTTCGATCGTAGCCAATGTGTTAAGAATGGGCTTAAGAAGTTCGTAAGGCTACGAACGTTTCGAGAATAGCTAGCCTGGTCTTCAGATGCTCCCCAGTATGTTTCTCTGATCTAAGCATTATTATTTCCTGTGGCTGGTAGAGCTGGAATATTGCTGACAGAGGTGTTGAACAACTAACAAAACAAACAATTGCAGGTCAATGATTAATGTTAAGAAATAGAGGTGTCCACATTTTTCAAGTTTGTTTCTATCCTTAACATTGTTCGAGAACCATTTTCATATCTTTTTAATGTCAATAATGAATGGAGTAAAGGCCCTTGGGACAAAATACAGCTTTGAATGGAAATAATGAAGTTCACTGCTTTGGTGCTTACCCTTCAACAATGGTAATTTGTGTGAATGTTATGTACATATGAGTAGTGGAAAGTTTATTTACACTGACCTCTTTAAAGTCGTCTTTTAAGATGTGTATAAGTATAAAGATGCTGGGGAAAAGTTATTGTTTCTTGAATTTTCATAACCATGATGGTTACCCGGTCATTGCCTGCAGCAGTGTGTACGATCCTGTGATTGATTCATGGCAACAGATTGGCGTCTGGCCCGGATTTTGTAAAAGTGGTAAATGTCATGAAATCCTGCATGGTACCATGGCTGCGTATACCGTACCAGCATCAATTAGAGTATCTGAAATTTCCCCCTAACCCAAATGTAGTGATACACATAGTTTTGTGTACGCCTCTGGGATTGACATTCTGGTGAATTGGGGAAAAGGTTTGTGGCTTCCATCTATTTCTCATGTTTGTTTAATCAGATTGATTCAAGATTGCAAACTAACAGAAAAACACCTAGCTTCCCCTTGTAGTCACATTATACTAAACCAGAGACCATATAATATCTATGATATTGTCTCTGACTAAACACATTATATTGACCAAGAAAATGATTCAGACAAAGGAAGAGTGTTTTACAATTTGTAAGTCCTAGTGGTGAGGTGTTTGTGAGTTTAACTCCATGCATGGTTATGGACCTCCATGTACTGTGGGGAGCTATGACTGATGACAGTGACAGATCTGAAGGGATCTGTGAATGGTACCCTACATTGTCTTGATCTTGTATATCCTTTGTCACCCCACTGCCTCCATGGTCCAGTTGGTTGAGTGTTAGCCAGGAAAGTTGAAGTTCAGTGGTTTGATCCCCAGCCGCATCATGTTCAAAGATGTTAAAGCATGGTACTTTTTGTTACCCTTCCTGGCATTGTGCATAAGGGGATAAAACAAGCACAGTTGGCCTGGATTCTGAATAGTGTGTCTGAGTAGGTCATCAATGTGAAACTGCAGCTAGTTTCTCAGGGGGCTTGCTCTATGGTCTGCATCAGTCTGGACTAGTACAAGCAGTCTCCCAAACACACTAACACATGTAGGTTGCTATATAAATGCAATAATCTTGAGCCTGACAAAACCCATTTCACCGCACCGCCAGTGTCACCTTTTTCTCAGTCCTTATGCCAACATGCCATGTTAAAAATCAAGAACGGTTATAGAAAACATGAAAGAGGGATTGGATATGCAATGCAAGGAGGCAACCGTGATCTTCAAATCTTATGCAGAAGGAGGGAGATAAGTGACCAAAGTGCATTACATCTCTCTGTGTCCCATGTTGAACCCTTGGCCTTTCATACCTAAATGGGTGTTGTAAACTTATGCCATTCCCTGCACAGAGATCATGAATATAGTGCAATGAGGTAAAATCTCACAAGCTGAGAAGACATCAAATTTTAACAGATTGCAGAAATGCAGAGAAATATCAAATATGCTTTGTGATAAAAATTGTTCCATTCATGATTCATTCGTTTTCTTGTTGAACCTTCTAACCTGGTTGACATGTCTGCCAATTTTGTTCTTGCCAGTTTTGAAAACATAAAATTTTGTAAAATGTGGTATAGATATATATGCATTTCTTCATATTTCCACAAACCACCATGTGTTCAAAGGAAGGTGTTTCATGCGTGTCATTCTTGTTGTAAAGCATTTTTGTTGTCGTTATTGATAATATCTTCATGGATGTTTCCCCAAAACTAAATTTTTCTCTACTAAGAGTTGAAATATGTTTATTTTATTTGGTGTTTCATGCAGTAAACCTACAGGGGTACTTCATTGTAGTCCAAATCATACAGGCTTGAATACACTGTGTTCCTCCATGAGGAATGGTTGTATACGAGCCTTGAAATATTCCATCATTAGTATATGGTTTGATTTTAGTCATCGATTGATGTCACTCAGCAATATTACAGCTATATGACAGCTGACTGTAAATAATAGCTCAGACCAGACAATCCTGTGACTGACATGAGCATTAATCCATGCAATTGGGATAGTAAAACATGCTGTCGAACACGTCATAAGAGTCTGACCACCCGATCCAGTTAGTTGCCCTTCATGGCAAGTACACGCTGTTTGCACTCATTATTATCAGTGTATAAAATAAGGCACGTCCGACTGCCCAGTGACGATCTAGATTTCTGACGGACGGTCTAAATTTACAGCTAGCAAGCCCGATGGTCTGGTAAAATTTTAGATGTTCCATACATCTGAGTAAATTCACCATATTTAGTCTGGTTAAATCCATTTGGGTCTGGTAACATTTTGAAGTTACCAGTATTGATGTCTGGCTTATTTCATACACTGTTATTATCCCATGCCACGAAGTGAGGGGGATATAGGTTTGAGTTCCATCCATCCATCTTTCTGAGATGATGGGGACAGATTTTCTCAAAAACCGTTATAGATAGGGAAACCAAATTTGGTATGTTTTTTTTCAGGACATGAATGCTATGATGGAGTTCGAAAACGGAATCTGATACTATTCTTTACAGAGTTATGTCCCTTGTCATTCGTTTCTTGACTTGGTGCACCTTATCCCCATTGGGAACAGATTTTCTCAGTAACCGTTATAGGTAGGGAAACCATATTTGGTATGTGTTTTCAAGAAGTGAATGTTGTGGTGGAGTTAAAACAGGAACCGTATGGCAGGGGATATTGATGACCATGTTTTCTTGTTTATGAGTCAACATGGCCCCATGTATTGAAGGAGATGGGTGGAAACCCGGAACTGCTGAGTAAGGCTATCAGGTTTCCAGGAGGTGACTAGTATTTCCAATTGTGGACACAGGGGTGCACTTTTATTTTGTTAATGCAGCTGTAACTTGGTGTATGCTTGGGGGATTTCCTTACAAAGAACCACCTCCATAGTGAGGATAGAGCTGTTTCATATGGTGGTTTGAAACCACCGCCAGAGGACGTTAAAATGAGGTACTTTTTGTTTCCCTGCCTGGTATTTGACAGTAATGGGATAGAACAAGGACTGGTCAACATGGAGGTGGTATGCTAAGCCTGGTATCCATGTTAACCTATGGTATGCTAAGCCTGGTATCCATGTCAACCTGTGGTATGCTAAGCCTGATATCCATGTCAACCTGTGGTATGCTAAGCCTGTTATCCATGTCAACCTGTGATATGCTAAGCCTGGTATCCATGTCAACCTATGGTATGATATGAAGGCCATGATCACTTCTATTACATGGAAGTGCTGTTCTGTGTATACTTGTCCACTGTTTACACAGTACAGAAAATGTTCATGGCAATACTTCGATCCAAATAGAGGAGCGTCATAGAATAGGTGCTTTTTCAAGGATGGTATTCAATTTGAAAAAAATTAAATGGTTTATCCTTCATGTGTCCCTAATGGGTATGCAGGGAAAGGGAGTTTGTCTTTACCTCTTGGACATAGTTTTAACCTCCTTTTCCCAGTCACTATCTTGAAATGTGGATTGAAGTTTTGTTGACAGGAACTTTATCACTGGTCATCAGTTTGAAACAACCAATTGTTACCTTGATCAGTAAATATTTTGTATAGGCTACAGAAACTATCATGATTTTTTTTTCTTCTTTGAAACAGGAAGAGTCTGAATAGTTGTATGCACCTATTGATTTGGTATTTGAACAAGTAAACCAGGATATTTGATAGCATTTGTGTTGACAACGGATCGTTAGCATATGCAATATGTGATGAACACTATCAAACATAGAACGCTATTTTCTCCCACATTCTGCCTGAATATGGCAGAGAGAGACATACCCCATCCCAAACACTTTTACTTGTTAGATAGCATTTAGGGGTTTCAGTGTTTCCCTTTAAGCTGTGTACAAGCTACCAGAAATTTTTCACAAACACATTTTTTTCGATATTTGGTACAAGTGAAAATTTATAATTGTACGTTCCAAAAGCAGGTAACTTTTGACTTCAGAAATGTTTGCTGGAATAACTTGTATTTGAGAACATTTAAAACATAAATATGAATGTCAAGTCTCAGATTAAGGAATGGACTTAGTGGGAGAACCTTCCTTTGCATGCAGAGTGTATCTGCTGAACACTTTGCATGTGATTACTGCAGTAACAAGGTGTGTTGGACGGAACCATAGACAGGTCACAATGTGACTGGATTCGGTTAAAGAAGTAGATGATGTTTATTGTTCTGCAGACTGGATTTTGTTACATATTTGTATATAAACTCAGTCATTATGAAATAAATGTAGTTGTATATAAATACCTGGTGCTTGTTGTGTGTTTTGATTCTTTCTGAAATGCTGATATGATTACTGTGAAGTTCAGCGTTTGAGAATATTTGCATTATCATTATCGCCACTTGATGTGCAGCTTGCTGTTAGTTATTGCTGTTCACCCTGCACAGTCCAATATTCCAGCCCTGTGATGGTGGTCTTCAATGGTCAAAAACAGTACAGTATATGATGACATCAACCAAGTCCGCAATACTGACCATCAGAACCCTTTGTCACTTTAAGACTGGAGGCCATTTCTTATCTGGATCTTCTCAGGTGGATAAAACAAACACAGAACAAAACTGTAACCTCACGGAGGTCAAAACAGTGTTTAAAGTGTGTATTCTGTTGACATGTAAATACATGGCAGTGATATAATGATCCAATGTGAGAATTGTGAAACACTGAAATGTAGATATATGTGATATTCTCCTCAACCAAACTCTGTTAAGCTCAATTTCAGCAACAAGTTACATTGACCAATCAAATGTGAGTAAAACTGGTTATTCTCCATTCAGGATTAACATGTACATTATAACGATGCCTGGCACCTCTGTTCACATTGGGTAATACCAAACCACTATCAGCCTCCCATGATACACATACTGATATATTTGTTATCCTTCGTAACTTAAAATAATTTATCCTTTAGTGACAAACAATTACAATATCACATCCAGCTCACTGGATTAGGATTTCTCAAGTCACATCCTTGGACACCTGGAATGTCCAAACCTAGGTTTATTTCCTGCCATGACTGACGGACTGGCTGACACTGGAACCATTAAACCATCCACAACCTTATTAAACACTGATGCAGAGGATGTATATCGATTCAAGTTTATACTGACTCAATCAATGCATTAGAAAGAGATGGTATAAACCCCATATAGGTCAGATTATGAATACATTTGGATAGCTCCTGAGTAAATATGTGATAAATCACTGCCATTAATCTCTCCAGCTTTCTCTTAATTTATCAGGAATTTCCTGGAAACAGTGAGTAAAACAGGCTACAGCAGCCTCCTGGAACCTCTCTGGCACCAGAGCTGCATCATTATCTGGTGTTACACCATGCTCCTCTTTCTTCACTGGGCCATGATCTGTGTGTATTCCCGCTGGTGTTCTAACATCTTCAGGTACACCTGGTACTTCTTGTCATGATACCTACAATCACAAAACATCAGTTTTTGTTACCAGAGCACCATGTGCAGATACCTGATGTAAACATGTACCAAGCAGCCTATGATTGTCGTACATGTGACTAAAACAACTGGTCACGTACTTGATTACTCATCATGGTGGTGAATGTTGTTCATTATGTCAGAAAATAGTATGTCTACCCAAGACTTAACTTCTTTGAGTGGCATATAGAGTGAGTGAGTGAGTTTAGTTTTACGCCACACTCAGCAATATTCCAGCTATATGGCGGCGGTCTTTAAAAAACAATTCTGGACAAGACAATCCAGTGATCAACAGCATGAGCATCAACCTGCACAAATGGGAACCGATGACATGTATCAACCAAGCCAGTGAGCCTGACCACCCGATCCCTTTAGTCACCTCTTACGACAAGCATGGGTTACGGAACGTTCATTCTAACCTGGACCTTCACGGGTATGAGTGGCATTTAGAAGCAGATATGATGAATAGAAATGATTTTTTAAGGATAGACAACTTCTTTAATGCAATGGATACAACATTTTGGTGTAGATATTAACACCATTAAGTCACTTGCTGGATAATGGTGTTAGCATCTACACCAAAACATCGCTTCCATTGCAACAAAGAAGTAGTCTATCCACAAAACATTGTTCTTGTACCCAAGACTCAGACTTGATTACATACAGGTCATTGTCACACAGATGGATGGCTGCAGAGTCGAAAACAACAAACAAAACTGGAAGGAGAACAAAGTGAAAGCTTCATATAAGAAACTCAATATATCTTTAAAGCCATATGAACTTGCAGTCCTGACCAATGAAATACTCTGTATTCCCCTTGTCTCTACCTACAGAAAACTCCATTTATCAAGAATGGCTTGTGTTAAGATGATTACACAGTAGCATGTTTATAGATATTTGCACTAATAACTGCTTTCAGTTCAACATAAACATGTGTCATGAAACTAGACCCGAGTCCTGAACAAGTGTTGCTGCTTATACAAGGCAACTTACTGATGAACATTTTTGTCTGGCATCACAACTGAACCCTTGCCTCCCATCTTCCCCATTGCATCCTGAAATGAAAAATCACTCAGAGAAAACACTCCTTGATAATCTCTCTAGGTCATTTATTAGCCAAGGAATCACAGGTGAGTCAAGTGAGTCGACTCGGACAGTCCAATGTGATAGATGTGTGTCTACCCTGATAGATGTGAGGCAACTTTCAGTCAGATGACCCTAACAGTATGATCGAGTTAACCTGGACAGCGGTGAGTGAGTACAGTTTTACACCGCTTTTAGCAATATTCCAGCAATATCATGTTGGGGGGACACCAGAAATGGGCTTCACACAATTTACCCATGTGGGGAATTGAACCCGGGTCTTTGGAGTGATGAGCAAACGCTTTAACAACTCGACTACCCCACCGCCCCTACCTGGACAATAAGATGTGTATGTACCTGGATGCTAGCACAGTCTCCGGATGCCCTGGCCCCGAGTATAGCTGACCCCAGTAACACAGACTCTGTGTTGTCAGGCAGCACTACCGGCATGTCTGGAAGAAGATATAGTGGAAAATCCCTGGGATCATTCAGATGAGGATATATACCTCACATCGATATCCCTATCCCTATAAAAACATTTGCCATCTGAAAACCTGAAGGAGCCGCCAAACATCAAAATAGTCACAACTACCACCTCAGTTATCTATTTCTACAACACTGTACATTGATCACAGCTATGCAAGTTTTGACTCGTGTGATAACAGTGTAATTAGCCTTCTTGGATTTTACTGCACTGGGCCCTGTTTCACACAACTATCGTAACGCTACGACTGTCGTATGTTGCTGTATAGGAGGTACGACAGTCGTAGCGCTACGATGGCTTTGTGAAACGGCCCAGTATGATTATGTTTATTACTGGTACTTAGTGTTGTCAGGGCCCGTTTCACACAGCTTACGTAACGCTACGACTGTTGTAAGTCTATGCTACAGTATAGGAGGTACGACAGTCGTAGCGCTAATAAGGCTACGATGGCTTTGTGAAACAGGGCCCAGTATGATTATGTTACTGGTACTTAGTGTTGTGAGGGCCTGTTTCACACAACTAACGTAACGCTACGACTGTCGTAAGTCTATGTTGCTGTATAGGAGGTACGACAGTCGTAGTGCTATGATAGCTTTGTGAAAAGGGGCCCTGGACCTTCACCACAATGTAACGTCAACAGGAACTTAGGTCTCATTTCACAAAGCTATCATAGCGTTACGACTGTCGTACCTCCTATACTGTAACATAAACTTACGACAGTCGTAGTGTTACCTAAGCTTTGTGAAAAGAGGCCTTGGAGTATGGAAAGAACCTCATGTGAGTACATACTGAGTATATCTGCTGTGGTTGTGACAAACAGCTGGTTGTTCCGGAGTCCTCCACATAGATACACCAGAGAGATGCTGTGACCACTCCTGTTCATCTCCGAGATGATGTGTCGGGTGCCGTACTGTAACCATGGTAACCATACATCAACACGACAATGTTTTGTGAATCATGTGCCATTCTGCAACCTCACAGTGAATGTTAAATGTGTAATGTGCCATACTGATACCATGGCAACCACACATTATACAGTGTATATGGGGTCACACTGAAACCCTACATAAAAAAACGGATGTGAATTGTTTGCCATGAGTCATACAGCAACAATAAATGATACCGTGGATGTAATGAATGGATGCCATACAAGCATGTTGGGTGCCGTACTCAGCTATGGGAGACTTACAGTGAGAGCTTGTACTGTAGCCAGATAGATGAGAGCCAAGTTATCAATGCCAGATGACAGAGTCAAACCACACACCTGGAACAAAAAACATGGACATAATAATAACATACTGTACTTGCAGCAAACTTAATAGAATCGGGATGTGGTTTTGATCAAACACCATCGATAACTCAAACTCAGTTGAATGTATTGTTTGAGATAACGTGAAACAAGTGTTTGCCACTAATATGGCAATGTCCCCCGCCGCCAAAAAAGAATGAAATATTTATAACATATTTACTTCTTTTTATTTTTTGGTCACATACAAGAAATGACTGGTGTCTGCATAATAACCCAATGTAGGCTGTCGACATAACTGAAGACATTGGGTGCAATGTTAGATGAGAAATTGCATTTACATAAGTTTGAAAAGTGGTCAAAGTGTCATGGTGACATTGAAGATAAGGTCAAGGTCACACAAATCGACTGGGGTCTGCAGAATCCCCCAATGTAGGCTGTCACCAAATTTGAAGACATTGGGTACAACAGTTCATGAGATAAGTTGTCTCTTATGACAAGCATTGATTGACAAAGTTCAATTTATAACCAAGACCTTCATGTGTTGAAAATTCAAACAAATGATTTGGAAACACATTCCCTGAATTAAGAAACTTCGACTATCAAAATCTCCCAAAGTTTTTAAAAAAACCCGTATTGAATAACTGGTGGCAACATTCACTGCAGAGATCATCAGAGCAAGCTACAAACTTACCATTCCTTTCAAAGAGGGGTCAGCAATGGGTGAGCGGTTACCATGGAAATCTGGCCAAATGTGAAGGTCAGCTGTGAGTTGAGCTACAGATTGTCCCCCCTTGTTATCAGTCATCACCTCCAGTTGGCTGTTGAGGAAGCTATGTATGTGGACATCGCTGTTAATCAATAAGAAGACATTCTAAGTAAAATAAACCACACACAAATTATTTAATCTATTTTATCAAAGTAAGATGAGATTTGCTTTTGCTTGCTGTCAATTGTTTCATACGTTTAAAAGGGGAACCAGGTGTCTACACAGATTATTCTCAAAATACAGACTTAGACAACAATAATCAGGGTTCACCGTGAGTTTCAGTCATAATTCACAAGTCCTCCCCAATGTTCAAGGCCATATCAACTTAACTTTCCAGTTGGGGATTAGATGAAATCGTGTCTGATCTGACAAACACCATCACACAAACTGTGTTTCAACAATGTGCTACAGTTCAGGCTGATGATCATTGGAAGTGATAACACTATATCACTACTGACCAAAATTAGTCAAATACAAAATGGCTTCTTCAAAGTTTTGTAAAAGATAACAAAATTTCAAAAAGAAATAGTTCTTTTCACATAAGATTAGATAACATTTTAGGCTGAATTATATTCGAAGCAGAATCAAACTTCAAAGCCTTTCGAAGCCTGTTTCAACCCAGTGTATCTTTGGTTGAACTGACTGACTGACTGAGTTTGGTTTTACGCCGCTTTTAGCAATATTCCAGCAACATCACGGTTGGGGACACCAGAAATGGGCTTCACACATTGTGCCCATGTGGGGATTCAAACCTGGGTCTTCGGCATGACGAGCCAACGCTTTAACCATTAGGCTACCCCACCGCCCCTCTTTGGTTGAAAGCTATTAAACATACCATTTTCAATACGACATGGGTTCCTGGGCATTTTGCTCCTCTATTAATGACATCATCATAATACCCTAGGGGCATCATAATGCACTGGGGTCATCATAACACTCTAGGGGCATCATAATACTCTAGGGCATCATAATACTCTAGGGCATCATAATACACTGGGGCATCATAATACCCTAGGGGCATCATAATACTCTGGGGGCATCATAATACTCTAGGGGCATCATAATACACTGGGTCATCATAATACTCTGGGAGCATCATAATACTCTTGGGGCATCATAATACTCTAGGGGCATCATAATACACTGGGGGCATCATAATACCCTAGGGCCATCATAATACCCTGGGGCATCATAATACTCTGGGAGCATCATAATACTCAGGGGGCATCATAATACTCTAGGGGCATTATAATACTGTAGGGGCATCATAATACTCTGGGGGCATCATAATACTCTAGGGGCATCATAATACACTGGGGCATCATAATACACTGGGGCATCATAATACTCTAGGGGCATCATAATACTCTGGGAGCATCATAATACTCTAGAGGCATCATAATACTCTGGAGGCATCATAATACTGTAGGGGCATCATAATACTCTGGGGGCATCATAATAATGTAGGGGCATCATAATACTCTGGAGGCATCATAATACTCTAGGGGCATCATAATACACTGGGGCATCATAATACTCTGGGAGCATCATAATACTCAGGGGGCATCATAATACTCTAGGGGCATCATAATACTGTAGGGGCATCATAATACCCTAGGGCCATCATAATACTCTGGGGGCATCATAATACTCTAGGGGCATCATAATACACTGGGTCATCATAATACTCTGGGAGCATCATAATACTCTTGGGGCATCATAATACTCTAGGGGCATCATAATACATTGGGGGCATCATAATATTGTAGGGGCATCATAATACTGTAGGGGCATCATAATACTGTAGGGGCATCATAATACACTGGGGCATCATAATACTGTAGGGGCATCATAATACTCTGGGGGCATCATAATACTCTAGGGGCATCATAATACTCTGGAGGCATCATAATACTCTAGGGGCATCATAATACACTGGGGCATCATAATACTCTGGGAGCATCATAATACTCAGGGGGCATCATAATACTCTAGGGGCATCATAATACTGTAGGGGCATCATAATACTCTGGGGGCATCATAATACTGTAGGGGCATCATAATACTGTAGGGGCATCATAATACACTGGGGCATCATAATACTCTAGGGGCATCACAATACTCTAGGGGCATCATAATACTCTAGAGGCATCATAATAATCAAGGGCCATAATAATACACCTGTGTCATCATGATACTCTGGTTCATCATACCACTTGGGTCATAATATATTGATTCTTTGGGGAATGTGTACTGCATAACACCAGCCTCTGATCAATCTAATTTATAATGGATAATCTTGAAACAAAGAATGAAGGAACCGTGAAATGACCTTTTGTTTGCCTGTGAAAGGGCCTCCTGATATGCTGGGTGACTCTCAATCACAAAGTCTATCTGCAATAGAACACAATTCCCATCATCACAGACTACAGACAATGATTATGATCAACAATCTGGCGGTCAGTGTAGGTCCACTTCTAAACATTGTACTTGGTGAGAAACTGGAACACTTTTAGCAGTAATATGGTAGTGAGTGCCTTCCTTTACGTAAAGCTCAACAGTAGACAGATGCATGTTTGAAAATACCTAAATCAATCAATCAACACTTTATTTCTGTACAAAGGCCATAGGGCCCATATACATACAGTTTCATACATTATAATACAATTTGCATATATGTATACACGCCCATCTGCATACATGTACCCGGTATACAGGTAATCTGAACATACAATACAGGTTAATATGGATAAAGTAGATAAAGATATGATATGATATTACAAAAGTATAATATGGTATTTAATATTATCATTCTTGTAATAGCTTACATCTTCGTTATATATAGGCTGAGCATTTTCAAACCTGGCATGACTTCCAATTAGATTGAATGTGGTCCCATTTGTCTTGTCATTTCTAGCAATATTACAGCAACATCATAACAAGGTGAGGTGAGGTGAAATTGGGTTTTACATCGTGCTTGAGAATATTTCGCTCACATGACCACGTGCATGCGTGTGTATGTGTATGTGTGGCTGCTTGTACTAGCCGAGACTTAAGCTGGTTTATAAGTGCTAGCCCACTGAGATACCATGCCGCAGTGAAGCATGAATACCCCACTCAGACACATTATACTGACTCCGAGCCAACCAGTCCTTGTTGTACCCATTAATGCAGAGCGCCAGGCAGGGACCACCAAGTATACAGAGACTCTCTATTATCGCGGCACGCGAAAACATCTTTACATATCCAAATTACGTAAAATATATTCATTGCTCTTGAAAAAAGTCATTTATTTCATTGGAATGTTATGTGTAATCGGAGAAATATTAAAGCATTCATCTTTTCATCAAGTTCTAGAACATTTTGAAAGTAGTATGACCCCTACTGCCATTACATCTAGCATGAATCAAAACATACTTCATCAAGAGCAATCCTGCGACAACTATAAGGTCATTTGCATATTTTCCGTGCTAAAAATATAACAGGAAGTGACGTATTATGCAACTTCACTCTGCACACGGCAGCAACTTGTATGGTACGTTTTAAGCCAGAAAAACAATATTTTGTAACGTTGTTGTTACTTTGTATCCAAATGAATAGAAGTTTCAGATGTTTGGGTTAAAAACATGATGATATTACTAATGTGAATGAAATTCCTAAATAGTTTTTAATGATCAAACTATTTAGATTCGTTACTTGTCTTAGTAAACGTTTCACAGTGTCATCTGCTTGTACCGAGTGCCATAGTAAGAAAACAGCAATACCGCGATAATAGAGAGTTGCTTCAATTTCTGGGTCAAACGAGACAATCGGAATTGCCGCAATGGTATTAAACGAGTTGCGACCATGTGTCACATTATTTGTGACAGAAATGAAGATTAAACATCAGTCAACTGAAAATATATATTAAATGCTAAATGTCAGTAGCCGTTCATAATCCCGATGGCGACAACATTAACTACCGCGATAATAGAGGGTCCCATGATACCATATTTTAACGTCTTTTGGTATGACGCGGTCAGGGATCGAACCCGCGACCTTCCGCTCTCTGGTCATCATAACAAGGGACAACGGAAATGAGCTTCACACGTTATACCAATGTTAGAGATTGGAACCTGGGCCATTAGTGTGACGAATGAAAACATAACCTACTAAGCTAACCCACTGCCCTAGTCCTACTATAAACAGCTCCATTATATTCACTTAGCTCAGAAACTTTCTTTATCTAAAGTATGTTTAGCTTCGTTTTACCAGTGTTTACAGAATAGCTTCCACCCTCGTTTAAAGGTCACATAAACCCTAGGGGGTTAAAATACATAAATCACTAACTGGCATCGTTATAAATGAAACCCCGTCATTAAAACTACTCATTTCGACCTTTAATTGACTTAAATCGACCTTTTTGACAACAGTGCACAATTCTCACCCGCGAACGAAATTTCAACCAATCAGAGCGGCGCGACTCTGTGACGTCATATGAGGAATAACTTTGAGGGCCGATGCAGAATTCATCTACATTTTAGGGGGTAAATTATCTTGTTTACAGGCTTGTATAAACCTGAAATCGTGACAATTGTTGTGGAAAATGAAAGCTATATGTTCTCACAATCTACTGGCATTTAATTTTGTCTCCTGCTTTGCCTAGTTTCGGAGTTACAACTTGTTTTCATAGACGCTTCTGTCACAATTGATTGGTGTCGTTAGACCCTATTTGTATAATGACTGATCCAAATTGATCCCATTTCTGTGTTTTTTTACCTCGATATTTAATCATGTCATGTAAAAATCTGTTTGTATTCTCAAAACAGTGTGGGCCCATAAGTTTTCACATGCAATACAGCAATTAATACTCCCTTGTTGTAACCCCGTGTTAGGTGGTATAAACCTACACATGTTATTTGTCATCATTCACTTGATGGTCAGTTAATGAATTTATAACAGGTATAATTAGTGGTAACACACTTAGATTACCCGACAAAGGTTCCCATTTGGCATTTCTTGTGTCTGGAGTAAATATTCAACATTATAAACATCGATCAAAGGATTAACCGATAACACGCTGATTGATTAATTACTTTTATCTTACACAGCGGAATTGTCAAAAGGTAGTGTTTATGTATGTAGATTTACTAATCTATACTGAATACACTCTGCGCGGTCGGTGGGTGTCTGGCGTAAAAACAACGTCCTTCTTTCAAAGGATTAACCGCCAACACATTGATTGATTGCCCATTATTGGCTAACTAAATTACTGTTTTTAATGAAAGGCGGACATTATGCAATTAGTTGCCAGGTGTGCTATCTTGGGTGACCAATGAGACTATACACCAATACCTGAAAAGATTTATCACTTTTTCGTATATTAAACTGTTAAAAGACACATCATTTGGAACAGTTTTGTGGATATTGATGGATACATTCCTCGAACAAGGTAATGACCTGATATTGTTCCTATAACTTTAATCTGTTTTAATTTTAATATTTGCATTTTGTTTTTATTCATTTGTCGTAGCATTCAACAGAATCATTGTTTTCGCCGTGAAGTGTAATGAGACAGACAACATACACTAGGGTGTGTGTGCGAATTATGATTCACATTGGCAAACTATAAAATGTCTAGATATTACAGTTCTGTTATAAATTCACTATAAGTATCAGCAGATCGTCAGCTTTTTATTTAGTTTCAAAATGCATAAAAGTATGATTATAAACTAATTAGGATTATAAGACCAAATATAAAGACGCACATTGACTAGTATCTACATACTGGTGAGTGGACATTAACCATGTGAATGTAGCAAGAAATTTATCGCAAGCAGTATTGTGACTTCGACCCCCACCTCGCCTCCGTGGAAGAAATCGTTATGTTATAAGTTGTGTCATGCAAAATCCTTTTGGTTATGATTCCAATACATATTTAACATTTGAGTAGAAAGTAGTTTTGATTTTCTAACTTGATGAAAACAAACTATAATCTCATTAATTCTAACCGACTTTACGATTTTCAAAAATGGCGGCGCCATGTCGGGAACATCCGCCAGTCTGTGGATAAATGCTATTTAGGTTTGTTTTCACCGAAGTTACAAAATCAAAACTACTTTCTACTGGTAGTAAAATATGTATTTTATTGATGGCCAATAGGATTTGCATGCATGAGCTATGATAACATAACATAACAATTCTCATGGCAGCGCAGGTGGGTGTCAATATAATACTACTTACAATATTATTGTTACTTCGACCACAACCTCACTTCCGAGGAAGAAATCGTTATGTTACAAGTTGTGTTATGGAAAATCTTTATGGACATCAATCATATATACTAGTACATATTTTACTATAACTAGTAAGTAGTTTTGATTCTTTAACTTCCGTGAAGCGATCTGAACACAAGTAAGATATCATTTCAGGCTTCCACAACGCCGCCCGACTCACAAACATAACCCATTTAGCACGAACTGCGGGTCCTGTGGAAATCTGTGCATGGTGACACCATCACCCCGACCCTAGGAGCAATTGGCGACAAAGCAACGATTCGGCATGTCGTCGTTGATGTCGAGAAATCATCAAAATGATGAGCGTTCTACACACTTTCTATACAACTAACTGAAAATCGTTCCTCATATGACGTCACTCCAGTGCTCTGGCGACAGAGTTACGTAACCTGTCTGTGGTTTCGTTGGCGGGCGAGAGGGAAGCAGGCGACTTTTTGGCCACTTTTAATCGCTCGGTATTAATTAACCACAAGTTTTTAAAGAATAAATTTGGTGTTCCGCATAAGACTAACCACAAATCTTTCATATGTAATGGTTAAAAGAGTAACAAAAAACAAAGTTTAGTGGTTCTTTAACCAATGTTTACCTACTAGCTTGCCAGTAGCACTCTGTCCACCCTCATTTAACCAGTGTTCAGGTAGCATGGCGGAATAGTACGGCCCCCACACTCCACCAACAAAGATGGCTGACTTGCTGATCTGAAACAGAAGATATGACATTAAACAGTAAAGGCACAATGTCACACATTTTCAACAATATTTTGGCCTATATTACATATATTGGGGCATATGCACTCACTTTAGCTTCCTATTGATGCAATAAAAGACTTATTATCCCTTACGACTTGCCTGAAGTCAATAATTGAAACTTTGAGGTGAACAGCTTCCAAACGGGAGAACACTTGCCATATATGGAATGTAAATAATTGTTCTGTACATCGAAAACTGTTGCACGTGGTGTTGTCAGTGTTTGCCGAACTGGTTTCAATCACAAGTTGTGCATAGGATATTCGTAAAGAGTGCTCCAAGGGACATAACTCTATGGGGTTTACTTGAAATAATGTAGAGGGTGCAAGACGATTTAATGCAACTTTGCATTAATCATTCAAACATTTTAATTTAATACAGTGGAAGCTGTCAAAACCAGCAGCTGTCCAATCCGGCAAGTTGTCAACACCAGCATAAAATCTCAGTCCCATCCGTGGCTAGTACATTTATCATCATTTAAAAGCTCTGCAATCTGGCAGCTGTCAATTCCGGATCTCGGCATGAAATGAGCCGCCCGAATATGTGTTTATAACAGCAACCAGCGCTGTCTAATCCGGTGCTTGGTGAGGAGTTGGTTGGATGTGTATTGTCAACAATTAATCCTGTTTTGAAACTACAGTGCACTCTGTCAAACTCGGACTCTGTCTTTCTCGGATTGCTGTATAAACAGGACTGAACTCACGGTCCCGACGTAATCCTTCTTTGTTGTCATAATAAAAAAGTTCTGTATCTCGGACTCTCATTATTTCGGATTTCGGACCAAAGTGTCGGCCCGATAAGGTAGTTACATGTAAAAACATTGCTATATAATTCGGACTGAGCAGGAAGTCCGCTTGGCCAATAAACCATGAATAAACATTCCGTTGATTGGTTTGTGTATTTTGTCTTATTTACTTAGCAGGAAGTCCACTTGGCCAAGACCGCGTGGTCTAGCGGTGAACGCTTATTTACCTTTGATGCGACTAACACCAATTGTAAACTATAATTGAGCCGATCATGTCAACTCAGTGTCAATGTCACTATGCATTTAAGATGCCATCAGACACAGTGTGATGGAAATAGTAATTTTATATGTACGTTTGACAACTTTTATGAATGTTGTTGTTGATTTCATTCATTAGTTTATTCAATTTATTTCATGAATTCCTCGAAACATCGTTACTTTGCTCTTTGACAATGTTATTGTGGACCCGCTGCCGAAGCAGGTGTCCGAGAATCGTTGTTTTCAATAACATTGCGAAAAATAGTTTATAACTTTAATTCTGCTGATAATAGGGAGATAACTCCATTAAAATCTGTGTACTTCGGACTACTGTATAATTCAGACTTTTTAGTCGGTCCCAAGCTGGTCCGAATTAGACAGAGTGCACTGTACATGGTTGCCGACAAAGATAATTTAATCTTCGTTCAGTATGGGTGTACTTGTACATGTAATTAGTGAGTTGAGAGAACCACCTTATACAACAATGTATATGAGAGTGATAAAACTGGTTCAATTCTAGTCATGACAGCTCTACAATCCGGCATGCTGTCTAAACCTGATTATTTCTTCGGTCCCGATGTGTGCCGGTTTAGACAGCTTCCACTGTATTGCAATCTAAATCAGAATTCTTTTGGAGGGCTGATAGTAAGTATTATTGAGAGAAATAAACTGTTTCTTTTTAGACATATGTGGTGTGATATAGTACCTTTAAACACATAAAAAAACTAGTGACCGTGCATGTATTATAGTGTTAGCCCACTGAGATACAATCCCAAATCCCCCACTCAGACACAGTACACTAAAGACTCACAGCCATATGACAGGAGGATGTACCGCAGATCAGGACAAGTCGACCAGTTACAGCCGGCAGAGGGCTCTTGAGACTGCTGGGGACACACCCAAGACAACCTGCAGGGAGGGTGAGAAGATCATTCCAGGATGGGTTCACACTTTTCACGAAGATATATTGTAGAGCTAAATGAGTTACACTATGCTCGATCCTCAACCTCATTACAACCTTGTTTCTTGTTGCCCTGGAAACACAAAAAACATTACAACTGCATAATTGCAAAATGCACCAGTTCATAACTTGCCAAATATGCATTCACAATTTCACAAAGAAATACTTTTCAATTTATGATATATCCTGCAGAAATTAAACCTACCCTCATTTGAAAATAAGCTAAACGTTTTTATCTGGAAACGTGAACAAAATGAAATGACAATTTTTCTTACAAGCCAGACATATTCACAAAATTTCATGCAGCCATTTTGGATGGAGTTATACATGGAAACAAACCCTACACTAATTTGAATTTGAAGTGTTTTATTTACAGAAAAGCTGGGTTTTGAAATATTACATGCAAAGATATGGCCAATCTATTATATAGCTTTAAAAAGTGGATGTGTTGTAATTGTGATCATTTTGAAATTTTCTCTACTGTTTCTGCTTTTATGTACACAATTTTAACAGTTTTTAAGCAAATATGTACCAAAGGAATTATACATGTTTACCAAATATCAACATGTTTTGTGCACCAAGGTTAACAAGAAATTGTTAATTACTGAAGGATATTGTTTTATTTATTTTTTATGGTAACTTCTTTTTTTCCTTCAGCAGTATTTTCTGCTAGTAAGAATCATGGTATATAGTTTTCCACCAGCATTTAATAAGGATATCTGCTGTATCTGAACATTGAAATCACTGATATTTCTGGAACATCATTAACTTCACTCATTTACTCCTGAGCAAAGGGCAGCACTTGTTGGGATATTGTACAGGTTCAGAATCCTGAAACTGTTTCATTGTTTCGTTACTTTATGCAAGCTCCAATGCTTTTTACAGATTACTAATCAGAAGGTGAGTGAGTGAAGATTTCTTGACACATTGGCAGTATTTCAGCCATATGGTGACTAAAACAAGTTATACATGCATGACACATAAACCGAGAATACAAAAGCCTGTTGACGAACTACATTATAAACAACCAGAAAATATACAGATGTCAAACTAGCATGTAAATCTAAAACTATAGACCATACAATAACAAGCTACAGATTGTCAGCAACTGAAGGTAGATCACCATATACTAAGCACCATGGGATGCTTCCTGCATGGACACTAACTGGATTTACACCATCACTTCAGCTGTTGGTGATTGTGTTATTTAGCTATTTACAAAACATATTTATTAAAACTTTTCAAACAATTCAATTTCTTTAAAAAAAAATAATTATTAAATGATAATTGACATGGTTAAAAAAGATCTTAAACAGAAAGCATAAATTAGACACATCATGTACAATTTAGCGAGAATATACTAAGTAGACTACGTGAAGTGTTCCTTCTCACCTACTCCCCCTGCATGTGCGTCAATGAGGGCGGTTCCGACAGGTGTCCCTGGGTTCAAACCCAACTCTTCTGCTGCCTCTCGGGTTAATCCATTCCCACAAGCCTCTCCTGGTGCTCGCACTTCACTTCCTGAGTACAGAAGTTGTAATATGTACATCATTACTGAAGATAATAATATTTATGTGAAGTATTGTCATATTTTACAAACAGATATCAACTCCAATATCTATATACCTTAGATAGATCTGTAAATATGCAAAACTTAACAATCATATATTAGGTATAAGAGATTGTTAAGCAGTCTATTTGAAATGATTCTTGTTAGAGATCGGCATAATGTCTTCTGACCACCGACCTATCTATTTAAAACAATGAAATAAAATATATTTTGACTATTTGGAGATGCCAACATGAACTGAACCAAGGACAGAGGCCTGAAAGCATGATCAGTGGACTCAAAGTAGACACACTGATTCAAATGCACCAAAAATTATACACATGTAAAATGTGCACCTATTTTGCTGTAGTTATCATGGATAAGGTCTTCCAAGCCTATCTTCTTGAAGAAGTCTCCATTCCATCCAGAGTCTGTCTCTGTCCCGGCCACGTAGCCCCACTTACACACCAGCGTACACAGGGATCTGCAGCATACCAGTAAACGAGTGAGTGAAGATTGTTTTATATTGCTTTTAGCAATATTCTAGCAAGATCATGCAGGGGAGACCAGATATGGGCTTCATACACAGTGTGCGAAATAGTTTCTAAATTTGGCTAGCCGACGGGCTAGCTATGCCTGAAAGTTACTAGCCCACAAAATTATTCACTGGCCCGAAATTTGAATGTAGACACGGGTTTCATCATTAAGCTGCTAATATGATGAACATTTTTATCAGGCCATAATCTTGCAAGATTTAAATGTATTATAACTTAACAAGTCGGAGAAAGTGATATACATGTTTTTAGAAAATGATCCCATGAAAATTCACTAGACATTCGGGCCAGTGACTTTCGAGACTTACTATCCCGACTGGATTTTTACTAGCCACGGGCTAGCGGGCCAGTGGCTATTTCGAACACTGTTCATACATAATTCATGTGGGGAATTGAACCTGGACCTTAGGCGTGACAAGTGAACACTTTAACCACTAGGCCTCCCCACCGCTCTGCATACCATGAATTACTGTACAGATAGATGACTGACATGTACTATTCAAGGGGACTGCAGTGTATGTAGTATGCACAAAATTATTGGAGGCTGTCAAAGCAAATGTTTTTAACATTATTATCAACAAGCATATGAATATCTAACAGCATGCAATCTGCATCGTCTTCCATGGACAGAGTGTGTGTGTCCAATGGAATGTGAGAGTATGTCACCTGGACAAAAAGTATATATGTCTCACCTTGACACAGAGAGCATATCTTCCAGAGAGTGTGTCTCACCTGGACATAGAGTGTGTGGCCCTCCAGGTAAGGAAGTCTGGCAGATCAAAGAAGTGTGCTGAATGATTCCAACACTGATCCTTCAGGTTCTGCAGAAATATTAAAAAACAACAACAAATAATAAAATATCATCTGGATATGTTTTTGTTGCATTTCAAATTTTAGTTTCAACTCAGAATACACCAGTCTGAGACGAATCTAAACTGAAAGTTTCTGGCAAGATGAATGTAATGGAGAATAACAATCTAGTCCTTGCCTGTACTTCTCCACTATTCAGCCAGTCATGGCTATTACAAAAGACTCTAGGGAGGTGTCAGGCACCACAATTTACATCTAATACGCAGTACTCCCCTCCCACCTGTTTGAGCCAGCAGAGTTTGGGCATCTGCATCTCCAGGGACATCCTCCCACCTACGTACTGCAACACCGAGCTCCCCGTCTGGTTGATGGTGTTGGCCTGGGTGGCAGCACGGTGGTCCATCCACAGGATCACGTTACATTCAGGCCGTCCTGTCAACATGGAAATAGCATCATCTCGGTGTCTGACTCTCTTTCACCGTGCATGTAATCTACGTTTAGTTGTAGCTATAGGTTTTGGCATTAGTCTAAATTTTGGTTTCATTCCACTGTCCATTTCCTCTACCAGTTTATGGTAGGTATTGTGTATTTACACAAAGATATCATTTTACTGTCCATGTATGTTTGGTGGTAGGTGTATGAAGTTTAACTGAAGATATCATTTCACTGTGCATATACCATGAATACTTTACCAGATTTACTGACTGACACAGGCTGGAAGTGTTGGTCGAGGACGACCAGCGAGCAGGTTCCATCAAAGCCCACGCCTCTCACTTGGTCCTTATCCACACCTGATGTCTCCAGCACACTCTGGAACAAGAGACACTATAGCTATAGACCGGTCACACATTCACAGATACGGTAAGGGATTTACCTTAAGGGATTTATTTACAGTGAGTGAGTGAGTGAGTTTAGTTTTATGCCACACTCAGCAATATTCCAGCTATATGATGGCATTCTGTAAATAATCGAGTCTGGACCAGACAATCCAGTCATCAACAGCATGAGCATCTATCTGTGCAATTGGGAACTGATGACATGTGTCAACCAAGTCAGCGAGCCTGACCACCCAATCCCGTTAGTTGCCTCTTATGACAAGCATCGTCGCCTTTTGTGGCAAGCATGGGTTGCTGAAGACCTATTCTAACCTGGATCGTCACAGGTCCGATTTATTTAGACCAGCTCAGAAGACAATCTTTGGCACCTAGTCTGCAGCAAATGACAGTGAGCAATCATTCCAAAGACAAATTACAGTTTCCAATTACTCAGGTCCTGTGTAGATAAGCCCATTTTATAAAAAACAAACAAACCCACCCTTCCATGGGCATTTAGTTTAGAATCCAAGATAGATCCCTACCTGAGACTAAACTCAACATTTGAAACCTTATGCTACATGTTAAGTTCAAGATTCTAGTGTGGTGCAGTAGTACAGTGGTAAAAGCGTTCGCTCATCATGCAGAGGGTAAGTTCAATTCACAAGGGTACAATGTGTGGAGCCACGATCTGGTGCCCCCAACTTCCACACACATTAATTAAAAAAGTTGCTCATCGTGATATGGCTGCAGTAGTGCTGAGGCGATGTAAACTTTTAACTCACTTACTCCAAATGCAATTGAGCACATTAGATCTACAAGGATCTATAAAGGTACACACTGAATTAATAAGACAATGTGAAATATCAGGAGGAAGACAGAAATGAAGTACTTTGACTGTAGTTGTGACAGCAGACCAGATGTTGTCTGAAGACTGTTCATAGTGATCAACTGCACGGTTCCAGGTAGTGATCTCGGCCACCGATGTGGCCATTAGTTCCCCTGCCTCTGACAGCAGACCAGATGTGGTCCCCTGCCTCTGACACAATGGCCGCCCGCACACTTCCTGTCCCCACATCTACTCCGATGTAGTGTCGCATCATTCTGCAGAATCGGAACACAGGGGGTGAGTCACATGTACTGAACAGCATCCAACATAATGTAGACAGAAGCCAAAAGGAATGCAGGTCATGGAGTAGGGAACTGGGGTATAAGCTTGTGTTCAAGATTATTTTGTTGGATGATGATGCATGCATGTGTGTGTGTATTAGTGTGGGTGTGGCTGCTTGTACAAGTCCACACTAATGCAGACTTTATAGTGGTATTTCACTGTGATACCATGCCACAGTTGGAAACTCAGACACATCATTCTGACTCCTTAATGTCATGCATGAGCCAGGGAACAACAAGCACCATATTCTAACATCTTTTGGTATGGCATTGATGGAATTAAACCCAGACCTCCCAGGCAGACACACTATTGCTGAAGGGGTCGTTGTAATACACACTAACGAATATACGAGCATACACACTAACGAATATACGAATATACGAGCATACACACTAACGAATATTTTGCGACACGAGCATACACACTAACGAATATTTTGCGATGCGCAATACCACTTGCAGTCAGTCGACGGGACAACTATACATACGGTTTCGGTTTTAGGTTGCAGAATATGGACTCGTCCATGGTGGGGTACCAGGTACGTTTCTGTAGTTTGACTTTGTTCAGGGTACAGAAATGTACCTGGGTTACATATCTGTTGTACCTGTGCTAACAACTCCTTCAGTCACACTACTCACAGACAGTCCAAGTATGATCGTGGATGTGGTTTTCACATATTTCTGCATTCATTTATGTTAAAAAATCATTATTTTAGTTTGGAGACTGTGCATCAATTCGGTGATGCATATTTCTTATATACTTGGCCAAATGTCATCAAAAATGAAAACATATTTCTCTCGATTAATGGAAATTTTAAAAATATATATAAATGACACCTCTCAAATTTGTTTACTTTGAGCTAAAGCCAAGAGGTGACGTTGCGTGAGATGGAGTTGTTGTGACCACAAATAGTGTACAGTCACATTTTATCGGTATCTCTTTGTGGGTGGTGCATGTCAAATCGACCAAACACTTAATTATAGTTAGACAGAGACTGTCGTAACTGAGGTACAGTTATCCTTATGCATACACGCTCGTGCGTCACGCGATGCTGAATAATAGTTTGAAGCACAATACTTACAACCTACCAAATCCTACCACGTGACACTTGTGTCAAATGCAAGAAAGGCCACTGCGCGACATAAACATGTGATGCAGTTGTAAAACCCAACACGAACGCAATAGTCTAGTAAAGGGAGGTCACTCCGAGCTCTTTACACGTCCCGTTAAAAAACCCCGTTTGGACGTATTACCTCGTGCAAGGTCGAATCGTCATCATTTTACCTTGCAGCTGATAGTATGTAATCTATTATCTGTATGGCCATTGTACTATGGCCATGAAACTTCGATTCTGTCTGATACTATTTATTTGAGTATCCCCCCCACCCCCAAATAAATAAAATAAATAAATAAATAAAATGCACGTGCGTCCAACACTCTATAAAACTATTTGATTCAGCGTTCCTCCCACCCAAAGTTTCACAGTCATGGAGAGAACTAAGAATCTTTGCACATATTCATCACGCCATTCATCTGAGACAATAAACCATGGGCAATAATGAAATGAAATCACTGTAGGTGAGAGAGTGAACCTTTCGATGTTGGTAATTAAACTATCCAACTGAAACACAAAATTATTAAAACAATAAATCCCGAAACAAAAAAGAAAAGAAGTAAAAAAGGAACAAAATAAGAACAAAAAACAATAAACACACTACAAACACAAGCGATAAGAAATATAAAACTATCTCAAAACACACACACGCAAAAAAAACCAACAAAAACAACAGACAAAACAAATAAACAACAAAAACACAGTAATGAACAATGAACTGGCCGGATTCTCGAAACACAATTTTCCCCCCGGTTATAACAGCTGAAAACGAAAAGTAGATACTTTGCATAAATGTATGTTCATTCATTAAAAACATAACGTTAGATGAATTTTGCCATAGTATAGAAAACAAATAAATAACTTGACTTTCATCTAAGTGGAGAAATTTATTTAAAACATGATTTCGTTAGTTTCATTCGCTAAATATCAGTTATATTTTATTCATCACATATTTCATTTCCACCATGGCTGCCAATCTTCGAGCACCCGGAGGGACAACGCTGAAGCTTGCGACGTCGTTACGTCCGGTTGCTAGGTGTCTCCTCGAACGTCCGCGCGTTGTGGATATAAATCGCGACAACCTCTGCCACCGGCATTCATCTCAGTGTGACTGTCTTGAATGCTTTAACGATGGCTAAGGTTCGCTCCAAGTCGAGATCCCGTTCTCGATCCCGATCTGCCAAGAGGGCAAGACGGGGGTCCCGCCGACGCTCGAGATCGGCTTCCCGTCGTCGTCGACGCACGGTCTCACGCAGAAGGAGATCGGCCTCCCGTAAGAGGAGTGCATCACGACGCCGCAGGAGGACACGCTCAAAGAAGCGTAAGGCACCCCGTCGCCGTAGACGATCGGTGAAGAGAGCAGGAAAGCGTAAGGCGCCCAAGAGAAGGCGCCGACGCAAGGCTCGTCGTTAAACGGACAGTCGCTTCGGTGAAGCTCAGTTTGTAACACCATCGGCCCTCTTAAGGGCCACCATATATCCCAAAAGAAGCTTGATACAATGCAAAACTGACTTGTTCTTAGAATGTTCTGAATAGTATTGAATTTCACGAAAGTTCCAACCCCCTGAACAAAACGACAAAATAACTCTCTGCTAAAACTACCTGACAGCAAAAGGAACATATACACAAATCGAAAATCACCCACAGACTTGAGAATACATTTTCCAGCTCGACAAAGAAAACTATATTTCTATTGAGCAAAATAAGTTCAATCCATACATTAAAAACATGTATGCATATATTATATGTAAGAATATCAGATGTTATGAAGTTCTTAGTTTACGTCTTTTGGTTATCAATATGCTTACTTAACATATACATAATTACATGATTAAGTTAACAAACACAAGGTCATATTTATAAGCGTTCGTTCGAGTAGAAAAATACACTTACTGGCAACTTTTCCTCGAGCATAGTTAGATGGACCAGGAACAGTGTCAGCGGCGAAATTAGCGAACTTGCAACATTGCCACAATCGTCCCTTTCCGCAACGTTTAGACTCTCTTGTAACCTTCTGGCTCTCCCGGGAATGACGAGAGATGTTTGTCATATCACACATACAAAATAACGGAAATCACCAATGTTGCACAACAAGAGAATCAGTTTCCTCGGAGACAGAGAGAAAAGAAGTATACGATTACTATAATAGTATATAAGTAAATGCCCCTTTCAGGCAGCTCTTTCGCTTATAATCACTCCTTTCAATCTAGCACTAAATGGCCTGTGCGAAATAGGCATCGTGTTGGAAAGCGCACGTAATCATCATCATCTACAACAACAACAACACGGATTTTACTTTTGAAACCGCCGTAAAAGCAGTCGAAATTTGCGAATACGAATCTGCAGGGAACAATAAGAAGGGAGATAACTCTTAGTCGTTCCGCTTTGCGTTGCCAACGACAACTGATCGATACTTGTAGATATAAATAAAACAGTATTTAATGTTATTCACTTACACAGAAAGTTGAACCCACTGCAAGATAAACCCATTCAGATATAAACATGAAAAATGTTGGAATAGTGTGTTCATGTACACGGGGGTAAAGTGGCGTTAGTTTGCCAGCGTCGCCTAAATATTTCCACGAAGCCATGTGTCGTTGAAGTGGACGTTTTCTCAGGTCAAATCATACTTACTCGGTCCTGTTTGTTTAGAAAGAAGCTTGTGTTGTGTATCTGGTCGATTCGTGTTGGAAATAGTCGTAGTTTGAATGTTGGTACCTTCATGACTTGTTATTACAATGTAATCCATACCACATTCGTGCGTAAGGAAAATATATGAAGTCAGAAACAGATACTGAAGGCGTTTTGTAAAGTAGAATAGATGTTTCTTCAGCTACATGTGCACACAAAAAAAGAACTCAATTTATATGTCGATGTAACTACCAAAAAAAGTATTTTTTGTAATTTATTTATCTTTTCTGCTGCTGACAATTTCCCTGTTTAATTCAGTAGTCCGAATCATGACTTTTTTCAACACCCGATCCCCATCAGGATATTATTTCAATGCAATATAATGTTCCTTATAAATAATTGATTTCCCCTAGTTATACAAATCAGGATAAACGTTGGTGGTTATGTTCTCTTTTACTTTAGTTTATATATTACAGCGACTGTAGATGATCGAGGTTGGGTTGGATAAACCGAGGGTTGATAAATGAGCATCCGTTAGGGTGTGATGGCCTGCAATCAACAGTCACATAGCCTGACCATCCCATCCAAATAGGCCGTTTATGGTTTGAGTTATCACACCTCCCAGTGTGCCACCGGCGGGCGGTGGGGTAGCCTGGCCCCGGTTATTCAATACTCGGTTATCTTAACCGCCGGTTAACTCCTAACGGCCGGTTAAATCCTTAACCGGCCGTTAGGTAACCGAACGTTAAATATGCGTTGTTCAAAACCTGGTTAGTCATGCCGTTAGCTAACGTCGCCGTCAAAGTTTAACAGTGTGGTTAACGTCACTGGCTTCCATATATCCCATAGTTCCGTTTTCTGTTTACTTCCGGTTTACCAAAAATGGAAACGCAAAATGTCGCCTGCACCCCAAGGAAAAAGAGAAGTCGAAATTTCTCTGCTGACGAAGAGAATGTAATCCAGTCAATGGTTGAGGCCAACTCTATAGTCTATCATAGGCATGCGTTACGAACGTTTTGTATTGGAACACAAGGTTCCAGCCGTTTGCATAATGTATATTTCATAGACATATGATCAAAGCTCTGTGTGAGACTTACTTGTGAGACAAACAATATAGATGTTGTGACAATAATACCATAGCTTTTATCTGAAATATGCATTCAATGCCAATAGAAACTTAATATGTTACTAGCACCACGTGCAAGTAGATCAAACTGTAATTGTACTATAGGCCCCAGGGCCAACACTGCTGAATAAAATCGATCTATTATCCGACCTTACTGTTGACAGGAATCTCATGAATAGTACTGTGCAATATCGCCATTACCTGAACGCTTCACAGACGCATATTCCGGAAAGATGTCTTGAAAAACATGAAGCTGCGTCTAAATTTATAGATGAACATAATTTCCTCGATACTCATTAATCAGATGAACCTTCATTTAGTTCAATTCATAAGTGACTGCAGAAAATGCATAATTCTTTTTAATGACTTCACGGTCGGAAAACATATATTATATTTCATAAGTGTATTATAGAACGCTGTAGTAGATGAACATAATTTCCTCGATACTCATCAATCAGGTGAACCTCCATTCAATGCATAGATAGTTCTTTTCAATGTCTTCAAGGACGGAAAACATGTATTATATTTCATAAGTGTATTATAGAATGCTGCAACGATTCGGCAGAGAAATACTATTGTGCCATAGTATTCCTTATATGAACCTATGAGTGTATAACATTAGCAATCAGATATTGTTATAAAATAAGTTAAAAATTCCAAATATTATCGTGTAATATGACAAGAGATAGTGTTGTGTTCGCTGTGACAAAAAGGTTTCGATATTCAAATATAACATTTAATCAAAGTGACTACGAAGTAGGCCTGCATATCGCTCACAACAGAAATAGATACATAATAATGTTTTGTTTATTTTCCTACACATCAGTTGCGAGAGCAATGTTTATGCTAACTAAGTTTTCATCAATTAATATAGCATTTTTAAGAGATGATTTTCTTCAAATAAAACATTCGAAGAATGAAAAAGAAATTAGGCCTATTGCTGAAATGATTAGTAAAAATATAATTAAAATCCATCTATGGGAAGGGATGCCAGACGGACATATTAATTAACAATGATATCAGTTCTAAAACAAATCGCTAATAATTCTGAAACGTTGCCGATAAGCCTGGAATCGTGTTCAGATGTTTTCATAAATACACTCACATGAACGCCCAAGTGCACTTTGCGCCCTATTGGATAGTGTTTACAAAATCACGCTTTACGAAGGCCGGTATTGAAACGCCAATTACATCACTTATATTTCATATTCAGCGGCGACAAATGAATCACTGCATTCTAAGGCTGGGACGGGTACTCGAATCCAGGTCGGGTACAGCTGGAATCGAGTCCTATTTCTAGGAATCGAGTATCCGGAAAGGGAGAGAGCTCTGTA